CAAGCAATGAAAATAAAAATAAGAAAAAATGTGAAGAAAGTCAAGGAAAATCCCAAAAGGAATTTCAAGACTCGTCAATTCAAAAATGTTTGAGTTTCTCGTCAGCCAATTTCGACGACGTCAGTGATAAGTTCAAACGATCTTCAGTTGCATCATACTCATCAGGATCTTCAAATTCCTACGTATCACAGTCAAAATATACGAAGAACCTTTTAATGAAAGGTTCGTTAGAAATGACGATTTCAACAGAAGAAAATCAAAAGAAAATTGTGATTCACGGTGAGTTTGGTAAAGTGTTTACCTAATAGAAAAAGCGTCTTCCTTTCAAGAAAAATTCAACTAAAATTTCCTTGTTTTCAACAGTTTTAAAATGTAAGCATCTACCTAAAACAACTGATATTCCACACGTCAATGCATATGTGAAATGTGCGATGGTCACTTTGAATTCACCATCTGGACATCACAACACTTATCAACGAACAGCAGTACATAAAAACTCAACAGAACCTGTGTTTGATCATAAATTCAATTTTGATTTAAATAATTCAGATGATCATGAAAAATATCTTCAACTTGCTGTATGGCATCGAAACAGAAGTTTAAAGTGAGTAATTTTTTATATGACTAAGAAATATGTAAACATATTAAGCCCTTCACTACTGCTAGATAATTGTACACTCTCCACCTAAAACTCGCCTCTCCAAAGTTAGTTTCAGGTGGAGAGTGTTCAACTTTTCTCACCGGACGAATTTTTTGGGTCTATTTTGTATGGAAGGCAATGTGTCCTAGAGGAAGATCTGAAGTACTAGATTGTGTTAAGTACTTAAAATTTGTTCCTTAGATAAGCAAAGACACATTACCAGTGAAATATCCTCATAATATTGTAGTAGAATATGTAATCATCATAGAAATATGATTAATGGTCATAAATCTCTGATCAAATAAGTTTCACCATAATTCTATGATCACTATCATCCATAATCTATCATTGTCAAAAATTTTAATTTAAAATTCCTTTTCATATCTTTTAGACGAAGCGAATTTATTGGCTGCCTGACAGTATCTGTGAAAAATATTTTGGAAAAAAATATTGAAGGAACATTCAAACTCCAACCACAATCTTTTCTATTAAGGCCAGCTCCACTTATAGTTGAAATTGATGATTCATTATCGAAGCATGAAGAAACATTTCAACGAATCCATGAAGAGAATAATGATAATCTCCTCCTGAGGTATCTTGAGCTTAGTAACACTAAAAGCTGTGGACATCATGAAGGAAGAACTCCTTTTACACTCACAAGAATAATTAAAAAGTCCCCTGAAGATGCTTTTGGTTTTGAGATTTCTTGGTCAAAGCCGCCAAAGATTAATTCAGTGAAAACATTATCGAAAAGCTCAGGATTAGAAAAGGGCGACTTCATTATATTTGTCGGTGATACCAACATCGTTGCGATGCAAAAGGAAGAAATTATAAATCTCATTAGGGCACAAGGAAATATCTTAACGCTTGAAATATTTCGATCAACTGGTCAAGTGAGCAGCAGAGAAATTATTGAAAAATTAGCTTCAAAAAATACGCCCACAGTGGAATTAAATCATTCTGAGAATCTGAAATTAGAAAAGAATGATCTAATTGAGACGCCTAGAAGCCATAAGATATCACATTTCAAACAACCCCAAGTGTGCTTTCAACCTACGATCGGCAGTGGTGTTATAGTTTGACAAAATATTAATTTTAATATTTGTAAATTTATTATTTAACTTAAATATTATTTTTGTGCAATTCATAAAACTATTTGGATAGACAAATTTTAATGATTGTATTCAATATCTTTTCATTCACGATTGACATGATTGATCAATCATGTTGATGAAAAATGTTTGAAAGTTTTCTCTTCATTCTATTATTTCTTTCTTTTTGAGTTTTTCTTCTGTTTCTGTTTAATTTTTCTTGTTTCGTTATTATATTTTGAAAATTAATATTGCATATATCATCCTATTTATTCAAAGAAGCACAAGACTTAATTTAATTTATGTATATTTTAGAAAGCTCAATAATAAAACAAATTTATTATAAAGAAAATTGTTTTTCTTATTTTTCTAATAATTCATAATTCCAATTATTTGGCATGGGTTTAAGCAATGAAGTGCACATTTAACTCTTCAAACTATTTCAAGTTCATCATCATAAACCGGTTGTTTAACTTAGTTCTCTTACATCACAATGTATTCTTGACGTAAATAAAGGAATTATGAGAATTAATCTTGTCGATTATGGAAAATTTTGTAATCTTATCAATGTTTTGTTTGGTGTGAACATGAATTATCTTGATGAAACTAAATATCGACAAGAATAAAATTATTTCACAATTTTTGGATATTTCAGACTCTTTATTTGCTCAGAAACAGAAGTCAATTCTCTTCCCCTCTCTTTGGTTAGTGAAAAAATCAAATTTTAGTGAGAGCTACTCAAGTTCTCATTAATAAAAATATTTCCTTCGCTTAGCGTTGGTTAGTGAGAATTGAGCTATCAAAGTTTTAAGATGTGGTTTTGGATAATTGCTGTTGTTATTATACTTGCGCTTGTATACTATTGGTATACCTTGAAATATGGATACTTTTCTGCTCAAGGAATTGTTGCAGCAGATCCCTGTTTCCCACTTGGAAATACCCCAAGCATGTTCACTGGGAAAAGAAACGCCACCTACGACATCGACGATCTATATCAGTAAATTAAAATTCAAAAATTATTAGAGAAATATTTTTAAATTACATCATTTCACAGACAATTCCGTGGTAAAGCTCCTTTCATTGGATACTTTGAAATGAGAACACCGACATTCTTACTGATCGATCCTGAAGCAATCAAGTCAGTTATGGTACAAAACTTTCGCAACTTTCGCGATAATGGCTTCAGTAAATTTGTAAGTCAATATTTATAAATTTTAATCAACATTGTTATCGTTAATTTTATCAATTGCTGTTGAACTTTGCGTACTTTAGATTGACAAAGATAAAGATCCATTATTTGGACGTAACCCATTTATGTTGCGAGGCGATGAGTGGAAAGAAAAACGAGCTGAGATAACGCCGGCGTTCACACAAAACAGAGTTTGTTTTGATTTTCTTGCTTAGCTGAACACATGACTCATAATTTATTATTAACAATTAGATCAAAGCATTGTTTCCACTTGTTGAAGAAATTCTCGGGAGATTCACCAATTATATCAAGACAGAATGTAACAAGCAACCGACAGAACCTTTAGAAGCAAGAGAAATTTGTGCAAAATATACGACGGACGTTGTTTCAAGTTGCGTCTTTAATGCTGATGCTGAGTCATTCACTAAGGAGAAACCAGAAATTCGTGAAATGGGCAAAAAGATCTTCGATTTCGATCCATTAATGATGGCTGCTTTTATGCTTTACTCAATCTTCCCATTTATGACAAAATATGTTAAAGTCAGCATGGTTAAACCTCAAGTTTCTGATTTCTTCACAAATCTTATGATTCAAGCAATTGAAGTCAGGCAAAAGTCAGGAATTCAACGTGACGATTATTTAGCACATTTGATTTCATTGAGAAACAGAAAAGAAATTTCTGAATTGGACATGGCAGCACATGGTGTGACGTTCTTCATCGGTTAGAATTTTTTCTTCATTCAATATAAATTTAATTAATTAATGTTCTCCCATAGATGGTTTTGAGACCAGTTCAGTTGCTTTGGCTTGTATATTTTATGAGGTAAATTTACTTTAATTCCTCAAGAAATCACAAAATCTCTGAAAATTCTTTTCACTAAGATCGCAAGCAACAAGAAAGTTCAAGACAAACTTCGCGATGAAATCAAAACTCTCTATGATGATAATGGAAAAATGATTTACGAAAAAATGTTGGAACATGAATATTTGGATCAAGTTTTTTATGAAGTTTTGCGCTTGCATCCACCAGTGACAATGACCAATCGAGAATGCAATGAAGAAATTGAGTTTGAAAATATTAAAGGAAAGAAAGTTAAATTGAGAGTTGGTGACAGCTTTGCAATTCCGATTTATTCTATTCAACGTGATCCTGGTAAGAAAAAAGTTCGGTAAGAAATCTTTGATCGTTCATTTGTATTTGATTGCAGAATTTTATCCCGAACCCGAGAAATTCATTCCTGAACGTTTCGATCCCGAACATGGCGGCGTTAAAGCGTTCAAGGATAAAGGAGTTTTGTTGCCATTCGGAGATGGTCCAAGAATTTGTAAATTATTTTATTTCATTAAATAACTTTTTTTATTAAATATTTTTCCATTTAAAAGGTTTGGGCCAAAGATTCGCTTTGATGCAAACAAAAGCTGCAATCGTTGAGATCGTGAAGAACTTTGAAATGACTGTCAATGAAAAGACAAAACTCCCATTGATTATGGATCCAAAAGCATTTGTCAATGTTAAACTTGGTGGACTTTGGTTGAACTTTAAGCCTGTTCAAAATTAAATTTCATTACATTTATATTTCTTACATATCTTGCACGCAAAGCAGAATATTTTATGTCGTGGCTTTTTAAACTTCTTTATTCTTATTAGAAATCAACTAAAATTTGATATTGTTCCGTCCTTTGTTCACTGTTTTTCCAAAATGTAACCAGCAAAAAACGAATAAAATGAACACATAGAAACAAATTTTCAAGGTTTTGAGAACCAAACCGTATGGCTTGCACCGTATGAGAAGTAAAACGCCGGTTGTTTATAAACATTGGAGACCTTGAAAATATTTCTGCTCTCTTATTAGCGAGTTTTTTCATGAGATATTCAACTCTGTTCATTCATTTTATTGTGTCATGTTAAAAGAGTGGAGCAATTACATTTATTAGACACTTTTTAATGCTGATTCACTCAATTTTGAATAAAACTGAAAAATATAAATAATTGTCGACATTAATGAACGTCAGTAAAAATCGATTTATCGATAAACTCAAAGTGGAAAGTAAGAATGTAATCATAATTGAGCCAAACATAACTTGTGGAATAATGTCCGGCTTGTCGTTTATTTTCTCTCGCTCTCTCGCTATCGAAAAACATTTCAAATATATTTTTAGCAAATAATTTTTCTCTCACGATGAACTGAACTGTCTTAAATCTCATTTTATTTATTTAGAGTCGTTGATATTTCATACTTAGAAGCACGTGAACATTTCATATTAAAATGTTGGTTTGGATTTAGTAGAGAGTGGTTATTGTCGGTTTGTTTTATTTTTGGTATAAGGCCAATTATGGATATTTTATCAAAAATGGAATGACTGAACCTTACCCGAATTTTTCACTTAGTAAGTTGCCAAGTTGTTTTCCAGAAAATGTAATGAAATTTATGACATCGATGATTTATGTCAGTAAAATGATTAGCATAAAATAATCAAAGGACATTATGATGATTGTGGATAATTACAGGAAAAATAAAAAAGAAGCTCCGATCATTGGATTTTTTCAAACGAACACACCGAATTTCTTATCGATCGATCCTGAAATAATTAATCGGTGACCATGAACATCTTTCAAAATATATTGTAAGGAAAAATAAGAAATTTAATTAAATAATAAGAAAGAAGTTTAATTATTTTAGATTGTTAAAGATAAAGATCCGATACTCGCTTGAAATCCATTTTCGTTACCAGGCGACGAATGAAAACAAACACGAGCTGAGATAACGCTAGGTAGCCTTCATACAAGATCGAGCATGTTTGGGAACATTTTCAAAATTAACTCTTATAAGCATAAATGTTATTTATATCGAAATATTATTTTCAAAAGATTTCAAGCATTGCTTCAAAATATATCAAAACAGGATGTGAAAAAAAATTAAAACACCCTTGGAAGTTCACAAAATTTGTGGAAAATACACGGAGGATTTTGTCTCGAGTTGTGTCTTTATTACTGATGCTGAATCATTTACCAACGAGAAATCAGAAATTTATGAAATCGTGAAGAACTTTAAAATGACTGCATATAGAACGACAAAACTCCCGTTGATGATTAATCCGAAATCATTCATAAATTCTTAACTTGTTGGACGTTGATCAGATTTAGTCCAAGAAATTTACAATAAGATTGCAATCAATATAGAAATGGATGTCAATAAAAATATTGATTTATTTGATAACACAAAAATGTCTCTCAAATGTTATCAAGTTTCACATTTATGAACTTTTTTAGTTCAAAAATTATTTTTATTATCAATTGCATAACACAAAAGCCGATTAGATATAAAATTTCGAATTTAACAAGCTGTTTGTGTGATTTTAAGTTCAATTTATTGTTTGAAAGAGTAGCGGCAAGTCATCTGTTGAAAATAAAAATTTTTCATTAAAATGATTGTGTTGATCTTCTTATTGCTGTTTACAATTTTCATTGCGTGGGTTGGTGTTTCTCAACAGTACAAAAAGCTATCAAAGCAAGGTTTCGATGGTCCAAAAGTTTGCTTTCCATTCGGTAATGCAAAAAGTTCAATTTTAAGACAACGGAATGAAGTTTATGACATTGATGACGTGTATCGGTAAGCAAAGGAATTTCAAACTTCAAATTAAACTTATGAAAAGTTTTACAGGGAATTCAGTAAGAAAGCAGAGATTTGCAGTTATTTTGTAATGTTTTCTCCACATTTATTGGCTCTTGACCCGAAGATCATCAAACAAATAATGATTAGTGAATTTAAGTATTTTTCGGATAACAATTTTACTGTGAGAAAAACTGACAACAAGTTTAATGAATAGAAAATATTTTGATAGAAAACATTCATGTAGGTTGATGCTAAAATAGATCCCGTGATAGCATTGAATCCTTTTTGGATGAAATCATCAGCATGGAAGATGAAAAGAAGTCAACTTTCACCATCAATGACTCCAATCAAACTCAAGGTGATGTATCCGCTAATAATTGAAGGAACGAAAACACTTGTTGAAGCGACAAAACGCGGGATTAGAAACGATAAGAATAAAGAATTTGATGCTCGTGATATCAGTTCACGATATTGTTGTGACACAATTTCAAGCTGCCTTTTTGGAGCTGATGCTCAATCATTCACATCTGACAATTCAGTTTATTTGACAAATGGACGTAAAATGTTGAGTGGAATAAGAGATAAAGAAGTTGGAAGACACATTTTCCCTCCAAAAGCTTTTCCACAAGACGCTGAAACGTTTTTCGTTGAAATTACAAAGGAAGCAATCAAATATCGAATGGAATCGAAAACTAATCAAGACGACTTCTTATCACAGTTGATATCATTGAAAGTAAAACACGATTTGAGTGATAATGAAGCAGGAGCTTATTGTGTAACTTTGTTTCTTGATGCATTTGAGACTGCAAGCTTAGCGCTGCATTTAGCTTTATATGAACTTGGAAAGTCTCAAGACGTTCAAAATAAACTTCGAAGAGAAATCGAAGAAAATCTTGAGGGAAAAGAATTTTTAACTTATGAGAAGTTATTGGAATTGCCATATTTAGATCAAATATTTTATGAAGTTCTAAGACTTCATCCGCCACTTCAAACAACTTCACGAGTGTGCAATGATGATTGTGAATTAACATCTGCAAAAGATCGCAAGATAAAAATTAAGAAAGGCTCGGTTGTTGTTATACCAATCTATTCGATTCAAAGGGACGCAAGTAAGTTAATTAATTAAATATTTTAAATATTTTATCATATTGTCATAATCTTTGAAGGATATTACAACAATCCGGAAAATTTCAATCCAGAACGTTTCAACATTGAACATGGAGGTGTGAAAGCATTTAAAGAATTGGGAGTTTTAATTCCATTTGGAGATGGGCCGAGAATTTGTGAGAAAGATTTTTCAAAATAAACAAAACTCGTTTATAAATATTTATTTAATAGGTTTGGGAATGAGGTTTGCTCTGATGCAAGTTAAAGCAGCAATCGTGGAAATGATCAGAAACTTTGAGATATCTGTGAATAAGAAAACGCCACCAAATCCAAAGATTGCACCGAATGAATTTTTGAATGTTGTTGATTGCCAATTATTGTTGAATTTTAAGAAAGTTTAAAAGAGAAGAAATAAATTAGAAAATGACGTTTCTTATCTGAATGAAAGACGCATGGAAAACGACGAGTTCTCGTCTACATTCACTTAACCCGAACACAATTTAATATAATGTATAGACAGCATTTATTATTTATTTTTGGAACTCACGGAACGATCAGATCGTTCAGTAATTGAGTTAATTTCTTCGTTTTAAGACGTAGTTTGGAAAGCAACATGTTTGCTATAATTTTCTCAATACTTTTGGTGATACTTGCCATTTTGTATTTTGCAATATCAATGCGATTTAAGTATTTCTCCCGACATGGTGTCATTGGTCCGAAGCCCAAATTTCCATATGGAAACATCAAAGAAAGTTTTAAAGGCACCCGAAATGTGGTTTATGACATTGACGAGATTTATCGGTAAGTTGAATTGACTTTTCCTTGTGTCTGCACTTGACTGTGAGATGAAAATTTTGATTTAGTCATTACAAAGGGAAAGCGCCTTTCATTGGAATGTTCATGATGTTCACACCTTATTTCCTCATCATCGATCCCGAAATCGTTAAACAAGTCTTGATAAAAAGCTTCAAAAACTTCCGCAATAATGATTTTTATGTGAGTTATTTTAATGGTTCAAGTTTCTGTGTAATTTTTATGCTGCTTATCAGGCTTCTAAGAAGAAAGATCCTCTAATGTCACGTAACCCATTCATAGCGAGAGATGATGAATGGAAGCAATTGCGAAGTCAAACAGCTCCGGCCTTGACAGTTAATAAAGTAAGTGTTTGTTTGACTTCTCATTTATTATGTCACACTTATTTAGACAAGAAAAAATTATCATATGAAACTACAACATAAACGAGAGAAAAAATATTCAAAGCACTGAACTTCAGATTTATTTTCGAATCATTTCCTATGATCGACGTCAGTTTTCGATCTATTTTTATTTAAACGACTGTTTAATATTCTAGCTCAAATCTGTGTATCCACTGATACTTGATGGTGCCAATAATATGATCAATTTCATCAAACAAGAATTAAAAACAGAAGATCATAAAGCTTTCGACGCTCGTGAAATAACATTGCGTTACACTTGCGATGTGATGTCGAATTGTATTTTTGGTTCTGACGCTGCATCGTTCCAAAGCGAGAAACCTTTGATTCTGGAACTTGGTAAAAATATGATAGCAGGAATAAAAGATTCAATCATGGGCATGTTGCCTAAGCCATTAATCCCTCCGAGTTATGGAAATGATTTCATACAAATAATGACGGATGCAATCAATTACCGTGAGAAAAATGAAAGTGCTCGCGATGATATTCTCGCTCACATCATAGCGATAAAACAAAAGAAAGGTCAAAGTGATGTTGAAGCAGCAGCACATGGTTGGACAGTATTTATGGATTCTTATGACACGACAGCGATTGTTTGTCACATGGCACTTTATCATCTTGCTAAAGACAAACGAGTTCAAGATAAACTTCGAGAAGAAATCATCGAAAATATCGATGAAAATGCAGTTTTATCATATGGAAAGCTTATCGAACTTCCATATCTCGATCAGGTTTTGTATGAAGTTTTGAGATTGCATCCACCACTTATGTTTACCACCAAAGTTTGTAACGAAGACACTGAAATTGATGCTGGTAAAGGCCACAAATTTATGATGAAAAAAGGATCGGTCGCTATGATTTCAACACATTCAATTCATTTGGATCCTGGTATGACATTAAATGATAGTTTAATCAAAAATTTATTAATTTTTACGATTCATTTAAGAATATTATGCTGACCCTCATGGATTCGTCCCGGAAAGATTTGATGATGAACATGGTGGTGTTAAGAATTTCAGAGATCGATGCGTGTTGATTCCTTTTGGCGATGGACCGCGAATTTGTAATTTTTTATTCATTTTTTAATTTCATAATTTATAATTGGCGTCAAATTGTGAAACTTTCATCAAATTTAATTTCATTTCAGGTCTTGGAATGAAGTTGGGATCAGTTCTGGTTAAATCGATCATAGCAGAAACATTGAAGAACTTCGAAATGACTGTCGATGATGCAACACCTGAAAACTGGAAAATTGGCGCATCTGAGTTTTTGAACCTTCCCGATACGAAACTTCAACTCAACTTTACGCCATTGTAAAATCAAGAAAGTTAAGATTTTGCTGAATTGTATTTCTTAGGTAGTAATTTTCAGAACTTTTCAATTATGATTAACGTCAACAGTTTGATTTCAATGTTTGTATTAATGTTGAAATAAAAATGTCTTTGAATTTCATCAATTTTGTTTATTAGTTTAAAAACTGTTGTCACATGTTTCGAGATCAAATGTAAAACAACTTGAAAGAGTGAGAAGTATTCGTTTCACTTTTCCTGCTCTAATTCAATCAAATGCGTTTAAATTAAAACATTATGAAGGAGAGAAACAGAACGAAAGAGCAGAAATTTTGAGCAAACAAAAATATTTCTCATTTTGCGATGTGCTAAGTTACATTAGTCGTTCAGAGACATTTAAGTGGAAGAGTTGTGTCATCATCAAGATGGTTTTCCTTTACTTAATTCTTGCTGTTCTTGTATTGGCTTACATTTTCCTAACATGGAACTTTGACTACTGGTCGAAACGTGGAGTTCCAGCTATGAAAGCGAAGATTTTACTCGGAAATCTTCCAAGTATTATTCTCAGAAACGAACACATCACTTATGGAATGGATAGAATTTATGAGTGAGTGTCTGATGTTTTCTTCTAATTTTAAAATAATCGAATGAAATATTTTTCCTCAAACATTGAATTAGTGAATATAAAGGAAAAACTCCTTTCATTGGAATTCTTCAAATAACTTCTCCTCGTTTAGTTCTACTTGAACCTGAACTTGTCAAGAGTGTTATGGTGAAAAATTTTAAAAGCTTTCACGACAATGAATTTGGTGATATTTTATCAAAAAGTGAGAATCCGCTTTTCTCGAAAAATCCATTTCTACTTCAAGGCGAAGAGTGGAAAGATAAACGAGCTGAAATCACTCCCGCATTTACTGCGAGTCGGTTAAAGGCGTTGTATCCATTGATTGAAGATGTTCAAGGTCGAATGATCGCATATGTTGGAGAACAAGCTCGTAAGAAACAATCGCAAGAAGCACGTGAGCTTTGCGCTAAATTTACGATTGATGTTGTTTCAAGCGCAATTTTTGGAATCGACGCAAATTCCTTTAGCGAAGATAATCCGAAAATTCGTGAAATGGCAAAGCAATTACTGGCACCAAGCGGAATTTTCATCTTCAAAATGATGTTAGCAGCATCAATTCCATTTCTTAAACACGTTCTTAGTCTCAGATTTGCTCCGGTAGTTTGTGAGAATTTCTTTGTCGATTTAATGGAACAAGCTTTGAAATATCGTGAAGAAAATAAAATTCAACGTGAAGATTTCTTAGAATATTTGATTCAGTTGAAGAGCAAAAAAGGAATTCAACATATCGACATGGTGTCGCACACAATTTCATTCTTCACTGATGGCTTTGATACATCGTCAGTAGCAATCGCGCACGTGCTTTACGAGGTAATCTTTTTAGATTTTTTAACATTTTTAGACGTTTCCGTAAATTGTGAAATTGAAAATCTTCTTCTTCTTATCGTTTACAGCTGGGAAGAAATAAAAATGCTCAAGATAAGCTTCGTGATGAAGTTGATAAGCATTGTGATGCCGATGGAAAAATCAATTTCGAAACAATTAATGAAATGCCTTATCTTGATCAAGTCTGGAATGAAACTTTACGAATGCATCCACCAGCAACGTTTCTTTCAAGAAAATGTACCGAAGCATGTGAATTGGAATTCGAGGGAAAGAAAGCACCGATCGAATTGGGAATGAATGTTTACATTCCAGTTTCTCAATTTCATTACGATCCCGAATATTATCCTGAACCTGAGAAGTTTAAACCCGAACGATTTGACCCGGAAAATGGTGGAACGAAAGCTTTTAAGGAAAAAGGAATTTTCCTTCCATTTGGAGATGGTCCGAGGATTTGTAAGAAAATTTCCTTCATTCAAAAATATTTCAATGAATTTTCTTTCTTAACTTTATCAAAGGTCTTGGCATGAAGTTCGCTCAAGCTCAAAGCAAAGTCGCAATTGCAGGAATCATCAGAAATTTCCAAATTTCTGTCAATCCAAAAACATCTGAGAAACCTATCATCGATCCCAAAGAGTTTTTGAACGTAAAGACGGGTGGTTTGTGGTTGGACTTCACTCCCGTCACAACACTTTAAAGATGTCATTGACAATCAGATAAAGTTTTGCATGTATTTCATAATCGTGACTAATTGTTTATCTACCAATTCATTTGTTTTCTATTTTATCATTTCTTATCAACACGCTTTTGTAAAAACCAAAAATTGATAACTGAATAAAATATTTTTACCTTTCATTTCACTAAAAAATAAACAAAATATCTACGAAAACATTTTAAAGATATCGTGAGAATGTTAATAAAAATCATTTTCAAGTTTAGTCTCTCTCGAGAGTTTGACACTTAAAGATGTTGATGTTGATTTTGGTTGTGATAGGATTATTAACAGCTTTATATTCTTATCTAACATGGAATTTTGAGTATTGGAGTTCACGAGGTGTGTTGTCACCAAAGCCGAAAGTACTTTTCAGTTGTTTCAAAGAATGGATTCAACGTAAAAGTCACGCTACTGACATTTTATCTCGATTATATAAGTAAGAAGTTAATTATTCAAAGTTTGTGTTATATTTCGATAATTATTTTCAATTTAAGTGACTACAAAGGTCGTGCAAACTTCATTGGCATGTATCAGATGAGAGAACCTCGTTTGCTTATTCTCAAACCTGAACTTGTTAAAGAGATTTTGGTTAAAAAATTTAAAAACTTTCATGATAATGAATTCAGTCTCATACTTAACACCAAGGATAATCCACTTTTTGCTAGAAACCCGTTTTTGTCAAGAGATCAGGAATGGAAAGAGAGAAGAAGCGAAATATCGCCAGGTTTCTCAACAAATCGAATGAAAGTTTTGTTTCCCTGCATTCAAAACGTTTGTGCAAACCTCAAAGCTACAATCAATGATGACTTCAAACATCCATTCGAAGCTAAAGATCTTGCAACGAAATTCACAACAGACACTGTTGCAAGTTGCATTTTTGGAATTGAAGGAAATTCATTTAAAGATGCAGATTCAGAGTTGAGACAAATGTCGAAACGATTGACAAGACCACCGATCAAGACTTTCATTAAAATGTTCCTTGTCGCTATTATCCCACCTCTGAGAGATTATTTGACACTTTCATTTGTTCCTGATGACGCCAATAATTTCTTTATGAATTTAATTAAACAAGCTGTTGATTACCGAATAAAGAATAAAATCAACAGGGATGACTACTTGGACTTCCTGATTAATCTTCAAAATAAAAAGGGATTATCGAGTACTGATTTCGCTGGTCATTCAATGACATTTTTCAGCGATGGACTTGAAACATCTTCTGTTACTATTGCACACACACTTTATGAAGTAAGACATTGATTTAAATCTTGAACATTATTAATAGAAATAATCTTTCAAGTTGGCACGAAACGTGAGAGTTCAAGAGAATTTAAGAAAAGAAATTCATGAATTTGCTGAGAGAAACGATGAAATAACATTTGAGATTCTTCATGAGATGCCTTACCTTGATCAAGTGCTTAATGGTATTGAATTTGTTATCAGTTCAACTGCATGAAATAATTAACAATCTTTTTGTTTAATAGAAAGTCTACGTCTTCATCCACCTTTCACAGCAATATCCAAAGAATGTACTGAAGCGACTGAACTTGAGTATATGAAAGGAATTAACGTCAACATTGAAAAGGGTGTTAATGTTTATCTTCCTTTGTATCAAATTCAACGTGATGCTGAATATTATCCAAAACCTGAAGAATTTATTCCAGAAAGATTTGATCCTGAGATTGGTGGTGTGAAGAAGTTTAAGGAACAAGGAATTTTCTTGACATTTGGTGATGGGCCGCGAATTTGTAAGTTAATTGACCTTGAATTTATTCTGCTTATTAATTCACTGAAATTCAGGTTTGGGAATGAAATTTGCTGTGATGCAGACAAAAGCAGCGATTGTTGAGATAATTAAAAATTTTAAGATAACAGTGAACGAAAAGACTCCAAAGAAATTAAAAATTGATCCGGAAGAATCTTTAAATATTAAGAAAGGCGGCCTGTGGCTTAACTTTAAACCTGCAAAAATGTTTGAATTATGAGAGTGAAAATAAAATGAAATAAAGCTGAAAAATTTTGACAATAGTCACAAGCAAATATTATCAAACAAACTCCACATGAATGTTTACATAAATCCATATTTGGATGGTTCAATGTCATGGGAGAAAAACGAACATTTCGTTATGCGATCTTCCCGTTCAGAATTGAGTGAGTGACAGAATAAATTCAATTGTGAGTGAGTTTCATTATACATTCGACCTTGGCAATGAAGTTTGCTTTTATTTACTAAACATTAAGTCATCGAGAGTATTTATGGCGCAGAATGATTCAGAATAATTTTATTTTGAGTCTTTTTGATATTGACCAGACAATTCTTAAAGAAAAAAGTGAATTCAAGGTCAGCTTAAATAATAATTCAACTCAATTAGGTTTGCAACAACATAAATTTTCATTTTCATCCATTTGACATTTGTTTATCTACTTTTAATTGGCTTTTCTCATACACATTGAAAGATTTTCTTATTTAATCACAACAATTTTAAATAAAATTTGAGATGACCGACGACCTTGATGATCTTTTTCAGTATTTTTACATCGAAATTTATTAATTTAACAATAAAATTCATAGAATTTTTTACATTGACCAGTCAGTTTATTAGAAGAATAAAAAAGAGATTTCAGTTGAATTAAATGATGGTTTCAATTTAAAAAATGATTTTTCAACTATAGAAATTGGAATAAACATTGATATGAGTACGCGTGTGGTCGCACAGATGATTGGAGAGTATGAAACTAATTTTTGGAGTAATTTTACATGCGTAGCGAGTCTTCAGCATAGATTTGGTTCAACAATCTGATGACAGTTGTCATATTTCTTCAACCTGTCAATTCTCTAAGAAGTTTCGTTCATTGTCTCTGTTACGATTATTCACGAATCTCATTCGTCTACAACCCTCATTAGAGCTATCGATAGAACGAAGTATTCTCGACTTCAAAGAAATAAAAATCAACTTTTGAAAAACTGTTTTACTCATTTTTCCTGTACACTAACTCAAATCAATTTAGATAGTCGAAGAAGTAAATTAAAGAAGTTATTTATGGAATATTTCTTTGAGTTCTAACTTAGAGATGAAAAGCGAAAACATTTGAAAGCATACAAAATTATGCAAGAATATTTTCATGTGGCGTGAGTTGGGCGTGAGTGTGAATAACAAATTTTAAAATCAGATGCGCAACATAAAGTCCAAAGTTCAGATTTTAGTGATCATCACATCATGAAATACTTTTTAGTTTCCATTCCATAAGTTTTGGAAAATTTAATGAAGAAGATAAACTTCCTCTCTACTGCGTAAATGTTAATTCATCTATGGATGTCGATTGTCAATTTGAATTAATTGATTAATTATATATATCAAATATTAATTGTACCATGCAATTAATTGAAGGCAATTTTGATTCACTTGATTAGCTTCGAAAGGAGTAGAAAAGAAAAACTTCAAGCTAATTGACATCCCTAAACCTCTAAGAAAAGAATTCTAATTTTAGTTTTCTTTAAGGTCGAGATAAGATAAGCATATCATTTCAACTCATTTAATGAAATTGCATAAAATATTTAATCAACAATTATCACTTCAATTGAAAAAGTCGAAACTGATTGAGATAGTGTGATTGAGCTGCTTCTCTCTCATATTTTTGTCTGTTCACATGTGTTATGATTGAAGAAACATCGAACAACTTTTTTTGTCAGAAACTCGATTAGTTTCTCTTGGAAAGTGTAGCCATTTAGAAGGAAAAAATCTTCGCTATGTGGTGCGAGGGCTTTTGTGGTGTTTTTATTAACATTTTGTTAATAATTTTCTCGGTCGTTGGATTTCATTATTTCTATCTTCTATGGAATTCTGATTATTGGAAAAAGCGGGGAGTTTTCTGTCCCGACTCGAAATCATTGTTTGGAAATCTTCCTGGACAAGTCAATGGGAAGCGCAACATCGCTTACGACACTGAAGACTTATATAAGGAATATAAAGAAAAATATCCGTACATTGGAATTTACATGTTTCGTGAACCGCAATTGCTTGTGTTTGATCCTGAAATAATTAAGGACATCACTGTGAAATATTTCAAGTATTTCCAAGCCACAGAATTCTACGGGAAGATCGACAAAGAGTCCGATCCCTTATTCGGAAATCACCCGTTCTTCTTAACCGGTGACGAATGGAAGACAAAACGAACAGAATTATCGCCAGCATTTACCAACACGCGAGTAAGTAATAAAAATCGACATCGCTTTCACCAAAATCAATTGTAGAATAAACAATTTCCCACCCACGCAGATCAAGGCCATTTTCCCAACAGCATTAGATGTCAGTCATAAAATGATTTCGTACATTAAGAAAGAAATTTCAAAAGACGATTTCGACGGATTCGATGCTAAAGATGTAAATTTTCTAAAATTTTAAATTTATTTGAAATGAAAATGAAAAATGTGTTTGCAGTTATCGGCGCGTTTCACAATCTCAATCGTCTCCAACAGCGTCTATAATGTCGATCCGAAATCTTTTGAAGGTCAAGAATCTGAAATTTTAAAGCGAGGCTTAGAATTTGCTTCACCAACGAAACAATTCATGATCAAGAATTTGCTGATGCAAATTTATCCATTTTTGAAGAAATATTTAAAGCTCAGTTTCTCAAAGGAAGGCGCTGACCAATTTTTTATTGCATTAATGAACAACGCAATAAAACATCGACAAGAAAATAAAATTCAAAGTGCTGATTATCTCGATCATTTGATGAACTTGAAAAATAAGAAGGAAATTTCGGGTCAGTTTTGCAATCATAAATTTAAATTTGAATCAATTTGATGACTTGTGAGTTTTTCTTATTTATTTAGATCATGACCTGGCCGCTCATGGAGCTTCATTCTTAGTCGATGGTTTTGATACGTCAAGTTCATCAATGGTCAGCGCTTTAAAAGAACTTGCTGAGAATAAAGAAGTTCAAGATCGTCTTCGTGAAGAGATCAACAACGCGATGCCAAATGAAGAAGATTTCACTTATGACAACATTATTAATTTGCCTTATTTGGATCAAGTTTGGAATGGTAGAAAAATCTTTTTTAATTAAATTTGTCTCACTCTTTTTATTTCATTAACAGAAAGTCTTCGACTGAACAGCGTTGTGGCAGTTTTAAGACGACAGTGCACCGAACCCGTGGAAATTGAGTTACCCAAAGACAAGAAATTATTCATCGACAAAGGTTTCGTTATCGGATTCCCAGTTCATTCAATCCACAGAGATCCTGAATATTATCCAAATCCAGACAAATTCGACCCCGACCGCTTTGCCCCTGAAAATGGTGGATTCAAATCTTATATGGAACGTGGAGTTTTCCTTACATTCGGTTATGGCCCAAGAATTTGTCCTGGAAATCGTTTCGCTAACGCACAATCAAAGATTGCACTTGCAGCAATCATAAAGAACTTTGAAGTTTCCATCAATCCTAAATCTCCAAAAGAATACATTTTCCACCCACAAGCTATAATTAACACACTTCTTGGATGCTACATCGACATGAAAGAAGTAAAACGCAATTAAATTGTGGAGTAAAATTTTTTATTAAATATTTTTATCTAATGGAAAACGCAAATTTTAAATTTTATCAAGCTTTTCAATTTATATTTAGCAGTTTGTTCGTGTAATGAAAAATAATTAATAAATATTGGAAATTATCGTATTGGATTGTTTATGAAATAAAATTTAAATCTCTTTGATTGCATCTTTCAGCTCGTTCATGAGAATCGAGCCAACAACAAGCTTTTCGCAATTGACAGTAATTGTCGCCACATGCTGTTCGTCGTTAAGTGAAATGCTAACAAGAACAAGACTCTTGGAGTTTAATGTTTGCCCAGCAAAGAGAAGCGTGTCAGGAGAATCGCCATGCGGAATGAAAGCAACATTTGCTATTTCAAATATTTTCTTTTGAAGTTGTTGCTTGTCATGAAAGTCATTTCGAAGTTGAACTTTGCAATTCGATTCAGACATGCCGCGAAGTTTATTTCTCTCTTCTTTAAACATAATTTCGGGTAATGTGACGCTTCTTATCAACTCACCAACAGTTGGTTTAATCGCAACTTTACTGACACCTCCACTCGATCGAATCTCAAAGTTTGCCGCTTGACTTGAATCACAAAAATCAATTCCGAGAATTCCTACAAGAGTTTGCTTTGGCGCAAGCTGTGTCAATTGAGCAAACTCATTCAAAGACATTCCACTGGTTAATTGCTTTGCACCAATATGAATATCTGTCAATTCTACATTTCCATGATTCGTGAAATAAAGTTCAATCGACACCATGCTCGAGCTGAATAAATGAGGCGATCGCGTGTATTTGTAAGAAACTCCAAGTCCATAGCCATTCACTTTGTTCAATAATTCCATCTTATCAATCGCTATGAAACTTGGTCCGATCAATTCAATTCGGTTATTGACAGCACCAGTTGCTGAAGGTGTGATTGGCGTTAGGAAGCCTCCGAGACTTGGCGTCATTACATTTCCACTCACCGGAGCGATGTCATCAAGATCTAACAAAAGATCAAGATTCGATTTCTCAACTGATTGCTTAACAACTCCATCAACATGATTCACTTCCTCTTCATTCTCACTCTCACTTCCTGAATCATCACTTGATGAACTCGACGATTCTTCACTGTCTTCAGTCGTTTTCTTGTTTGCAGCTCCATTTTGTTGCTCACTTTTCTTCTCAACTTCATCCTCTCCACTTGATGATTCACTTCCACTGCTGCTGCTGCCGCTACTGCTTGAAGACTTACTTGAAGTTGAAGACGAATCACTTTCAGAATAAAATGATTTTTCCTTCTTCTTATCGTGATTCTTTGTTTTATTACGAACAACATTTTTCACTTTGACATCTTCTTTCTTTGTCAATGAAGTTCCTTCATCGGGTGATTCAACATTACGAACAGTGTTGTCAGGGGCTGTTGATGGAAAGTCAGGCAAATCTTGATAACGATTAACACGCATGTTCAAATAATGCGACATTGTTCCAAGTTGGAAATTCTCTCGACCAGTGTAACGATTTTCAATTTGCGGTGCTGGTTTTGTTGCAAGGAAAATTTTCTTTGCATGCTTCAATAAAATTGAAGTTTTCTCATCATTTACGATGAATGGTTTGAGGAATCTCGCACGATCGCGTACATCATAATTTGCATCGTAACGTGCAAGATTAAAGACATGTTGAGCGATTAATTTCGTTTGTTGTGGGTTGTTCAAGACAAGTTTGACAGCAAGATTCATCACCTGAAGTTTCACACTTGTCTCTTCATCGCAGAATGATTTCGCCATCTTTCGAAGCACATCTGGCGCTATCTTCGGCACATATTCATTGTACTCTCCAATCAACCATAAGATAGAGGCACGAGCAGCTGGAACTGTGATGAAATCCAATAACTTTGACATTTGTGTGATGATTCGTTGTTTATGTTGCTGCGCGTCTTGAGTTTGTAAAAGTTTCTTTATGACAACAACTGACTCAGCAACAACGTACTCGTTATGGTTGGAAAGTAAATGAACAAGCCCTGATAAGCACGTTTCACTGACTTCTGCAATGGAAGCAGCACATCGTCCGATCGCTTGAATTGTTGCTGCAACAAATTCCTTGTCGTTACTTTGAATGTAAGTTTGAAACTCACGTAGAATCATTCCAATGCTTGCCTCTGTCGCTAAATTAGTCAAAATGTCGAGTTTAAGCAACTTTATGTGCGTTGGATCGTCACTTGTACGAACAAAGAAAGATTTCAAGTAAATCTCAAAAATTGCTTTACGATTTAATGTCATTGAAGCAATGCAAGTTAAGACGATGCTTTGAACTTCACGACGACTTCTCAGCAATCTGATTAAAGCTTTTGCAACGATCTGAACGTCGTTTTTCGGTGCGATGTGGTGGAAAAGTTGTGCAACTGACATCACAACAGCCGAGTTACGACTTTGAAGTAAAGGCTTTGTTTGCCGAAGTAATAAACGATGATCAGGATCTAAAGTGTAAGTTGGCTTTTTATCTGACTTGTCACTGTCAGAACTTCCATCGTAAAAAGCTTTGTCTTCTTGATCACTTGCAACCTCGTCTTCAATGTTGGGATCAATGAATTGAGTTCTCGCATAGCGTGTCAACATGTTGATAATTAAAACTTGTCCCCATTCATCAACATCAACAAGTAAATTGCACAATTTTCGATAATTTTTGTGAATCAATTCAATGCGTTCCGGACAAACCTTAAGGAAGGAAAAATATTCAATGAAGAAAAAGAAATGAAAGAAAACTTACTTCTTCAAATGCCATAACAGCTGATCCCACAACAAGCGTTGTTCTATCTGATAATAACTTTTCAATTACACCCACAAGTTCTTCTTTTTGTTCTGGATCGAGATTATAAAGTTTTGGAATTGCGTGGGCGGCAGTTTTTCTTACATATGGACTCATATCTTGTGCTGAATCTTTGATTGCGAGCATTACAATTGGAATGATAAGGGAAACTCGAATGCTTGAGAGAACACGTAGAGCACTTGCACGAATTAATTGATTTGGATCTTTTAAAGCCCTTTGAAATGTTGAAATTGAAAGAAGAGCCAAATCTTGTTGTTCCTCAGCATAACGAACAAGAAATACATAAACGAGCTTCTTTACTTCTATATTTTTTGATACAACATTCTTCACAACAGCAGGAAATAAATCGGAAGCATCTGTGAAAGACGAAAACTTTCAATTTTTATTCATAACAATGGCGAAGAAATTTCTTTCACCTTTTCCTTTAGCGATCATCCCAATAATTCTTTTCATTGCTTCTAATTTCAAACTGTCTTTATTACTGTCCAACATGTTCTTCAAGTCATCATGCTTCTTATAGTTTTGGAAGATACTTCCAGACGCCGGATCTGTTGAGAGGAATTCAAGTAAAATTTATTTCACTTTGACAACACAGCAAAAAATTATTTTCACTTTAATTCTTACCATAAACATCTGTATCGATTGAATTATTATAAGACGAACGTCCTGGGAGTTGTCCTGTAATAGCTGCTGGACCTGCTAACATTTTTATCTTGAGATTCTTTCAAGTTTTACTAAAATGGTTAAAATTTGATCAAAGTTGATAAAAAAAATTTTGCTATGAAAATATGGCGCACGTGTCTCTATTTACATTGTTTGTGTCTTCGATAAACGTTGAGATTTGTAAAAATCGGTTAAGTATTTCCTTTAGACCGCTTTAAGAAAACTTTTCTCGTTTTAAGTGAAAACGTGTTTATTTAAGCTTAAATAAAGTTTGAAAGTAAAGATAAAGCCATGCCAAATGTTCTCATGGTGGCGGAAAAGCCAAGTTTGGTTAGTTTCTTAATTAAAATTTCAAAATGAAAAATATGAGCAAAAAAAATAATTTTCAATTATTATTTTCTTATTTACATCTTTATGATGCAACATAATAGGCTGCATCATTAGCTAACATCCTGTCGAACGGGAAATCTTCTAGTCGCAAAGGTAAGAATGGCTTGGAAATATTAAAAGTGAATTATTTGCATTCGTGTTTTGTTTACATTTTGACAAAATTTTTGTTGTTGTGTCTGGAAAATTTTATAATGAAAATTTCTCTTTAGGATTTAATGGAGCATGCTCTATTCATGAATGGACCGGGAGTTTTCGTAATCAACCTGCAAAATTTAAATTTACCAGTGTTTGTGGTCATATAAATGGACTTGACTTTACTGGTAAATATAATTCATGGGATCGTTGCGATCCCTGCGATTTATTTGGAGCTCCAACGGAGAAGAAGGAAGCAACTCCAAAATTAAAAATGCCAGCGTTTCTTTCATCAGAAGCGCGTGGATGTGAATATTTAGTATTATGGCTTGATTGCGATAAAGAAGGAGAAAATATTTGCTTCGAAGTGATGGACGCAGTATCTGATCAAATTAGAAACATTCGATCACCATCAGTTACATATCGTGCTCGATTCTCTGCCATTACTGATAAAGACATCAAACATGCTATGAATAATCTCGTTCAACCAAATGAAAACGAAGCAAGATCTGTCGATGCACGACAAGAATTAGATTTGCGTGTAGGTTGCGCATTCACAAGATTCCAAACGAAATTCTTTCAAGGCAAATATGGTGACTTGGATTCATCTCTCATCTCATTTGGACCATGTCAGACACCAACTTTAGGATTTTGTGTTCAACGACACGATGAAATTCAACAATTCAAACCAGAATCATTTTGGTATGTTCAAGTGACAATCGAACCAGAGTTGAAGCTTGATTGGCAGCGTGTGAGAATCTTTGAAAAGGAAATTGCAATGATTTTCTATAACATCGTGAAAGATCAACGTGAAGCTGTTGTAGAACAAGTGACGTCAAAAGATAGTTTCAAGTCACGTCCACTTGCACTTAACACCGTTGAACTTATGCGATGTGCTTCAGCTGGTTTAGGAATTGGTCCACATACAGCAATGCAAATTGCTGAGAAACTTTACACGCAAGGCTACATCAGTTACCCAAGAACTGAGACGACAACTTATCCGGCAAATTTTGATCTTCGTGGTGTTTTAAAACAGTTTGAGAGGTCGAGCGATTATGGTGAAGATGCCAGAAATATTCTCAATGATTTTGTAACTCCAAGGAAAGGAACTGACTGTGGTGATCATCCTCCAATCACACCAATGAAACTTGCTCATAGTAGCGATTTTGATAGTGACACTCGTCGTTTATATGACTTCATTGTTCGTCACTTTATGGGAACATTGTCAAGAGATTTAAAGTATAAAAGCACAACAACGACATTTAACATAAATGGCGAGACATTCACCGCAACATCAAATGTTCTAATCGATGCTGGTTACACAAAAGTCATGACATGGCAAGCATTTGGTAAAAATGAACTTGCGACATTATTTCAAGTTGGTGATCGTGTAAAGATGAAGGAAGTGAAGCTGATTGAATCACAAACAGGTCCACCGTCGTATTTAACTGAATCTGATTTAATTTCATTGATGGAGAAGCATGGAATTGGAACTGACGCATCAATTCCTGTTCACATCAATAATATAACGCAGAGAAATTACGTGACAATCGAATCTGGTCGTAAATTAAAGCCGACAACATTAGGAATTGTTTTAGTTCACGGATATCAAAAGATTGATCCCGAACTTGTGTTACCAACAATGAGATCAGCTGTTGAAAAGCAATTAAATTTAATCGCTCATGGAACTGCCGATTTTCGTGCTGTCACAAAACATGCAATTGAAATATTTCGATTGAAATTTCTTTATTTTGTTAAAAATATTGCAAATATGGATTCACTTTTTGAAGTTTCTTTCTCATCGTTAGCTGAATCTGGTAAAGCTCACTCACGTTGTGGTAAGTGTCGACGTTACATGAAATATATTCAACAAAAGCCAGCACGTTTGCATTGTTCACATTGTGATGAGACTTATGTGTTGCCAATTGGTGGAATTGCGCGTGTTTATCGTGAATTGAAATGTCCTTTGGATGATTTTGAGTTGTTGGCTTGGAGTAGTGGAAACAAAGGTCGATCATTTCCTTTCTGTCCTTATTGCTACAACAATCCACCGTTTAATGACATGTCAAGAGCTTCAGGTTGCAATAATTGTACTCATCCAACATGTCAACATTCGTTGATCAGTCTCGGAGTCTCATCATGCATCGAATGCGAGAAAGGCGTTCTGGTTCTTGATTGCACTTCATCGCCGAAGAATTGGAAGCTTGGATGTAACTCATGCGATTGTATTATTAACATTTTTGATGATGCCGTGAAGGTGAGTGTTGAAGAAGATACTTGTGAGTGTGGATCGCAGCTTATGACGGCAGTTTATAAGCAAGAGAAGACTCCGTTTCCTGATGGAATCACTGAGAAGAAAGGCTGCGTGTTTTGTTCATCGGAGTTTGCTCCATTGGTGAGTTTAAACACTAAAAATGAATTAAATCTTTTTTAATTGTTCCATTTATTAGATTGAGAAACATAAAGCAGTTGAAAATCGTCGCTTGAACTCATCACGAGGAAGAGGAAGAGGCAGAGGACGATCACATCGTGGAAGACCAAAAGTTCCCAAAGACAAAATGTCACAATTAGCAGCTTACTTCGTGTAAGCTTTTTAACTTAAATTGTCAACATTTCCTTGAAGTTATGATCGCAAATAAAAGAAGAATAACAAAAACAGATAAAATTTTGTTTGTTATTGTCATGCGTTGATATCATTAAGAACAGTTTTTGTTGACTTCGCTTGACTACCTGGAAAGATGCCAAACGGAATTTTCCTATGACGACTTTGTCTTGTTTTTATCGCTCTTTATGAATGCATTCAAGGAAATTTTTATATCAAAAATCAAATATTCTACGTTTGGATTGACGTAGTGGAGAAAAACAAAGTCAGCTGAAAGAAGAAGAGATAACAGAATGATTGGATTGAGTTGCTGTTGTTGATAATTTAAAGGACAATCAGATTCATTTATTTCAAGTTCATTTTACACTGGAAGTTTAGAAACAGAAGAAATCCGCTGTTAACTGCCAAATTTCATTTCATGTTTTCAAATTTCAAATGTTAAATTAATTCTCGATAATCTTCGCCTTTTACTAACTTTTCTAAGAAATTTGAAAGCTTTCGTAAAGTTTCTTTTGCACTTCCTCATAAAAAAAATGGAACTGATGAACTTTGACGATCCCAATAAGGTCGAATCTCTCTTCAATTACACTCACACACACTCACGTATACTAGAAGAAATTCTTCAGTATTGATCGAACTATTCTGATGATGGCAGCTGACTTGCTATCGAATTACGTATCAAATGGTAATTTCAAGTAAAGCAGTAAGTCATAAAAGTGTTCAGTGTTCGTACTCACTCTTAAATAATAATAAGAAATAAATTTGTCAGAGATATTTTACCTTATCTTGTTTGCAAATAATAAAACAGAAAACGCTTTTACCTTCCACAAATTAAAATGATTTGTGACATGATTAAGCGCCAGCTTCGAGTGTGCCAACGACAATCAACAAATTCTTTCACATTTAGATAAATTTTAAAATGTATGTTCAACATAAAAACATTTGTAAAACCTACAAAAAAAATAGAAACCAACAAGTTATCAACACCACAGAACAACGACCTTAACTTTGTTTCAATTCATTTTTTGCACAAAGGAAATGGAAGTTGACTTTTATAAAATTTATTTGCATATATGCAAAATTATGATAACAGTTCGAATCATTTGAATTTGTGACATAATCTTAGAAACATCGGCAACTAATAACGATTTGCTTTGTTAATTTTGCAGCTATTCTAGAATAAATTCTGAAGACAGTAGCTTGACAAATTAAATTAAAAAAACAACAAATTCTGACTTTTCTGATATTGTATCAGCTGTTGTTCTCGTTTATTAATAATTTCATGTCGTTGATGTTCAAAATGTTGTCAATCTTTCACAGTTACAAGCATCAAATATCGTCATAAATGTTATCACAATTATTGAAACCCAAAATGACTTTATCACTAATTGCAAGGAATTGGCAACAAAGACTATCAAAACATGATCTGGAAATGTTATTCAATTAATTCTCATTCAGAATGAGTCATTCTTAATCATTCTGTCAGTAACACGTGCTGTTAAATGATAAATTGCAATCGATGACAACATAAAACTTATGTTGGTTTATGTTCGACGGTCACACTAAATGTTATTGAACTGAAAATGATTTAATGATCACTTCTCAATGCTATAAGGTTAACTCTCAACATATTTCTCTTTTCCAAGTGTTTCTTAGTTCATTGAGTAACTGAATACTCAATTTTATATTTGTACTGATCAAGTACCAAACATGAGATACGAAACGGCCAAAACACTACATCAACATCTTTAGTGAATTTTTCACATTTTATTTTTTATTTTTCTTTGTTTTACTTCCCTCACTCATTATCTTGTTGTTCGTTCAGGTGGTTAGACGTGTCGTTTGAGTATCTAATTTGAATTTCATTCACAAATTTGAGCAATAAATAAAAAAACAATTAAGTCAGAAAAGAAAGCAAAACAAAAATTGTGTCAAAAGATTTAACAAATGATTAAAAAAGATCAGATTTAGAAGGTAAAAATGTTTCGAAATTTAAAAGATGACGAAGGTGGATTTGTCCATGGCTTTGTCAATGGAGGGTTGGAAATTAATGAAGAAAATGGGAAAGTACAAAATTCAAACGGTTTCAAGTCGAATGGAAGTTCAGTGACAAGAATTGAAATAACACGATCGCCATACGATCAAAAAACGCTTAACAGTGAAATGTCATACAAAAAACCGGCATCAAAGTCAAGTAAGTTGTCGAAATTATTTCCTGTAATGTTCAACGAAAGAGCAAGGCAAGAAATGTCACTTAGAGATCAAGGATAAAATTTATTGTGACTCGAAAGCAACAACAATTCGTAGTGATGTTGTTATCACTTTGAGAAAAGATAAAAAAAAATTTTACGATATAATTAATCATCTGGTTTTTATTTACTTAACACTTTTATCATTCTTGATCTACATAAATTTAACGTTTGCAACTTTTGCAGTTTTATCATCACATTTTGAGAAATGTTCAAAAGATTCAGCAAAGTCGTGTTTTTTTGGAACATTTCCCATCATATCTTGGCTTTCCTCGTACAAGAAAAGCGACTTTGTTGGAGATTTAATAAGCGGAATAACTGTTGCTGTTATGCATATACCTCAAGGAATGGGCTATGCTCTACTTGCTAATCTACCACCAATTGTTGGCATTTACATGGCTTTCTTTCCTGTTCTTCTTTATATTGTCTTTGGAACTTCAAGGCATAATTCAATGGGTAATTACAAATTAGTATCTTTTATTGTGTAAATTGATGGACGTAATTACATCGATGACCTTTAACAGGAACATTTGCTGTTGTTTCAATCATGGTCGGAAGAGTTGTAAATAAATATTCCACCATACAACCTGCAATATCGAACGCAACTGATACAGAGTTTTATGAATCGCCGGCGATTTATTCTCCAGTTGAAGTTGCTACGTTAGTGTGTTTCATCGTTGGAGTCATTCAAGTAAATTTTAATGTCACCTCGAACTTTAAAATTTCATGAATATCTTTTTAGCTTCTGATGTACATTTTTCGTCTTGGAATTCTTTCATTTTTATTGTCAGAGTGTTTAGTTAGTGGATTTACAACCGGAGCTGCAATTCATGTCCTAACATCGCAAGTTAAAGATCTTTTAGGACTTGAACTGCCACGTGTTACAGGAAATTTTAAACTGATAAAGGTAAGAATGACACGATTGTTAAGAAACTAAACTTTTATGAAAACTTTTTAGACTTACATTGAAATCTTCAACGCTATAAGCAGCACAAATCAAGTTGCAATTTTAATGTCAGCGATTACCATAGCGATACTTCTTTTCAACAATGAATATCTCAAGCCGAAAGTATCCAAAATATCCAAAGTTCCTATCCCGATTGAGTTGATTGTCGTGATTGGCGGTGTTTTGTTATCAAAATATTTGAAGGTGAAGGAAACGTGGGACATTGTACCAGTTGGAGAAATTCCTGTCGGTCTTCCTGAAGTTGTCGTTCCAAAATTTAATCTTTTATCAGAATTGATTGTCGATTCATTTGCCATTGCATTTGTTTCTTATTCGGTGACAGTTTCAATGGCTTTGATTTTCGGACAGAAGTTAAATTATGAAATTAATTTCAATCAAGAATTGTTAGCGATGGTGAGTCGTTTGACTTCTTGAGACATGAAAATTTCTGTAAAAATTTTCTTATTGAAGGGAATTGGAAACATTTTTGGATCGTTCTTTTCATGTATGCCTTTCTCAGCATCATTGTCACGATCTTTAATTCAACAATCTGTTGGTGGAAAAACGCAATTAACTTCACTTTTTTCTTGCATCCTTTTGTTGTTTGTTTTACTTTGGATTGGACCATTTTTTGAAGTTCTTCCAAGGGTAAGAAAATATTTTCAATTCATGAAAATTAATTAAAACACTGAACACAAATACCGAACACTTTTATAACTTATTACTTTAACTAAGAATTACCTTATTTATTTATGCGCATTTCGATAGCACATCGGCTATCATCATCAGAATCTCGATTCGTACTAAGGATTATATCTCAGTACACGTCAATGTGTTAGTGCAAGTTTAAAAAGACTTGACTTTATCGGGGGATCGTCAATGTTCGTCAGTTCCGTTCCATTTTCTATGTACAAACTTTAACAAGCGTCCAATTGTCTCTCGTCTCTTACTTCTTTGATTATCTTGCCGTCAGCCATTTCATGTGTTTCATCAATGCAATGCATGGCCATAGCAGATTTTTTTCTTTGTCCTTTCCTGAAGTACCTATCTCTTATGTTCTTTGAATCGATCGCTGAATCTTCTACAAGTTTGTCCAATATATTTGCTTGGACAATTGGCACAGCTGATTTCATAGACTCCAGGTTTTTCATTCATTGGGATCTTGTCTTTGGAGCTTCCAAGTAAGTGTTTTAAGTTTCCATTCGTTGTGAAATAAGGATTGATGTTGTGCTTTTTCATGTACTGAGATATAATCCTTAGTACGAATCGAGATTCTGATGATGATAGCCGATGTGCTATCGAAATGCGCATAAATAAATAAGGTAATTCTTAGTTAAAGTAATAAGTTATAAAAGTGTTCGGTATTCGTGTTCAGTGTTTTAATTAGTGATACTTATTACGTGTTTCAAAACAATTAAAATATATCATGAAAATTACTTTAAAATTATTTTTTAGTGCATTTTGGCATCGGTTGTAGTCGTTGCACTCAAAGGAATGTTAATGCAGTTCACTGAATTCCCTCGATTCAAAAAGAAAAGCAAAATGGATGCATTTGTGTGGATTGCAACACTGCTTGCCGTTGTCATTATTTCTATTGACATTGGACTGTTAATTGGAATTATTTTAAGCATTTCATGCATTTTCTATAACAGTTTGAAAGCTGACATGTTCATTCTCGGACGAATACCAAACACCGACTTCTTCTTGGATATAAATAGATTTGAGAAAGCAAAAGAGATTCCCGACGTTAAAATAATTAATTATAGAGGAAGTATCAATTTTGCAACAAAAGCTTCTTTCAAAAATCGATTGTGCAATGAGTTGAAAATTAATTTGTTGAAAGAATTGAAATATGCTGGAAAAGTGACTGGAAAATCTTTCATTTCTAATCTCACATTCAAACATCTTGTGTTAGATTTTAGTGCTTTGAGTTACATCGATTCATCTTCAATCACAATGATATCAAATTTAGTTAAAAGTTTTCAAAAATTAGATGTCAAAATTAGCATTACTGGATGTTCAAGCTCAATTTTTGAAGTTTTGATAAGAAATGAATTTATTTACATGGATGTTTTATTCCCAACAATTCAAGATGCCATTTATTCGTAATGTTTCACATTTGTTTAATTATACTATTAAACAGTAGTTTAAAGTAAAAGTTCAAATTTTGTTTCTCCTTTGTAAATATTACTAAATTGTTAATTAATAGCTACGAAATAGTTTCAAATTTAGAATAACTTTCATTAATTAATCACAGAATTATTCTACTCATATTCCTACATTGTTAATTGATTAAAATTTAAATGTATGTGAAAAATATTAAAAACTTTCAATTGAGAACAATATGTGACGAAAGAAAACTTATTTACAACTCAAGTGATTAATAAAATTTTAATTAGATTTCTATTGAAACAATTTTTACGTTTATTCATTATCAGATTCTTACAAATTATTTCAGCTTAAACATTTAATATTGACGTAAATTATGAATGATATAATTAATCACGTCATATTAATAAACACATTTAACATTTAATAGATTGATGACGATGCTCAATTATTCATACAATTATTAAATGGAATTAATTTAGATAACACCTTTGCGTGACCAATTTTCGTATAAATCCAAATATTGTGTGCATGTGCAACTAAACATTAAATTGAAAGTTTAACTGTTAAGGTCAACAAGTAAAATATTCAGACACAATAACTGCAAATTGAGTTAAACTGGAAAAATATTACAACTGTTTCGATGCAAAAGCTTAAATACTGAAAATATGAGATTTTTCATATGAATAACAAAGTATTTAATTAATGAATTGTTAAAGTCTCATACCCCAATAAAAATACTTTTGTTGATGATGAGAAAATTTCCAATTGAAAAGGTTACACGATAATCATCCGCTTGTTGAATTATTAAAAATTTTGAAGTTGATTTCATTTCGCAATTCGCAATTTTTTGTGCTAATTTAATGACGATTTTGTCAGAAATATTCTCAATCTTTGTTCCATAAGCGCATAGAAGATAAACTAACGTAATGCTGGTCATAAACCAGAAGAAAATTGAAACTATAAAAGAGAATTTTAAAATATTTCAAATCATTTTATTGTTGTTGATGAAAACTTACTTGTTCTAGGTGACATCATCGATTTATCATTTTGCTCGCTGTCTATTACAGTATAAAGAACGTAATGCACATCATGAGTATTTTGAATTAGAAATGTAACTGCAGAAAAGGTATAAAACGATAAACTGAACTTCTTTGTTGATATAAAATGTCTGTAAAGTGAAGTTCATACTTACCAAAGTATGCTGAAACATTGAGCGAGTAAATATCTCGAATTTCATCAAAAATGTCACGAATTATTTTCAAAAGTTGTGAAACAATGTCAATATTTGGATTAGTAGTGAAATTTGAAGCATTTAATATTTCATTGTGAATGAGCTTCATGCGATGGAAAATGTTTAAAAGGAGAAGAGAATTAAAAAAAGCAGAGAAATTAAAAATAGCAAATACAAGATGATTAAAAAACATGATAATGGATTGTTCTACCGATAAAACAGAATCCAAAGTTTTGAAAGCCGCTGCGAGAGAAGCGATGGGAAAAAGAATCAAATATATGCTAAACTTATTTTTTTGAAGCTTCTTCTTGTCAACAGAAGCTCCAAAGAATATTTTACAAATCTCGTCAAACAGTTGAAGAGTTTTAAAAATCTTTACAACTCTTTTTTCTCTTGTGAGAGTTGTGAAAAAGATTGTAATAGCAATAACATAACCGGAAGCTAAGCACATGTATCTAAGAACTGTTGAAAGGGATTTATCGTCTTGAGAGAAAAGTTTTTCTGTTAAAGAACAAATAAAATAAAAAGAACTTGCAATAATTGAAAACATGTAAATAATAAACAATAAAGAACTTCCACAACTCTTTCGATCTGATGTATCAACACCCAACAACTTGTTGAAAAGAAGAAAAATCTTGTCAAAACTTTGATTTAAATTTAAAAACTTTTTCATGACTTAAGGCTTTGGAAATGTCTACAAATCTGATGAATAATTTTTGTTGGTTCTTTCAAGCATTGCGCATTTATTTTAGAATATTTTCAGAATCATTTTTCATTCTTCCATCGATAATATGAACATAAAATAAATTAACATATCAAAAGGTTATCAGATTGACGTTCATTCTACGTCATTTTGTCCTTTTTATGATTGTTTGGCTAATGATTGAGAATAAATTTAAATATTGATAGAACATTTTCATTTTCGGAACTTGAGAACAGGAATTGGAATATCTGAAGACACGTTGATGATAACAAATCTATAAATCCGGTTATGTTTCGCATTTATTAAAAATCGTTTTTAAAAATTTTTAGGAGAATGAAGGCCAAGTGAATTGAATATTAATTTTGAATTAGAGATCGCGTTTTCGCATATTGTTGACAAAAGTCATTATAGGTCAACAAAACTTCTTATTGCAAGCACTGTTTGTTCATTTATAAGAATCGTCATATTAAGGCACGTAAAGTGTCAAAGAAATACGGAAGACTTTTGCTTTCGCGTGTATTATTTGCAAACTTTAATATCTGAGAAACAGTCGTTCACTTCGAACGATGAATATAAATTAATCCAGAAAAGTAATTTAAATAAATGTCCACTGAATGTTTAGAAAACTTTACACGCAACTTCCACGATTTCGGTAATGTTGTTTTTACGCTGAGCATGATTATTGACTAATTTAGTGCGAGCACTTCATTCAAATAGTTCAAGATTCTCTTAATTTTATTTACTTCATTCTTCTGAGCTTATTAATAGATTTTAAAAAGCAGAATAATAAATGACTTAGCAGCTTTAAAAAAGAAGACATAAAGACACACAAAAATTGAAATTGACATAAAAAGAAATATAAAATTGAGTTAGTCAGCGCAAGCTTAACATAAGTTATTTAAATAGTCTTGAAATATCCAAATTTAATGTTAAAAATTAATCAATGAAGTGCTTTGTTAGTCATTTACGTCATAAGCAAATGCTGCTGCGTTACACAAAGTTTGCTTTTAGCATCTTAAACTATTCTCAAATATTAGTTTTATGATTGAAATTTTATTGATCTTGCACACTTAGAATTTGTTATCAATGATATTCACACAGAAAGAGAATCTAATAAAATATTTGCAAAGTGTGTTCGATACATTAAAATCCTTCTATTAAAATGCGGAACTTGCCTGTCTCTGATTGTTCATTGACTGTCAGTTAAACATTGTCGCAGGATGAATAAATTTAAAATTGTCATCGCACCTTCAAGCGATAAACTCATTTGTTGTCAGTTATTTATATCGAAGCATAACAATCAATGTGATGGTAAGTAACTGTGCTGTGGTAAATGGTCATTATTTAATTACATTGACTCAGCAGTTTGAATCATCTTCACACGTGTAGTAGCGCCTGGAGCAAAAATAAGGAAACAGAAATAAATTTCGATTTGTCAGTATGAAAAAGCAGGATTTATGTTTTAAAATACTAAAATAAATATTACTAATCTTTATTGTAATCAAGTAAGAACCATTCAAACAATTTTCAAAAGGTTCTTAAGAATCTTTAGAATCTTCTTGTAAATCATAAATCAGTCCCAAACAAAAGTTTGAAGGCGTCATAAAACTATCATTAACTTTTTTTTTGTCACTTAAATTAAGAAAAATGAGGGAAGTGAATTAAAAAATGAATAAATCAGTCCTTGAACTCCTGGAACATCTTCTGTAAATATTTATTGAATTAATGATGATATTCAAGCTAATGAACTGTAAAGACCTTGACTTTGCACCTTGCTTTGAACACGGTTCGATGAATCAGCTGTTTTTTGTTGTCATTAAAAATGGATATTGTGGTGAGGGACATCTAAACACTGAGAATTCTTCTTGCCATGCTCTTAATCTTTGGTTTTCTGGCGTCAACATTGAGTTCCAATAAGAATTTGCTTCATAAGTAAGAAAAGAAAAGAACAGTTAACAATCATCGACAATAATAAATCAATCATAAAAATTGAGTTCATTTACCTGCCCTCGCATGCCCGAGTTGACTTAAATGAAAACAATCTTTGGACATGTATTTGTATTGAGTGACACCATAAGCATCTTTTGGGATGTCAGTTTCAGAAAATAATGGATGAAAGTTTACCTCGAAATCCTGGTTAAATTATTCATTAATTCAATTGAATTTATTTGCATATTTAAATAGCTTACACTTCTATCGTGAAATTCTGGTAACTTTGTGATTTTCTCAACAAGTTTCATCCATCTATGAATAAATTTTATACGAGCCTCGATAATAAGAATATTTATCACCGATTAATTTCAATTAACAAACCTTTTAATCGTTTGCGCTGATCTGTCACGGTTCTTACGATGTGTAAGACTGAAGAAGCATGGACATTCCACATAATTTAAAGTTTTACACTCAGCGGGTTTGTTTGTAAAGCGCTCAAGAATTGTAACATCTGGTGGAAGTAAAACATTGACCATCGTTCTGGGCAAATTTTCACGAATAATTCTCAAAGCAAGCGTCAATTCTCGACCAGCCTTTTCAAGAACTTTATCTTGGTTTTGATGATAGCAAATGTCAAGGCAAAAATCATTTCCACCGATCATGTATGTAACCAACTTCCAATGATTTTTCATATCTACATGTGGATCACTTCGCATTCTTTTCACTAAATTTCTAGCTTGATGAACAGTATCACTAATTTGAGCCTGTTAATTGATAATTATTAATTCAAATGAAGTTCAAGAAATAAGAAAATTAACCAACCCCAGCTTCAGCAACATTAAATCGAGAAGATTTGTGTGTTGAACTTGATGTGCCGGCTGTTGAAAATCCATAAAGATTTGGATTGAATTCTTTTAAAATATTTGGGAGTGTTAGGAAATTTCTCCAGGTTTTATGACCACCAATGGACCAAGATACACCTCGTCCCTCAATTAATACTTGCAAGACATCGAGAGCAAATGCACCATTTGCAGCAGTCAATGAGTCGCCAATCGCTCCGACTATATCTATGTCACCAGGTCGTAACATATGAACAGACTTCGGAACGACTTTGCTTCTGGCACCCGGGCCATGAACATCACAAAAAAACCGCGTGTTGTTTGAAAACTGTCGTTGAACTTTATCACGTTTAATATTTAATTCTAAGCCCCGTTGAAATGTTCTTGGCTGAACAAACATTGTTAAAGCATCTCGACCAAGTCGAAAAAGCGGCTCGAACTTACGATTATATGAATTTCCTTTGAAATGTGATTCTACATAAAAATTTCTCAGCATCATAAAAATTATAATTACAACTTGGAACTTCATTTTCTGTTGGAGATTATTCTTTTGTCTCAACCAAAATTAAAATTTCCAAGCGACTTCTATTTGCGCGATGCTTCGTCTCCGATAGAACAATATCAACTGAAGTAGAAGATCTTACCATAATTCTAGATTGGCAAGAAAACACACGAACACAACCGTAAATGCATTTTGTTCTACGCGTTACGCTAGCACGTTGAACATCTTCCGTATTTTACAGTAAAACATATGACGAGACAATACGAGACGAGACGAGCCTCGCACCTTAATTCGTGCAAGTGAGACAAAAATTTTTTTGTTTTCTTTCTGATCTACATTTAAATTTCCTTCGATGTCTTTTGGCTCATATTCCAAGTTCATGATCAACTAGTAAAAACGTAAGAATGAAAATGATAAACCCGTTTGATGAATGAATGCATAAATGCTTTTGAAAAACGCAATTTTAATTTAAATGTCAATTAAGTGGATACTTAGTAAGGCACTTAGTGACAATGTTAACAAAGTAAAACAAACTGTTATAAGCGAAGTGCCCATTACAAGTCAACACAGCATAAGATAATCATTGAAAATTTACGTATTTAAATATTGACAGCAATTAATTTACACGTTTCACAGATTTTAATTTCATCTCTTATTGGAGTTTATTTTAAGCTTTTCATTGAACAGAATGATTAAAATTGTCTTGAATGATTAAAGTTTGTAAAATATAGATCTACATTGGATAATGATGAAATGGCAGCACTTGCTGGTGTTGCAATGGTGGATGACAACGATTTTCATGATTAATTAACTCTGATCGTTTCATAAATCCTTTACCACAGTTTGGTTGATTGCATTTGTAGGGTCGTTCACCAGTCTGTTGGAAGATTTAATAAACATTAGAATGCTATAATGCAAAAATCAAACTCACATGTCCCCATATATGTCGTCGGAGATCAGTTTGATGAATAAAAGTTTGAGGGCAAATATGGCATGCATGAGGCCGCTCCCCTGTAATTCAATTAAAATTCAATTAAATTAAAGATGAATTAATTTATTGCATAGTTCACCCGTATGAATCCTTGTATGTATTTGAAGCTTTTGTTTGTCCATGAATCCTTTTCCGCATCTATAAAATGATATTAGAAATATTTTCATATTCACTTATGGCATTTAGCAGTATTTACTTACATCTCGCATTTAAAGTCACGGATGTTTGTGTGCTTACTCTAGAAATTTCACAATAAAATAAAATATTTTAAATTCTAATTTACAATTATTTACCTTGATGTGACATTTTAGCTCCCATTTGCCTTTGTAAACAACACCCGGGCATTGTTTACATGGAAAACTGTTGAAGTGAGAAAAATTTAAATGATACAATAAAGTTTCGTTGATTGAAAATCTTACGTCGTCTTCAGCACGTGACGTTGCTGAATGTGCCAAGTACATCCACCTTTAGTTTTGAATTTTCTAAATCATAAAAGAATTTAAAAGATTTTCATAATTTTTATTTTTACTAGGTGAGAAAAAAATGTTTAACCTTGGACAAAGATCACAATACCAGTAATCGTCAGCAGTCATCACTTTATGAGACCGCATATGAGGTTTAAGTAATCCACGATTTTTAAGAATCTTTCCACAAACTTCACATGGTGTTGGCTGATCTGGTCTGTAAATGATATTTTATAACTTCATTCAATTTAGCAAACATTTTGAATATTTATTTACGTTTTCTTTTCAACAAAGTTTCGCAAGTGTCTGACCCTTATGTGTCTGATGAGATAATATTTGATGAGAAACGTTGAGCCGCAATGATCACAAATGAATCGATCTTTGATGTCAACAAATTCATGTTTGACTCTTACATGCTTTTGAAGACTTCCACGGGTTGTGAAAAATTGTTTGCAAAGCTAAATAAGATTTTGAGTTATTCTTTAAATTTTATTAATGTGTTCGTAACTTGCTTACCTCGCAATAAAGCGAGACATCTGCTTTACTAAAAATTGTATCAAACTTTTTCTTAGAATCATTTCTACCTTTCTGATGCTTTTTTCCATGAATCCTAGCAATATGACGATTTAAATAAATTTTAAGCTTAAAATAACGATTACAATATTTGCATTTTTCCATTTCTGATTCTCTCATTTCCCCATGCACTGTTTTCATATGATTTTGGTGGCTATTAACACTTGTGAAAGATTTCAAGCAAAGTCTACATCTTACTACTCCTGATGTAGTTCCAAACTCTTCGAAATCATAGACATTTATATGTTTTGATTTTTTCTTTCGTTCTGTTATCTCATCATATAGGAAAAAGGTATTTCTTGATGAAAAAACATCAAAGGAACTTTCCATCACAGTTGTTGCTTGGGGGTTACTGACGATAGCGTCAATATTTTGCATAAACTCATAATTAGGATCATCTTCATAAGGTTCACATTTAATTTTCTCTGTGTTCAGTTCATCATTTTCAAGCTTAATATGAACCTCAGGCTCAAATTGTTTATCGAATTCTTCTTTGTTTTCCAATGCTTTTGACTTTTTAAAATATTTTTCAGCTTTAATAGCCTTGTTGCGAAAATGAACTGCTTCATGTAGCTCCCTCAGGCATTCAGCACAAATCAATGGTGGAATACTGTTTTCAATCGTTTTTACAATCTAAACACAAGGTTTAATTCATAAAAATATTCTTTTTAAAGTAAATAAAATTTTCGCACCTTGACACCAGAACATAAAAATATTTTAAATGCAATTTCACTGTTTGTTTCAAATATTGGAATATGTTCACCAGCTCCCTCAGGAAATAAGCATATTCTACAAAGTCTTAAACTATTGTTCATGTTAACAAAATTATTTAATATCTTAATTTTTTAAGGAAGAGTATTAGGATTTGTTTACTATTTTGATTATTAATAAAAAAGTCTCCGAAAATTTGGTCATCTTGGTGGATTGAGACAATTTTAAAATATAACATAGTCACCGCTATTTCTCAATAAAATTTTTTAAACTCTGCAAGCTTTCATCGATAATATCAAATTTCACATCATTTTGAGAATAGCGTCAATACCAATACTGGATGAAGTTGGTGAAGAACGTAGAACTTTAATGTCATGATTATTATATCAGTTCGTTATTTTCAAACATTTTTCTTAGAAGACAAAAATATTATTTTTGGAGACTTCTGATCAAAATATAAACAAATTGACAAAAACAAAACTTATTTTCAGGTGCAACTTTATTGAAATGGAAAGCAATAAACGAATATGCCAGATTTGTTTAGAAAAAGAAAAAAGACAGAAATTCTTACCAATTTTCAATGATAGAAGTGAAGTAGCTGTACTTATTTTTCTCGTTTCGGGTGTTGAGGTAACTTTTCAACTTTTGATATGTACTCGCTTTCAATATTAATACTTTTACAATATGACACTTATCATTACATGGAAGGTCCCAGAAAACATTGAAAATCCTCCAGTCATCTGTCATAAATGTGTAAAGGATTTAAATCATGCTGACGTCTTTCGTAAAAAGTGCATCAAAGCTGATGAATATTTTCGTTTTTCTGTCGTCTCTGAAAAGAATACAATTGAAGAAATTTATGGATTAATTAACAATGAACATAAACATTTAGATGTCATTCAATTTGATGACAGTAGTGAGGATACGAGTAAAAAGGCTAAGCTTGACAATTACCTATGGAACGGAAAAGATCGTCAATTAAAGAGAAAAATTAGAAATTTCTGTTCGAAATGTTTTAAATCATTTAGTGATAGAAATTATTTAAAGAAACACGAGTACTTTCGACATTCACAAATATCAATTGACGATCTTTTTATGTGCGATTATTGTGGACATCGATCTAAAACAAAACAACTGATTAGAAATCATATAATTACAGTACATCCTACAAAGTAATAAAACATTCATTAAAGGTATCTTTAAATAAATAAAATAAATTTCATTGTTAAGACCAAGAGAAAAATTCATCTGTGGAGTATGTGGAAAAATGCTAAGTACAAAAGGAAACCTCAATGGACATGAAAAAACGCATATTGAAGTGGATCCTTCCAATTATATCAAATGTCCTATTTGCTACAAAGCCTTTCGCGAAAAAAGATTTATGATCGAACATAAAAAATTGGTACATGAAAAATCAAAAGCGTGGGTGATCCTCAAAAGTCTAAACATTTACTAGCATTTTTAAGGTTTCATATTTCAGGTTTCAATGTTTACATTGCTCTCATGTATCTACTTGCAAAGGAGCCTACAATAAACATTTTAAATCAGTTCACTTGAAATTAAAAGATTTCGTTTGTCTTAATTGTGAATGTAAATTTAGCACGAACAGTCAATTGGTAAATCCAATATTTCATTTTAAGATTAAATTATTTATTACACATTTTTTTCTTTTTATCAAGACTCGACATATCAGAATACATACCGGAGAGCGACCCTACAGTTGTCAGCATTGTATTAAACTCTTCCGACTCAGTAGTCATAGAAAAAGGCATGAAGATATTTGTCCTAAAAGATTTGACGCAGAAAAAACATAAAAAAATTGGTTTTATTTTAATTTTAAAATAATGTAAGATACAAACATATACCTATCTATTTTGCGAAAGAGACTCAATAATATAATCATAGGATAAAACTACAAGAACAACGTGTTTAAATACATTTCAGTAATAAAAGCTTTGGGCTTTCCGAAAAATATAAGACGAATGATAGAATTTACATCTTTTCACGCAAATTGACAGCATTAACTAACGAGTGTTAAAATATCAGAAGAAATATTTGTTGAAATAAAACTTTAGGTATCTAAGTTTACATTCATAAATATTTTATCGTTTTATTTTTAAATTTGAAAATCTGAATTTTCTTCAAGTTGTAAGGTTTCAAAAAACTTCAAGATGGAAGGTTTTTCTAACATTTATGTGCAGTGCTAAAGTAGCTCAAAAGTCACTTAGTTTATTTCCTTTCTTTAATTTTGGTTTAATTTCTGAATTTGTCACAAAAAATGGATCATACCTATCATCTCCTTTCACTTGATGACACTCGTAAAAAGGTTTATAATTGCGAAATATGGTGCGAAGTCAACCATACTTATGATCAAAAGGTTTCAAATGTTGACATTTTTATTGGTGATTCATCTAATCATGTTTCTCGCGGGTGAGTAAAATTTATTTCATTTATCATCTATAACATGTTATATATGTGATGACGGATTATTGTTAATACTGTTAACATTAATATTAGAAGTCACACTTTAATAGGTTTTCTAAAAAAAATCATGTTTTTGCTGTTTTCTTCAGAAAGCTATCATTGAGAAAATGTTATGGTTATCATCCCTTTGCCACCAAACTGGCTGTTACTATAACAATCGATCCTCCTAAGGACTCCACAAATCGTTTAATCAAATTTGTGGTTAGAGCAAAATGTAATACAAACCTTAAGGAATACATATTTGCAAAAAATTACTTTAAATATCAAAATGCAATAAACGAGGGCAAGCAAGATTTTGCGATTCTCTATGCCAGCTCTTCATCATTTTTGAAAATAGATGCAAAGGTAGGTAATTTTTATTATTTAATAGCATAAAATTTACTAAACCTTTTTAATCTTCAGTTTACAGTTATTGAGGAGAGATCGAATCACATTTATGAGCCTCAAGAAGATCTTCAGGATGAAAATAAAGATCAAACCTTCTCACGCCTTGCAGAATTCTTTTTGAACGAAAAGTTTTCGGATTTCTCATTCACAGTTGGAGAAACAATATTTCCAGTTCATAAATTGATTCTTTCAAGTCGCAGTCCTGTTTTTAAAAGAATGTTTGCAGGAAATTTCAAGGAAAGCACTTCAAGTTCTCAAGAAGTTTCTGATGTCAGTGCTCAAGTTTTTGGTGAAATGCTTCATTTCATGTACAAGTCTAAAATTAATAATTTGGAGCATGCGGAAGATTTGCTTGCAATTGCAGATCGATATCAGATTGATGACTTGAAAGCAATTATTGAAAATCATTTGTTCCATAAACTTGAAGATGACAATGCTCACCGATTCTTTCAGTTGGCACATCGTCACAACTGCTGCAAGGAGTTTAAAAAAGAATGTTTTAAAGTTTTAAAAAGGTAAGAAATCGAGATTATTTCAATTAGTGAACATATTTATTTATGATTTATTTTGTTAAACAGATTATTTAACAGATTATTTAAAGACTTGAATTTTTCATTAACTGAAGAATTTTTGGACCAACCAGAAAAAGTTCGGGAAATTGTTGATGCTAAAGCTCATCTTGACAATCTACTCAAAAGAGCATCTACTGGTGAAAATTCAGTTGGTGACGACTTTGTAGCATCACCATTAAAAAAGAAAAGTCGAGCTTCTAAATCAAATTGAAATTAAAACAAAATTAAAATAAACTGTTTTCAATTTTATTAAACTTATTACTAATCAACATACTTCAAATATGTATCAAACTTTTCCAAAATCAGACAAGCAACGAAGTAAGTCTTGATAAGAAATCAAACAATCCTTTAAATTTAGTAGAAATGCATGAAATGTTGCAATAAAAATATTTCATTAAAACTCAGGAATTCTTAGCAACAAATACCTATATACCTACTTAGAAATTCAAATTGTCATGATTTTTCTGAAACTTTAATTAAAACCAACCATGAAGATATTTACAGTGTTTGTAAGCAAATATTTTCAAAATTAAAGAATTTCTAATAAAACTTTTATTGAAATTTTTAAAATTTAATTTTTTATTGGAATTTTTTTTTATTTGACTTGGCAATCATCAAATCCAATCGGTTTGATATCTGCTTGAGCTTCTCAATGGAAGCGCTATAAGAAAGAATTTTTACATTAATATCAGATAAGAAGATTGTCAATTAGATACTTACATGTAAGTCAGACTCTTCTTGTCAAGCTGACCCTCCAAGATCGACGTTTTCACCAGAGTTGGGATTTGACTGACTGACTGACAGATATTGACTTGTCACTCAGTCAGTCAAACGACTTGAGCGGAACATTTATATGAACGTGTCCCAACAAGCGAATATTTTTGTTCGCGATTTTGACTGACTGACTGACTGACTGAAAGACATTGACATGTCAGTCAGTCAGTCAATCGAGTTGAACGGAACATTTGCCCATCTCTGGTTTTCACGAAAATTAATAAACGAGTATTGAAATATCAGAACAAATGTTTGCTGAAATAAAACTTTTATCTAAGTTTACATTCATAAATATTTTAACGTTTTATTTTTAAATTCGAAAATCTGAATTTCTTCAAGTTGTAAGGTTTCAAGTTTTTCTAACATAAACTGTGTGCCGTGTTAAACGAGCTCAAAAGTCACTTAAATAGTTTTGTCCCTTTTCTAATTTTGGTTTCATTTCTGAATTTTTCACAAAAAATGGATGATACCTACTATCTACTTTCGCTTGATGACTCTTGCAAAAAAGTCTATGATGTCGATGCATCTTTTGTATTTAATGAAGATTCAGATGAATATGTATGTTTCAAAAATCAAATGACATTTTTATTGGTGATGCAAATAATCATGTAACTCGTGGGTAAGTAAAATTTATTTAATTCATCATCTGTAATATGTTATGTTTGTGATGACGGATTATTATTAATATTTGTTAACATTAATATTAGAAGTCACACTTTGATAGGTTTTCTAAAAAAAAATCCTATTTTTGCTTCATTTTTCAGAAAAATATCTTTAAGAAGTTATCCATGCACCAACGAAGTAAGTTTCACTCTGACAATGGATCCTCCTAAGGATTCTGTAAACCGTTTGATAAAATTTGAGGTTAGAGCAAAATCTCAACAACAAGGTTTTAAGGAATTTAAATTTGGAAAAAATTACTTTAAATTTCAAAATGCAATAACCGAATTCAAAACAGATTTTGCCATTTTCAATTCCGGCGATTCATCAGTTTTGGAAATAAATGCAAAGGTATTCATATTATTTAATAGCATAAAAAAATTACTAAACCTTTCTTACAGATTACAGTTCTTGAGGACAGATCGAATAACATTTATGAGCCTCAAGAAGATCATCAGGATGAAAATGAAGATCAAACCTTCTAGCGCATTGCAAAATTTAATTTGAATGACAAGTTTTCAGACTTCTCATTCACAGTAGGAGAAACAATATTTCCAGTTCATAGAGTGATCCTTTCATGTCGCAGTCCTGTTTTTGAAATAATGTTTGCAGGAAATTTTAAGGAAAACACTTCACAGCTGCAGCAAGGAGTTTAAAAACGAATGTTTTGAGGTTTTAAAAAGGTAAGAAATCGAGATTATTTGAATTACTTAAAATGATCTCTGAATGTAGGTCGAATTGATGAGTGGTTCGAGAATTCATTGGAAATTAATAATTCTTCACGTTGATGATTTAATAGATTTCTTCGATCTGGATCAACTGGTTGGTTGAAACGACTTGTGGGCTTAAAGATTATGCCAGTGTTTTCTTATGATTACCAGTGTAGTTGTCAGTTAGTCAGAAGGGTTAGAGAGGGTTATTTTGCTCCCTGTGTTGCTTTTGCGCTATAATTATTAGGTATATATTTTTTGGTAGCACATTGGTAACGCAGGAAGCACGATAACCGTCTCTGGCTCCCACCCCATTTCCAATTAATGTTATCAATTTTCAAAGTGTGACTTATTATTTGTTCTCTCATCTTGGAAAAATGTGAAAGTGTTCCTTGTCTCGGGGGGGTTATTGCTGTAAAGAAACTTTTTCTTTTAACTAAATTTTTATTTAAACAATTGTACCGAAATGCTTTCTGTGTTGATAATGCAAATTGTCAAAGGTATTTTTAAATTCAAAAATCTGAATTTTCTTCAAGTTTCTTTTTTTTCACAGGTGATAGCAGAGTTGGGATTTGACTGACTGACTGACAGACATTGACTTGTCAGTCAGTCAGTCAAACGACTTGAGCGGAACATTTGTATGAACGCTTCCCAACATAAGAACATTTTTGTTTGGGATTTTGACTGACTGACTGACTGACTGACAGACATTGACATGTCAGTCAGTCAGTCAATCGAGTTGAGCGTGCAATTTGCCCATCTCTGATGTTATGTAATGACTATTTACACTTAAATAACACTTTTCATTTTTAAGCATCTGAATGTTTTCTGAATGTGTTTATACAACTTTTTATCTAATTATTTTTATTGAGTTTCACACTTNGACTATAATAGATGAAAACAGTATAATTTATATTAAATCGAGACCACCACAAGTGCTGTGATAAACCAATTCAAAAGTTCACTGAAATACCTTTTTTTTACTCTCTAACTTTGTTTACTCTCTAACTTTGTTTACATTTCTGATTATGCCTTAAGAAATGGATGATACCAACTATCTCCTTTCACTTGATGCCACCCGTAAAAAAGTCTATNTATTGCAATAAGATAGATTAAATATTAATAGACTATAATAGATTAAAACAGTATAATTTATATTAAATCGAGACCACCACAAGTGCTGTGATAAACCAATTCAAAAGTTCACTGAAATACCTTTTTTTTACTCTCTAACTTTGTTTACATTTCTGATTTTGCCTTAAGAAATGGATGATACCAACTATCTCCTTTGACTTGATGCCACCCCTAAAAAAGTCTATAATGTCGATATATCGTTTGTATTTAATCAAGGTATACTGCAAATGGTTTCAAATGACATTAATATCGGTGATTCAACTAATCATGTTACTAACGGGTGAGTAAAATTTATTTCATTAATCATCTACAACATGTTTTATATGTGATAACGGGTTATTGTTAATACTGTTAACATTAATAGTCACACCTTAATATGTTTTCTGAAAAAAATTTTTGCTATATTTTTCAGAAAATTAGACTTAAGAAGTTATAATCCCTTGAACAACAAAGTGAGTGTTACTATTACAATAGATCCTCCTAAGGACTCTATAAATCGTTTGATTAAATATGAGGTCAGAGCAAAATCTAGAGCAGGAGGCCTTAAGGAATACATGTTGGAAAAAAATTACTTCAAACTTAAACATGCAATATTCGAACGCGAGGGAGATTTTGCGATTCTCGATTACAGCTCTTCATCATTTTTGAAAATAGATGCAAAGGTAATTCTTATTAAGTATTTAATAGCATAAAATTTACCGAACCTTTCTTAAAGATTACAGTTATTGAGGAGATATCGAATCACATTTATGAGACTCAAGAAGATCTTCAGGATGAAAATAAAGATCAAACCTTCTCGCGCCTTGCAAAATTTTATTTGAATGACAAGTTTTCAGACTTCTCATTCACAGTAGGAGAGACAAAATTTCCTGTTCATAAAGTGTTTCTTTCATGTCGAAGTCCTGTTTTTGAAATAATGTTTGCAGGAAATTTTAAGGAAAGCACTTCAAGTTCTCAAGTCATTTCTGATGTCAGCGCTGAAGTTTTTGGTGAAATGCTTCATTTCTTGTACAAGTCCAAAATTAATAACCTGGAGTATGCGGAAGACTTGCTTGCAATTGCAGATCGCTATCAGATTGATGATTTGAAAGCACCTTTGGAGTTTCATTTATTTCTAAAACTTGACGATGATAATGCTGACAGATTCTTTCAATTGGCAGATCGTCACAACTGCAGTGAGGCTTTTAAAAAAGAATGTTTTGAAGTTTTAAAAAGGTAAGAAATCGAGATTATTTCAATTAGTGAACATATTTATTCATGATTTACTTTGTTAAACAGGCTTTTTAAAGACTTTAATTACTCATTACCGGAAGAACTTTTCAAGCAACCAGAAAAGGTTCATGAAATTGTTGATGCTAAAGCTCATCTTGACAATCTACTCNACAAATCGTTTAATCAAATTTGTGGTTAGAGCAAAATGTAATACAAACCTTAAGGAATACATATTTGCAAAAAATTACTTTAAATATCAAAATGCAATAAACGAGGGCAAGCAAGATTTTGCGATTCTCTATGCCAGCTCTTCATCATTTTTGAAAATAGATGCAAAGGTAGGTAATTTTTATTATTTAATAGCATAAAATTTACTAAACCTTTTTAATCTTCAGTTTACAGTTATTGAGGAGAGATCGAATCACATTTATGAGCCTCAAGAAGATCTTCAGGATGAAAATAAAGATCAAACCTTCTCACGCCTTGCAGAATTCTTTTTGAACGAAAAGTTTTCGGATTTCTCATTCACAGTTGGAGAAACAATATTTCCAGTTCATAAATTGATTCTTTCAAGTCGCAGTCCTGTTTTTAAAAGAATGTTTGCAGGAAATTTCAAGGAAAGCACTTCAAGTTCTCAAGAAGTTTCTGATGTCAGTGCTCAAGTTTTTGGTGAAATGCTTCATTTCATGTACAAGTCTAAAATTAATAATTTGGAGCATGCGGAAGATTTGCTTGCAATTGCAGATCGATATCAGATTGATGACTTGAAAGCAATTATTGAAAATCATTTGTTCCATAAACTTGAAGATGACAATGCTCACCGATTCTTTCAGTTGGCACATCGTCACAACTGCTGCAAGGAGTTTAAAAAAGAATGTTTTAAAGTTTTAAAAAGGTAAGAAATCGAGATTATTTCAATTAGTGAACATATTTATTCATGATTTACTTCATCATCATCATCAGAGTAGGGAGTGCACGACTGTACACTAAAGCGATTAAGAATACAGGAATATAAATTCCAACTTGTTTCGCTCCCTTTGTCTCATCACCTGAATGATGAAGGTTCCACTTTCAGTAGCGTTCCACAGGATTGTATATTCCTGAATACTCTTCATTGTTCATATTTGACAAATTTATATTTTTATCAAATTTGATACAAAGAGACATTTCAGTTTATTATATCCTAGTGAAAAATTCCACTTTAAATGAAACAGGGGCGAAGTATCTAAACTTCTGAAAACCTCAGCGCAAGTGACCACCACCGAGAATGGAACCAGGATCGTACCGTGTATCATGATTTACTTTGTTAAACAGGCTTTTTAAAGACTTTAATTACTCATTACCGGAAGAACTTTTCAAGCAACCAGAAAAGGTTCATGAAATTGTTGATGCTAAAGCTCATCTTGACAATCTACTCGAAAGAGCATCTACTGGTGAAAATTCAGTTGGTGACGACCTTGTGCAGCACGATTAAAAAAGAAAGTCGAGAAAGTCGAGCTATCGAAACTCAAAATTAAAATGACCTTTTTTTCAATTTTATTAAACTTCATATTTACAACATTCTTCAAATATTTTAAAACTTTTCCAAAATCAGACAAGCATGTCTTGTTGTGAAATCAAAAAAATTCTTCATATTTAGTAGAAATTTCCCATGAAAAACGAGATAATTCAAAACTTTATCTATCTTCTTAATTCCCAAAATGCATCTGTTTGTTGCATTAAAACTCAGGAATTCTAAGCAAAAAATTAAAACTTAGATAAAAACTTAAATATTGTTATGATTTTTCTAAAAATTTAATAGAAACCAACCATGAAGATATTCACCGCGTCTGTAAGCAAATGATTTTAAACGAAAAGAATAATAAAACTTTTATTGAAATTTTTAAAATTTAATCTTTTATTGGAATTTTTTTCATTTTATTTGGCAACCATCAAATCCAACCGATTTGATATCTGCTTGAGCTTCTCAATTGAATCACTGTAAGAAAGAATTTTACATTAAAATCAGATGAAAAGATTGTCAGTTTGACACTTACTTGTAAGTCAGACTCTTCTTGTCAAGCTGACCCTCCAAGCTCGTCACATAAATCACAAACATGTTGATATGTTCAATGAAGCTTTTGTCAGCTCCGACAAGCCATGTTCGAGGAAGCGTCAGAACAATTGTGTAAGCTTTTGTAACACCATCTGCTGCCGTTGAAACTCTCATCGCAGACAATAAATATCTGTTGAGAAGTAAAAGAATTGCAAACTTCTTCAGCGTCTTATCAGCCACGATTCCTTGAAAACTTATGAAGTTTCTAAAGAGTTTCACTCCACTGTAGAATTGACGTTGAAAGAATGAAGACTTTGCATCTGCACTTCTGTAGAGAAATGTTAGTTAACAAGTTTAATAATTTCATTGCATTTAAATTCAACTCAACTGTTTCTGAAAGATGGGAATGAAGACATCGTTATCAAGTGCTGCCTTCATCTTATCTGTGATAACAACGAACAAATTTTGAAGATTCTTTGATGTAATACGAAGTGAAGGATAATCATTCGATAATTGATTAATTAATTTGACAAGTTTTAATGTTTGTGTTGTTGAAAGTGGATCCCAACATTCATCGATAAGTTCTGTTAATGGAAATAATTTTTTTATGTTATCACAAATTTCTATTAAAATTTAATTAAACTTACTTGTTAATTTTAACAGCACGACTTTCTCGATAACTGTGGGAATAAGAAATACGTCGGGATCTTTGCGTAACATGTCTTCAGTCTCATCAGATGTCTTTCCATACATTGCAACTGAATGAAACCATTTCATCTTGTCGATATCTTCATAAAATTCAACTTCAAATGGACTCCAAAGAATCATTTGTGATCGAACAAAAACATTAACAATTTTTGGGAGACAAAGATGAACGTAAGCTTCTTTGTAAGCATTCAAATCTTTCTTTTTCCAATCGTCAAACTTCTGTAGGATTTGTGGTAACTCGCAATATTCCTCGACGACTTCATCGAAGATTGTCGCAGCTTCAATTTTAATTTGAGCTATAAATGAATTTAATTTAATTAACTTCAATGATAATTAATTAATAAACTTACCAAGTTGTTCTCTGTACTGTGATAATTCAATGTCAGGAACTTCATCATCACTTGACATTCCATCGTTATGAGTCTCATTCATGTTGAGCTTTTCACGATCACGTCTTCGTCTTGTTCGTCTTCCTTCACGTTCAGCAGCACGTCGAATTCTTTCCTCATCTTCGGGAGTCTTTTTATTGCTAAATGATTCTGATAAAAACGAAAGATTGATTATTTAATTAATTCATAAGTCCTAGAAGAGTAAATTACTTGTATCTGTGAGTTCTTTAGCTTGATCTCTGACATCTTGTCGCCTTCTTTCAATCAACTTTTTTGAATATTTTCCCATCACACTAATTGTCTTTTCTTCTAAAGCGATAATCTCCGGTAATTTCTCATTCAAACATTCAATCAAATCATCAACATAGAGTTTGAGTTCTTGATAGAATCGATATTTAGCAGCTGCGACTGGGCCATTCTTCACACTTTCTTCTACATCAATTTTCGTTGCGCTCATTTCTTCCACAATTTTATCGATTTGCAAGAAGTTTTTATGACTTTGTTCTCTTGATGATCGAAGCTTGTCATTAATACTTTTTAATATTTCACTTGGCGTTTTAATTCCCATCGCTTTCGAACTTTCCTTCTTCTTTTTTTTCTTCAAATGTTTGGACAATTCAATATTTGTTTGAGAGTACGCTTGTTCAAGAAGCTCTGCTGTTGTCAATGGAGCCTTTGTTTCAGAATTCGAGTTATCAAAAGAATTTGTAAATGGTTGAATCATGTAGTGAGAGTAAATTGATTCCTGTTGAGCTGATATAAGTTGAGCACCGGTCACACCTTTACGAATCTGTTGATTTTCCCATTCATTCATATCATTATCGGACTCATCGTCTGATCCTTGCTGATGCGTTGAGTAAAATTGTTCTCGTCTTTCTTCAAGTTCTTTAACGCCTGTGATTGCTGACATGTCAACACGTTGTTCATCGCCGCTACTTCCTTCAGCCTCATCTTCTTCTCGAACATTTCGTTTTCCTTTCTTCTGGTCTTCTTGATCTTTTTCTTCAAGCGCAATAAATTCCCCTAAATAATAACAAGATAAATGAATGAAAAGCATTTTTGATAAGATAATAAAGACTCACCTTGTTCTCTTGCTTTTTGTCTTCTCTTACGAGCTGCATGAATCATTGCAGCATCTGGAATGGCTCCACTCACAAGTTTAAAGTCAAATTCATCAGGCTGTGAGAATCTGTGGCCTTGTTGTGATTGCTCTTCAAATTCATTCTCTTCCTCTTCTTCAGATGACATGTCATCACGACCAGCACAAAGAGCTGCTCTTCCATTAAGAATTAAATTCTCAGGATTAGAATTCTTAAGTCGAATCTGTGTTTAAGAAAAATAAAAGAGAAGGAAAGTGTTAAAATCATCTTGAAGCGACAAAGGAAAAGCAGGAGCGAAGAGCAAGCAAATGTCATCATTTTGATTGCTTTCCATTCTGGAACAGAAGATGCAACTAAAATCTATTCAGTAATCGGTACAATTACTACTCTAGCATTAACTTTTCAAAGACGACAACAAATTTTGTCTATTCAGTGATTTGATAATGGTTTTCAATGTAGTATTTTATAGTAAAATTGAATAATAATAACCTTACCGAAAATCCTTCATCTGATTGTATTTCTTTGACAAAATTGGTACAATCCTTTGTCACAGAAGTCGGAGAAGACTGATAAGAGTTAATATCGTGATGGGAAAAGGAATTTTGAGAATTTTTACTAATGTTTTTATCAGACTTTTCATTAGATTTATTCTTTTTACGCTCTTTATGGATGCGACGACTGAACGAAGATTTTTTCACTTGAAACGTTTCACCTTCATCCTCTAAAAATTATTAATTAGATAATTAATCGATTCGAATGAGTTTAGTTTGATATTTTTTTCATATCAGTTGATTAGATAATTAATGTTTGATTGATTTCATGTTGTTCCTGTCAAACTGATTTGTTACCACTGAAATTGTGACTGAAAATAAAGTGAAATATGATCGAATACCTTCATCACCAAAACTCAGAAGTGAACTTTTCTGAGGCTTATTTGATTTATCCTTGTCTCTTTCTTTTTTATTCTTTTTCGGCTTGATGTCAACATCAGGACCTTCCTCCTCATCTACATCCATGTTTTCAATTTCGCTTGAGAAAACTCTTCTGTTTATTTGCGCTGGCTTTTTAGGTTTCTTAAAAAGTGACATCTTTTATGCTTTCTTTTGACTATTAAATCAATATAAACACGACTATTGTTTGAATATTTTATTAAATCATGTAAAAAAGTAGTAAAACTTAGGTTTTACGGTGTAAAACTTTGAACTTGTTTTGAAAAGAAATTTCTTTTAGTATTTTGCTACTTGTTACCGTGATGACCAAATCCTATCGACCGTAGTCTCCTTGAAAATCAGTTCAGCACCAGTTTTGCCGATAAGAAGTTAATAAAAGTTTTCTTGTCTTAAATAAAATACCGGTTATCAACACCAAAAAATATTGTTAAAGTGAATTGAAATTATTCATTTAGTGATTGAGTATAAAGTTAACAAGCATTTCTTTATGCACTGGATAAAAATATTTTTCAAAAATATTTTAAAGTGGTGTTGAAGTCTTCGTATTAGTAGTGGAACTTTCTTGTCTACTCAGACAATTTGCTCGAAAGTGTGGTATTGAAATTTTTGGTATCAGAAAAAGAAAAAATAAATGCTTTTACCATGATGGTTGGTTGCTAAGTAAATGTTGAAAGTACAATTAAATAAGTCGTGCATCTTTTGCAATAAAAGTTTGAGTGTGAAAGAGTGGAGAATTAGAATAAATTTTATTTCTAAATTCTAACCTTACTTATTACGAATTTTGAAGTTATTTTTTGTTCGACTGAAAATTTTCAACTTTTCGTGTGACGGTGAAAAACAATCGATTATTGCGCATAAAGTGTTAAAGGAGTGCAATCGACATCATGGAAGTATCGACTGCTGGGTCGTCGAATTCTTATGCGAGCGTCTTAAATCCTTCGGAAAATTCTCCGAAACAAAAGGAAATTACGAATGATAATAATAAAGAAAATATCCCTGGCAAAATTCTCACTGATAAAGATGATCAAAGGACAACTGATAAGCCAAGAGATAATGACAACGATGCCGCAGACAGTAAGCCCAATGAGGAACTCGATGAATCAGGATTTGTGCCAGTAATTTCACATGCGAAGAAAGACAAAAAAATGCGACAAATGGAAAGGCGAGGTGGCGACCAACGTGATGCAGGTGGCAAGCCTCCAAAAGCGGCCACATCAAAATCACAAGAACGTCCTGAAAAGCCAAGACGAAATCGTCGTGATCGTAAAGCTGTCAAAGATAAAGTAAATTCTACAAATCAAGCAAATCATCACGAATCATCGGACCCCGACAAAGCTGCTGACTCTAGTGACGGACAAAACGATAAGAAAATAAAGTTTATTGAAGCTCCATTGCCACAGGTTAATCCGTGGGTAAGTTCAACAAGACTCTACCTTCAATGACAACTTCCAATTAATCAAATTTTTAACTCTTTCCTTCTCTCTCTTTCTCTTTATTATCAAAAAAAGGTTAAAACACAAGCACTTACATCATCATCAGATGCAGACAAAAAATCAAACTCACAGCCTAAACCAGCAAAAGTTCAAACGCATGGTAAATATCAATAATCACTTCTTTCCTTACTTCCAACGTGTCGCCACACAAATTCCTGTTGGAACCGCAGAGAAAATTTTTTATTTCTTTTTCTATGTTTTTCATTCAATATCATTTCGTACAATTTAATCAGCTTATTGAATGCGAACGAAGAAAAAAAAAATAAGTGACAAGAAGAAGCAAAAGCACAAGAAAAAAATTTGTGTGCATTTTGATGTGTGATGAAAAATCAAACTTTTTATTTTTTAGTAGTTTTTTTTTTGGTCAAGATTAGGAAATGTGTAGAGAAGAGAAAAAAAAATAAGCTAAAAAGATGAAAGCCTCGTAAATAGCAAAAAAGAAGAAGAAAAAAAGAAATATTTAAAAGAAGATGATAAAAAAAACATTTCACCTCGATGTGGGGAACTACAAACTTAAAAGAAGTTAAATCGAACTTTTTTTTACGTTTTACTTTTCGTGATAAATATTTAACATTAAACTACTTTTTGCGTGCCGATAAAAAAATATTAAACATATTTTTAATAATTAATATTTTACAGTTGACAATAAAGAACTGACGGCTTCAAAGGTGGTCAAGCGTGGAGTAAAGTCAGCGGAAACAGCACAGGTACATACAATTTAACAATATGAAAATGATCTTTGTATCGTGATGTTATTTATTTTATTTCAGAGTAAATTAGTTGATACATCGGATTGGCCGACATTGGGATCGGAAGCAGCGGCAGTTTCAAACAACAATAAGAAGGAAATAACAAATGCAACATCGAATGGTGATTTAAGAGATAAAGAAAAGGATAAGAAACCTGCGACAAGTTCAAAACAGAATTCATCAGAAGTTTCATTATCGCTAGACGAGAAAGCAAATAAAGAATTATCACAAACTAATATGGAGTCAACAACAGGAGTTGTCGGTCGTACAGCAACAATAAATTCAACAACAGTTTCAGTTGATGCAAACAGTCCAGTGCCCAATGGTGGAAACGCTATGAACGAAGTCAAAAACGTGCCTAAAGCTTCTGATGATGGTGCAAAGCGAGTCAATTCAAAGCCCAAGTGGAATCGTTTCGATGTTGAACCGAAATCGTTACCGTCACAGAATCGACGAAAATCAGATCGCAGTCCACCGAGACGAAATAATCGTGATGATCGAGATTATTATTCAAGACGTGACGATAGAACGCGTGATGATGAACGATCAAGTAGACGTGGTGGTAACGGTAATCGTGGTAGTGTGCCATCAACTTCAAGTCGTAATGCAAGAAATAATCCCGTTTCACAGACAGCACCCGGAGCTGCAACTGCAGTTACATCGTCTGGTAATATAAAATCAGCTGCGCCACGTGGAGCACGTCGTGAACCAGCTTACATTACACGAAGCAATAGGCCATCGTATACTGAAAGCAAAACGCCAGGACTGAATGGAAATCCCAATGTACCAATTAAAAGCTCAGATCATTATGATGCCAAAAAACAGAAGCCGCTTCTTGGCCGACCAATCATCATTGATCCGACACTTACGCCAATTGTGACTGCCCAAAATATTTACGGAACTTACTACTTCAATGGTCCAGCTCCGTTTGCTTTGGATACAATTGGAAATATCCGTGATTCAATCAAAAAGCAAATGTAAGTTGAATTTTTCATCATTTTTTATTTATTAACTTTTCATTTTTGTTGTTTTCTTTCCTTTCAGTGAATATTATTTCAGTGAAGAGAATTTGAATCGTGATTTCTTTTTACGACGTAAAATGGATCCTGAAGGCTTTCTTCCTATTACTCTCATCGCATCATTTCATCGTGTACAAGCGCTAAGCGCTGATCTGGCATTGGTAATTACAGCAATTAAAGAATCGGATAAGTTGGAAGTTTACAAGGACTTTAAAGTTCGTACAAAATTAAATCCAACCAAATGGCCTTTGAATGGTGAAGCGCCAATAATATTAACAGGCGAATCATCAGCATCATCAATACAACAACAACAACATGTTGAGCATCAGCTGCCACCTGTTATCACAGCAATAACAGCAATGCCTGTTGCAATTGAGCCAATTGCTGTTGTTGCTCAACCAGTGTCTGAAATCTTATCAAATATTCCACCCCCGCCAATATTGAGACATTCGCGTAAGAATAATAATAATAATCTACCGAATGATGTTGCTGCTACAGGACTAAAGATTGAAGTGAAACCACCACCAACACCACAATCAGCAACAAACACAACAGCTGCACAAGCTACCACTAATTCTGCGGTTAATGATAACTTAAATCCTGATGTATCTGCATTTGTTCCCAAAACGTCGCCAAAAAACGAGGTTGCTGAGGCTGTTCAGCTTCCACCAGCACATCAGCATAACTCAATTGAAATGGAAGCAACATCATCACGAACATCTGAAGATGCAAATATTTGGAAAGAGGTGAAACGTCGTTCAAAAACTGCTCAACAACAAAAGGATATTACGCCTCAATCATCTGCCACTGGCATGAAAGCTGAAAAAGAGGAATTAGATTTTCAATTTGATGAAGAAATTGAGCATGAAATTCCTCACATTGGTGGTCGTGTTAACAATTTTTCGGAGTTTTCGGAAGATGAGGAATCGGATTTTGAATTGTCAGATCGAGATATTAACAAGCTTTTGATTGTTACGCAAGTTAAAACACGTCCTCCAAAGCACGAAGGTATGTCATGAAAGTTCTAGTACTTCAATTTAATTTTCCGGTTTTTATTCTACCCTAAAAATTCAGTACTAAATTTTAATCTATCATGAAAATCAAAATTCTTCTGAGTTACTCGTCTTCCTTTCGTTCATTTAAAAACTTTGCTAAAACTATTAACTTTTCTCCTTCTCAGGCTACGATCGAACGGGTGATTGGACAACGCGTGTTAAAATTGGTCAAGATTTAGAACAAGTCATCAATGATGGCTTACATAACTATGAAGAGAATTTGTTAGTCAGTCGACCGGCACATAAGTCGGTTAATGTTATTACACAAGAGGAATTCGAAAAGATTGTGCCGAAAGTACCGAAGATAATCAATCCTGAAGTACCTCCAGCACCCCCAACAACATTCGATGAAAAGGAACTCAATGCACGCTTGACATTGTCGTCGCATGGTAAAAGAACCAAATTCTTTGCTGTGAATAAAACCGATCCAATAGATCCTCGTACGCCACGAAAACGTAAAACACGACATTCATTAAATCCACCGGTTGAAGGTCATGTTGGATGGGTGTTGGATAGTGTTGAACATCGTCCACGCACATCAAGCGTTGGAAGTTCAGCTGGGACAAGTCCAGCAACATCAAGCTATGGTTCAGTGCCACAAAGTTTGCCAGCATTTCAACATCCATCACATTCGCTTCTACGGGAAAATAACTTTACGCAACAAGCTTATCATAAATTTCGCAGTCGTTGCTTAAAGGAACGTAAGCGTCTCGGACAAGGACAATCACAAGAAATGAATACGCTCTTTCGTTTTTGGTCATTCTTTTTGCGTGAGAATTTCAATAAGACGATGTATGATGAATTTAGAAGAGTCGCATTGGAGGATGCTCTTCTTGGCTTTCGATATGGTTTGGAATGTCTTTTTCGTTTTTATTCTTATGGGTTGGAGAAGAAATTTAGAGCGCAACTGTATGAAGATTTTCAAACTGAAACTATTAATGATTACGAATCAGGTGAGTTATCTTTTTCATGATGTTTTGCATAACGAATAACGACCAAAATTGGGCATAAATGGAAGAATTATAAAAATTTAAGTTTTCCATACAAAAACTTAAACAAATGAGAAACGTTTATGATCATTCTATCCGAAGCACCATAAATATTTCAGATGTTTTATTTTTCAATTGCTAACACGCGTGCTTATTTTTGTTTCTTTTAATCAAGGTCAACTTTATGGATTGGAAAAGTTTTGGGCGTTTATGAAATATTATAAGAATGCTGATCAACTTGAAGTTGGTGATAAGTTGCGTGGATACTTGAATCAATTTGTGACGATTGAAGACTTTCGTGTTGAAGAGCCAGAAATAAATGAGCGATTGCCAAGCGGCGGTGGAGGTAGCGGTGACATCAGCGGCAAAGGCTCAAGTAAAGAACAACATCGCAGCCTTTTTGAAAACGACACAACTGCCCAAAATGTTGTTGATGTTGCACCGAAAGCTGCATCAGCCAGCGATGTTTAGGTTTAATGCAAAAAAAAGAAAATGTGTTTTAAGGATTTTTTTTCTTTGATTTGATTTCAATTAATTAATTTTTTTTCTCTCAGCGCTGTGCTCAATGGGAGGAAATTTTTTTCGTCGTGAATAAGAAAAAAAATGTTTTCTTTTTGCTCTGAACTTTTCAGAAAATATTAATTTAACTTCTTTGCAAACGACTCGGTTCGTAATGCTTCTTATAACTAAAACAAGTTAATATTATTTAAGTTTTCTTCTTTATTCTTTATCATTTTCTTCTGTTCTCAATTTTACTGTAGAAAACAGAAAAAAATGATTTTCTTCTACGATTCGATTTTTTTTAGTAAAACGTATTTACCATGAAAAATGTTGTTAATTAATAGGAAAACTCACATGTTTTTCGCAAATTTATTCTTCAAACAAATACACGAGTAAACAATTTAATAAAATTAAGGAAAAAACGAAATTGTTTTATTTTCTTTTCAATATCATTTGCTGGATGAAAATTTTATCTTGAAATTTTACTAATCGATTGTTTCAATCTTTGGTTACACGTGACAACGAGAAAGACGTAAACAAACAATGAAGACAATGTTGTGACATAATCTCACGACAATTTATTAATTGCTATTACCCTGACTTGATATTTGTAAACACCAAATTATAGCAACATTCTCGTGACTTGTTAATAATTTTAAAAAATGAGGAAATAACTAAACGTAGTTACAACAATGTAAGCTTGAAAAAAGGATTAAAATAAAAAAAAGGAAATCTGATATTTCCCTTTCTTCTAAGGAAAATTCTTTCGTTACATTCAATAAGTGGATTTTATGTTATTGACATGTCTGAATTTCAGTTTTTCTAAGAAGCTTTATGAGGGCAACCACCTGGAAAGTAATTGAATTTTAAAATAATGTCGAGTTACATTGTTGCTAAATATTGAACGATTATCGATTTATTTCGATTAGCAATGGACATAGCACAAAGAAATAAAACAAGAGAAATTATTTTTTAATTTTTTATTGATGGAAATTCAGCATTTGTTAAAATGAACCAATTGTATTTACTCGTTCTCTTGTGAACGCATTCTGGCGTGGAAGTTTGTCACACGGATTCCCAATTGCTTTGCACGTTCGCAGATTAATTTGCGTTTCTTAGCGCTAACGGCATGTGCAACTTCTGCACAATATACGCGATTTTGCATCATTAACACCTCCAACTCGCGGACATTGTTAACGATGAATTTCTTGAAGCCATTTGGGAGCATATGGCGGGTCTTTGCGTTTGATCCATAACCGATGTTTGGCATCAAGTACTGTCCCTTAAAGCGACGTCTCACTCGATTGTCAATACCTTTCGGTTTACGCCAGTTCTCCTGCAAAGTAAATTATGTAAATTAATTTAAATTTCGATTAAAAATGTGTCAAATATGTGAAACTTACCTTAACTTTAACATATCGGTCTGACTGGTGACGGATGAACTTCTTTGTTCTCTTTTTGAGAATCTTCGGCTTGAATGCTGGACGAACTGCCATTTTAGTCTGTTACAAATGGAAAATAACAATAGAATTAGAAACATAATAGACAAATTTAATCCATTCTGGAAGTTAAGATAACCTCGAAAAATATTTACTTGATAAATTATTAGAAAAGCTTTTCTCTATGATCTTTTGTTAATTCCTTACATGTACTTTAAGTTTAATTTGAATTCATTTATTTTAATTCTATAAAATTTAAAAATAATGAGTGATCGAGTTGAACAACGATGGAAAAAAATATTTTTGTTCATGCAATTATTTAAATTGAGTTTTTATCGGTATTTCCCTATTTAAATTAATTTTCTTCACTTTCAACTTAAGTTAAACTTTTTTAACGTTAGGAAAGGTTTCCATTTACATTGTTTTAATGAGTTTTTAAGGTAATATTTTTAAATTTATCAATAAGCTTACACAGTTTCTTTTCCAAGAGGATGCAAAAAGAACGAGAAGACCAAATTTATAGATAAATGTGGAAGAATTATCGTCGATTTTGTTCACTTTATTTGATTCCTTCCAAGTAATTCCACACTCTCTACCTGACACTCGCCTCCCAGAAAGTTAGTTTCAGGTGGAGAGTGTTTAATCTCGCGCACGGAGAAAATTTCTCGCGCACAGAATGATTTTTTGACCACTTTGTATGGAAGGTCAAATCCACGCAAGTCAAAGTGCCGGGTAGTCCGACGTCAATCATGTGTATTCAAATGTGCTGTTTCAAGGGGCAAGGCAAGATTCAAAGCATAATGAAATTACTGTTAAAAATGGAATTAATTTTATTTATCATCAAATATCTTTTATCGCATTACAAAATTATTGAAAACCTGGACCAGGGATAAACATGCCTCCACCTCGAGGACCACGCATTGGCATCATTTTCGGATCGTTCTTGAAAGCAAATTGTAGGAAAAATTGTTTTGTATCTTTGTTCCAATAAACCCAAAATTTTCCTTCCTGTTTTTCTATTTCACGACTTGGTACTTTGAAAGCAATTGTTTCATAAGGCTCAGCAGCAAATAGAAGATATTGCCATTTACGATCTGGCGGCTCAATCTTCTGTTCATAAGCAGACATGAAACGATGGCGTGGTACAATGCCATCACTTATTTCAGGATAATCGATTTGGAATAAAAGTGATTGCTGTCCACTTTCAGGATCTCTTTGCTTTGTTACTCGATAACCGGGTCTACCAATTTTTACGAACTTCTTTGGCTCAACACGAGGCTTTTCCGGTTGTAGTGAAGGAGCCTCTTTCGCTTCCTTAGCAGCTCGTCGAGCTAAGTTTGCTTGATGCTTTTTTCCTTGTGTGTGAGCTAAATAGCTTCCTTCGTTATTATGAAGAGTTAAACATAATTTACACTCATAAGATCCGAGATGATTTTTCATAAAATATGGATCTTTTGCCAAATCAATCGTTTCGAGTGCAAGTTGTCGAAGTCTCTCACGACGGTCCCGATTACTTTCGGACCAACTTGCTTGGCCACCACTACCGGTTTTACCTCCAGCTCTATTCTGAAAATCCATCGCAACCTGAAAACGTTTACAAAATTTTATTGTATTTTGATGTTTTTGTATGAATTTCACAAGAATTTTATATCCAACCTTTGTAGATCTGTTTTCGTTATTGTATATGAAAGTCTTTAATTAATATTTGTGTCACTTTGAACCCTAAATATTAAAAAAATCTTCAATTTTCGGTATTATTTACAGATTTTCAGAATAAATGTCTGAGGGAACGAATTTTTACTGGAAAGATTAGACTGGAAAGTGTGAGATGACAAAATCTTTATTGCTTTGTTTACAAAAAATTAACAAGTAAAAATAAATATCTAAACTGTTGAAAATTGAATAATTAATTATTTAATAATGAATGAAGAAGAAAACTGCTCTATAGAAATACGAAAACCATCAAAAATACTCCACTTTAGTGATGGAACTCTTGAAGTCTTTGATGATGATCAGGAGCAAAAGGATGAGATTATCAATAAAAAACCTGATGTCAATGAAGTAAATCAAATTTAAAATGCTCATACTCAGTGAAGAAACAATGCACAAAAGTTAAAACATTGACTTAAAGAAATTTAAACTCTCTTATACCTTGCAAAACTTGCATCATTTAATAGTTCAAGGATGACTAGATCATTTTAAATTTAATATCCTTACAGAAAGAACTCAAGTGGACTTCATGGCTAATTCACAAAGCAAAACGGTTTGGAAATGTTATTTCGAATGGTTTAGATTATTCTGGAGAAAAAGTTGGAGATTTTTTTGGTTTGACAAGTCCAAAGTATGCTTATGAGATTGCTGCCTTTGAAAGGGAACAAGCTAGAGAATCAGAACGAAAGAAATTGGAAGAAGAAAACAACTGGCAGAAACCTGAAAAACCTAATTCCAATGAGCCCATCATACGACCACCTGAAATATCTAAAGAACCAGTGATATAAATTTACAAAATCTCAGTTATTAACTTCCTTGTGATTTTATGAATAAATTATTTGTAACATATAATTCAACTGCAATAAATTAATTTTATATACATATACAGAATATTTAGTCTGAAAAAAGAAAAGAAACGTTATTTGAATAAATAATAAGAATTCTCTCAATAAAAGAATTTTCTAGGTCATGGTTTTGATCTAGAAAAAAAAATGTAAATGAGTACTTTAATAAGAAAAAAAAAAGGTTTAAAGAGGAGGAAAAGTAAATAAAAAATTAAAATGAAACTGAAAGTTTTTTTTCCTCCTACATAATAAAACGCTCTTCTACCCTTGTTTGCGCTACATAATTTCAACCCCGTCTCACTTCTTCGCGTCTCTCGTGTCTATATAATTTTTCCGCTATTTTTTAATTTTCACTTTCTCGCCAAATTATGTGCTTCATTATGCTATATACCATTTTTTCCATCGTTGATTCTTAATGCTTTTTTCTCTCCTCTTGTTTGTTGTTGGTTTAATTTTATTAATTAGATTTTTACAAGATTTCTCTCATTACAATAAACATTGTGGGGGAAAAAGAAGTCAGAAATTCGTGAGAAAATTCCAATCACTGATTAACATTCGGATCTCTTCTTTTTCATTTGAAAATGTTGGTTTCTGGTCATTTGAAGTTGCGTATGAAATTTCCAATCAACCCTCTGACACATCCTCGCGACCGAATAAAGGAAATAAATTTGCAAATAAAAGTTCAATACTTTTCATCTCATTTCGAACCAATCAAAACATGTTTGAGTGAGATACATATATGAGTATATGTCGTTGCTACATACATAAAATTCACATAAAACATATTCCATCTCTTTCAGATTTTCCCCTTCGCAACAGAAGAAAAAGGATTTGCATGAGTTTATTTTCGGAGATGTGTGGTGTGGAAGTTGATTAAGTTAAGTCCAATTTCATGAATACTTTTTCATAACATTTTTAATTTAATTAAAAATATGAAATTAAGAAATTATTCTTATGACATCTCATGGATGGAATGGATTCCTTTTGGACTTGTGACAAATTAATCTCAATCAAAAGCATAAAGGATTTTTTTTTTCATTTTACGTGTTCACACAACATGTACACGCCCATTTTTCCTATCGATATATTTATTTATTCTTATGCTGCTGACTTTGCTATTGTTTCGAGATGGTTTAAAAAAAATCGATGAGCATAATAAATTTTTGAAATACTTAAAGGAAATCCATAAATCTAGAGTCTTGAAGGTGATTTTATTTCTAATGTTTTTTATTAAAATTATTTGAAAGTTCATCCAGTATGAAGTTTTGAATGACGCTCAAACCATAAAATATTTATGCGTTTCCAAATCGAAATTCTTTAAAGAATACTGGATAATATCCACATCATCTCTCCTAACGATCATTGAAAGAAAAACATTTTCCAAACCATTTAATTTAACTGTAGATATATGCTTAAAAGTTTTATAACATTAAATGAAATTTGCTTTGATTTTTGTTTTTATAATACAAGAATTCAAGCGAAAGACAAACGGAAAAATATTTAAGAAAGTTCTTTACATTTATGTTTTGTTCAACGACCAGCAATATTTCGGAGGAATCATATGAGATAAAAACAACTGTTTTGATATAAAAAAAATGATCAAATAAATTTCCATAACATGTCAATTGATGTTAGTCTCATTGAGTATCGATGGAGAATCTCCCTTCGGAAAAGTTCACTACGCAATAAGGAAAATAAATTTCAGGAAGTTTTTCAAGAACAAGAATGAGAAAATCATAAATGGGGGTGATGTGAATTGATGGAGCCTGAAGTCATTAACTAATCCCTTCTTGTCACTTCCAATATGTGAATTCATTTATTTTCAAACCGTTGCTTACTTCTCCTTGCCTACTTCATTTAAAAGATGAGAAAAATAAACTCGCAGTATCCTCGTCATATTCAAAACAGCGACGGAGACACAACATTGAAAAAGCACGAATGGTGTGCATCTGTCGAAATTAAAAATTTATATTTCATCTACCAACAGTGGGTTATGTAAATAATTTTTTTTCTTACTGTTGTTATGCAAATGAATGTTTTCTATGACGATGCATCGAAAAATATTTGCAGATATAAAGTTGTAAAGTTTTCTCTCGGCAACTGATTTTAATTAATGTTGCGAATTTTAATTAACAGAACTTTCAAAATGCTTCGGGGTTTGCAAGGATTCATACGTTGCTATGTCTTATCAAACCATGTCGAAAGTATTTTTAATTAATTTCAAATTTTAATTACGAATATAATTTCGCAAACTTTATCATGAATGGTGAAATATTTCATAGTTTTATAGAAAATTTCAATCAAAATAGAAAATTTGATACCGATGAGAAGAGGGAAAGGCTTCAGGTAAGAATTTAACCATACGAAACAATCTGAAACTGTAACAAAACATGCCAAGTTGCAGATGCAAATTTGAGAAAAGGTTTTGCATGTAAATTTTAATTTCATATTTACAAAAGGTGTACGATGAATTGATACATGACGGAAATAAATATAAGAAGGGATTGAAATCCTTAAATGATGGGAAAATAAATTTATGCGAATCTTTAATGAATGAGTTTCCTTCCTATTTACTGTAAATCTTCAGTTGCATAATTTTTATTTCCACCAGAAGACCATAAATTTCAACCACAACTGCAACCAATTAACAAGCTTGTAAAATATTTCTTACAAGAAGTAAAACATTTTCTTAAAGATCATAAAATTCATTGCAGATCATAAATCAAATCAATTCGTTTGTTGATTCAACGAAGGGAGTGGAATGTTATTGGTGGACTTCATCTTTGGTCAACAAATTCTTTACATACATAAACGGACGACCCTTACACAACATGAATTGCAATATGAAGATTAAAAGGATTCGAAGGGTTGGTCACTCCCAATTCATTTACTTCTGGAGAGGCAATGTTAGTAAGTAGATGTACATTTGTTGATGACGCAAATAAAAGCGGAAAAGCAGAATTTCTACCTGACCGAAATTAAAACCCTTTTCCTGTGACCTTTTCTGCTGACCCTTGTCCAGCTATTTTCAAAACTCGAGGTATCAAATCACCAAGCGATTGTATAATCAAATCATAATAAATGGAACGGTCGTAAATTTTCTCGGGTCTTCTTACCATCTGAATTACATTAAACATTTAGAAAAAATGTGTAAAATATTGAGTTGACCATTTTAATCAAAGACTGGACAATGAAAGGGTTGAAAAGATGTTTGACTACTTTGATTGCTAACGAAGAGACATCGGTCTGAGATGTTAAAGGTTATCGTACACGCGATGATAATTTTCTTGAAGAACGATTTCATTAATTTGTGAATTTGCGTTTTTGTCCTTCGAAAATAATTTAAAAGGCAAGAAAAAAAATCAAAACCGGTCACAAAATCTTGAACCCCACGGGTAACTTCTTGAACTCTTCACAAGTTCTTAAAAGATTTTCTTGTCTTTGTTCGCATTTTTACTGAGAATTCAAATAAAATTCTGAGATTTACTTTTTATTTATGAATTCATTGAATTTAACGAATGATGGGACATCGAGATAAAATCAAAACTTTACGGTTGTCTCTCATTCACATGAAGTGTCTCTTCACTTTCAGATGTTGTGGATTAATTTATTTATTAAAATGTTTCAGTTTTAGAAAGGGTTAATAGAGAAGAATGAAATAAAATTGAATTCGTTGCTATTTAAAATTTATCTGCATATCTATTCGATTATTTTTAGCGACGGATCTTTGCTGCTTACGCAATGAACATTCACACCTGGGAAATCCTAAATAATTTTTGATTTTTATCTTCCAATAAATTTCGTGTGCTTTGTGTATTAATTTTTGTCTTGCAATAATGAATAATTTAAGTAACTTTCAAAATTCTAAACTCTTAAAAATGTTAACATAAATAAACTTTAAAAGGAAAATTTTTCCATGCATTAATTTCAATCATAAATTTCCTTTTAAAGTTTCCATTTCACTTTGAAATTATATGAACTTTGACTCTTCACCATCGCCACTATGAAAGAGTTTACTTCTCCAATCTAAAGTAAATGGATCGATTTCAAAAAGGAGCAAAAATGTGCGAGAATAAAAAGGGAAACTGGGGCAAAGAACGTATTTACATTTTTTCTTTGCACTTTTCAACTTTCTTTCAATGACTGTAAATTATGTGATAAGCTTGAAAGTTTCTTTTTGCACTACAAAGATGAAGTGAAAAAAGTTATAAATGTTAGCATGATAAATTACGAGAGTATTAAATAAAGTTGAAGCATCATTTATTGCTTTTAATTGAAGAAATTATTTAATTTACAAACATTATTTTGTCAAATTAAATTTGTAAATCGCATCATCAGATTATCAGCTGTTTTGTTATGTTTTAATCATTCTTAACACTAATTATTAAAGAATTCCCTTTGGAGGGTTTTCCCTTTGATGATTTCTTTCCGTTCTATTGTGAACAACAAAAAAAGGTCTACATAAAGCGAGACGTCTGGGAGTGTTGCGTTTTCCACTCTTACAAAATCTCTTCCCATTGCTGACTTTTTTTCCCACTTTTCTTAATTATTAAAAACGACTTTTTATTTGTTTATGCTGCTGGGTTTTTTTTTCTCTCTTTTCAAGGTTCTTTGCTGTCTCGACAATTTTTTTTACATTTTCATTCGCTTTTCTCCGTCTGTTATGTAATTGGAAAATGAGAAAAACATAAAAAAAAACTTGCGGGCGATGATTTAAATGCAAGAGCCTTTTGCTTATTATCATGAGACTATTTAAATATTTGAAAGCAGAGAATGAAAATGATGAAAATAATTCTATTATTAGATCTTTTAAGCATCATAATGCGATGTAAATTGTGGGTGGATGAAATCAAATGAAAGCAAAGTGATTTATACCTCACGAGAAGAAGAAAAGTTCTATTTAAAACCTGCTTTTTTTACTGATGCCAATGAACATCGCGAGTCTTCATCTCGTTTTTCTTTTTATTGCGATGGAAAATTATGTTCATCTTGTTTGGGGATGAAAATTGCTGGCAGTTCGTTAGCGAAACATAGGAAAAGGGAAATAAATAAATTTCTTTCATCATGACTCTCTATTTTTCTATTTAATAATCATAAGTAACTCACTGGGTAATGAAAAAATATTCACACTACATGCTGCTTTAAATTGAAATTTATGTCGTGGGTGGCAAATCGTTGTGCATAAGTACGTGTTGCATGTTGTGGCTTTGTGAACTTAAATATCAATCATGCTCTACCTTGAATTTAAATTATCTCTCTCAGCAATTATCTACCGTTTGATAACAAACTCAGTTAAAATTGTCAAAAGAAAGTTCTAAGAAAAATGAAAATTATTTTATAACAAGCGAAGAAAATTAAATTTTTCATTTCATTTCAATTTACATTGCCGGAAATTCCTTCATTTGAACATTTGTTCTTAATTTTGTTCTACTCAAAAAAACTCTTTCACTTGTGTTCATCGTTTCCTGCGTGTGTGGAAGTAAAAAGGGAAGAAAATAAATTAAATCTCCTGAACGAGTACGAAAAAGCATAAGCGAAGAAGAAAAAGAAGAAAAATCCTTCGCCATTTCCCAGCATAATCGAATATCGTGTGTTTGAGCATGTGTACAATTTTCGCCAGCGCCCCCACATATGTGTTCTGTACACGATGTGATGGTACAGTGTTTAATTTCACCCACTCAATATACACACTGCTCGGCTGCCTTTTTCAAAATGGCCGACGGACTTTGTCATACGATTGGGATTGGATACGCGATATAAAATGAGATGAAGAGATGTATGGTGGAGAGCTTATGTGGAGACCTTTTTTTCTTTCTTCCTTTTCAACTTGGAAATAGCGATGGTGGGTGGTGGTGGGAGAATTTGATCATCGTCTCTGACAATTCTTATACATATTTTACGTATGGATTTCCAACTTTTATACAGCGCAATTTGGCGATGTTCTCAGACAAGATAAACTTTTTCTTTCTTCTTTCATTGAATTTTCAAGTGGATATGTTGAATCAAATTCTCATTCCTTTCATTGTATACGTATTTACGTGTATGGGTCGCTTTCGATATTTCTTTTCTCTCTTCTAAAAATAATTTTTGTGTTTTCGTCGTCTGAAAGAATATTTGCAAGTCTAAGAAGACAATGTAATAATTCAGTTTATTTTCATTGCAAGGTAGGATTTCAATTTGTGCAAGCAATTGCGATTGCAGTTCTTACCTTTCTTTCCTTCGTTTTTTTTATTAAATTTCAATTCAAGAATATGAAAAAGAAACGCTTCGTGACATATCAAATGAATGACACTCACAACTTTATAACTTACGTGATATCATGATGCTGAGTATGAAACTCTTCAAAACTTAATAAAGCACCTTTGAGGCGAATACGAATGTTCACTCATTTATAATTCGCTAAAATGCTCGCAAACGGAAGAAATCCTAAGAAAAAGTTCATTGTAGCATGAATTTTTCCTTTTTTAACTATAAAAATCTTTTTCTCATCTGTTCTCCGATGATGTGGGGGGGCTTTTTTCTTCCTTTTTCCACATCACCTTATCACATATTATATCCGTTCGTTTCCATGCCATCAATTCACCATGCGAACCCATTTCTCTTTAGCGCAGAAATAATAATAAAAGTTCTTAGCTTTTCTCTTGGCTGCGCTGGTGGAGATTGGAGGGATGGAAAGCGAATCGGTTGTGTTTGTGTGCTCAACTAAACATTCGCGAAAATTGTTTGTTGTTTGATGGAAATGTTGTGTGCTTGAAATGATAAGGGGATATTTTTTTGAAACGAGCACATGAGAGTTTCTTTTCTCGTTTAACTTCGCTGTTTATTTTCAGATCCATTTGGGATTTCGCGTTCACTTCGCTAAACAAAAAAAAAGTATCGAAAATTTTTGTTTTGATGGTGTGAGATACAAAAAGAAATTTCGATGATTAGAAAAGTTGATATATGTAAATAGCGTGGGTGGTCTGAAAGGATCTTCAGATGGAATGAGACTTTTTCTTTCTTTATTCGATTGATGGAGAGCCGAAAGAATCATACATTGAAATGGAAAACTCAAAAAGATTTTCATGTGTTTTCCAATCAAAGCTTTTCTCAGTCCCTGGGGAAATTCATCGAATGGAAGTTTTTTTTCAACCTTTCTCAAGGGTTAAATCAATCTCCCTTTTATTTCAACTTTTGCTGATTAATTAATGCTTTGAATATTGAATTCGACGTAAACGAAAGCAACATTGAAAGCCTTTTTGAATTGATGAATTTCTTCACATACATGTACTTCAAATCCAGTAAAGGAGAAACATTTTCCTAACTACAAGCATTATAAATCGTTGAGTATGTTTGTTTTGCATCATTATCAATAGGAAGTGTTCCAAACACTTTACAACAAGCAACACTCGAAGAACAAGAGAAGCTCGAGACGAGAGATTTATTCATTTAATATAATATCATATTCATAAACATCGTTTCGAGTTAGCATTTATGTTGCTATAATAAATTTATGATGTGAAGTAAAATATGTTTCGTATCCGTTGTTTCATTATTGAACGATACTAGGTACGCTTCTTTGAGCTTTTCTACTGAAAGTTTTCAACTTTCTTGCATGATGAAATGAATATGAAAAGAGAAAGGTGAAGAAAAAGATTCAAAGCACTAACAAAATATATGTTGAAGATGATGAGATGAAGGAATGAAGATTTATCAATTCAACCACACACACTTAACTATTTATGCTTGGATGCTGAAAACACTTATCCTTAAGGAATTCTTTTTTCTTCCCTAACGACCTCGTTTTAACCTCCAAACGTTGAATTTCTTTTCCATTTTTAGCCACCCACAAACTACACATAAATTTAATCTTCTTTCTCGTCTTTTGTTGGCTCTCAGCATAAGATACAGAAAATACTTTTCTTTCGTTTTCAATGAAAGAAATAAATAAGAAATTTATTTGCTGGAGACGAACTTACCGTATCCATGAAATGTAAAATTTTAAAAATGTATGAAAACCAATCTCATATGAGAAATTCATGTGAATAGTTTTGAGCGCTTGAAACCATTTTTGTTATAATAATGTGTAGACGAATAGAAAGAAAGGATGTGGATAATGTGGAAGAAGCGAGTTTTGCAAGAGTTAAGAAAAAGGAACTCCAAGTTTTATGATGCGGTTTCAATCTATACCAAGTAGCTGAGCTTTGCTATGTTGTAATAATTAAAAAAATGAGAGAAGAAAGTTTCAGATTTCAAAAGTTCTCTTTTTGCATACTTCAAAGTTGAGTTCACATCAACTGACAAGACTGAACCAATTTCATTGTTTCATTACATCATTCATCATCATATAAGAGAATCTTAACGAGTTGAAGAATGTTTCATTACGAATCAATTGTTGTATATTTTAATTCCATGAGAAATAATTTCAACAAGGTGATATCTATACGAAGACTTTTCCTGAACATTTTCAAGTTTTTCCAAAATGAATATTCATCAGTTGAGAAGATGTAAAAGTTTTCATTTTATTCTTCGAAAGAAAACTTTCCACTTCCAACTCACTTTCTCAGTGTTACACATATCAACTTTCATTTCAAAAATGTATTGTGTTTCGAAAAATATTTAATTTTATTAAAATGGTAAAATGAAAGACGTGACTGTGGGGAGACGAGATGGTTTAGACGTCGTCGTCGTTGTTCTTCATTCAAATGGAAAAGAAGTGGAAAGGGCTGAAGAAAAATCAAGATTAAAGGTGGTGGTGGGTGGAAAGCAATCCTTTTTCATGTTGTTATTTTATTACTCACATTCCTGATATATGTGCTAGCTATGCTGTATAATTGTAGGTATTTAATTTGAAATGAATGTACGCTTCTTGCGCTATAAACAATTCTTACCTAAGACTCCATTCCATTCGCCCGGTTTGGAAAACATAAAGTGAAATTTTTACTGCTGCTTTCTACACATACACACACATGGCCCGCCTCCAAAAAACCACTCTATCTCTATAAGATACCGTTAAGATATCAAGAACATTCTGATGAACGGGCGTGTGCGGGTGGCAAGGGGCGAATGTGAAGGAGCAATAAAAATAATAGCAAACATTGAACGAGGGGAGAATTTAGAAAATACAGCGCTTCAGAAAGAATAGAGTTTTAATTAGCATCTCTTTTGGGTTGTGAGTTGCGAGAAAAGCACATGAATATGTGAATTTTATGTTGGGAAAATGGAGAGAAAGAAAGGCGAGGTGGAATGAGACGACTCGTGAAACTAAAATTAAGAAAATAACATTTTCTTAGCGGATGAATATATGCTCGAGGATGTGTGGAGCTTCGTTGTTCGTTAGACATGTGAAAAAGGCGAAATTTTTAATGGAATTCATTTTAGGTTGATGCGAAAAACTTTTCGTCTTCCATCCGCGCTTTTATTCTTGAGAAAAGTCGTAAATTCCGACAGGAGAATAGCAATATGTGGAATAAGTTTGTGTTTAACTACGTCAACTCATCCTCCGACATGAGAATGTCCCCATTTCAGAGTTTTCAGAGCGAAAACGTCTTTTAAGTCATCAATTTTAATCCACCACCCTCACCAAATTGTGAATTGTGTACAAGACTGTTCAAGACAAAGAGAAGAAACTTTTCCTTTCTAAGTTGAAATTTCTGAGATGATTTTATTAGAATTCACGATATGACTTGAGAGTCGAGGGCCTCGTCTTTACGACTTTGTGACGAGAAATGAATAGGATCCACTGTCACCATACGTCTTCATTAGCTATTCAAATACTCAACGAAACTATGCGAGGAAACTTCACATATCTGAATGTTAAGCGGGAAATTTCCTTGACAAAGTTGGATTTGTGAAAAGAAGAAAAATAAATATCAAAACGGTAATGACAGGATAGGAAATGGCAGAGAAGAAACATCTCATAATGGAACCGATTTAGTATCGTCAACAAAGACTGATGATGATGACTGTGGTGGAAGAAATCAAAAAGGAAAAAAACCACGCGAGGGATTGAAAGGTTGAACAGGGAAGGAAATTTTTCATCTCGCGGTTTCAAATCGACGAAGAAAGAAAATTCTGTCAATTCAGAGTCATTATGTTCAGAAAAGGATTTTTCTCGCATCTTGAATCGACATTAATAATCGTTTGGCCTGAGGCAATGTAATCTATGGCGGTTGAGAATTTACATATTTTAAGATTCCTCAAATATGGATTGTGGAAAGGAAAATATTAAGAGAAGAATTTTCAACGTCATGTGATGTACAATGACTGATATTCTCAACTCGAGAGACATCAGTTAATCAAATAAAATCTTTTTTCAAAGGGTTATTGACTTTTAACTCTTTTTATTTAAAAATTGAACAAAGCGAAACTATTTTCACTGATTTATGATGCATTCAGACAACAAGTTGCTTGTGAAAAATCAATTGATTATGTTTAATAAGCAAATGATTAATGATCTTCCGTCAATGTTTCCTTTTATTTATAAATATGTAGAAATTTGAGTTGTTATCTCAATTGTTTCCAGAAACTTCAAAGCATGATGCATAACGAACTCAAATACTGCAAGTGGAAGATAAAATGTAAAAGAAGAGAAGTTGATTGAAGAAGACTTTCTTATCCTATGGCATGGAAAGAAGTTTTCTTTCAAGGAATTTATATTTCAAAAGTTAAGAAAAAGCTGATTGAACTCTCGTAAATTTTTGTTCTTCTTCCTGTCTTTTTCAATCTCACAAATTGGATTCATGTTCATCATACATGACAGTTGTCTTTTGTTATAGAATCACATTTGCAATCCGAGATGAGAAGACATAAAGCATAAAACATGAAAATTGTGTTCGATAAATTAGAGAATGAATGTGGAATGAAATTTTTTTCAATTGAATGAAACGTGATGGAAATAGCTTCGTTTTTGTATATCGTTTAACGAAGCATACTTCTTCATCATTAAGCATTAAATATATGTCGGCGATATATGAAAACTTATGGCAATAAATTGTGAAATGCATCGACACAAATCAATGTAAAGAAATTGCTTTCGATTCGTTCAAGATTTGATTCAAATTTATAATTTTCTCATGAAGGGTTTGCAAAATTTATTAAAATTTGTCTTTACAGCAAATAAAAGCTTAGTTTTTAATAATTCAACTTTGAGACTCAACTAAACATTTCTAATCTTCATTAAGACTCTTCCGACATTCTTCAACGGGATAGTTTTGCCAATTTGCGCTATTTATTCATAAAAGGTAACCCTCATCTACATGAAAGTACTATTGAATGTCAAAGGGTAGCAAGGATGCTGATTACTGTTGCTACTCATTTGGTTACAGACTTTAATTCAACTGTCAGAAACGTGTAACCCTTTTATGACCTTTTTCCATTAGAAACGATTGCAAAAATTCGTTAACGAGATGCGCTGCATTGTAGCTGTTTATGTCGAATTGAAATTTATGTAAATCAATACTTTTTTAAAAAATAGAAAACAATTTTTTTTATTTCGCATCCCATCCATCGAATCGCATAAATTATCTTTCCTTTTCAATGGAGAATCAGTGCAACAAAGCACACAAATATTGACAACCCCTAAAATCAATAAAAAATGTGCATGACACATTTTCATTAAAAATTAATGTCTGAATGAATATTCATGTTTTGAAAGTTCCGAAGAGGAAAAATTAGACAATGAGAAAGCGAAGATAAAGGCGGCTTTAGCTTTTATGATGATGCTTCACTACAATGTGGCATGAACAAACATGACACCAAAATCCTTTTGTTGGTGAGTTCGCAGTCAAAAATTCATAATTTATTGGATTTAAAATAAATTGACTATCGAATGGAATTGCGCAAAAAGGTTGAAAAATGAGATAAAGAAGCGAATTTTAATTTTTTTTGATTTCATGTTGTATGAAATGAAACTGTCAAAAGTTATGATTAAAGAGATGGCAAAGGGTCGGAGTGAGAATCATTTTAATTAATGGTCCTCGAAAGTCTCGTTCAACGTTTTTATCAACTGAAATCGATCTTGATCTCTTTTAAATAACTTTTTGATGACTCGATTCGAGTACTTTTAGTGGATGTTAGGCACAAAAATCAAGTTTGAGTGAGTTAAGTGTCACAGGTAGCTTCGCTAACGATTCATTTCCTTTCACAAACTTTTTTTTCCTTATCATCGTTTCGTTTCCTTCGCCGATTGCTGGTGAAAGGTGTTATTCGGTTATTCAATCCCATTATTTTCGATCAGTTGTAAAAGGAGAAAAATATTAACAAAACACCACCAGAAAAGCATCAACAATGTGAGATATTTATTCATTTTGCTTAGGGTTGCAAGAAATCTTTCTTTCCTTCCAACCCTTTCAATGAACTTTGCAATCGCTACAGGTATGAAATTTTTTTCCGCGTCTTCAACCCTTCAAACACATTTCAAATATATTTTTTAAACCCTGTGCGAATCGACTCTTTATTGGCAATCAGAAAAAAACATCAACCAAACAGCATCACATCACATACCTACTTGTTATGCTATTGAATTGTGTTCGTTTGAATGAAATCAAATTATGCTTTTTAATCCGCATTATAATGTTGTTTTGTATACAAAACCGAAAGTGGATTTTAAGATCATTAATGAGAATTTGATTAGAGGTAACAATAGTAAAGATTTTTTCTGTTTATAGTTTGCTAATCAACCGTTCTTCAACAATCTTTCTTCAAGCATTCATAATTTCTAAGTTGGAATCAAATTTGTCATGTTCCATCCAACACACATCGACTTTTACTCAAATTATATCAAATTCATAATAAAGTTTTTAATTATTCTTCAAGCTGTATCTTAGAATAATGAAAGAAGCACATTTTCCTTTCATAATAATAATAATAATGATAATAATGTTTACAGCTTTCTACTGACATCCTTAGAAAAATTCCCCATGCGTACGATGTGTGTACACGCGTTCGATGTTTTTCGAGGCAATTTCCGAGTTTTACAACGCGAGATATTTTCGTTTAATTAAGTTTTTTGTTGTTTTTTAACATCCTTTCCCATCATGTGCTTTCTGGTATTCTTTCAACATCAACATCACACGACATATGAGAAAAGTGAAGACTTCAAGTAACGGATGGTTGAGTAAGATTCTAATTAAAACTTTATCATAAATTTGGAACCCATTTCAAATGGATTTTAATTTATTCGCCTTTTATGATGATAAGCGTCAAGTTTGCATTCGTGCTAGTACCGCCATATGTATACATTAGGGAATGGAAAACTTATCCACATGCCACAATCATTTCTGATACGAGAAAGAACGAAATGGTTGATGAAATTCTCTTGCTTCACCCTTTAAACCTTCTGCACATATCTACATATGTACACTACATATAGTAGTCGTCATACTTTGTGTGGAATGATGACGACGATGGTTAAGTGGAGAGTGAAGTTTCTCGTTCGTCTTTTATGTGTTTACGGTACATCTAAGATGTCAAAATCATTTAAATTAAATTGGTTAAAACAACACAAGCGACAGATAGGGAGAAGGGAATGTGAAGATGAGTTTTAGTTTTTCGGTTAATGTCTTCTCATACTTCCTTTTATCATGCCTATGAGGCCATAACAAAAACAACTCTGCACTTGTCAGAATGAAAATATATGAACATACGAAAAAAGCGGATGTGTGGGAGGAAAAGCGGGTGAGTGAGAGAAAGAAAAAATGGTGGAATAAAAGGGAATGAACGCCATGAATGGCGAATGATATGGAGTTAAATGTATGGAAAATGCTATAAAAGCCTTGTGGCCCGTGTACGGCTTGATGACTGAAATGTTCTATTTACTATACACATGTGGGTGCTGCGAGATAATGGAAAATGGTTTCGCTCGTCTTATATGTACGTACAGACTGTACATATATCCGAGTCTTTCGGGAACATAAAAAAGCGACCCTTTGTGTTGTGCCTTGTCGTTAATGCTAACGTGGGGAATAACAAGAAGAGTTCACTGAAATAGACATAATTTCCTATTTTGTATCCAACGTCATAAAATATAAAGAAATCCCAGTGGGAGGTGAACATGTGTAGGTTCACCAGTAAACTTTCAAAGAAAATGTCGATGGCTTCTCATTTCATTTTTCTTTATAACCAAATGAAACAAAATATCTAATCATGTAGTGTAAATGTTTTCATAAAACTTTTTTCTTTTCTCTTAAAGTTGAGAGATTTGAAAGAAAAGAAAATTTGTATAAATTTCCATAATAAATTAAGTTCCAAGTCAACAGTTTGGTTGATGTTTGGAAATAAATTTTCTCTGTTATGTAGAAGATATCTAAAGATTGACTTTCACAAAGCCTTCAACTCGCTTGAAAGCATGAAATAAGTGAAAAGACCATCATCAATATTCCAACATGTTAGAAACGTGTGCGCGTATATAGGAAGATACGAATACAATTTTCTTTGGTCATAAATCAATGCTGTTGATATTAAGTAACTCAACTTGCACAACCCAAGAGGGTTTATGCTCGGTGATGGAAGAAAAATGAACGCCCTCGTATAAATATTTTTGTGTGTACGCATATAAAGAGAATTAAGCTTCGAAGAATGTATAATTTTTTATGTAGATGAATGTGGTGAATTTGCATAGCCGGAGGAGGAAAAAGAAACAAAATTTATGGGAGAACGTTAGTGTAAAGTTGAAAAGGGTTTGTTGATGACGTTTCGAAATGGTCATAATTTAAAGGCTATTAGGGGATGAGAAAAAAACTTCCCTGACGCCATAACGATGTTGATCAAATTTTAATTGGAAATTTCTGTCAATTTCAAATCCAATGGACCCTCTTTCAATCAAAAAACAACATAAGCAGCATGAATCATCTTACTTCATTTCAAATTGTTTTTTAAATTCTAAGAGAAAAATATCTTTCGATTATTTAAAAGCTAAAACAATTGAATTTCCCACTGCTTCTTCTAACACTTGATTGACGTTTGAGTTGATCGAGAATATTTTTCATTTCATCATTCAATCAACAAAATGAAAACAAAGACAATAGCATGGAGTGAGTGACACACATCAGAGTTGATTCTTCCAGCTCACTGATGTGTCGATGTGCGACATAAAATAAGCAAAGAAATGCAAATTTCGCACACTGAAAATTGAATTCAATAACAATCAAATTTTATTTCGCGCTGGTATCGCAGCACTCTAATGTCCTGAAGGGGGAAGAAAGAATGAAATGAAGAGTAAGAAGAAAAGTCTTCACGACACCTTTCACTCTCTCACATCTTTTACAGCGATCATAAAACGCAGCAGAATTTCTTAAGCTTCTTTCATTTCTTTTTTATTTGTCATCATACGAGAAGAATTTTTTTTATCGCATGGTAGATTATTATTGCTTTTTCATATCCGCTACGTTGCGCCCAAGAGCGGTGAATTTTCAAATTGAATAAAAGATAAGAAAGAATGGAGCGAAAAAATAAAAAAAAATTTGTTTGCCAAATGAAAGACGTCGAAGCCCTTTTCTAATATTTTTTAATTTTTCTGCATGTTTCTTTCGATATTATTATTTTTCTTCCAATCTATGCGCGAAAAGTACCCCCGTTGGTTTCTTATCTTACAGCTTAAACATTGAAAGGGAACGGTGAGATGTGAAGAGAGTTAACCGGGGGTCGGATTTACATTCACTCCGTTTTTGATTTTTAACATCTCGAAGTTCGCATGAAATTTTATTACGTATCGAGGAAAATAAATAAAATGTTTGCGAAATTTAACCTGACGAGAGGGTGAGACTCACACTTCGCTCTTCTTACTTATCAGCAAATGGAACTCTCCTTTAGCTTTTCTTTTTATTCATTTAAATCCATTTCAGTTTCTTGAGCACGGATGGGTGGTGTTGTAAGTACTTTTGTATGTCGTACACTCTTTTTTTATTTTCATTCCATTCCGTTCGTCCCGATTTCCTCCCACCACATACGCCATTACTTATTGAAAAAGTGTAAACTCATTTTTCGCTATGGTGTCACCTCCATTCCTTCTTGCTTGCCTTCTCAACCGATAACGCGTTTCGCAAAAAAAAGAACAAGAAATGCGGGAATGGTGAGAGCAGAAGGTAAATAAATTATAATTTCGAGAAAAGAAACGAAGGAAAGCGAAAATCATGTGCGGGGGTGGGTCGGCTCCGGTTGAGAATGGTGATGAGTTGAAAACCTCTTCTCACTGCTTCTCATCCCATTTCTTATGGCACCGGAATAAAAATGAATTCCCTTTTAGCAATACACATTTTTCGCGAGCTCTTTATCTTCACATGCTTTCCTTACTTTCTTTTTACGATGATGATGTAAGTGAACGGTGAACAGTAAACGAACGGTGTGCTGTACCGGGGAAAATGGTAGCTATAGAAATTTATGTACATAAACATTCTTTCCTGTCACTCCAACTGCTCAACTGGAAATTGGTATTTTTCCATATCTCCAACAAGCAAAGCACACTTAGTTGAGTTGGAATTACGAGAAAGATAGAAAAAAGCATGTGGAAGGTAAAAGGGAAGTTGAGTATTAAGGATGATTGAAGCTTTGCATCAAATAATGAATTCAATTAAATTTACGATTAAATGTTAATCGAAAAAAAGAAAAGTTTTGAATTCTTCACATTTTTACTCAATGGGAAAACACAAAAATTCCATCTCATTTAACTTTCGTGTTATTCATGATTCAAATATAATCAACACGGATCAACAACGTGATAGATAACAAAGAAAATACATTTTCCATATATGAACTTTTCATTTCAATTCTTTGTTTGAATGAAATTCTTTTGAACTTTTATCGAACTTTGCATTCTTCCTTTCTTCCTGTCGTTTCACTTACTTAACGTGGATTCCTTTAGAAATATGTGGAAAGTTATGTTGTAGTGAATGAAATATTTCATTGTTCAGCAAGATAAATGCTCTTAGCGACGTAAGCTTTTGTTAATATTCTCACTATCTTAACAAAAACCATTCTTATATCTTGCATTTGTCATGAAGCCCTTTGGCTAAGACATTAAATAACATCAAATGCTGACATTAAATAGAGGAAGCAATAAAAGAACGACATAGAACGAGGGTGTACCGTACATAAGCCAACATACGATGATTAAAGATCAGAAACTTTTAACATTGCCATCATTTTTCTCTCTCCCTTGTCGATTATGATATGAGAAAAAGAAAATGTGTAATAAAATGAATGTCATTTTAACAAGCATTAAGTTCAATGTTCTATAAAATAAATATCGGAACTCAATATCTTCCCGCTCATTTTACCATTCCGCTTAAAATAAATGTATCAAATGATCAAATGGCTTTCGCTTTACTCATCCCAAGCCACCACCATCGTCTTTCCTTTCCACCATAAATGACAATGAAATTTAATGTGATAACTCGAATAAATTTTCCATAATGTTTTATGTACTGTGCAAAATGGACTCGTTGCTTAAAATTACTTTCATTGTAAATGTAATACGAAGCGGAGGTGGTTTCTGTCAAAGAGAACAATCAAAATGGTGGATGAATAATGTTTTGACATCAAATAGATAAATTGATATCTTTGTATTCCTTGATGTGTCTCAATGGGATTTCAAAAAACATTTGGAACACTGTATGAGTTTCAGATGAGGAAAATATGGGGAGAGTGAGTGAGTGAGGGATGAAGAAAGAGAGAAGAAAGTTGATGGCGAAAAATATCTAATTCCACCACCTTGAGTATTCGAGGGAAAAGTAATTTGTTATTCTCATTCTTCTTTTGCGACATACCAGCAGACCTCAAACCCCTTTTTTATCTTTCATGTCGGTGAAAATAGAAAATTCGCCTGTAATGCCTGGAAAACTTTCGCTATTGATGACGAAGGATGTTGAATGTATATAAGTATGTATGAAGAGCGTGGGGTTGAAAGTTATTAATTAGAAAACTATGTTCGCCCTCGCTTCCTACGTTAAACGAATTAAAACCGCTCAAAAGCAGACTCATTGAGAATCAAAATTTTGAAAGCGTATGAAGATAAACAAGTTTCTATGGCACTCGATGTTAGAAATGGAAGAAGCAAGGAAAGGGGAGAAGCTGATTTACAGCAAAAGAGAATAGTAAATTTCACCATCTTCGACATGAGATAATTCTAGGTAGGGAAGGAAATTTTTGAGACAAAAGTATTAATTAAAACCACAAAAACACATTTGTTAGCGAACGTTCTTAATTTATAAGAGTTTTCCAGTTCGTTCGTCGTACAAACAATGAATTAATCGAAATGGAAAAATTATTCGACGGAGAAATTATGTGTGGGATAAAGATGTATCTTTGCGAATGTTATTTGTTAATTATAATGAGGTAGAACGAATGTGAGGGAATTTTTTTCATTTGTTGATATTTGTGAGTGTTTAAAGACAAAAATTACGTGCTTGAGAGGATAATTTGGATTAAAAATTTGTTGCCACTTTGTCTGAATAAAAAATTATGAAGAAAGATTTGATATTCTTCGATTAACTATTGTGCGTTGTCATGACTTTTGTCTCGATATGCTTGACATTCTTGAAATGTTGTTGAACTTACTCTCAATTTTTGATGAAAGGAATAAAATATTTGTCGTCGACAGAAGATAAACCAAACCTGTGACATTCATTTACTATTCTAAGTTCCTCAGAGATTACTGTAGACGTTTTCACGAGAATAATTTAATTTCATCATGTGTGAAGCAGATTTTGAATTGTATTTTAATTTAAATTTTATTTAATTCCAATGTTTTCGTGAAATGAAATAACAAAAAAATATTTAGAAACGTCACTCACTATGAATTTTCAGCAGCCACGAGTTCATTGATTCCATCAGCAAAGTTTTTGACCGTTTCATATTCTGTTAAGCCAAATCGTTTGATATTGCAAACTTCGTAGACAGTTTCATTTATTTTAGAAATTTTTATGGAAAGCTTTGTAGCTAATTCGCACATCTTTTCTTCGTTTTGTGGAAGATTCACAAGATTTAATTGGCATGATAAATGAAGAGTATTTCCAAGAAATTCCGGTGAAAATGTCAAAAATCCAAAACGTTCATGTTGAGTGAAAGCAAATATTTTGTTAAACTTTGTTACGCCTTCAACTAAACGTTCATAAATGTTTCCTAGGAATTTTAAGTTGATTAGAATACAAAACAGAACAATAAATTAAACAAGTTTCTTACTAATATTTCCAGTATTTTCCTTAGAAATAAAACGCAAGTGATCTTCTTCGTTACACCAAACAGCAAATCTGTTATCATCAGTGACATAAATTCCACGACCTGTCGGCCAAAATCGTGTAGCATTTGCAGCAATATTAATTTTGTTGTTATCATTAAACATGAGATTAACGCTTGCAAGTTTCTTTTTAACTTCATCGTTCATATTTTCAAGAAGATGAAATTTTCCTTTAAAAAATCCACTGAAACATTTTGTAGGAGAAAATTTTTCGACGATTTCTTCAAACTGTTGTTCCGTCATAATTGTTACAAACGGGTAATTTTCTATCGAACGACGACATTCAAAACGAAGAGAAATGATTGCTTTCTCAACATTTATTGCAGGTATTTTGCATGATTCTCCCCAATCGATATTGGGATGAGAATCTTCTTTGCTGATGTCATGAAACTCTTCAATAATCGGATCAAAAAGTGATGAAAAGACTGCGTAAGCATCGGGATCACATGCAAAAACTCCCAGTGCAAGATTTGGCATTTCAAGTGCAGATTGAATGCAATCGAATAAAGTTCCATTGAAACTTGTTGTAACTTCTTTCAGTTCATTTAAAACGCTTTGAGTTAAATATTTCTTGAGTAAAGATGAGTCAGCTTGGCAATTTGAAAGCTCCTGATTCAACTTTTCGAAAATTGTTGTTAATTGAAGTTGAATCTCACTGGATGAACGCTTGATGCTTCCTTTCAAACGCGACAATTCACGTTCCAGCTCAGCAATCTTTTTATTAGCTTTCTGCAGATCAGTGTGCATTAAGGCAAATTGTTGATCATTGGGGCAATTTTCACAGAGATTATTCCGAATAAACTTGATAGCATCTTCAGGTTGATTAGGCAATTCATAGAGTTTGACAAGAGCATTTGTCAAATTCCGAATTGCTCCACTTTGTTCCAAGTAATGATTGAATTCTTTTCGTTTTTTTTGAAGTTCCTGACAAGTCATAATCATTATGATATTGAAATTTACATATAGCTTTCAATACTTACTGAATCCATGCTTTATAATTTATAAAGGAAATTTTTGTTCTCTGCAATTGAAAATATTTCAAACGCTTAAAATTTAGTAAGTACTAAATTTTAATTCGCGGGGCTTTCAACTAGTTTAAAACAGGCATTGGAGATGGAGACTTTTCAAACACCGATTTACGAGTTTTAATTAAAAACTGTATCAGTTTCCTACTTGTGCAGAAAGCATTCAACAATCCCTTTCATAAGAAAAAGATAAAATACAAATATCATTGAAATACTCTCTGAGAATTAAGAATAAAATATTTTAATATTCAAATGTTTTGTTTGAAAAGCTCGTAAAGCAGAATTTTCTTCATCAAAAATTGTATGGCATGTAATTTGTCATCGTAATTTAGACATTCCGTCGCTTTCAGCAAGAGTCGCATTATCTTTCAAAAATGAAAAGTAATATATGATTTGTTCTTATGAATTCCAAGCAACTTATAAACGAGAGGCTTGATGGAAGGAAAGTACATCGGAATTATATTCAATCTTAAACTCATTTCGTTTTGGTATATTCCTACGTATGTGTAGATTGCTATTTCCCTGATTTTTTATGTCAAATTTCTCCCCCCCGTTATCTACATGCAAATGAAACTCTTCATTTCGCCTTCACCTAAGAGAGCTAATATGATGAAGAAAAAAAAAGAAATAATAAGAAATATTTTTTGCTTGAGGAAAGAAGTAAAAGAAGCAAATTTATGGAATATTTTTCGGGGTGGTTATGTCAACCATGAAGCTCATGAATATTCATATTTGCAAAAATCAAATGATGGAGAGAAAGGGAGAGGGATGAGTTGTAAATGCGAATGGAAATATCCATTCCTATCTCAAATGTCGCCCACGCTCCCAAAACATTTTCCACGCGTGGAAATTTTAATATCAAGCTAGCGCACAACATATTTCGCGACGAAGAACGAAGGATATGTGTAATGTTTGTACGGGTTTTGATTAAAAAAGGATATAACAAAAGGTTTGTTTATATTTGTTACCAGTTTTTCCGCGGGGCGCTTGGGGCTGTCTTTCAACGTTGTTATCTGTTTGACTCGGCAACATCATGACAGGTTGAAACCCTCCCAAAGAATGAAAAGCCTTTTACGTTCGCATGATAACAAGGACAAAATTACATGAAGAAATGTTATTGTGTACATTTTTGGATATAAACCGTGCTCATATGAGATAAAATTTTACGGGAAAGTAGCGAAGAATGGAATGGCATCTAACAGGATCATAGATTAACTTCACAAAGACGGTTTGAATTGTTAAAATTACTTTCTTTCTATTCTGAAAATATAAAAAGTAAAATATATTAACAATTTCATTTTATTTTATGAAGTTTTGATCATCTTTATTGATTCTTTATCTAGGAACATGATGTTGGTTAAATGAGCGTATTTTTATCCAAACAATGCGAATTCTTTCTTTTTCCTTTTCTTTGAATTGCAGATACACAAGAAGTTTGCTGCTTTTCTTCTGCGTTTTAATAAGATAAGCACCATTTTCTTAAATCAAATTCCACGTATGAGCTTAAACATCGCCATAGCAATCTACGCTTTGTATGTTTAAGACTTTCTTCATTCTGCTTATGTCAAGGATCTTATCCCACGAAAACAATTTTCTTTATACAAGATTTTCTTAGCGAATTTTCTTTGGTTAATCTTGGGGCTGGAAACATTTCATTTTCATCAATCTCATTCCGTCGATGTCGTTTCGCTTTCCTTTCAATCCATTTTTGTACAGCTCTGTAGTCATTTGGATCGGAAAGAGACTCACAACCCACACCGTATCGAATGTAGTGTAGGATAAAGGATTTTCTTCTCGATTCACATCATGAAAACGAACGAAGAGAAAAGCGTCAAATGAAAGAAAGGAAAATAAAAGAAAAGAAAAATCCGAATTCCAAGATGGTATATGGCGTATGTGGATCGTATTTCCATATAAATGCTGACATTTTATTAAATCTTTTTACTGCTTAACGAAAGTTCAACTTTGGAAATCGCTATATAAGCATGGGTAAAGTCAGAATTTTCGAATGGAAGGAGAAAGAAGCGACAGCGATTTTGAAGGGTGAGCTTATCGTTTGTTTTATGTATACAAAATAAATTTAATATTATTCGTTTTATTATTATTACATCGCGGCAACATAAACTTTATCTTTCGTAAAATACTCTGATATATGGAAATTGCCACCTAAAAATCTCGTTCTAACATATACGACTGGGCCATGCCACAGCCTCAGCCTTTTCACTCAAGCAAGCAAAAATCCATTAATGAATTTTCCTCGAAAAGAAAAGCAATTAAAAATTTCTCGTGATTACATGCTCGAGGTTTTCATTTCTAAGCATTAAGAAAGCTGCGTCGTCATTTTGAAATTTATTTCATTATGAGAAGATGAAAAGAAAGGAGTGGGAAATGTGAAAGACTTTCATACATTTTGTCACCACATATGGATATATAAGCGACTTAACAACGTCAAAATTCTTTTATAAACGAAACGAACGGTTATGAAAATCAAATTAGGTGAATTTTCCTTTCCAGCTTAAGCCACTTCGTGCGTATGTGCGATAAATTAATGTCGATTTAGTTGAAAAGCTTTTTTTCTTCTTATTTTGCTTCGTGAACTTTACAAATTAAATTTATCAGAAAAAAATAACGTAATTTGTGAGTTAGTTAATCATAACGAACTAAGAAACTCAATTCGCTTACTTCAACAACGTTAACATATTTCGATTTTCACCGAACATCATCCATTTGCTTCTTCTCCCCCTTCGTTTGCAAATTACAGCAAGCAAAAATAAAAAAAGGAAAAAATTCTCAATTTTGCACAGTGAAAGTAATAAAGAGAAAACAGAGTGGTAAAAGACCTGAAACCATTTTAACGTATTTCCAAACGATGTGGCGATGGTGTAGGTGTAGGTGAAATTAATGCTGGTATGAGAATAAAATGAAGGGAAAATATCGACAGCGTGTATTGTGTATCGACATCGAATGTGTAATCTGCTGCTTTGGATACAACAAATGGAAAACTCTCCACCCCAAATATCATCTCGACAGTTCGAATTGATGACTTCTGCACGTGTAGTGGTGTTTTCTTTCTTTCTTTCATTCCTTTTTTTTTTGCACAAGAAGTAACCAACAACGCCACCCTTCGAAGAGAATGTTTCAATAAGCGAAATCACCCTTCGCGAAATGTTGTCTGATGCGAAATGTGAATTCCAAATCCTCGAATTTCTACTTTACTATACTCCACAATGAACTGGTATCGTATCGAAGGGAAGAAAATTTCAGCCCCGGGGAGGGGGTGGAGAGACAAGAGATCTACATACAGATGAGTTGGAAAATAGAAAATAAATTTCCATCGCCTTACGGTCGTAAAATTCATGAAGATATGCGGGCGAGCGTAAAATCCAACAAAACTTCTCAAATGGAATTTTCCTTCACTAGTCACGGAGCTTGGTTTGGGTTGAGTTGGGTTTGCGTGGGTGGACGGCTTTCACCACACCTCACACTCCAATAAAATGGATTTAGTTTGGGCACAAATACACAATAATTTTCGTTCACCATCGCTTGATATTATGACTATGACCGTTGCTAAGGCCCGTTGCTATGCTGAAAAGAAGGAAAGTTTTCATTTTGTTGCGATGGTTGATTTGCGGTCACGTTCACCCCCTTTTCAACTTCGCCTTTCCATTCTGCCGCTTTTATCTTCATGTGAGGGGTCGACGTTGATAAAACAGCAAATTTTACAAGACGGAATGAACGTTCGTTCACTGCCTTTGATGTTTTCTATCATAATAATCATACACACACAAAAATAACTTTTTTGTTGCAAAGATGAGAGAATGAAAAGTTGAAGAAGAAAATGGAAAATGGTTGAGCATTCACATTAAATGGAAAATGGTTATTTTCATCCTTTGATCATGTGTTTGAGATTCTTATGTTGTAAGAGCATGACTAGAGCGATATTAATGGATTTTCTTCTTCTTTTACTTTCATTTATGGAGAATATTGAAGTCATTGATGTGTCCTTTTTATGATTTTTATTCTCATCAAAGTAGATACTTTTGTTTGATGGAGTTTAATGATTAAACGTAGTACATTTCTTACTCTGACGCATTTGCTATTTTCTGAAGCAATCATTAATCCTTTGATCATCTGCGTCAAAGAAGAAGAATCTTATGCAACTCCATTAAAAAGAAAAAATTATGATAAATGGTTTGTTTATGCAGGAAGAGGGTTGACGTCATTTTTATGATTGTGGCTTGATGTCGATTGTCTCTAGAGACTTCGAAAAGGTTCATAAATTTTAACTGCAAATTCTTGCAAGTTGAATTGTTTTCATAAATAAATAGAAATACTTTTTAACGTCCATCACTCCTTTACAAACGACATTCATTTGCATATTTTTTCTAGCTGTCGCCGAATGGTCAGCGTGTTGTGAATGAGAAAAGCGAAAGGTCAAAGTGTGACAACATTTCTGGTAAATTGACCCTTCACTAATAATTCCAAAAGGCGACCCTCGGCTGGACATTCGTTCAACACATTTGCATTAAGTTTCATTATTCTTGCGCTTGTTTATGCTTTTGCCTTCTTCGTGTTCATAAAAAATGGTTTTATTGGTCAGACAACTGAAACATGAATTATGGACGATGGCCGGTCGTTGGCAATAATGTAATTAATTTGGTTGATTTAACACGAAATTGCTGAATGAAGATTTGATTAATGTTTAATTATTTCAATGATATTTAAATTTTTTTTCTTTTAAATCACTTTTTGGATCTTTGTCTAAGAAAATTTAGTTTCAACATGAAAGTTTTGTCACTTCAAATCTTTTCTGCAACTCTTTTTAATCTCAATTTTTGTCATTAAACTTTTATCTGACTAAAATATTTTTGTAAAAATTTAATTCACAATCAAAAACTGTTCCTACCAACTCAACTTTCAATTCAATTATGATTTAAATTCAACCATCGTCTACTCAACTCTCTGCAGCACATCAGGAACATATCAAATGATTTCTACCTGAATGATTTTAATGTATCGTCAGCGGGCACGATGTCGAGAGAAAAAAAATTCTATTTTACATAACAATGCTTTTGTTATATTGCGGAACTGAATAATATTTTATTTTTCTAAATTTAACCAATCTAAAGGATCAAAAGGACTCTCAAAGTCTTTTAGCATATGCAACGCGAAAGAGATTCATTTCATATATGAAAGGATTGTGTCATTCAATGAAATTATGTAAATTAATTTTTTATTGTTACAAACTAACACTGATGGAGGACGAGACTCACTTACTCTGGTGTGCTGCTGTTCTGATATTAATAATTCATATATTCAGTGACAAAATATCTGTTAGTTTTCTCCACCTTTACATTACATTTCGAAAGAGTTTTATTGCGCAATCTGAAAACATCAAGTTCTGGATACAATGAAAAGCAATTTCCAAGGTGTCACTGATAGAAATCTTTCGATCACATTTCGCTTTTATTCTATTATTGAAAGCAACACTTTTTGAATGAACAATGAAAATATCTTTAAAGATATTTCCATTTCCCTGTTTTATGAAAAGATAAACAAAAGTGAGACGAAACTCATCGAAAGGTCTTTTTATTGATATTGGTCTTGAAGCCCCAACGAATTTAACGATAATATTGTAAAAGGGAAGTCAATGAAAGGGTATCAGAAAATATCTCACACTCTCTACAGACTCACAATCCATCAAACTACGACTCTTCTTCCACATAATTTCTTTAAAGACTCTCTTCATTGTTTCGCAAACTAAGGAAAGGGTTGAAAGATGGAAAATGTTGCTTAATGGATTGTTGAATTTGTTTTCTAAGAAATATCTACGACAGTTTGTACATAAGAAAGAAATTGAAATTTCCTCGGATTACTGGGCTGTTTAAATAGGTAAAAGGGTTTGTGGAACTGATGTTCAAGTCTCTCAAGATGAAATTAGATCACATGACATAATAGATACATAAAATTAAACAGAGAAGAAAGGGTTTCTGTATTTGAATGTGAAAAATTCTTTAAAACAGCTTCAAATTTTCACCCTCAAAAATTACTTCTTATTATCTCAATGTGGAAATGAACGAGCGTATCAAGATGAACTACCAGAATGCGTATACATTCCTTAAATTTTATTCCGACGAAAAACATTTACAATCAAATACTTTTTACATTTTTACGCAAATTCAGTTGAAATATTTCCTGTCACGACTTTTCGACAAGGATAATAAATTTTCATGCAATGACTGGGTGCGTTTGCAAATGAATTGGGTCACATATGTCGTAGGGAGTTGAATTGATATCCGGATGAAATCTTGCACAATTTAAATGTGTTGTGTTCAATCAATTACTGTTATTTCGTAGTTTTTTAATGCATTGAAAGAAAGTAATAAAATGCATAATTTGCGAGTTTTGATTTAAATATAAGCATATGCTCGTTAAATAGAAATAATAATTCCAACATTAATATTTGTAATGAGGCGAAACCAACATAAACCGTTTTCAAAAATGGCTGATTTTAAAACACTTTAACATCACATAAAAAATCAAGAGTTCTTCGAATTGAATTCTGACCACATACAGCGTCACTTTAAATGTGTGACTCAAGAGTTTCCACTTCAAATTTGAATAAATTTTCATCTTTCAACGTGTTGCTTGATCGATAAGATTTTTTCAAGATAAAACACTTTGAAACAATTCAAAATGATTCATTGTGTTATTTTCAGCATCCCTGATCAGATTTACAGTAGCACAATAAGTTATAATTCAACAAAAGGAAGGGTTTAAGAGATAAATTACCTGGCTCTGGTTTAAATCAGCTCAGCTCTTAAAGAATCAATTTCTTTCTTTGCCACTTCAAAGTTTACACAACTAAATCACAAGGAATTGATAGTTTCATTGTTGGTATTGATTACTTAAAGTGCAGGTAGAAGATTTAACCAGATTTCATTCTTTGAAAAAGATTTTGTTTGCATGACAAATATAAAAATACCTGAAAATAGAACTTTGAGTGGGCGCTTGTACTTAAAATTGTTTATTCAAATGTTTGTCACTAACTCTCTTTGTTCTTGTTGTTTATTCAGTGAATGTATATTTAGCTAGCTCTAACATTTAACGTAATAAATCTTTCAACAAATTTTCTTAACCGTCTTTCGTTGATCTTAAGAAATTTCATGAAGTAATCAACTTCGTTGTGAACTCACAAATCCCACATTTCTCATGAAATATTCTTTGTAAATCCCTTCTCAGCGTTTTATGCAAACTTCTCGTATTTGCATCAATTGTTAAATCCTTTTCTGAAGGTTCCTGGGGATCTTTCTTTATCTTGGTGAGAAATAAACAACTTGAATCAATAGTTTTGCAAACTTAAATCAATTTTTGAATTTCTTATGACAATCAATTGAGACATTATGCAATTTCATGCATATGGATTAAATAATGAATAAAAAGAAATGTTTCTGCCTCTCTCGAGAGGGTAAAATTTAATCAAATTTGCCTATTCAATTGTGAAAGCGTTTCTCAGGTCATGTCGGAAAAGAAAAAACGAAAGGGGTGAAGAAATTCTATTCTCAAGACGTGATCGATTTTAATTTCGTCTCAGTTTCCTTTTATATCCAAAGCAATGTTACCTGTCGTCGCTGTTGCATCTGCATAATTTCATTTTGCAAAAAGCAGCGTGTGAATAAAATATTTTCGTTGTGCAATGTCTTCAGAGACATTAACAAGGAAGTTTAGAAATTGCAGCAATGTTCTCGTCAACGTCAAACATTAAAACGTTGAGAAAAAGAAAAAAAAAACGAAAAAAGTTTACGTCAAACGTCTTGTAAGCGAATTAAAATTTATTCAACTCTCGTATCCGGAATTAAAAAGCATGGAGAAGATGAAGGCAAGCAAATGTTTTGCGCACGGCAGGAAATAATCAAATTTATAATCTCATGTGGATGGGATTGAAGATTGTTCCCCATAGGCGGGATAACAAAAAAAAATGAAAGAAAAGATGGAAAAGTCAACAATAACAATAGCTTTAGGATGAAATGAAAATAAGAAATGAAAATGAAACAACGTAGATGGGATTAAAAGCTTTCTTAAACTAGAGCGCTCTTATCATGAGAGTTGAATAGAAATGACATGCGAATGAACGTGAAAAGGTTAATTTGATATGAAGATGTCACCCAGGTGACAGAGTTTGCTGAACATTCCCTTTCTTCTTCATAATATACTGAAAAGATAATGATCTGAAAATTCTTAATTTAAGAATAAAATAATCTTGAATTGATAAAAAAGTTTGCTGATTTCTCTGGGAAGATCTTTAAACCTCAAAAAAAAAAAATTGCAAAACATAAAAAAAGGAAAAACGGTCGAGATGTAAGCATACATTTATATTTTATGCATGCAAATGGAAGATGAAAAGAAATAGAAATTTCCAAAGCACACATAAAAAATAATAAGAAGAAATCTTTCCACCATTATATGATGTGCGCGCTATAGTTCTTCATCATCTAATTTCACCCTCTCTCTCTCTCTTTCTCCCTCTCTTACTATTCGTATTTCATTTTTCGAAGCGAACCCGAAGTTAAACAGCACATCATCCCTCGCATATACGCGACACATACTACATGCATGAAACGCTACATAAATTTTATTTTCCATATCACAAAAATAACTATGGCTTCGCCCTGTGTGCTCTTCAGCTCTTTATATACTTTCTCTTACTCACCCCGGGCTTTAGCTATTTGTGCGAACCATGTATATGATGACGGAATGAATGGGTCGAAGAGAAATGTAAATGGGAAAGTTGTGTATTGTGTGCGGAGGGTGGTTTAGCTTTCATACTGTCCGCGCTATATTTCGTACGAATACATAAATTTTCCAACCCCTTGCTCTGCTGATTCGGCTTTTAGCTTGTTGTTGCTGTTGTTATTGTTGTTATTTTTCATACCTTTTATGTCCACCCTCACGTACCATCCATTCTGCCTTTTCTTCTCTTCCATGCGCACCGCGTTTGTATTTGTAGAATGAAGACAAAAACTTTCCTCTCGATATTCGCACGTGTATGAGTTTGTTAGGTTTTTACCCTCGCTGAACATGTAGAAAATATAATCAAATTTATTTCTTTTACTCATTCCCATGCTGTCCACAAAACATTTCATGATCCGAGTTGAACTGAAAGAATCTTTTTTACACCCACGCAAATATGTTTCAAAAAATGTTTCTTGTGATTTTTTTTAATTTCAGGAATTGATCGATTTCGAAAACTAAATAACCATACACATGTACACACAAACACACACGCACAACCAATTGTTTTACACTATTTTGAGGGGTTTTTCTCACTAAATATTCAATATGAAATTTTCCACAAATTCGATTGATTGTGTATGTTAACTTTTATATATTTTCAATACTCAAACTTTCCTCATGAATTCATTTTTGAAGAATCCAAAATTTCTAATTCGCTATCTTTGTGAATGTTTCATTAAATAACTTTTGACTTCCGAATCTTTAAACAATAAAGTTTATGGAATCAATTTACATAGACATCTATTTTTCACGTAGATATATAATGGTTGAAGATAATATTCAAAGCAAAAGGGATGACATTGTCTTTCTCCGTGCTTGGGCTCTCGATTTACCCTTCTTTAGCTCCCAAATGTTTCGACAGAAAAAACTGCTGGTGAATATTTTATTGAACTCACTCTACATCGCAAGAACCAACCCAAAAACGAATGAGATTACCATTAAAATAGCTGCTGGTTAGAGCTTTGCATGTTTCACATAATCAATAATTTTTCTCCCTTCTCGAGAGAAGTTTTGGTGCTTCATGGACATCGTAAAACATGGCTGAATGGAATTTTCAATTGGATTTAGACGCGGGGATATAAAAGAAAATTGGAAAAACTGCTCAAATAGGCAAAATGAGTATTTGATATCAATAAAAATCACCCTCGTTTCATCCACATTCAATATCATTACAGTCTTCATTTCGGAGGCCGTTTTGTCGAAAGACCATTAGGATGATGTAAGGAAATGGCAGAGAAATGTTACGCATCATTCGTTCTGCTGTTGTTTTCCTAATGGAGCCTATGCTAAATGCGACACAATGTTGGATAAGCGGCCTTTCTATCTTCCTTTACTTTATATACATTAAGCCTGATATAAAGAAACGAAGAAAAAAAAAAGAAATTCTTTTCCTTTTCCGTTCGTTTCCATTTTCTCTTGGATAATTTTGTACGTTTTCTTTTTTTTTGGCAATGTGAAAACGTTATCGTGACATTCACATCAGAAGAACATCCAACAGCACTTTCGTTTAAAATTCAGTATGGGATAAATAGCATCCATCAAAGCAGCATAACCATTAGGTGATAGGACATTTTTATCCACCCACACAATGGAAAGCTTAATGGCTTCAAAGAAGAAGAAGAAAAAAAAAGGCGATAGAATTTTCTATTTTAGTAATCATCAATGAAGTTCAAGTTTATTTGCATTTAATTATTAGCATTGATTTATGCAGAGCATCAACATGATCGCAATGGGAAGTCCTAACAAATTAACTCGATGTAAACAAGCGAGAAATTATTCTCTCTGAGTGTAATAATAAATGGGTAGCGTAAGTTACGTAGTAAAGAAATAGCAGCAAAAAAAATCCCAAATTTCTTTCATATTTTTCCTTTTTTCATTCACAATTTTTTCCCATCGTGGTTCTCTTACTTCCACTCCATTCTCTTCTCACCCCCGTTACGAGACGGCTGAAAGAAAAAAATCTTCGTTGATAAAAAATGGGAATGCTAATTAAAAAAAATCCGCGAAGTGATTCTTCTCCCTCCCTGTCGCGACGTCATTGTTGTGGAAGGTCGGGATTGTTATTAAGATGAAGGAAAAAAAATTGTTTCATTCTTTTTTTTGCGTAATTTTCTTTTTCCTTCTCTTTAACACAGCACGAGGAAACTTTGCTGTTTACATTTTTTTTTGCTAGAGAATTTTTATTTTCACTTTTCACCATTTGCCTCCCTCTCGCTCTCATCGCTATGTGCACTCAACAACGTGAAGGAATTTCTTTTTTAATTCTGAACAACGTTCGTGCAACTCGAGAAATCATTAAATGTTAATGAAAGAATAAAAATCATACTCTTGAAAGCTTTCAATTATTTTTGATGATGTTGGTGGGAATAATATTTTATGAGGAAAATTATGTTGATGAACTTCAGAGATTTTTTTTCATTCATTCAAATTTTCATTTAATCTTGAAAAACTTGCACGTTTCATTCAATTTAAATGTGAGTTAAATAGATTCTTATTGGATAGTTATTTGAAAGTTTTTCAACTTGAATGATATTTTGAGCAACATAAATTAACGGATTTTTTGAATTTGAAAAAAGCTTTGAGCTTGTTGCGCATAGAAACGTTAAAGGTTTGCGCATAACAGATTCAAAGTTACGTTTTTAGGGGAAATAAGAGAAGGGAATAAAAAATTAAATTATAAAGTTTTTTACTTGATTATTTCATCCGATGTTCAATATTATTTGATATATTAAAATGTAATTAAAGTTAATCATTAAATATAAATAACTTAATTAAATCACAAATTTCTCTATGAATTAAATTCATTAATAAATTGTTTCTTGACATTTATTTGAAGTTCCCCTTCAAAGGAAACATTAACTTGGCCTGCTATTATCGATCTAACAAAATTGTCCAAAGTTTCCGAGCAAGAAAATGTTTTCCATAAACCACACTCGTCAATCTCATGAATTAAATATTGATAAAACAAAAATCAAACTCAAGAAAGAAGAAAGCGTTGGGCACAAGAAAACAAAGCAGATCGCATATTATGCGATGGAAATCAACATAAATCAACTTGTTGTATCCACCCGAACGTCAGAAAGAAAGAAAGAAAAAAGTTTGTGAGGATATTAACCCACATTTGAATTTCATGAAAAATAAATATCTACAAAACATTCACGAGCAATACCGTGACTTTCGTGCACAGAGTCAGTTACCAGCCAAGGGAGAAACAATGAAACTATTGATTTGTGGGTCGAGTGGGAGGAAAACCAATGCAATGACCAATGGTTTGAATGTCGTGCGCTCCACCGAATGTGTTTGATGGTGCCTGGCACTCAACACAAACGTCTAAAAATAATTTAATAACACCGCGCTTCGGTGCTACCTCGACTGGTGCCTTACCAACAATTTTTCTTTTTGATCGTTTTTTAATGGAATTTTCTTATACTATACTCGTACAAATTGGAACAAGACTATTTAAAATCTTGAAAGTGCTTGGGCGTTGATGAAAGGGTTTCCTGTGGCAGCTGAACACGCGTCCTAATTTCTTTTCCCTTTTTTCTTTTTTCCTTTCTAAGTGATTACAAGCCGTAACACGACACCAATAGTCTCCATCATTTTTCATGTTGCAAGATTTTTTTTTATATGCCAAACATCCTTCTCAACAATAATAATAAGTTTAAGAAATCTGCCCACATTCGATGCATTTTCGACTGATGGTCTTAATAAAAAATTCTTTCCAATTGAGTTTCTCCTTTCTGTCGAAGCCTTTTCTTCATCAACCTTTCAATTCAATTAACAGAACATTGAAGGAATTGTGTAATAAAAAAGGTTCCTTTACGCTAACAAAGAATTTAAAGATTGGACTGAAGGTCCTTGGTGATTGTTGCCCAATGAAATATCAGATTAAATTTTGTTTCATTGTTGTCAGTTTTTTGATTATTTTTCTGTTTTCTTGAAGATGTGAAAAGAGTTTGTTCAAGGATTAAATTCTCGCTTTCAATTATTTCAAAAAATACTGCAAATTTAAGCATTGAGTTACACACTAAACAAAGGACTGAGATCGCTTACAAATATGAAATTTCAATTGTTACTTACTCGATGCTGGCGATCATAAAATGAAGACAACAAGCACCAAAAATAGATCACCCTTCAGAATGTAGAAAGAAAAAGACCCTCGGTAAGACATCGTGACACCATCCACATTTTAAACGATTTTCTCGCTTGATGCTAATGAATGTAAGCAATTAAAATGCATCGAGAGTATGTCCCTCAACAAATCCATCTTCTTTTCCTATGCTGCATAAAGTTATCGTCATTGCAGCGGATGAAAAATGTTTACAGTCAAGTTCAATCTCGAGTGAAACAAAAAATATTTTTTCGTGGAAAACCTCGAAACTAGCAAGCATAAACAAACATAAGAAGAAGAAAAATGAAGTTGCGACTCTAGTTTCAAGTGTAATGTGCTCGTGAATCTAAATTTAGATGAGAAAGCTAGCGAGGTCGAAGTCGATTTTTCATTAACGGATAATTTAGGAAAGTGGCAGAGAAATTTAACATTAATGATTGACTTTTAATAAGAATTTAACCTGAATTAAAATTGTATCTTTAAAATATTGAGTGTGGCATCTGTTTGTGGTTTTATTTTCATAAACTTTTTATTTCAATTTCAAGCACACATAAAATTTAAATTATAGTAAAATTTTTGTATCAATTTACATCTTTACGGAGATTTCTTAGAAGTCAAGTCTAATTTAGTCTCAAATGTATTGCAACGAAGAAGACTTGATGTAAAGACGTTACCCTAGCCAAAAAGAAATTGTTGACCCCAGCCAGATATTTCACTGTTTATTTTTAACATTCATCCGAAAAGATGCACCCAGACACGAAACATTATGAGCATTAAATGGAAAAAAAGAAAAAGAAAACTTCACATTGGAAGCATAAAATGATAATGAACATATGTTGGAGTCCATCACCATGAGATTTTTGTTTGATGGCTAAAAGAGTTCACGTTTTTGTTTGCATTAAGAAAGACAAATTTTTCGTGTAGTCGTAAAACGATTCGACATAAAGAACGAAAAGATTTTTCATAATTTTCGAAGGGTTATGTTTCAATTTAATGAGAAACAGAGACAAATTTCAGATGCAGTTGTTTTTCCAGAGGTCCAAGATGATGAGAGATTGTGTCTTTTAACGTCTTCAAATTTATAAATGAAAGAATTTCTAAGTAAAAACATGGCAACATTGCACTTAGCAATAACTCAATCATCATAATTTATTGAATGGTCATTTAAGTCAGCTGATGTCCTGCTGTCCTTTAAAAAACTGAGGGGTAACGTCTTTCTATTCTTAGCCTGATGGATGAAAGAATAACCGTAAAAGAAAATATGCAGATTGCTACTTTCACCCCTCAGTCCTTTTTTTTCTGCATTTGCCTGGTGTTTGTTGCATAAAGTTGCATAGAAAATTCTGACACACGTTGGTCACTTTTGGGAATTCTCTTCAATCTCTTATTTGGTGTGCATTTTTTAAGGTCAAAGGTTATTTGCATACGGCTCTCAGTTACGGAAAATTAATGTTAGATTGTGATTAAATTGGATTTTTCTTTGCCTTGCTTTTTGCAATGTTTGAATATGAGAATGGAAGGAATAAAAATTGCAATGAGACGAGTGAGGGTCATTTACATTCGTCGATAGTTTAATGTTTGCATTTTATGACATTTCACACTAAAAGAATGATAAATGATTAATTTAGTGTTGTTGGCTGCTGGGAAAGCTGTCCTAGCCGTTTCTGTTGATTTAATTGTCATTTTATGCATCCCTCAATCTGCAAAAACGAACAAATTTTGACTTAAAAAAGAGAGAGAAAAATTCATTAATTTTAATCCGACAAAACTTGAAACTATTTTCAGATGAGAAGGCAATAAAATATTTGAATGATCATTGAAACTGATGGAGTGAAAATCTTTAGGAAAACTCTTGATTTTCATCTACTTAAGCAGACGCATTTAAAACGCATTAACTACACGACATTTGTTCCTATCTTACTTGTTGACATTTTCGCTTCTCTTCGAAAACAATTCTTAAAGTTTCCTTAACATTGACTTTAATGATGTAATTTTTAATGATTTGTTTGTATATAAAATTTAATTTCAACGACATTGAAAAGATTTTTTGCCTTGAAAATGAAGAAAATTTTATTTCAAAGTTGTATGAAACATTCACCTCGTTATAATCTTGGTAACACGATGGTTTGAAATTCTTAACTAGCATATAATTATTACCCTCAAAGGCGATAGATTAAAGTCTCCTTTCTCGTTTGAGTTATTTTTTTTTTGTTCGGGGATAGAATTTGCATTACAATTCAAGCTGGGTACGAGAGCGATGCATAACAATACCCAAAACTTTTTTTTCCCCTGTCTCCATAGTCCTTGGACTATTATGAAAAAATAACAAACAATTTTTTGTTCGCAACCGAGACGACGATTCGTATAATTTATGTGTGTGCTGTAGGTACGAGGTTAAAGGATTCGTGAGTGAATAGAAGAACCATCCATAGAATTAATAAAAAAAATATTTAGGCCCTGAAAATGTACGAACAAAGTTTCTTTGTTATCGTCGAAATGCGACAAAAAATTGTTTCATTTCATTCACTCAAATCATTTTCTAATTTCATCACTCTCAACAAACATTCTAATTAATTATATTCAAGATTTATTTCTTATCTCGGTAACATTCGTTGTGAATGAAGATCTTTTAAGGTTCACCGAGATTTAAGATTTCAGTTTGTTGCGCATGAGATGTTTACTAGCTGCTTAATTTACTTTGTTGATGAATGAAAAAAAATTCTAAACAGGATTGCGAGAACATTTTTTTCTAAGCCTTTCAACCGTCTTAGTAACTGACAGTTTAAAACCATTTACAGCAAAAAATTCTTTCCAGTAAAAGCATCGAATTCAAACAATTCTTTGTTCATTCATTGAATTGACCATAGCAGGTCAACGATGAGAAACTTTATTTCTCCTTCGTACTTTGAACAAAACCAAGAAAAATTCTTTTCATTTGAAACTTTCTTTGTTCACTCGAATTTCATTTGATCAAAATATTAATTTTTGCAGATGAAATTTGAGTGACGTTTCGTTTTATGCAATTGGACGATGAATGTTGTTACGCTTCTCATAACTGACAGAGACGAATTTTGAGGATGATGGTAAATAAGAACTTACCTAGATATCCAGTTCACATCTGATGACCCTCTCGAAATGATTCGGCAGAAAACTTCTATTTCTCTTCCAAAAAATATAATCTTTTGTTGAGGCATAGAAATGCATGAAAGCGATTTTCACAATCGATGCATTTGACGTGCAGTAACAGCAAACTAAAGTCTATTACACATTTTATTGACATGTAACATATCAGCAACAACACAAAAATCGATCAATACAAAAAAAGTCCATCAAACGGTCGATTGCGCTTTATGATTTGATTTAATGAGATAACTTTACATGCAATGAACAAATGAATGAATGGGGAGAAAATATTTTGCGTGATTTTTTATGAATACAGAGATGAGATTAGTGATGCTTCTTTTTTGTGATCTTTGCGGTTTCGGTTTATATTTTTTTAGGCTGAAATTGGAAACAATTGATTTCCGATGGCCTATTCGTTTGGTCTCTTGCTTTATAATAAATAAATTGCCTTCTGATTGAGGTCCATGAATCTTTTTATTTATGCTTTTGATTTATGTTTTCCAATAAAAAGAACAAAAAATAAATGAAGAACTTATGTGGAACTAAATCACAACTCAAACATCAGACATGATTAACATGACAAATGAAACGTATTTTGGCTTTTGTTCCATCGTGATCGTTGACTTCTGTGTGACTTAAACACATTTTTCAATGGACTTTTCTCTTTAAATAATGAATAATAAAATTTTAATAGAAATCTGGGTCAATAATGCGAGGTAAAGGATAAACAGCAAGGAGAAGGAAACAAAAGCCATTTGACTTCTGAAATTCTTATGAATTGTTCCTGATTTTTATCGTCTTTTGTCCTTTGCTTCTCTCATTCATGCCACATTCACTTTATCATATCCAATGCATATCCAGTGCGACTGTAATCTGTCATTCTCAAACATTAACTCAAACTTCCTTCGATTTCTCACACAGCAATGCAATTCAATGTGACATAAACAAGCGTTAAAAATGTTAAGAAATGAAATATTCCAAGCACGTCGTCCATACACCTGGATTTAGATTTCTCTCTCTCTCCCCCAAATCATCATTCAGCTTTGTTTTCCAAACAACAAAACATATGAAACGCGGGGATGTGAGTAGAGTTCGTCTAACTATTCAATTACTCATTAAACGTCAACAATCACAACAATTCCGTTGATGCAGTTGTCAAGAGATTTACTTTATTTCAAAGGCTGTGTAACGTCTCATTACTCGAGTGTCCCAAGACAGGATATTATGTCTGGAAAAATAAGAAAGAGGTCAAAGTGACTTGAAGCTGCTTCAGCGTAAAAAACAACTCAGGATGTGATTTCCATTAGATGTATTTTTTTTTTTACTTTTTTAATTCATAGCCACGAGATTTCGTTACATATTTTTATTTTCTCTTCAACTTTTTAACATTAATTTATCGATGACGTTTGGTTTCGCTTTTTTTGAGGGTTGAAAAATGTTTCACATTCGGTGATCGACAAAATATATTTCTATAAACTCCTTGAAAGGACTTTAAGTGTTTTTAAGCACGAACAACAACAACGAAGGCAATTGACGATTAAAGAGATGCCGACTAAAAGATTTTCGTGTCATATGGAATTGCGCAAGGATTATGCAAAAAAAGGAATGTCAGCTTCACAATGTGTTGTTATGTTTTGGCACCGATTTTGGTTCAACTTACAAAGGAATTTGTTTACGTTTAAGTGAATAATTTTCTAATTTAAGGATTTCTTGCCTTTTGTGAAATTGTGAACACCTTGGACCACCCAATTACATGCTTGATGCTTTCATTTGTCCATTGATCTTCGAACATCAGTCATAAGATGATCCTTAAATATTCTTATTGTTAAGTTGAGTTAAAGAAATGAATTTTAATCTTGAAATGAGACAAGAACGTGACGCAAATGTGAACGAAATTAAGGTTTGCACATGGACAGGAAAACATTTTGAAATTCGATTCCATCGCCAAACCTACAAATCTGCGATTTTTTCGATTATTCAATGAAAATCCATTCAGAGGTCACTTGTCCCTTCCGATAGGTCAAGTTATGAATTGTTACACTGCTCAACGTCCCTTTTTTCCATACAAAAGCCTAATAACTCATTGTTATCCATTCTTCCCTTCAATTCTTTATTCTTTCGCCTTCATTCGCATTTCGACCATTGCCACACATCTGCACAATTAAACACCAACAATGTTATCCAATACAACAATAAGTGCTTAGCACATTGCAAAAATATTTCTCTACATATCGGTTGGAAGTAATCAAATCAAACATAGTTCTTCATACAGCAATTTACGAGGGCAAGTTATGCAAATTTCCGATATTGATTTTTCTATGAAAACATTCAAAAACGAATATAAAAAAGTAATTGAGCAGATAAATGTGAAATTGAGATTGCAATTCATGATGAGTTCATTTTATGTTCTACAAACGACACGCGACTTTCACTTACAAGCTACGAACATCGATGAATAAGAATGAAAAGTGCATTTATGCAAATTGAAGGCCCTACGAGTTGAAAGTGAAGGACGTGTCGACCACAAAGCGGAAAGCAATAAAAACATAAATATTTTGATCTCATATCTGAAGGCATAACGAATTTAATTATCAAACCGATGCCTTCGAGAATAAATTATTTCGTTGGTCTCTTGATAATTTTACGCGTTCTGCTTTGTGTGTGGGAAATTTCTACGCTTTCAGATGGTCGCGATGGTCCATTTAGGGTGGAAGGAAAAAAAGGAAGAGAAAGAAAAATAGAAATTTACGGAATGTTAGAAAATCTTATGTTGTTGGGAGACGAAACATTAAAAAACCGTTTGAATATTTAAGAAACAATTTCAAACGAAGCACATTAGCCTAGCAGCGATGTGTAACACGAGTAGTTGTTACTGTTTAATAAAATAATGTCTTAGCGCAACGATAAAACACCGCAACTTAATCGTCATCTTGATTGTGCCGTGGATGATTCAAGGTAAATTTTCTTTCGTAACGCTCTGCTAAACGTTCTTGAAATTGTTTTGTTGTTTAAGGCGTTATCGTGACCGCAACGATGATAGCAAATTTCGAAATTACTGGAAAAGGCGAAAAGTTGTGCCTTATAGAGAGTGTTCATCATTAACTTTTATTGTTGTTATGACAGTGGTGGGTGGATATTCTTATTACAAAACAAGAATGGAGAGAAATTATTCTCCACCACCGTCACTGTCATTAAAGACGACTCAAAGTAATAAATTGGTAATATTCTTTGTCCAGTAATAAATCTGGTCGGTCATAATGTTTCTTCATGCAACTTTTATCTAATCTGCTATTTATTTAACTGCTCCACAATATTGTAGCTGTTGCCTTATAAAGACACGAAAAGAAGAGAGAAAAAAAAGAATTCCTCAAAGGCATTTAAGATGCTTTTGCGATGTTTCTTACTTTTATTAATCAAGACGTATAACTTCTGTGTTACAAATAAACAATATGAAGATGTTGAAAAGCGCCTGAATCGGCCATAAAGTTCTTTTGCTGCTACTGTGCTTCTTGTTGATTCGTTTTCGGACGTTGAATACTTCATGAAATATTTCAATGCCTGCCTCCTGGCTGTTGCTGCTGTTTGCCTTTTGCATTTTTAAGCAAAAGAAAGATAACACTGAATAAATAATTTTCTTCAACATTAACGATTATGTTATAAAAGGGAATCAAGTAAGACGATATAAAAGTATGTGGAAAAGGCGTAAATTTATGGCACGACGTTGAAGCTGTAAAAGGTTAATTTTGTTAACATCTAAAGCTAAACTCGCGAGAAGAATCATGACAAGTCGCGCATTGTAGATTAGATGGAGATCTTTCTCGTTTTCATACAATCATGTCGTGTGAAGTTTTCTTCGCAAGAACATGAATTGCATAACCTTCCACATTGTATTCTTAAGACATCCAAGCACACGAAAAAAAAAGTTGATGGAAAAATCAGCAGGTAGCAATTAATTCTTACTTCTCAATCTTCATTGCTATTGTCTTCACGCTATTGGCGGATAGCAATTTCATGGCGCAAAAGTCTCTTTGCAAAGGTAAACATTAATTATATCTCCGGTGACTCGTAATTGATCTTCACCGGCCGTAAAGTCTAGCGCGTCCCTAGACTTATCATTTTTTGCTTTCATGAAAGATTTACGACCTGAACATCGTTGCAAGATTCTTGCAAAAAAAAAATTGTTTCCAGTAGCCACAAGAATCAATAGAAGAAGAGAGTAAATATTTAAAGAGCAACAGATATGTTTGTGGGCAATCTTTTATGTTGTATATCGGAATTTGACCTGTTACGATCTTGTTTTCGTAAACACCCTTCACACAGACTTCCTGTTTCACTCGACCGATTACTGACCGTCATCAACAAGAGATTCTTGTGCAAACAGACACCAAACCGGTTTTCTTGGTGCGTTGAAAATTTGCTGTAAAAGAGAAGTTAAAGGATATTACTCAACATGCTGTTTTGATTTTTTTTTTGTGGTTTCGTTTAAATTAGATTTTTCTTCTTTTTCTTATTTATTCTTCGGTTTGAACATCTACACGAAGACTTATTGAATCTTTCTTTTCATCGTTTGTTTCCGAAAAGAAGAAGTCTCCACTAACGGGATCATTTATTAGAACATGGAAAGAAGAGCAGACAATTGAATTTCATCTAGTCGATGACAATGGTAAGGAAAAACGTTGCACAGACAATTTAATTTCACGCAACAAAACCACAAGATAAATTTTTATTTCTTTCGATTTCCACTTGGTCTTCTTTTTTCTTATATTTTATTGATGCTACCAATCATAATATTTTTGGTCGTTTGATGGTGGCGACAACTGCAGATTTCTTTGATTATTTCTTTCCTTTCTTTGCACTTAAATCTGTTCAAACTTTTTTAATGTTATTACCAGCCGAGAATTCCAGTTGTGAACATAATGTGACCTTTGCACGACATGTGAATCTTCATACATCATTTCCTGATTTCTTGTCCATGTTGCAATAAGAAATAAAAAATTTTCTCATGAAAACTACCCCACGAATATTTTTTACAGCTCATCAGGGAACGATGAACATTAAAAAAATTTCGATGTCAGGACATTCTCTGTTGTGATCACCCATGAGACTTTTTATAAACACATCTCAAGGCCAAGACAAAAGCAACAAATTACGTTGCATAGTAAAAAGAATTCTCACGCAGATCTAAGAAGAAGTTGAATAAAAAATTCTCAGTCGACCCCTCACATTGCATAACGACCAACGTGAAGCTGGTTTTTTAAGGAAATATTTTGAGGGTCCTGTTTCATTTCTGGTCTTACCTTTCTGCGCAGTAATGAGCTTGTTTATTTATAATAAAAAATATTTTTAGCAGTCCATTATTTCCGATTTCATTTCCTTATAGCCTTCTGGAAGGAAAAGCAAAGAGTTCTTCAAATATGTTTGATTATGATGAGTGAAAAACTTCAATTTCCGATTGAAACTCATAAACAGAAAACAAATGTAAACAAAAACCATCATCCACCAAGCAGCCGCTTTCTAATCCCTTTAATTTATCAAACTGTTCATCCGATACATTTAAGTAGACGAACGGAATTGCTTCAACATTTAACCCGATGATGCTTCTTTAAAAACACGTTGTGGAAATAGGAAATAAAATATAAAGTTTCAACAAAAATTCCCGATGAGTTTGAGAAGTGAAAATCCATAAATCCATGTGGTACGCTCCAGCATTCAAAAATAATTTAAATTTATAGAGCTACCGTCATGTCACGCATTTAAAAAAAATCTTTTTTTTTATTAAATTTAATAACCGTTCTTGTTCCTTTCTCTTTATTTTTTTTCCCTCGGTAGTCACTTACCATTGATGATGTTCTTTTGAAAAGCATCCTCGATCGTTCATCATTCGCGTTATCATGTGTTGGTTGTTTAGAAAATTAAATAATATGCAAACAATAGAAATTGAATGGAATTCAGACACTAAGACTAGTAAATTGAAACTTTCATACTTTCATGATCAAAGTTCTCTCTGCACAATTTTTCGACAGTCATTATTCAAAACCCTTTCATATTCCACTACCCAGAATAGTTTTTTTTTTATATTCATCATAAAGCCTGACCCTAAACCCTTGTCATACTCAATGGCTGACTTTTTTTACAGCCACCGTGAGTCTACTGGTTTTTCACGACTCTAAATTTTAAATGAAATAAATTAAAATGAATGGAAGGGTTTTTTATGTGAATTTGCATGAAAGAAATCGAACAAAAAATTAGGGTTACTCACAGTTTTTTATGATCGTCTAACGGGAATGACAATAAATGACTGTGGTCCAAAGCCGTAAAAAATTGTTGAATTTATTAACTTTTCAATGTTATTTGCATGCTGTTGATTACATCGCTAATCTTGGTGAATCATGTTCCATCTGTTGAAGTCTACATTAGCTAGTTAATTCGTTACTTTACTGTTTCAGAGATGCTTCATTTAATTTCACAGGATTTTCGCTTCTTAATTAATCGAGAACATCCTGGAAACAATTATCGAACAAGTTGTGGTTGTTGAATAAAAAATGTTTACCGTTAGGCTAAGCTTCCTCTAATCCTCGAGAAATTACCATCGAATGATCAGCAAAAAAATCTTTTGAATAGATCGCTTGATGAAGAGATGAAAAGCGCGAGTGGATCTGTCAGATTCAACCTGAACTGAATTCATTGTCTCACAATCGTCGACCACAAAGAAGTTTTCTATCCTTTGCTATGCTTTCCGTTTGTTAAATAATATCACAACACTCGCTTAGCTACCGATGAAAGCAATTACAGTTAAAGAAATCAAATTAATTTCACTGAAATGACACGCCGAGAGTTGCTTTCTAAGACATCTGCTGTTGATGAAATAATTATTGGATAACAAAAGGATTTTTCTTTCTTGAGTTCTTGAATAATAAAATGAAATGAAAGAAATATCCCAATTTCTTTATGTACTCATCTTACAATGGAATCGACGACCTCTTTCATCCATCCACATCTATGGAGGCTCGGAAAGGAGTTTTATTTCTTCTTCATTGTAGAAATTGTCTGATCATCAGAAGCAATCATCAAAAACATCTCATAAAAGGTCCGCAATGTGATTGATATTGTTCCTCGATCCACTCACCGACCGTGCTATGAAAAGAATTAAAATTTACAGTTATTTGCGGTCGAGTATCAAATTTATTTCATGATTTTCATGTTGATCTCAATTTTGTTACGCATCAAATTGGTTTTTATTTACAGCGGATGATTTAGGATTCTTTAACTTGTTGCCGTTTACAATGGTGATCATTTTGATTAAACATCCAAAGACAAAATCTTCTCATCTGCTTTTGCATCATCTTAAAAAAAGTAAAATCTTCAAGAAATTGAAAAAAAAACTCTCCCAGGACCTTTTCCTCTGACCCTTTCCATCATCCTGGATTTCTTTCTCCATCAATGGGTATTTGTTTGTTCGATGAGACGAGAAATAATAAAAAAAAGCAAGACGAAAATGGATGATATTTCAGAATTGAGGGCATCTGTTTTTTTATTATCTGAAATGTGCATAAATCTCAAAGAAGTAGAATAAAAAATATTTTAAATAATAAAAGCAAGAAGAAAGAAAAGAAGAAAAAGATTCTAAAACTACCCCTTGATATAAAAAACCAAGCGTATCTTGAACGATCTTCCGGGGTGTGTTGATTTTTTATGTGTTGCGTCTATTCACCATGCGAATGGAGAGGAAAGAGTCTTCTTAGATCATAAAAAACTGCATTACGAGTCCGAAACTGTTCTTTCCTTTCCATTCGAATCTTCAGATGTTCAACATACAAAAAAATGCTTGAGGGTCCTTAGCGTACATGTGTACAAGAATTTTCTTACACTCGGGAGATAGTTTTTTATTTTATTATTAATAGGGCACTGTTCGATGTATGTAAGATGCGATGGGAAGATAAATCTTGATGGAAAAACGAATCTAATACCTGGGAAAAAAATGTTCTTCAGGTTACACTGAACGCGTAAATTTTTTTATTGTTTGTTTGTGCGATATAAAATAATTTTTTTGTGTCTGCTTCCCATGACCACGTACAAAAGATTCTTAGGGAATCAAGCCCAGAAGTTTTTTATTATTTTTACGAGAATTGCAGCAAATTAGCGCTGCATTAGGAAAATGCATTGAACTGAGAAGAATTGTGATGACTGAAGATAGGGGTTTGGGTAAGTGAAGACGTTCAAACCGAGATAAGACAGACAAAAGATGATTGATTGGGGATCAAATCAGAGAATCAGCAAAAAATTGTTTCAATAAAAATTTCTCTTGATACAACATAAATGTGAAAGAATTTTAATTCAGCTCAAAACTATGCTTTATGATTCGATTGCAAGCAAACAAAGATTGTCTGTGAAGTGAATCGCGTTGAAATCTCCTTCGAACTGCGACACTGATTGTATGTAAATTAATAAAAGTAACAAAATACTTTCAGATATATGTTGATTGTTGTCACAAAAATATGCAGTGATTCGAGATTTACTTTCAGTTTGGGTTGATATTTGACAACATGTTTAATGTCAAAACGTTACCAGGTGATGATTGAAGTTATTTTTTTATTCTATTAACTAGTTCAAGTTATTGAGTTTGCCCTGAGACTCGCAAAAATGCAAATCTGATGTTAATTTGTGGGAACAACGACGAGAAGAAATATTTTTATATCTCAATAGCGGCACAACATGAAGTTAATAATTGATTTTATGCAAAAAGTGTTAGAAGAAGAAAAGCAAAATATCGCGAAGTGAAATAAATAGAAATAGTGCAACACTATGGTTTTTAAGGTCAACAAGAATGAAATTGAAATTCCCAAGAAAAAATGGCAAATCGAGCTTCAAGATTGCGCCGCAAAGACAATAATCGAAACACAAACTTGAACAATATTTTATAAAATTTTTCTTCACACTGAATAGATAAATTTTTTCCTCGAGTAGAATTACGTAAAATAAAAAGCAGCGAAACGACTGAAATGAAATTGTTCACGAAGCATTAGCAGGAATCGTAGAAAAGTGTATAAAGATGTTGCAGGTCTCGTTCCTTATAACTTATAACATATTTTGCCATTCAATAAGCCGCACATTTTAATCAACAAAAGAATTTGAAGCATTTCGTCGTGATTTTCGGTTGAAGAGAGAAAGAAGAAAATAAAATCAAAAATGCGCGCGCGAATGTTAAATGCTAATCCAACATCGTTTCAACATTTATTTCGCTTTCGTTGTGCATAGAATGTGAAATTATTTCCTTCTTTTAGTCCAGCAATTTTTTCACTGACTCGCAAAGAGATGATCAGCAATTCTTCATCAACATCATGTTCAGCCCAGCACATAAAAGCTTGCATATAAGAAACAATATAAAAACATTTTTATGCCTCATCCCAAGCCATGCTAATGTAATCTAATTTCTCTCAGTTGTTTGCATTTCTTAGTCTTCTTTTTTTTGTTCATACAAATCACGAAAAAATTGTAACAATTGTTTGGTTTGCCTCCGTGTGACTCTTTTATGGAGACTCTAAGCAAATGTGCAATAAAAATTTTATTCATAATGAAATACTTACAATAAAAAAATAAAACTGCAAACAAATTTCCTTCAAATTCTCATAAATCATCTCAGTTGTGTTTGCTTTTTTGATTTTCCATGAACTTTTGTTGTTGTTGTGAATTGATGATTGGGGATTTAAGCTGTCGGATTAACGAAATTGCAACATCTCATGATGTTAATCTTAAAATTTTGTAAGATAAAGATGCGATGAGATTTCTTTGTGGTTTCTTTTAAAAAATTTCTTCACAAGTTTAAGGCAATGTAACCAGAAAGTTATTCTGTCATTAAAAGCATACTGCAAAGAGATTATTCACGATAGCCAAGTGCTTGAGGCTCAAATATTTTCCAAAATGAAATCATACATGCATCTGCAGATTGTGAATAATTGAAAAAATTCCCATTTTCACTTTTCATTTACTTTTCTGCTAATGATACAGATTAACCGCAGAACAAACTGCGAGAAATGAAGAAATGAAGGCGAGAATCGAGAGAAGATGGAAACGAGCTTTTCACATTTAACAGTGCTTAACAAGATGTAGAATTATTGCTTTTGAGATTAAAGGTCTATGTGTTCACCTTAAAAACTCATTATGAAAACAATAATTGAAGTTTCACCATACGACTATAAGCTTTGACCATTTCTCACCGTAGACATGATGCTGGCAAACAGACGCCCACGGAGTCAAAGTTTAAGTTGAGGCTGTTCGGATATCAGCTTCGTTGCGCTCGCTTTTGCAATTAAAATGATTTTGAAATCGCAAATTGGAACCGCGAAGTAGAAGAAATGTAGAGCAGCAATTGAAGATGTTGAAGGCATTTGAAGGAAGAGAAAAAAATTGAAACAAAGCAAAAGGCGAAGCTTTATGGCGAAATGAAATTGAAGAAGTTCTCATGGACTTATCAAAAGTCAAAAATCTTCTTGTTGGCGCAGCAGAAACGTGACGTGACTTGGGTCGTTCTTCGGAATGTCTTCGCCAAAGTTTACAATATAAAAAAGTTGGTGAAACGACCTGAGATGTGATATAAATGGAACCGTGATCTTTCATAAACAGAATTCAACGCCGTTTGCGCAAACAAAATTGATCGATTTCAACTTTAAGTTTGGTATGCTGTCGGTCAAAAGAATTGCACGAGACAAAGTGAAATGTTACTTCAAATTCTTTTATTGTTTACTCGTTGATTTACTCAAAAATCATGACAATAAATTTTTCGGCAATTTTTAAATGATGAAGAGCATAACAAAAACAAAAAGATTAAAACTTGTTCATTCACGTCGTCATATTTATGATCCAGCAAACCTTCCGCTAAAGAAAGACGTCGGCAGGCGTGCACCAAAGTCAATTCATCACTCATGACTCTAAATTAAATAAGATGATTAAGTAGCAAATCTTGATCTTCTTCTCTTTCTTTTTATTCATCTCATGTCAGTGCCACAACAGTAGACACTTGGTGAGTTTTATTTTCTTTAAAACTTTTGCGATGATGTGTCATAAGTAAGTAAAACAACAAAAACACTTTTCACTTCAACCAAACCTCAAATCTTTAACTTCAAGCTTGTGCGCGCTTAACATGACTCCTTCCAATTAAGTAGTCGTTTTTTAAAAAAATCTGCTCTTCAGACAGAGTATTTAAAGATTCACAGTTTTTGATACACCTACGAGTGCCTTCGACTGGAAGAAACATAAAATTTAATTGAAATTTAGCGAAATAGAAGAAAAGTCTGCAATTATAGTCAACGGATTTGTTACAGTTAACTGTAGTGCATTGTATGCTCTGTTAGATATGTTGGCAGATTGTCTCATGAGATTTTGTTGACAAAATATAGAAGAAAAGTTTCATTCAAGTTTGTTTCGGTTGAGAAATTTCAAGAGTTTATTAATATTGTCGTCTTCATTTTGAATGAATTAAAATTTTCTCAGTGGGTATTTTCCTTACTCAAACTCAAAACAATTAAAAAATCTTTAAATGTTATAAACGAATATTAAGATTACGAGTACGAGTAAGTAATTATCTTAAACATTAAGCTCATAGTCATAGTTTTCCTTACGTGGAAAACTGGCAAATGAAACTTTCGCGAGACGAGATTACGTGAATATTCATCCTACGACTATCAATGTTGAACAATCCAGGAAGATGTTGCAACGTACGAGTAAGTCGTGCCTGAATCGTAGAGCATATTTCACTTGTATGCTCAACTCAGACGTTCCAATGTCTTTAACTTAATTGAGAGACTAAAGCTCAGATTTTTGTTACATTTGAAATGAGAAATGAATAATTGCACAACAAGCTGCTACATCCACTAAACGAATTTGTTGCATGACATCGTGGTCATGTCTTAAGTTTTCTATGCTTCTTAGAGAAAGGTAAAAGTACATCTTTAAGAGATCACCTTTCATGACATGTTGATTAGATATCGCTTGCTACTTGCTTGCTTCACTTAACAATTATTTAAATAAAAGTAGATGAAAGTAAACATTCACGGCTTTAATTACTTCGGAACTCATTGCCTTGTACTGTTATATTTGAAAACAAAGAACAGGAAAGTAAGTTAACGATAACAGGTGATCAATAATTCATGCTTGACCTCTAATAGTTTCGCGCGGGATGAGAAGCAGAATAAACGAGATATTGTACATACATATTGCTTTCACACAGCCAGTATTGTGATTGTAAATCTCTACAGATGCTCCATCGACTGATTTCAACTTTATTTCTTCTCAGGTGAAGGTGAAAAATATATCTAAAGCGTTGGAACATATCTGAACGAAATAAATTTTGCTAATTGCTCGCGCTGAAGCAATTTGCAAATCCCAGCAATACGAGAAAATTGAAAAGATTGAAGAAGAAAAAATTGCAAGTCTACAAAAATAACAAAAATGAAAAGAAAAACATTACAAAATGTTGAAATCACGATGTGAATTTATACACGAAACGATACATGCTGCCATTAGGCTTTGAATCTCTTTGCTACCTTCCACAGTTTTATTGTGGTTCACATGAACTATCAATTACTTGACTCTATCATGTTCCACTCCATGCATTAGTTAGACTAAAAGAATGCAACTATTAATTTGTCGCGTTAAAGAATATTTTTCACATTTATAAAAAATGATAGATAATCATTCTGTTGTGCACTATTCAATTTTCGCCTATCGGGAAAGAATCTTTTGCTTAAATGAATTATCTTCTGCTTTACATCCCATAAGCGATATTAATGACTTAATGGGCAGCGATGTTTCTTTTCTTTCATTTCTCTCATTTCCACATGTCACGTGCTTCAAATTTAACTTCGTTCTTTGTTGTGTTTAAGGCAAAATATCGACAGGCGTGATGCATTGATTTTTCTTGTAATGAGTTTTTATGCTTTAGGAGCTTTAAAGTATTATGTGAACACATAGGATAAGTGTTAGGATAATCACTGAGAAGTGAGCTCACATAAATTGAACGCATCTTGAAGTGCATTCCTCGATAAATTTTATTGGATTGAATTTTCCAACAATTTTCCAATTTCTTCACGAAATTTATTCTCATAATTAATCTTTCCAACAAGGCTCTCTTTTAATACAAAAGAAACGAGTAAAATAACTTCATAAACTCGCGAAACATACGTCAATTAAATTGTTGGATTGTTTAATAGTTTTCTGTTTTTAAAACTCGCCTTGTCTTCATAATGAGTCTTGGTTCTCGCTCACTCGCGTCTTGAACAATTATTGTGAAATTATAGTCATATAGGCGACACCTACGCGTGTACTCGGCCCAGAAGTCAAACCTCGAGACCGAAAAGATCTAGGAAGAGATCACAGCAAAAAAATCATGGATGTCTATCGATAAACAATTTTTTTCTTCTCTCTTCACTACTCATGGAAGTTAAATACTTAAAGCGAAAGCTTAAGCAACAACAAAACGACTTCATTTATTAAATTTATTTTGATCTTCGAGACAAGCGATCAGTTGGAAAGCCGTTTAAAACAAAAACTAAGGCGCAGCACTTATTTCATCTTAACTTGTGTATAATTATTCGACAGATAGATTCTCCTTTACTTCTTTCATTTATATTTCTTTTTTTTTCGTCAATGAATGAGTGAACATAATTTTCACCCACTTACAATTGGCATTGCCCATTCATGATTGTTAATTCTGCCTCGCATCTCATTCGCTTGACTTCGACGATTTTCAAGCTTTTATTTTGCATCATTGATCCATCCTCGCACGGGCCGCACCGATTCTTCTTTGAGAGTAATTGAAGGTCGCTTTTAATATTCATGAATATAAATACAATAAATTAATTGATAAATTACGAATTGGGCGAAGGCCGTTTGTAAGTGAAGAATAAGAGAAAAAACTGATTTGTCACCGCTGTCTTTGGATTTCAACAGTGCACCACTGAAACTAATCGAATTCGCACCTTCGGGCGGCGTTGAAAAGGCGTCTTTAATTGGCATCTCATTTACTGAATGACTCACATCATGCTTCGTTTGCGACGGCATAAAGTGGAACTTTGCTCGTTCATTCGTTCTCGTGCGCTGATTGACGACTTTAATTGAAAGAACATGAGGAAGTGATGAAATAATTGAGTGCTTAGATAGATTTCTCTTCTCTCATTGTTTTGATGCACCCATCGATGATATTTGATTGCAGTTTGTTTTGTTTTTGTAATTTAATTTTGGTCAGGGGTGGAGCTGAAGGTGTTCACTTGATGATTCCTACTGACTATGACAATTGCAAACGTCTTATTAACTGTCAATCTTATTTAGCAACACGATTAATTATTTGTTTCATAAGTAGATATAAAATATCATGATGAGAACGAACAGCCATTCTTTTATGTGATGCTTTTTAGCTTTCACGTGCGATTATTCTCCAAATGACTTCACATTTAATCGCAAAACCGTGTATGAGATGCTTCGCCTTCATGTTGTTAAAGCTTACAAATAAATCGCTCTCTAGAGACGCTATCAGCTCGTGGAAATTTAATTGCGATGAATTCGCACAGTGTTCTTGCTGAAACCGCGCAATGCAATAAGAACGGCAATTTTACTCACCAGATGATAATTTAATTTCCATTAATGTTAGTCGCAGTTAAATCGCATCGTTCAAGAATCTCAGCTGACACATCAAATGTACCTTTTGTTTGTTATATTTCTCATTTACCGTTCGCGATGGTTCATGATGAAGAGAGAAGCTAATCTGTTGCTTGATGGACATCCTTGTAATCTATTATCAATTATTTCGTTATGATTTCTTTCCTTCATTTCGATTCCATTAAAAAAGAAGCTGTTAATTAAGTTAAAATTGGTAGATATTGAGAGTAAACAAGAAACGTTTATTATGTGTTTCTTTATCATTCGTATTATTATGAACGGTTGTGAGAAAATAAAAGTTCAAGTCGCATACAAAAACTTTTACACTTCAGGCTTCATGCAACTCATAGACTATTTATGCAAGCTTATGTCAGCTTTACTCGTGACATTTCCATTGCATTTATGCAACACAATATCATAATATTTTGAATAATTCTTCTATTGATGTCTTCGGAATTGTAATTGCAGTTTTGAGGAATGTTAAATATTTTCTATGATTTTAATTCTCCCGACATTTTTTTTTATTTCATTTCATTTAAAGAGTTTGTTTAGCTATAAAATGCGGAACATTTAGCCACGTCCCATTCCTAATTATATAACACTTTTAGATTAACAGGCGTTTCAAAGTTAACATCTTTCATTTGTTAATGACTTTTCAAGCTCATAAAGCACAAGAAGCGATGTAATGTTCTTTGGTCCGTTCCATTCTTATGGCTGCACACACAACTAATCGCCAAAGAATAATAAGCAATCATAAATAAAGAAGTTGACAATGCTCTTGAAGTTAAAGAAAAAAAAATTGAATGGATAGAAGTTGAAGTTAGCGTCATAAAGCAGATATTAAGTACATTTGTTGACGATTATGATGGATACATTTAATGATAATGATGGCGAATAACTTCAACAAAGCATTCTTCAACTCTTATAGCAATTACGATTGAGATGGAGCTTGATATGCTTCACATAAACTTTTTATTGGTTTTTTACTTAAACACACATCATCATTGTCTTCAGGTTGAATAGCAGTAAAGATGATCTCAAAGATATTTATGTTGTTGCTACTGATATTGATGAAAAGGTTTTGAAAATCGATCTTCTGCTTGCTTAACTTCTAGAATTTGTCAAACATTTTAATGTCCAAGATTTGCTCATGATTTTCTTTTTTCCCAACAACAATGTTAAATTGTTTCGTGCGATATGGTTGAAAAGAGTCTAATGAATGTTTAAACTCACCAATTTCAAAACAACATGAAATAACTTTGAAATAATCATACTCAGTTATTTTCTGAATAAAGTGTTAAAAACTGTCGTCTTGCCACCGCTTCTCTGATGACTTCTTTTATTGTCTTAGCAATTGCTGTTATAATAATTTCATGCTACAACGATTAGGTAAGTTATTTATTTAAAGAAATGTGGGATAGCAACATAATCAGTGACTGTGATTGTCTTAAAATTATTTGAGCGTGGTGACGTTCTAATTAATAACAATTATAAGTAATAGAAGACGATCACTAGTTTTGTTCATGATCATTTTAAAATCATCAGCTTGATATACAAAATTGAAAGTTTATCGTTGAAATGGAATTTAAATAGTAAAGAAATAAAACTATCGATCATCTCAGCGCGATAAAATTCTTCAACTCTCTGACCTTAAGCGCATTTGGAATGATCAGATCCGTGATTTACACATTTCGTGTTTCTCATCGTAAAACCCGCCATTTCTTATAGTGTAGCGAAAGACAATAAATAATTTCCATTTCGCTAGCCATTGATTTGAAGTATTTTCCCTGATTGTTGCGCGTTCTATTCATGATGACATTTCAGATAAAATTTTCCAATCTTTTCGCTCATTCGTTTAGCTTCATGTTGTGTCTGATATTTAACCTGTTACGCTGAATTTTGTTTTATTTCATTCATTTTCAGCAACCGTTTTCATCATGAATATCTTTCTGATTTCTTTTCCTAACTATTTTCAAGAAAATCAGTCACAAATTTCCTGAAAACCAACGAAACTATCAGCAAAATGATGCAGCGTTCACTTGGTGATGAAGAAACGTGCTTTAATTAATTTTTTTCTTCTCTTTTTAACTTCAAATCGCTTTGATCGGTACAATTTTACACTTCCCGTATTTACCCACAAAACACGATTATTAAAACCATTGGTGAAGCTTTTGTTGTTGATATGCAACCTGCTAAGACCTCGGTGTTAAGCGAACACCTCCAATAGGTAGAAGATAATAAACATTTACTGGCTAGATTTCTATTCGCAAAAAAGAGAGAAAGAAATATTAATAAATTATTTATGAAGAAAAGTTTGCTTTTGGGTGCTTCATGCTGCGATTAGATAACCACAATATTTATTATTTGTTTACATCTATGGAATAATTTCTGCGATCAAAAAATTTCCTTGGGCTTTTGTCATCGTCATTTTTTCACGATGAGTTAATAGTAAAAATTAAAAAATAAAGAAATATAAATAAAAGTGAAGGGAAATGTCAACGCCTCGTAATTTTATTTTTCTCTTTCATGAAATTACCGGCCAGAAGGTGCAAGATTAATTTTAAGGGATATTTAAAGAGAAATTAATGAAGTTGGAATAGTTTTCATTTTATTAGTTTCTATAACTAGGCAATAACTAATTTCGCAACATTTAATAAAATATTTCTGTCAAATTAAACACTTAAAATGTCATAACATAAATATTTATTTGTTTTATTCAATGAATTAAGCTGCTGGAAAAAACATCGTTGGTGTCAATGAGTATTGAAATATTGAACTTTAATATGCAAACAACGAAATGAAAAGAATGTCGAAGCGTCGTTTTGTGTCCCTTAAATGCGGGCACTTATCTTTAAATTGTTTTGCGTTGTGTTTTGTTTCAACACGCCACCATAACTTCAAAGCACGCTTTTTAATCGAGTTTTAATGCTCCAAGCAAAATGTACAAAGGGAAAAATTCATCCTCATTTGTTATATGCTGACCTTTGGTGATTTACGCTTGGCACACATTTCACCATCATGATTGTAATATTTACGAAACATACCGACAAAAAGTTTTCACTCAGGAAGTCATTAAAATTCAACAAGAAAATCTCATCCTTCAGCCACCTGAAGAAAGTCAAAAAGTCAGAAAACTTCTGAGGCCACTTTATGTGATGGAAAAATCTTGATTTAATTATTTTCACGTCTTATCAAGATCGAGTCTTCCGACTCTTGAAATGAAAAGTTTCTTTTGTGTGTGTGTGTGGAGATTTGTGCCCATATCTATAATGAGCGAAAAGAACCTTCAAAAAACCATTATTGAGTTGGAAAGAACAAAAAGCATCGAAAACTTTTTCCTAAAAAACTTTCCATAAAACAACCAGCAAAAATCAATTTAAGAAGCGTTAAGAAAATGTTTTCCTGTTGCCATTTCCATCCGTGTGTAAACTGTAAAGTCCAAAGGACAGGAAAAGAATTTCATCCGAGATTTTTCATCACAGACGAAAGACCATAATGGAATTATAGACTTTTTACTACTTTTACAGAAGGCTGACACGGAAAAGTCGACGTCTTGTCATGTAATTAAATTTTCATTTCGTCATTTGGCGAGCGTCATGACAAATTTCTTTTCTTTTACTTTTCGTAACGAACATTTGTTCGGCTTGTCGTGGCATAAACTTTTGAAAAGACGAAACTTTAAGCATCTTTTACCTATGAAGGTAAAATAAATTCAAGGAGATGATAAACGGGATAGAAGTTAATTTTATTTTGGGAAAATGACTCAAACTTCATTCTCTAAAAAGTTTTAAAATTTCTTAAATATTTTAAATTTTATTCCTTATTTTCCAAATGATTTCTTTATTTAATTTATTTATTTCTTAGATTGATATTCTAGTTTTGCCAGCCATTTATTATCTTATGAATCTTCACATCTGATTACTCTTGGCTTTTATGCAATTTTAATAGAATTGATTTAAAAATTTATTGTCAAGATTTTTAGCCGTAAATTGTGTTTTCTGGCTACTGGAAAATAAATCAATTGTTATGGTTTTTGCTGCACATTATCGTTCGACGACGAGAGTCGTTTATAACATCGACAAAAGGCAAATCACAATGCAACTTTTTATTATTAAATCGTGGCTTTCATTGCGATTATAAATAATTCGATTGACTCTCTTAAATTGAATATTTATTTGTTTTTTGTTTCATCGCTGGTAATTCTCTCAGCCTCCCTTTGACGTGGCTCGAATCGTATTTCATTTTTCAGCTCCCGAAAAACCGCAATTGTATTGTAAGCAATTTGACTATTGAACTGCTGATAAATGATTGTTCAATTCATTCCGCAATGTTAATGTAAAAGTGTTGAACAGCAGTGGGGAGTTTGTGTTGTTGAGTGACTGAGAAGTTTGTTTGTTGCTTTAAATTGACCAGACAATGAGACTTGAAAAAGATTTTCAAGGTCTCATGCAGCAGTCCATTGGAAAATAAAGTTCCACAACATCAAGTTGACGTTCTAGTAAACGTAGAAAAAGTATAATTGATGTCGTTTTATAGAGAGAGAGCGATAGTTCCACATCATAAACATGAAAAAAAAGAAAGATCTTTATGCTATTATTTCCGCTTAAGAGATTTATGGTTTTCGCTGTGCTGTACACAAGCAATTGTCGTTCGGGTAAGAAACAACATCACGGATTGTACTTGCACACATTTTTTGTGTCTTTTCTTCATTACCGTTCGTTTAGAAAACTTTGCATCGTATTCTGTGAAAAATTAATGTTTCGTCGCGTAATGATAGCCAAATGAAAACGTCGCACCAAATCGTCGTCGAACAGAAGAAAGATTGTAATCAGGAGAAAATCAGCACAATTATTAAATGGAGTAGTAAACGCGACACACAACAACTTAATGATTATGAAAATTTCTCATGCGGGCATATAAAGATGATTCAAATCTAATGAGCAATTTTCCAGCTTTGCTTTGGTGATGGGTTAGCTAAGTTGACTTGTTTGGTTTCTCTTTTCCATTCGCCAACAACAATAATGTTACATGAACGAATGAAAGAGAACAGAAAAAAATTTATTAAATTAAGCGTGTCACATTCAAAGTTTACCGAAGCCTCGATCAATCTCCTCAGATCGTTTTTTTAAAACAAATTCGTGACATATCATACCATTAATCATATTATCAGACAAAATCAATTGTCGGAGGTTTACTGTGACCACCAATAATACCTCACGTCCACAAAGGTTGGTCTTTTCTTTTTATCAAAGATCATCATCGTCGCCCTAAACCTTTAATCGAATCAGAAGAAATGAAAAAGTTTTTTTTGCGTGAAGAATTTCTTCTTTTTCAAAACTTTGTCGTTGTGGCTTTAATCCAATTTATGGTTGCTGTTATTCGCACACTCACTGCTGTAAAGTAAAAGTTCTCTCATTTTTTTCTTTCACTTTGGGTTTATTTTTTCGGGGGATGAACGGGAGGAAATAATGAATCAAAAGGAACTTCTTTTCTCAACGTAATCCAATTTCTTTCCAGTTTGCACAAACTCGTCGAGAAAGGAAGCGATTATTTCTTTTCTTTCGTTTTTTTTCTGTTGGCCGATGGAAATTATTCTTGTAATCGTTTCATTGTCGACATTTTTAGTCAGAGTTGGATCTGCAGTGGAAGAAAGAATAAAATTGCATCGTAATCGTTTCCATTAAGATGTGCCCGAAAGCATTTCTTCGTCTTCTGTTAAAACTTGTGGCTATCGTCTTTACCTTCACACAATTTTCATTCGTTTTATTGATTTTTCTTAGGCACATAATTTCGAATATTGACTGAAGAACATGACGAAGACATGAAATGCAATTTCTTTATATGTTACATGATGCGAAGTGCATTGAGACGTTACAAACTTTTAATTTTGTACATCTTTCGCCATCATTTTCAATTTAATGCATTATTCAGGCCATTTATGTTTTCGTTGATGCACTGTGGGACTAATTAGGTCTTTCTCCTTTATTGAAAAGACTTTTTTTTGTGTTGATACGAGCGAAATTTCTTTTATATAAAATAAAAACTTGTCATCCGAGATTGTCGCTTCCTTTTCCTTCGAAATGCACTCGCACATAAATATCTCGCCTCCAAGCGTTGAAAATAAGGACATTCTTGAAAAGGACGATTACAGGATGTGATTTAGATGATGATGATGTTGAAGAACAGAAAATGTTTTATTCATTTCACTATTATGTGAAAGGATATCATGTCAACATTGCGCTGTTATGTCTCGAGAGCCTCAATTTTATCCGCTCATTCATTCATTGGCATGAGAAAATAATTTTCTGTTTGCTTTTGTGTCAATTCAGTCCTTTTTATCAAGATAGAAAAAATCTCATTGATGACACCGAAGAAATGCAATGTCTTGAGTTGATCTGAATTTTCGTCTTCTTTTCACGAATGGCATTAAATTTCAATGTTTTCATTCGAGAAGCACTTCACGTGCAAGAAATAAATTATCTTAAAAAAATGAAAAGATTCATCGATTCAATCATTGCCCGAGTAAACGAAGATCAATCATAAAAGAACCAATCATCCATCGATCACTCTTGTTTCTCGAGTGGTCATTTCTGTGAAGAATCGAAAATTAAATAAAAGACTTAACAATGAGTTGTACAATATTGAAGTTGTAAAGAAAGCAGAAGAAATGATTTCATTGGATCGATAATGAAAGTTCATTTAAGCTATGAACATTTTAAATTCATAGCTGAGAAGTTGGAAAGAACTTCAAAACTCTAGTGAAATAGCACAAACAATTGCAAACTCCCCAGACTCTTTGGCTCTTTACTTTTTTTTTGTTAAAGCATTACAACGATGGTGTTGCATTGATTAGAATCATTTCATTATTTCGCAGTGGGAACTGAACGGTCAGGTCAAAAATAGAAGTAAAACTTTTAAAAAGAAGAAGGCAAGGCATCATAATCCCTGACCTACATACACTGATCCACAATGTCATGTGATTCATCATTTGGCATTTGGTGCAGGTACAAAAGCGTCAAGAAAGTCGTCGGCATTCAATTATCCGATATCGGAGGCGAGAAATGAATAATGGAAATTTCTCTAATTTGCATCAGATTTAAAGTCGAAGCGAAAACAATTTTTTTTTGGTTTTGTTTTGTCGTAGTTGGACCTTGTTACGCTTAGTTCTCTTTTTCTTCCCATTCGGGTCAGATGGAATGGAATATTATTGTGCAAAATTGATTTTTTTTCTCATTCAGTCGTAACATAAACACAACAACATCAAATCTACGTAATCAATTAATCATTTCTCGTAATGACATCGACGAAGAAGAAAAAATGCATAACGTAAATTGGAAAAAGAAATTTGACGAAGCATGTCCATTCAAAATATTGAAGCGTTAAATATTTTTGTCAATAACGAAATGTTCTCTGTCTGGTGACTAGAATTCAGGGAGAGTTTAGCACAATTGATTGCTGTAGATTTTCATTTATAAAAGTTAGTTTCACAGCATCAAACATTCACTTATTTATTCATAACTACATGAAACTGTTTCGATGATGATTTCTATGATTTTTTTTCTGCCGACTCATCATTGAACATGAAAAGCTGAAGCAGAGACCAGTAAAATCATTAAAAATACCAATTCTGTCGATCAATAGACGATAAATATCGTTACGTTTAATTTCATTATGAAATCACCTTCGTTCTCATGAAGATTTCTTGTAAAGATTTCTTTTTGTTAGCACCAGAATTGGTCACTAAGCGAAGTAGTCGAGAGAAAGACCAAGAAATATGATTGATGACTTTTTGACATCTGATCGTGTCAGAGTGAAGGAGAATGATACGTTAATATCGCCCAGAAACAGATTCCCTTTAAAATTGCCATTCTTTCTCTTCTGACCTTTTCACATCGAACAAAAACTTTTCATTTTCACTTCCACACCAAAACATTGTGCAAATTATGTCGTTCGCATAACTTTCAATAAACATCTTAAGAAAATCCCGAAACAACAATCGTTCACGGAATTAATCAGTTTCTTTTACTCACTCTTGTCTCTTCATTTCATTCATAATTCTCTAACCAAAAAAAGGTTTGTACCTCGTTAACTTATCTCGTGTAATTTTTCACTTATACTTTCCAGATATTTATATTTTATTTACTTCATTTCGGGAGGGCAAATGAAATGACTGAATGAGTGAAAAGAGAAATGACTTATAATTTAATTTTCTTATCGTCGACAAAAGATCTTTTTAATAATTTACAAATTAATACATGAATAATAGAGCATGTAAATATTGAAATATCTACTTAAATGAACTCACTCAACCCTATGAGTATTAATTTTATATTAAAAGTCTAGTAAGACTGTCAGTTATTTTCAACTTCATTACTCACTGGGATCAAATTTAAATATCCATCAAAATAATGAAAACAGCGAAATCGTTTTCATTTACTCTCTCAAGCCCCACAAAGGCGATACGATTTAAGTAATAATATTGTTAATATTGAAACATTTATGGGTGTATCAATCGATTGTTGTTCGAACAAAACGAATATTTGATACTAATTTTATTTTCTTCTTTTTATTCTTCTGTGTCGTCTCAGTTGTGCTGCATGAGACAAGGGATGGGCAATCAGAAAGATGGACGTAAAAAAGAGACAAGATTAGACTTAGATAAGATGTGAAAAGATCAAATCTTTTGACGAACTGCATTTAGTTAACATTTCATAATAAAATGTTTTGATTTAATAAGACGAAGAGAATTTGTAATTGTCAGAATGATGGGATAGTTTCGATTTCCTTTCTTCTGTTGATGAATATGATGTGAGAGGATTTTACATTTTTTTAAAGTCTTGTTACTATTTTTGAGTGTGTATTAAGATAGAATAAATTTAAGTGAGAATCATTCATTGTTGTGAAGACAACAACAAGCTGTATGTATGAAATCTGTCACAATAATGGACCACGTCTATTCAACAAAAGAAGTTAGACCTCTTCGACGTTATTATTCATTTAAATTATTTAACTTTTCAATAGGTCATGACTCGCTTTTCTTCTTCAACTCATGATTCCATTCGATTTACATTTAAATGAATTTTAATAATTTTCTTTCAACTTCTTTGTTGTCTTCTGTCTTCATTCAATTTAAGCGCGCACTGAACTGGTGTTGTGTTCGTAATCTCTGACTTTGGGTTGTGTCTATGAGTCCACTTTTGGTGCGAACTCGTCATCGAACAACATGACATGACCTGACAATTGTCTGGTGAATGCTTTGAGACAAATTCGATGGAAAACATTCGTAGATGGATGGAGACGAGAATTGACACTCCTCAAAGTGCTTTGTTGTTCTTCGAAAAACATTAAAAACGATGAATTTTTAATGCGACGATGGATGGACGAATGGTGTGCTGTATGTTCGTTATTAAAAATGATTTATTATTGTTTGTATTGATATTAATATCTTTAAGAGAATGAATATATCTCGTCTTTTCCTTCACTTTGATCACTTCATTCTTTGTTAATAAATTCATTTTCGTTTCGTTTTGCACATCGACTCCAACAATGGGGAGCGTTGGACATAATTATGATCTGTCTAAACATTAACTGCGATAATGATCGAGTGAGTTTTGGTGTCTGAAAATGATGTTTTGGAAAAATAATTTCATCTCATTCATTATAAAGATCTGACATTAAATCCATGAATGGAAAGAAAAATCGCCAACAACTTAATTTAAGTACTGGTTCAATGTCAAAATAAAATATTTAAAATTTCATTTCAACTCGCAATTCTTTTGGAATTCAATAATCTCAACTTATACGAAAAGAGATTGTAATTGAAATTTTATTTGATTAAATGTAAATGAATTTCGATTTCATTTTTTATGTGACAAATTTAATCATGAAAACATTTCGGTCCATAACATTTTTTTCTTCTTTGATTCATTACCAGGAATTCTCAAGATTATTATTATCTCGCCTTTCCTTTAAAGATATAAAACTTTCTGTTTGTGAATCATTTTTATCTTATTTCCGTTTTCACGTTGTCTGAACAAAGCAAGTTTGTTTGGTTGTTTGTTATTCTTTCATCGTTTTATGGAGCTTAAGGTCTGTAATCATCGTCATGAGGCAGCACCTTTGAACTGGTATCTGATGAACACAATCTGTAAAACAAAAGAAAATTTCAACTTTACGCCAACGAAATAAACTGAGACAATGTTTTAGTCGAATAGAAGTAAATCTCATTATTAATCTAGAACAGTAAACTGATTGAAAGTGGAGGATGAGTGTGAGGGATGATGTCGAACGTAAATTGATGGGATTGACACAAAGTAATAAGAAAAAGAAAGAAAGAAAGAAGACTCTAATGCAATAAAATTGTAAAACTGTTGCATCTTTGGTATTATGAGGATGAAATGATATTGTAAAAGACGGAAAGAAAAGCAAAAGATCACTTTAAAGGCGAGGCCATTGCAAATCACGTCTCTCGGTGCTTCGTTTCTCTTCATCTTTCCAAAAACCCGTCTCTGATCCGAAAAGAAATAATAAATAAAACAATTGAATGAATGAGGAGATGAAACAATAATCTAAACTTTATACATAGTCGAATGTTGTGAAAATGTCGAGTAACGTTCCTAAATCCAATTTCGATGCTTATGAGAGAGGGAAAATTTATTTATGTGGGCATCACTACGAACATGGCCTCACAATTATTCTTCAATCTCCTAACATTGTTTTTAACAATTTCTTCAATGAATTTATTTATGCAGCGTGATGAGAAGACGAGAAGTGAAACTGGAAATCAACACAAAGCCCTTAATATGAATTATGCTGTGACGCGAATAATCAAAGTTTTGATTAGAATTAGATACGCCACGACTTCGAAGCACAATAAACTCGTCTACGATGTGAAATCTGAAGTCAACAACTATTCCTTGCTATTAATTTAATTGTTTTGCATAAATTGCTTATTTCTTTCTTGTTTTCACCGCTTTTTGTTGCTTCTGTGATTTATCATTTACTGGTTTTCGTATCTCGTGTGTTACGTTAACTCACAAATCATTTTTGCAGATGTAAATATTAAAGAAATTTTGAATACTCAATTCAAACTTTAATTGAAATTTGATTGGATCCTTTGAAGATTTGAATGTAACTTCTGCATTCAAAATCTTTAATTTAATGCAACTGCAAATGTATCAAATTTCCTAACGATGCGACGAAGACACTTCTCAGTTTACCTTTCCAAAAGCTTTCTGCATCTTGTCAATGTTTTATATGACATCTGACGATGCAGAGATGAATATCAAAAACATGAAAGTGTGTTTTAAGTGATCCGATTTCTTATGACGTCACAACTAAATCTCATTATGTAAACGAATTATTTTCATGGGAACATGATTTAAATTACACGATAAAGAAATCTTTTGCTAAAAGGATCTCTCGAGTCGAGATATATTTTTGCATTTGGCTTTTTTGGAGCTTAGTTTGATGGAAAACTGAATGGCAAAGAGGTCTTATCTTAATCTAATTATTTTGCTACTGCAGCTCATTCTACACGACAACAAATAGTTTTACTTTAACTAAAGGAAAAAATCTCTTAAAAATAAAGCAGTTGAAAAGAAAACAACATGAATGTTTACAAAATAAATGTCAAATGTAAAGCAGGCGAGTGAACAAACATTTCCTAATCTATCGACAGAATCTCATTGAAACTTCTCAATTTCTTCAAGATAAGGTTACAATTCATTTTAAGATCTCTTTTCTTACAACATTAAGGAAAGAATTCCAACAATTGCAACACTGCGTTTGATAATCTTGTTGCTAAAAAATCAACAAAAATGAAAACGTTCCCAGACGTCTTGTCGAAGGCCTTCTTCGATAGTCCATTGTGAGAAGTTCATAAAAATTTTGATGTTTTAAAATTTGTACAAAAGTTGACGATTGTTCAGAGAGATTAAAACTTCGCATATATACACATAGAACATAAATAGAAAAGAATTGAGAATGGAAAAATAGCTTGAAGCATAAAAGACGTGAAATATGAAGTTCTAAGGAAATTTATGGCCTTTAGGCGTGAGATGGACTCAATAGAAGAAGCTTAAGCAATTAATTCAAGATTTTATTAAGCCAACTTCCAATCGAAGGTCTTTTTGTTATAGTTTTGGAGTCTACCTGAGGAAATAAACTTAAAAATGTAAAGAAAAAAGCTGCACAAACAAACAAATTAAATGCATCCAATAAAGAAAGAAAATGAAATAAAAACTGAAATCGAATTAAGCAGTGAAACGTGCTCGATAAATTAAAATTCAGAAGCAATTAATGATGCGGGTATGGAGCGCGTATTAATTTTCTTCTGGCCTCTAGGTGAGAAAAAGTGCTGTAATAGCTCATGTGTAGTAAGCACACGGCTTTGCTGGTGTCACGTTTAATTTGTTTTAGCTTTTCACCTTTTTGTTTCGCTTCTCGTAGAGAGGAAATATTTTTTCTCTGAATAAATTAACGTTCGCGAACTTGTTTTTGTCCCCAGTGCTGTAATAAAACTTTCCATTAACTTGCCGAAGAATAATATCAAACACATATGGAACATTAATTTCCTCAGCATTTATTTATGCATTTAAAGTCTTCTCAGAAGTGTCCTGAAAATTTATGCGCGATACTCGAGAAATATTAAAACAATCGAATGGTTATGATTGGCGGCACAATCATTTTATGCTTCTAAATTTGTCGGCATTTCAACAATTTAAATTTGAAATAAATGCAATTGCAGTTCTCTGAAATAATTTGAAGTAATTTTGTGATTTGTCGGCTTTTTATAACAACGAATTCAATTAAAGTGGCTCGCGCCAAAGCAGGTGTGAATGCGGGTAATTTTATGTTAAATGGAAATTTTTTATGCTTAAGTCATAGATTTTAAATTTGATGCTGTACACTTTTCAACTTTCCTTTCTTTATGATGACTTTTAAAAGTTTTTTTTCACTTTATCTTCTCATAATTTTCCTACCCTCATGCTGTCGATGTATTCATAAGAAGTTTTCAAAAATTATCTCAACGATGTCATCAGACATGTTTTTCACATTAAGAACTTGAACTTCTGTTTAAAGATAAAAATAGATCAAGAAAGATTCTCGCAAGGGTTGTAAATGTCAGTTTCGTCAGTCGAGTCGACTTTTAAACTCTTGAGTAGTTAACCATGCATGTTGGGAGGATGTGAGTTGAACACGTTATTCAAGTGGTCAGAAAAGGTCTTTCTGTTGAAAGAAAAACATTCGAAAGATTTATAATTGATTAAACAGATTAATTAAACTTTGCTTTTCATCCAAGAATGAACGGACATTTCAAAGCATTTGAATTTAGATTTAAAGATGAAACGATTTGCGTTTTCTTTTCAAAGAAACATCTCTGAGAAGAAACAACATTCAGCGAGAAACATTTAAGTATCTCGCACTCATTAGAGACACATTTTATTTATGATCTTAACCTCATGTCCATTTCCAGATGAGAGTTTATGTCTTACATTACACAGTGGATAGAAGGAGGGAATGACTTGACTTCAACTTAGGCACCGTCGCTTCTTTGACATGTGTGAAACATATGCATAAAAATGTTTTCTCAAAGTTTTGATTCTTGAACAAAAGAAGAGCATTTAAATAGACAAAAACATTTCGTTTTGTTTCGAAACTTTGCTCTTTCCATGAAACTAGTCGCTCAACTCATAATTGAATCATCTTTCTATTGTTGCTTTGTGATTTACTCGAAACATGAAGTTTTTTTTTGGGGATTGGCTCGCTGAGATCTTCAAAATGCTACGTTTGATGGAAAAGAAGAAGAAGAAATTTACATTTAATCATTCCAATTACATAAGTCACTCGCTCGATCGAAATTCCATGAGGAATTGAATCGACAAAAATAATGTCTTTGAATATACAAAAGACGATAAACACGCGAGAGATTCCAAATGGGAAACCGACAAGCGGAATATTTGCGAATAGAAGTCAAAGAACTCCGTCTGAAGTTAAGAAATTAAAGTTGCATCCGACTGATCACTTCCAAAGCAAAATAAAAAATATTTTTGAGATAAAAATAAGAGTTGAAGAGAAGAAGAAAATTCCTATTTCGCTTGAAAATTGCACCCAAAAAACCAACAAAAGTCAGGCTGAAGCAGCATGTCGAGTGAACAGAAGAAAGGAAATTAAAATTTGTGCACAGAAAAAGAAAAGAACAAAAAAAATGTTAATCTTGATTTCTCGTTGCGCAAAAAGAATGCATTTTAAGTCGACTATGCTGCTGCTGTGAAGCAGTTTCCGTTGAGTGACCCTTTCATTTAAATATAAAAAATTATTTCTCTATTCCGCTTTCCGTCGTGAAGAGTCGCAAAAGTCAAATGCATGTCGCAATCGTACATGAAAGTAATAACAGAGTGTAAGATGTGCACCATAACCGAACCAAAATTTACATTTCATTCAACAGACGGAACACAATATTGCACACATGAACTTACAGTTGCTGTAAAAGATGGCAAAGAATAAATTGTTTGTTAAAGAAGATCAAGGAAAAAGAGATTGCCAATGATACACATTTTAGAAGTCAACAGAATAAGATTAAGTAAATACAGTGAAATGTTTTATAGTCTGTGATCTTCATAATTATATCTCAATTTAAATCAAGTCATTTGATTGTGATTAATAAACTTTTACGATTATTTTTTATGTCATTCTACAACACAGCATTCACTGTACCACTTCTCAAAAATATCTTTTTTTCTCTTTCCTTTTTTTATTCGCTTAATTAAAAACGCATAAAATGAAGCAGAAAAAAGAAACTCGAGAATTCTTTTTTTTATTCTCATTTGGCTTAAAATAAACAGTCATTAAAACAATAAATAAAGTCATACAGCAACAAAGAGGCGACTCATATGAATGGCAAAGTATAATATTAACAGATAATAATGAATGGACATTGAAGAAGAATAATTGTTCGTTTGTGATGTTCCAGTACTTGAGCTGGAACTATGAGGTTTTTAAATGAGAGCAAAATAAGACTTTTGGATTTGTTCGAACGAAGAAGTAATCCTTGAGAAGAAAAAGTATCTAAGTATCTACCGTCTTTTGCGGAACTGGACCCACGTGCTTTATATTAAAAATATAAAGCACATGTGCTTTATTTTCGTGGGGTGCTTTAATTTCCGTCGTTTTGCAAACACTCAACACAAAACCCCCAAAACAAAACAAATCAGTGAAAAAAGCGAAAACGAGCGTTTCATTACAGAAAGGTTGAAGGCATTTCTGGTGTCTCTTTTATTAACTTTCATTCTTGTTTATTTTTCTATCGTTCTGTAACGGGAAATTACAAAGTAGTGCTTTATTTTCGGGGGGTGCTTTAATTTCCGTCGTTTTCCCAAACAGTGCTTTTTATTCGGTTCAAATGACGTTTTTGCAAAACCCCGAGTATAAAGCACGTGGGTCCAGTTCCGCAAAAGACGGTAGTCATAAGAATAATAAGAAAATCTTGTTGCAAGATGGAGAAGTCATCAGTGTCCTTTAACTACAGCAATTTAATCCACCTCATGATTTATTGCACACTCGTTGGGAGTTATGAAAAGCGTTATGCATTCCCATGTTTGCTAACAACTGTTCAGCGAATTTTTTTCTCCTTCATTCGTTTATTCGACAATTTATGAGAAGTGAGAAATTTCATTCAGGAATGCGTCATTTGAAATTGCAGCGGATATTTTCAACCCATTCTGTGCAGTGTGTTTCACTCATTTGGGAATCGTCTTTTAATATTCTTTATTATGGAAATTATTTAGTTTCTTTTTCAATGTTGGACAGAGAGAATGAGATCATTTCTTGATGTCGTTTGTCGGGTGCTTTATGTCTCTAGATAGTGTGAGAGAGAATTTCATTCTTCTTCCAAGCTTCTTCTTTTTATTCTCCATTCTTTTTTTTTGTGGAAACATTTGTTACGTCGCTTCACAGACTGTGCACAGTTAGGTTTTTCTTCGAGTAGCACTTTTTGGTTCAGTGCATCGCTTCGATGAACAGGAATGCACTTTGGGGATTGAAACCAAAGTTTTTTTGTCTCTTTATTATTTTCTAGTTAATGAAATGTTTTAAAAATGAATTATCGAAGTAGTTGAGAGATACGTTCTGGTGACGTTTATGTGTGGATGTCATCATGACCGAGAGATTCTAATTTCCTATTCTAAATATGAAAAGAAAATCTCTCGACCACAGAACGAATATTCATGCTGCGTTCCCTCGCCAAAATGAAGAAGACTGGAGATAAAAATAAACTTTTTATTTCTTTTTTTTTGTCTAAAGAAGTTTTGGAAGGAAATCATCAGCGTGGTGCGTTGTCGAGCCGACTCTTGGGAGAGATTAAATCAGAATTGTCTTGTCTTTGATTTTCTTCTGTTGGTCAGTGAAAAATATGCTAAATTGTTAACTTTTAATTAACATATTTTGCTTGTTTTGGTCATCACTGAGGAAAACAATTAAAAGTATTAAAATTATCGCCTTAACGACCACAAACATTTTTTTAACTCAATTAATTTCACTTTTCTTTGTTATCAATGACAAGTGAAAGAAGAAATTTCAAATAACAACAAAATTTAAGTCTGGAAAAAAATAAAAACATTTTTGAAGGCCTTAGACGCGAGACAATTTTTATCGGACAACAAATTATCGATAAAATAAACAAAACGTGACAATGAAGGTTCATTGACCTTCTTCCAGCGGGTGACGGGAAGAAACACGAAACTTTTGTTTTTACAATTGTTTGAAGAAAAAAGTTTTATGACCGAAAGAGAAAATTTCATTATTTTGTATGAAATCGTGAAGCTTTTAAAAAAAATTTATTTCCATAATTTTCTTATGAAAATCTTGCGAGAATTGAACTAACGTTGATATGATTTGCGCAACGGCTAGAAATTCGATGAAGAAGCTTTACATGTATCATCGCGAATGTTACCATTACACATCTCGCTTATGGAAATCATTCCGCCCGCCCTTACTCGTAATCATCCTTTATTTTCCCCCACGCACACATGCAGAGTTTATTTTAAATGGTCCTCGTGAAATATCCCACCTTCACATGTGTTGTATTCATTTTCCGACATCGATACACAGTGACATCTTTTGTAAAATGAAATGTAATTTCATTGTGCTTATCACTGACCACTGGTTATGGAATTAGGTCGCAATCAATCAATTGATAAGCTTCTAATTAGGTTTGTTCATTGAATGTTTTTCTTTATCAATTGATTGATTTAAAGTTCTTTTTTGTTCTCTTTTAATTCACAGGTATTGAAATTGATTAAGTTGTTGTTGCATCATATAAAAAAGTTTTTTACGCGACTTTCTTAGTACTTTTATGTTCTGTCCCAGTGAAGGAAGAAAATCTCGTTACTCAGAGTAAATTTTTATATTGAAGAAAGATGTTCTTGTTCACCCAAGAAACCATTAAAAGAAGCATGAAATCAGCGCGAGGAGAGTTCCGCGAACGTTGGCGGTGAAACATGCTACAAGCATCGCGGAAAAAATAACATAAAAATTATGAATGAATAAAAAAAACTGAGACTTGTTGTAAATCGCTGTGATGAATAAAACGAAGAAAAAAAAAGTCGAGGGAAAATCCATCACAAGGAATAATAATAATTTTCTACTCATCTTTACGATAATCGAGTTTTATTCTGAGTTCATTTCGTTTTAATTTTCTATCTTAACAGTATCAGTCGTTTAACTGTGACAAAAGCTGGTTTTAAATTTAGTCATTCATTCGGCGATGTTTATTTGTTTGAAGAGTCTGTGTGTAAAAAATATCTCGCTGAATATGAACAGTTGTTTTTCTTATCAAAAATAAATTAAGAAAATTCTTTAAGCACACTTTAAAGAAGAACTTCGATTACTGATAATCTTACTTTCAAATTTTTCTTTCTAAAAGTTGAATTCCATCATGAAATATGCACTAAAATATTCATCAGCATACTGAAACATTTTCAAACTTCTAAGTTAATGAATCATTTATTTGAAACACTCGGACAAGTATAAAAACTATGAAAGCGATGATTAAGCAAGCACATGACATTTAACGCGATTTTCTGGTTTCTTTGAATTATCCAACAAAGGTAATAACGAAAAATGTTTCAGTCTTTGAAAAAGAATTGATTTTCTCATCTCATCACTTCGCTTTTCTCCATGAATCATCACCCAACTCTGATATTTTTCAAAATGGAAATCCATGTTGACCACAAACCGTTTTTCTTCTTCCTTAGTACATTTTCATCATAACGAGAATAGATTTTTTCTCCTCTTTCCACCCACACCTTGAGTGGAGGGATGGTGAAAGAAGAAAAGAGAGAAAGTCTGATGAAGAAGAGAGTGAAGAGCGAGTGGGGGGGTTGAAAGAGTAGGGAGAGGGTGGAAAGATATCGCAACACATAAACGGTGGAAACAGGACGTTGCGCGCGCATCGGAAAATAGAAAGTCGCATGGCACTTTCACATCTCATACAACAACCGTCACCCTCATATGTGGAAAAGGATGTTTATCACTTTATAAGTATGTGTTTGCTTCTCTCGTTTTCGATTTATGTACATGCATGAGATTAGTAAGGGGAGATTTTCTCAAAGACTTTTTAGTGGTCTCTCTAATGAAATGAAATTATTTATTAATTTCAAATTTATCTAATTAATTTTAAACAAAATGTGTTAAAAAATCTCCGGCGGTTGTAATAATTGAAACAATTTCATGTCCATTTCCGATGTGAATGGAAATCCTACAATTATCCAATCCAATACATTGATATACATACATCGAAATATCTCAGTAATCATCATAAGAAAGAGAGTCAGTCTCTCTGGACCAAACATCATCACAAAACTTTATATAAAGTAAGCAAGAAAAGAGAGGAAAAAGGGAAACTAAATAAAATCTTCGACCATATGTATAAATGTTGCATGAAGTTGAACTGTACGGACACACATACATCAACACACCGCCCCGATTCTCCGACTCATTCGGCCAGCAGCGAAAGACAAGAAAAGAAAATTAGATAAAATTGTGTTGTATTGTGTGCGCGGCGGGAGAGTAAGTGAGAGCGAGTAACAACAAATCGAGTACTCGACACAACTGATTTTCCCATTTTTTCAAAAAGAAATATAATACTAAATGAATATAAAAAAAAAGAAGGAAAAGAAGCAGCGAGACACGAGAAATGATGTAGTAAAGTTTTTCAACGGAGTCTTGTGTGTTACGGGTTGTGCTATGTGTTGTCGCTCCGCTTGTGTATCGCTCAACTTTATTTTCTTTTCATTCTTTACGGTGCTGTTTAGTTTTCCTTCACATTAGCTACACGATAGACGCACGACGACGTGTGATGCGGAGGATTTTTACATCTCTTCGTCGATCTCATATTAGAAACATAAAAATAACGAAAAAGGGAAAAATTGTCTCGTGAACCTCGTGTTGATCTTTGAAGAGAAGAAAGTTTGAAGAAAAGACATTTATTCGTGAGAAGAAGGAAGCAAGGAATTTTCCAAAAAAGCAAGTCGTTGAGTCTCCCTTCTCGAGTGTGTTTGACTCGCTCTACTCGTGCTTCACGTATATATAATTTTTTTTTCGGGGGGGTTCACCAATTTTAGTGGTTGCTACACACAAGCAGTGGTTCAGTGAGAGAAGAAGAGATACACTCGGATGACTATTAAAATCTCCTATGTACATGTGCCATGAGATATAAATATGCTTTCTTCAGTGGATGGGGACATTTATACATTTATGTATGGTGAACACACAATATTTTTTTTTATATCGTTTGGCCGGTGAGTTAACGTTTCTTCGTCCATCAATGCATTAGATGTAAACGGACTGTCGTCGAGTACGGACGCAAAATCTATTGATAAAAAATAATCAGTTTCTAAATAATATTTTTGAGGATTCTCATTTTTCCTTAAACAGAAGAAAACATTTTTGGCAAGTGAATTTTTCGTGAAAATTTCTGGATTTAATTTATAACAAAAAAAAGGTGAAAAATATTTTCTGGATTAAAAGAAGAAAAAAATATTTGAAATCAAGTGAAAGAATATTTTGTGATTCTAATTTTAAATAATTTTTTGGAAAATTATTTGAGTGACAGACAGCAGATAGAAAAATATTTTCAAAAATTTCTTGAAATTCTTAAATGGACATTTAACAATGATTTTCAAACAAAATTAAATTATGTTCAAATGGATTTTAGTCGAAGCAAAAAAAATTATTCGTGATGTATAAGAAAAAAACCTTTTTGGTCCATTTGACAGTGTCGTGAAATTTTTGATTTTAATTTGACAAAAGGACCTTAACAACAATAAAAAAGCCTTCTCAATTCGGCCAAGGATATTTTTTTCACAATTGTTCCATGAATAATTTAAATCATCGAAACGAGGAAGCAGTGAAGAGAGAGGAAAATAAAATAAAAATTTCTCGCTCCTCGTGAATAAAATTTTTTCGGCTGTGACTTAAGAAAAAGTAAAGAAAGAAGGAAAAATAAAAGTTTGAGGAAAGAATTTCCAAACGAACGGAAGTTGGGTGAAACACGGTGTTTTGTGTCTGATAAATACAATCTTGTGAGAGTAAAAGGAAGAGAAGACATAAAAATATCATCCAAAATGAGAATTAAAATGCCAGCTGTTCGTATTGCACAAGGTAATTACTCCTTTTAATTTATCACTTTGATTCAAGTTAAATCCACTAAGTGTACAAAATATTTTACGATTCTTCTGCTGAGTTTACAAATATCCATTTAATAAATTGAAAAAAAAATAATCCAGACGATGAAGGAGAAAGTTCTAACTCACCACGCGACTTACGAAAATAATTTCGCACTGAAACGACGATTGCTAATTTATTCATGTTTTCAATTAAACCGTAAGTCGTCGACTAAAAATATTTACAACGATGCTCATCGCACTTCTTCTTTTTTTGTCCTAATTGTAATTATTTCTTGTTGCCGCTATTTTTTTATGTACCCAAGAATTTTTTTATTCTCTGCCGACTGTCGTGCGATTTTTTTCCTTCTTATATAGCCAAGGACGAAGATGATGAAAAAAAATTTCTTATGTACTTTTCTCGCCTTGTAACAAGGATTTTCTCTCCTTCTGCGAATTTTCTTTTCTTTCATTCTTATTTTTTAGTCGTGAAGAAAAAAAATATCAACAAAAAATCGTAAAACGTTGCAGACAATGAAGATTTTCCTTTACTTTTCCTTCTGTTCTATTCAACAAGAAATTTTCTTCTCATTTTCTCACGATGCAAATTTAATTAAGATTTTTTTTATAAGCTATTAAATATATTTTCAATGTCGCAATGCGAAGATTTGTCGTCGTGGATCTAAGAAATCTGTAGTCAAGCTGGTGAAATCGGTTTCTACTTTAAACTTGCACCTTCGATTACGATTAAATGCGTCACAATAATTGATAAAGCAATTTTTAAATTTTCTATTTTCGGTCAATAGTCGTACGACATGTCGAGGTTTTTTTTACCTTGTGTCCGACGTCCGTTAAATGAATGATAAAATAATCAGCATTTCAAGATTGTACTGATAACAAAATCACAAAAAAAAATGAGAACGATTCATCACTTAAGTCGATGGCGCGTTGTGTCGTTCTATTTGCTAAGTGATTCGTTTTTCTTCACGATAAGGCTCGTGATGTGTAACATGACTAGCTGTTTTAAAAACAAGTGACTGAGCAGAGTTCTTTGGATTGGTTTCGTCCACAGTGTTGAGTGTCGCCCGCACCTCGTAATAAATATAAAAGTTTCAACACATTCGTCGCAAGGTTCACAACGAATTCAGTTCTTTAGCTTAGCTTTAATTTGTGTGTTTTTTTTGTCTATATGAAGGCAAACAATTGATAAGAACCGCCGTTTATTCCACACCACCATTAAAACGCCTTAATAAAGGTAAACAATTTGTTCATGATGTTCTTCTGCTTTTATTTGATTGAAGCGCAGTTAAGTTTGAGAATGTTTTCTCTTTTATCGCGAAGGTCTTTAAACTGGAGATCTTCTGACTTCGAAACAAAAAACAAACTTTCCTTGAGATGAAGGAAAAGTTCACCCTCAGATTTATGACATCGCTAACAAAAAAAAAGAACTATGAGTGAATTTAAATTTTTATCACCTGTTCCAGTTCGAGTGCGACTCAGGGCGACGAAACACAAAAAAAAAATAAAAATAAAATATGTGCCCAGGGTTTTATGTGGTCTCGTTTCTTTCTGTGCTATTTGTACAAATAAATTGAAGTTAGATAAGACGAACAAGAATGAATCCAACGCCAATTGCATTTTTAATATCAAAGTACAGCGGAAAAAATAGTGAAAAAAAATCAATATTTTCAGTTCTACATAAATTGCTGATAAGCGACGACAACTAAAATTCCAAAACGTTTTGCGGGTAGCAAAGGGCGATAATTTATATCTTGTGAGTTTGTGACTCAGTTGGGCTGTTTACTTGGTTTTGACGTCGTTTATTTGATCAATAAAAAAAACACATTTTTTCTATGCCCATAGCGCTTCGCTTCGGTTATCGTCAAGCAAATTTCACCAGGTTCGAGTCGAATGGTCATAAAAGTAGCGAATTCGTTTTATTATTACTTATTGATTTCAAATCTGCTCGCGATTGGGAAAATATTATGCTGATTTACGATTTCTACATAAAGTTCTTCCTTCACTTTATCGGCCTGTGCACGTCTTATGAAACAAAAAAAAAATCGGGGCAGCAGTTGCGGGGACATAGAAAACTGAAGAATCGATCAAACTTTTTTTGCCCCGTAAAAACTGATGTTTTATGTGTTTTTGAATTGGGAAAGTTTTTCTTTATTCTCACTCCTCGGAACTTGGGAAAATTTATGCTGTAAAAGAACAAATTCGTTTTTCTTTTTGCTGGAGGTTGGATAAGAAAAGAAAAATCAACATTTCTGAAACGCTTAACGTTGTTGAGCCTGGTTTGATTGGAAAAATAATTTTCTTGATTGATCATTGATATTTTTCTTTTGCCTAACAGTTTTTACAACTTATAAGTTTTGAAAATAAAATAAATTTTCAAATTGTCCTCGTTAATTTTCCAACAACTTCAATAGCTTTGACTCACGAAATTGTTTCTCTTTAGGCTAGAAAAGTTTCAATCATTCATTGAAAATATTTTATCACCACAAGACTTGATTTTTTTTTATCGATGTTAAGAACGAGAAAGGAAAACTTTTCCACTTTGAAGTTACAAAAAGTTAAACGCTTTTTTCTTTGTTTTTAAATATTCATGGCTTTACTGGACGTAAATTAAGTTTTCGTTGTTGAACTTTGTGAGATTTATAATCGCGAAATGCAAAACAATCAACTAAACTTTAACGAGTCAATAAAATAAAAAATACTTCTCAACATTTTCGAGATTTATATGATTCGGAAAATTTATTTATCAAAATGCTGATGTCACATCTGGAAGTTTAGATAGTTGAATAAAAGTTAGAATTTATTAGAAGTCGGGTATGGGTCAATGGGCTTTAATATTCGAGATCATCATTCCACGATAAATAAACAACACAAAGCAAGAGCAATAATCTTTGGGAAATGGTAGAGAAATCACCCATATAGAACATCGCTCGATTCTTATGTTTAACATATTTTTTATGCAAACTAGCTGCACATAGAGTGCTGGTTGAATGTAAAAAAGTCATTTGCGGATAGCGGAACAAGAAGAGAACCCAAAAAACCTCGTTATGAGGTCGCAAAGGTCTCGGTATGCCCTTCCACCAATAAACAAATAAAAATCGTTGTCGATTCGGGGACAATTGCATGGCAAACAATTATTAATATCATGCTGTAAAATAACAATAAAAAATTGTCGAAATAAACACAACCGAACTGAAAAGACAATGTCCTAAGTTACACAGCGTTCAACGAAGCGATATTCCGAATATGAGAGGAACTTTGAACCCTTTTAACGAGTTGAACATGTTGTAATCATTAAATCTAATGGGAAATGAGTAAAACGAGAGCCAAGGAACTCTTCGAAAGTTTCTAAGATTTTTTTCTTCTTTTTTTTAATTCGCGATGTCATGAGGTCTTGGGATCGGGTTGCGCATTGCTTTTGTTCACGGCATCGTCCATTTGTGTCGCCCTTTACTTGAATGCGTTCATTTAAAAAAAACTATGAAGAAGAAGCAAATTACTTCATGTCGTGTGGTCGATATGAACGACTCGCCTAGAAGCAAAAATAAGTAGAAACTTAATTCCATTCATTTCAATCTTTCTTAATGCTTGATTTATTGGAATAAATGTTTCTGTTATAAAAACAATGCTGGCACTCTCCCTGTCGAAAACCAAGAGAGGATGCGATTTTATGCAAAGTAAAAAATGTTCTGTAACTTATGCCCAAACAACGGCAGTTTTCATCTAACGAAAATGCATTCAATTGGAACGGAAGTCAACTCTTCTTCCTCCAGCGCGTGATTATCGCGAGATGCAACAAATTTCTCATAACCGAAATTCCTTTGTAACAATGTAGCAAGTTAAATATTGATATTTAAATTGAATAATAAGAAGGAGAAGCAAGAAAAGAATTCAATGCGGAAAATTTATTTTCTTTATGCTCTAATTATGAGTTTGTTCTTGTACTTGTAAAATCATTCAGTCGCGTAGAACTAAAGAAAAATCAAAGAAGCATAAATGATACTGAAACGACTTTCGATGAAAAAATATCAACGATTTATCCCAGTAAGAAATTCTATAAAAGAATGTCTTTTCAATTAAATAAGTTTCACAACAAATGCGGCAACTTTGAAATTCACTTTTTTTAAAAGATTTATTTCTTCTACTTTTCCGTTTATGAATTTCCTAAGCGGGCATTGCGATTATTTAAAACAACCAACAATGAAAACAAACAAACTAACTTCTTTGTTAGAAATGATCGACTCTTCTCTCTTCTTTCTATCTCTCTTTGTTTCTGTGTTTTATGCTTCATTAAATAATTCTGATATTTTCCCGTTAATATAAATTTCAATTCTTTATAATAAGTTGTTGATGTCAAACTCGCCCGCGTCGTCAACCACGAAGAATAATTTCCAGTGATGTTTTTGCATTTTTTTCTTAGAACTTAAATGTTACATGAGCTTCATTTGACCCTTTGGTTCAGCATCATTTTACCTGAATATGATTTCATTAAGAGGGTTGACAATTTCATTTTATTAATCTTCCGTCTCTATTACATTGAAATGTTAGCGAATTTCACAACATCTGAAACGAAGTGAATGTTCTGTTTAATATTTAGAATGAATGGACGACGATTGTTGTGTCGCTTATGTGTGTTTAAGCCGAAATTAACCGGAAACACAAGAGAAACAACATTAGGATAAAGTTTTATTAGCACGCGACAAGGTGCTGTTAAACATTCTCTTCATTTCACTCTTCTTTACTCTCCCCGCGAGGCGCATCTTTAACAGCACGCCGCTCATGAAAAGAATCATTATCAGCACTTAACATCAACAGCTCCTAATTTGCACAACTTAAAGCCAAGAGCATAAAAATGCGGTCGTGGAAAGCATAATGAGGAAAAATTGTATTTAAAGCCGTGAAAAAAAAAACTTTTCCTTTTGCTTGCGCTCGTCGCCTTCCGCCTTTTGTTTCATTGCCGTCTTTTTTTTTTCTTTGGTGGAAAGGCGATGGTGAATAAAAAAAAGGAAAACAATTTTCAGCTGATTTTAAAATCCTACGATGTCGCGTTGTGGAGTGAGTTTGTGTATTTTTTATTTTTCATCATTCCTTTTTCCCTTCGCCCAGTCTTGTGCCTTAATAAACATCTACAAATGATGCTTTACATTTTTTATTTGCCTTAATGTTGTAGAAAAAGAAGAAAGAAGAAGTTGAGATGGTGTTGGAAAATTTATGCTTTATATAATCGGACCACTAACACATTCAAAGCAGAGTTTTCTCTTTCAAGTCCTTTTCCATTATTTTCTTCGTGTGTTGATTTATAAGCGAGGAAAAAGAAGAAAAATGATTTTCTCTCGAAGCATTTGAGATGCTGCTCTCTTTCTCTAGCGACTGCCAGAGTGCGCTGCTGGTCTACATTAAGTTAATTTTGTTTTGATATCTTTTATTACATAAAAATAACAAGGTTTAATTTTTGAAATATGATTCCTCATTAAGTATGAGTTTAATGTTCAAATGCAAGCTTAAAATTATCTCCATTTACCGTCGCGTAAATGAACAAGAACAAAAGGTTGAAATGCTATCGATGTTGAGGTGCAAACAACTTCATGAGCTTCCAATTAAACAATCAACAAAGAAGATTCGTTTGATCGATGAGCATGGCAATCACCAAAGATTATTAAATTAATTGCCAAGCTAGAGAATCGTGATCGACATTAGTCACTGACTCATTATTGCTTATTTTAAAATAATTATCTAACTTTATTTTTTTCTAAGTTTTTCTGCCCCGCAGACGCATAACGCTTCTCACATCGAATGCCCACGTTTCAACATCTAAGTTTGTTTTATGCAAATTAATCTAAAGTTGAAGAAAATTAAACCTCATTGCTTCGCCATTAGTTTTCTCGTCGTTGCCTGTAATTTTGCTATATGCCGTTCGAATTCGTTTGAAATGAAAATAAAATAAGTCTACATACACTTGGAGTCACACCTTCTTCTGTAATACATGGACTTTTGAATTGTTTTCGAGTGACTCGAACAGCAAACTTCAAGGCTAGTTTCGCGGAGGGCATTAAAAATTCAAAAAAATGAAAAGAGAGAACTTACAAATAAAAGCAAACCATTCATCAAACACACACGCGAGTTGTGACTTCAAGTGCCAAAATACTTGAACGCACACAATTTCAATCTCCCCAAAAATACAAAATAGAAATAAAGAAGAAAAATCATTGGCCGACGAAATTATTATTCAAGCAACACCATAAAAGGCCGAAATCTCACGTCGCGCTCGCTGATTCGCATTCGTTAAAAATATACGTGAATTTTAATTCCATTACCGAAAACAGTCGAATCGCCTTCATTTTGTCACACAACCAGTTTCAAGTTCTTGTAGTTTTTTATTGCCTTCTGCTGACTTTGGTGATGAATAAAATTTTTGCTATATTCGGAATCACCAGGGGAATTAATGAAATGTCGAATGACAATACGAAATAAAAAATGGTGGACGACGAAGGTGGCATTGACGATTAACACATCAAAAGTCATTGAAATAATTTTTTGACGCAACCAACTGATAACAAACTTAATCCATTGAATTACATTTGTCTCGCCATGCAATATGTGAGAAAACAAAATTAATTCTTGAGAAAAAAATGAGCGACATTACGTCATTAATTAATGTTCTTTCCAATTCATCAGCTGTTAATAATGCGATGTTCAGAAAAGGCAAAATAAAAGCCTCAAAACAAAACAGGAAAAAATATTTGTGATTAATCGAATAATTAACAAATCACTAATTTTCGCGTCGTGATTCATGCCAAATACGAATTGCACTTAATTGTGCTTTGTTAGCTTATTTCAGTTACTTAATTACACCGTTCAACTCAGATCACTGCTAAATAACGGTCAAAGTGACTGTGTGCATGGCAACAAACAATTGTTTAGTTAGAAAATTTAAATAATTAATTGAGATCTTTATGCCAATTCTCACTGCTGTAGCATTAAAAAAATGAGAAAACCGCAAAGAAAAGCTTGATGAAAATTGCATTTGAATAATTAAATTTTTAATTCTAACACAGAAAGAAGTGAAGACACAACAATCAACATTGGTAAGTCGAGTTGCACAGTGCATCCGAAAACCTGGTGCAAGTAAAACAAACGAGTCGAAGAAATTGAGCCCAGTGAGTGTTGTTAAAAACAATCATTTAATTGAGTTGAAATCTTCAAAGCAAAAGATTCGTTGCTGGGCATCTCTTTTCTCTATTTTTTTTGTGCAATGCTGCAAAGCCAATTTAATGCATTTTTATGTAAAAAGTTCGTGAGAATCTGATGATAATCATCCACGGAGTCGCGATGTGCCACGGTAAACTCTTTTTTTCGTTGTGCATTCATTTTACTTACCAAATCCACTTCATTTGTGAGCTCACAACGACGATGCATTATTTTCACATGAGTTCATAACTTCTTTCTCCTTTATTTTTCACTACTGTTGATGCTTGCACAAAAATAGTTTTATGGATCATTCTAATGCTTTGTTTGTGAAGTAAAAGAAAGAAAAAGATTTAAACAATGAAAGATTTTAGTCTGTTGAATGGACATGAATGGACAGAAGAAAAGGGCGAAATGCACTTTACGGTTGCATTCTTTTGTTCGTTCAGACCTGACTCTCAAACACCCTAAACTTCTGTTTTCTTACCCCTTTGCCTTTCTTTTCCATTCATTTAAATTTTACAGAAAATTTTCTCACAGATTTATTTGTCACAAAAGAAGTTTTAATAACATTAAAAATGTTGCAAAGAAATCAAACTAGGAAATGTTGGAAATCAACGGTAAATTCTTTATTCGAAAGGGTCGGGGGCAGTGATTGGCATAAAATCATCTTCTGCACTTTACACCTGCATCATTTTCCCATGATTTTTATGATCTCCCGTTTCCCATTAAAAATCTGATCCCATCGTTTAAGTCTCTTAGTTCGTATGTTTACTTCGAAGATGATCAGCGATTGATCGATGCGAGCGAGTGAAAGGCGAAATGAGAAAGAAAAAGAAGAAACAGATTGGACAAATTATTTCTCTTTCTTCTATATTTAATTTAATGAAGCACCGAAAAAGGACTTAAACGCAGAAAATCTGGTTTATATCAAGGAAAAAGAAACGAAACAGTAAGAAGGATGAAAAAGGATATTTCGCTTTATATTTATAAACATTCCTTTATCTAAAAATAAAAACATTTTCGAATGCATTCAACATGTGGTTTTCACTGCCGTAGCAGATTCGTTAACAAACCAAAAACGCATCGTAAAATATCCTTCGAAGCTTAGACGTTTTATTGGGTCAAAAACTTTTGATTTTTTTCGGCGGAGAATGAATTTCTGACCTGCTTTTTCTCAACATCATGCGATCAAATTGGACAATAAAATCTCTTTTATTTTTTCCTTCCAAAAAGAATTCTTTTTTGCATTTTTATATGAAAAGATACGGATTTGTATTTTATTTTAATGTTTTATGTTTTCCTTCAGATTATCCCGATCGTATAATATTACAATGTCCTGAACTAACAAAGGATCCCAACTTGACATAACAAGTGTACAGTTGTCGACGTTTTTGAAGCCCTCGTCATGTCATGGTCAAACCAATTTATGTTTTGTTACATTTCCAAGAATCTTACGACATAAAATGAAACAATCCGATCGATTCTTTGAATCACGATATTAAAATTAATTTAAATTGGACAGTAATAAGATTATAAATCAAAACTATTCACTTTTCTAACGACTGTTTTTTACACCGAAATAAAATCACAAACTGCCCTTTCTTCAGACTACTTTCAAGCCATTAAATTTTTGCTATAAATCAATTAGTTATCTACTTATATGTATGCCAAACAGCAGGAGAAGGAAAATCCTATAAACTATGTAAGCCGAGAAGTAAAGCGTTAAAATTGTTTTTATTTGTGTTTCGCTCAAACGACGAGAAATTAATTTTTATTAAAATTAAATTGAGAAAGAAGGCAGTGAAAAAATACTCCATCAATATGCCAGTTTTCAAGCTCTCAATTGGTGTAAAAGCAAAGCTGGAAGCAACCGCAAATGCACTGCGATAGAAACTGTTGGGCGCTCTAAACGATTTTAAAATTTATAGCTTTGAATATCTTAGTTTGCATTTGCAAGCACACACAAAACAGCAAAAAACGAGGAAAAGATTTTTGTACCATGCCAGACATTTATGTTGAAAACATTTAAGATACAAATTAATTATCGATCTTACTAAACTAAGGAAAATTTCTTTCTTTACAAAGAAGAAATTGAAAGAATGAAGTTATGAGCACAAAAACGTCGACGATTAATAAGAGACCAGCTTCGTAAAGCATGTAAACAAGCGCCATAAATAAGCTATTGAAGCATTGTCGATGACAAAACTATTTTACATACTTATACGTATAATAATAAAGTTAATAACGTAATCAAGATTAAAATATATTTAAAAATCAATTTAAATCTCCTTAATTTGTTTAACGTACATGTCTCCCTACGAGGTAAGACATTTTATCAATAGGCTTAGAGTTTGTCTTTGTTCAACTGCAATCATGTTCGCTAAAACGAGAAGGAAAACGAAGATTAAATAATTTTTTCCTTCTCTGCTCGACCACGCGAAGAGAGCTCGAGAAACTTTATAAATAAAGAAATAAATTATTGTTTTAACAATTCGACAACAGCAGCTAACAACGATGAAAAAAGCCAAAACAAAAAAGAATTTTTATGCAGCAAATTAAACAAAAGTATGTAATTTTTATGCTAGCAAATAAACATGAAAGTTTAACAAGGCAATTGATGCTGGAATGAATAAAAAGTTGTTTCATTTTTGCTTCCAGTGACGCCTTTTATTCAAGAATTTATTTTAATTTGCTGATTCGCAGACCACAAGGTCTCGCGAAGTTTCTGCGAAAGTTCAGAAGCGTGGGTGATGTTTGAAACTTATGTCACCGTTATGTCAAAACTTACATACTTAAATTTAAGTTAAATATTAACAAGAAGTTCCCTACTTGAATTATTCCTTTCTTCGTCCAACAAAATTTCAATTTTTTTTATCGAAACTTTACGAGTTAGTAATTTGTTTAAGAAAAAGAGAAAAAACAGTTCAATTTATGACTTAATTTTACGATTCATTGCAGCTCGATATGTTTAACGTTTAAGTAAGAAAAAGTTCTTGCAATTACTTATTCATCGAATGCAAAGCATTATGAGGTCATGCACGGCTATCAAATAATTAATATCTCAATTTAAAAGAGAATAACTTTTTGTGATCGCTTGGAAAAAATGTGAATTAGCCAGAAATAGATTTAAATGGCATTGCAGAAAAGAAAGAAAATAAAACATTGTTGTAATAGAGACGGAAATCAGTGCATAAATTGTTTCGATTTCGGTTCTAATATGGAAATGGTTTAGATTCATTGCATTGAACATTAGACAATTTAACTGAAAGAAGTCAACACAATGTGCACATGTTGAAGTCGTTCCTTTAACCATTTCTGGTGCAAATCGACCGTGAGAAATTCTATGGTAATTTTCTGTCTTTTTTTCTCCTTTTTTTTTCTCGCCGAAAGCAAAGCGACATTGCTTTCAGTACCGAGACCGACCGGAGAGTGAAAGATTCGCCTTTGATGTTTTTGTGTGGCATGGACTTATTTTGTTTATTACAAAGCTGTTTGTATCTCCTAATGATGGTCGACTACGCTTCTTTTGTGTGCTTAAATGTACTAAAAATGAGCTCTAAGTGACAAATTCCAACATCGTTTATGTCATTTATGCTCTTGATTTTTCAGTCCAATATGATTTATGGAATCAACTCTTTCAAAAGTCGTTTGACTTCTTCTCTTCTTCACCTTCCTTCGTCATCTTCTTCGTTGACGATCACAAAAATGGACTCAACAATGGACCATCGAAAACCATTGAAAAACATTTTCGATGGTTGTGAGGTAAAGCGCAGAAAAAAAAAGTCTCATGAATATTTTCATGTCTTGTGGTTTCACGTCAATGAATTTATTTAGTCTCAGTCCATGTCCTCGACCAATGTATCTGAATTTGCATTGAAGCACAGCAAATTTAAAATCTTCTTCTATGTAGATCAGAGACACAATAACCGCATGTGTGAACGCAATTTTCTGTTTCTTTTCCATCATGATTCATGATGAATGTCATCTAAATAAAATCTCAGTTAATTAGTGCATGAATGCATTCATGTTGCGCCTTCTTTATTGAATAATGCATATGTAAGTTGTTAGCAATTTGAATTGTCTTAAGATTCACAAATACTCATCTAGGTGATAAAAAATTATCCGCTACTCTCTCGCGTGTCTTCCCATCATAAATTAATTTAATGACCACATAGTTATAAACACATGAACTTCACCGACTCTTTCAAGAACTCCGAAGTGGAAGTTGAAAGAGTAGACGAAGAATTTCCATGCGTAAGCGAGCACGCTGCTGATCATTCATGCCCATCAATCGCATGTATGCATCTAATTCTAATTGTTTGTTTGCTGTTTGAGTGAAGACACGCCGAGGCAGGCGGAAAATGTAATCGCTGCGACTTACAAGCGAATAAACAAGTGAGTGGAGAAAGGAAAGAATAAAAAAAACGTAAAAGAAATCGTTTTGAGAATCTTAAAGATATGTACAAGAAGACAAGAAGTTCACCCAGTGAATAAAGAAATGCTTTTTGAATCGATTGAAAATTTGAAGAAATCTTAAACTTTTACTTTGGAAATCACTGGGACAAGAAGACGACGATGCAAGAAAGAGAGAAGGAAGATTATCGCATACTAATCTTTATTATTATTGTTTCCATTTGCTGTTATATTAGTTGCCATCTCTCGCGTTATCGTCTTAATTAATTAACTTCGTAGCGTAACAAAATAAAGAGAAGCGAAGATAGTCTTGCAGATGTGAATGGAGAATGCTGCAGTTTTTATATTGTTCCGTTTTCGGAAAAATAGAAGGAAAGAAAAATCACCAATGAATAAGCTGTGCATGTGACTACAAAAACTAAAAACGTTGGACGTTAACAATAAAAACGAACTAATGCTAGGCTGCTCGGTTAATTGGTGAGAAAGTTCTCATTAATTAAAAAAAATTAAATTTATCGAAAAATTGCCTCATTTCTTTTACACTTTACAACTTCTATGCACCTTTTGTGCAGTTTTATGATTCTCGCGATCTTTAAATGTCGTGTTAGATGGAAATGCATTTTATTTTCTTGGCTTTAACGTCTTGCGAAACAATTTCATTGCATCATGTTGGCCTAGAATAATTATGATGACTTTACAACAAAAGCTACTTAAAATGCAAGAAAAGTTTTATGAAGAAAATTGAGAAGAATTTACTGCGAAAGCAGTGAGTAATTAATTTACTTTATTGACCAAAAATTAATTAAATAAATCCAACAGATCTGACAAATCTTTTCATTGTTATGCAAATCCTTCACCTTACGATTTATCGACAATAATTATTGACAATTACACCGCATTAAAAGTCAAGCAAGCGCTCGAAGAAAAGTCTCAACATTTCATTAATTGAAAGAGATGATTTTATTTAAACAAACAAAACATATTAAAGAAACCAAAGCACTTTCCCGAATGTATATCGTGAGAATATTTCTTTCACTTCTTTATTTCTTTAGTTTCGTTGCAACTGCAAAAACTTTTTTTTCGTTTTCTTATTTTTCGACTCCAATAGGATTTGCTATGACTGCAGCATAAATGTTTTCAATTAGATGATTTATTAACTAATAGGCAGTATATAATCCAAAAGCGAAAGCTGTAAAGAAAAGTAGTGGAAGCAACATGAGAAAGAAGAGTCTTAATACGATTATTTATATACATTAATGTTGTGCAATTTCTCAACTGACTCAATTTTATGTGGTGACTCTTCATACAATCGAATCAAGCGCCAGAAATGCATCTTTAAAGTTTAACATAAACTCTGCCCTGCAAAGAATGTTGCAATAACTTTAAGGTAATTGAAGCTATGATTGGAACTTCAAACAACACCTTAGAAGCTTCAGCAACAATTACAGCTCTGAAAATCATTTTAATGAATGTATGGCGAGGCCGTTAAAATGTTTCGAGCTTACATTTTGTTTGTTTTAACATTAAAAACTTTTTTATTTATCGCTTGCAATGTCTCGCAAAAAAAAATGATTACAGCAGTGGCGCACGAATCTGAACTGTAATAATCGTCGTTGATCTTTCGGCAGACGATCTGACACTGCACATTATCAGACTGAAAAGATGTTAAAAGCATCGCTGGTCGGAGAATTGAAATCAAAGCGATTATTAATGTGATCATGTAAATATCTCTGATGTAATTGAGAATAGGAGAACATATAACTTTGAAAACCTTATTGAGCACACTTTTCATCGATGATTACGTAAATGAAACAGAAACTTCTTATGACAACATCGCGGAGAGCTTCCAAGATATTTTATTTCCTAATTGACCGCATCGACTGTCATTACCAAGATGACGAAAGCGAAACAAGAAAAGCGATGGAGAGAGAAGAAAAAAACATGTAAAATTATTAAATATCGAAAGACGACGACGTACAACGAGAAAAAGAATGACGGCGGCGACAAAGTTTTGTTCAATTGCATAAACAATTGTCAAGTCTCTCATTATTTCTGTTTAATGTCCGCTTGCCTTGTCCATAAGCTTTTGAAATGACTTGATTTCTGTTGTGGTGCCCTAGTGCAAGATCAAGTGTCAGAACCCACGTTTACTAACGATTTATGCATCAATTACATGGCATCTATGAACGAGTGAGAGATGGAAAGAGAAGAAAAAAAAATGTTGGCGATTTCATCATCAAGTGGAAGTTCAACACGTCTTAAGTCGTGGCTCCCACGCTTTCAATTCGACCTGCAGAAAGCCCTAAAGCCTTTCTACGCTTCTCTTCTCTTGTCATTTCATTTCTTGCGGCATTTTGATGGTCATTGAGAATTATGTTTCCACATTGCGCGGTACTATTCTTCATTGAATTTAATCTGCATCTCTGCTTATAAGCAAAAGTCGGAAAGATTACGATCAGCTCTTGGGTTCTCTTCGTTTCAACTCTTTCTCTTTCGATCGCGATTCTTTGTTCAATGTTATGTTGACCGCAAGCCTTAAACTCATGCAAAATTAATAGTTTTTATACTTATTGAAGCAGCTTTCGACCGTGGATCTTTCATGCAATCATCTGACATTGTCATTTACTTTTTCAGCGCGATTAAGAAATTGCGATATTTTTATTTACTTTAATAAATTCGGTTTAACATTGTGAATGATTACATTCACTTATATCATCTGATTACGCTTCTGTTTTGCCATTTAATGTCATGTAAAGAGACATCTGCACTCTCTAAAAGTATAAAACAAAAAAAATATGATTTAATATTTATCTAGATGTTGCTGTTTTGGCATGAGTAACTTTAACATGCATCTTTAGTCGCTATGATTGATAGATAAGAATGAAAAATCTTTGCACAGTTTCTTATTCTCAGTTATAATTTATTGATTCAATGTTCATCTTGTGTCATGAGATTTGCTTTTCTCTCTCGTTTTTCCTTTTCCTTCTTTCATTGCATATCAGTAAATTCATTTAGTGACATCAGATTCATTTAATTAAGTTATAAATTTTCCTTAATGTGTCTTCTGCATTCTCAAACTGTTCTCTCATTCGATTGGAAGTAAATTGGATGTTTTGAGGGTGACTAGGTAATTTAATTGATAAAAGAATGCAAATTTATGTTCAATTTCTAGTCTTATGTAAGAAAACTTTTTTGTTGCTTTGCTTTCAATTCAAATCTTATAGATGGCAAGTAATCTCTCTCGTGGCTAAATAATTTATAATGAGTTGAGAGCATTCTCTTGGAACTTGAGTGAAAGACAAAAGTTTGCATAAAAAAGTTCTTCATGACTTAAGCGACATTCGAAGTTGAAGCTGAACTTGAGCGAGAAAAGAAGAAAGAAGAGTAGCCGACAAAGAATCATTCGAATGGCATGAAGGGAAGAATAATGACTTTCCTTTGCTTGGTTTTGAATATTTTTTTACTTCTCCGCTTCTTTTTTTTATATTTTTGAATGTCACACAAAATAAAATCTCAAAGCAGATCTTCAAGTGGTCAGACAGTTTCAAGAGATTATCCAATTTTGCATGACGTTTCTGCTTCCCGACTTATGATTGATGACATTTTCGGAGAATTTCACTTTGATTTTTGTGTCTTTTGCCCTTTGCATGTCGCATATGTTTGAAGAAAGTAAGAAGAAAAAAGTTGAGCATGCTTCAACATATCCAACCATAAAACATGATATTGTTACGTAAAGATAAAACTCGATGTCTTCTTTATTTTATTTTTTTGGCAAATAAACTCATCACAAAGAGACTTCAAAGAGAACAAAAAAGATAAAACAATTTATTGCAATATGCCTTCTAAAACAGCAAGAGAATCAGTGGGACTCCTATTCAACATCAACAACATAAACCACAATGTTTCAAAACACATTTAGTAGTTTCATAAACAGATCATAAAAATGTTTTGCTAATTGTTTAAAGAAGATCCTTTTGGACTTTCTCTTACTTGTTTGCTTGTCCTTCTACTTTTATTTTGTTATTTCGTCCAATAATCGAATCATCATATAGTCATAAAAGAAATATGAAAAACAAAAATAAACAATAAAGTCATAAAACATCACCGTTTGGTAATTCAAATGTCCATCAGAGTCTTCGGGTTCTGGTAGGCGGTGTTGTGTCCCTTCAACCTCTCACATAAAAACTAAAAAAATAAGATAGAAAAATTATCTATGCGCTGTCTGGCAAACGATTGGTGAAGCGAAATAAAAAATTGCCATCAATAAAGCGACATGGAAAATGCTTTTTCGGCATCGCAGGTCTTTGAAGTTTCCAGCTTTTTTTCCCTTCGCTGTCTTTATTGCTGTCATAGACTTTTTTTTATTATTAAACAAAACAATTGACAATAATTTTCTACAGCTAAATGGAATAATTAGAGCTCTTGTTGTGCCATCTCGTGACGACATTATTGGCCTTAAACGATTGCTTTTAATTACAAAGCTCAACACAAGTAAACATTCCTAGAATATTTTCAATATCGTGTAATGTGTAAAGAAGTACATTTGTGTGTCTCATTTAATGAGATCATAAATTTGTTATTGTTCAATGCTGTGATTGAATTATCACTTTAAATGGACATACATCTAAAATTACGTACGTTTCTTCACTATTTTAGAAACAACATTTGTAAATTTTATCTTTCACTAGTTCTCTAAATTATTTCCATTTTTTTCATAAGAAATGATTAGATTTTCCGCCAAATTCATCAACGTTTAGATTCCAGTGAAGAAGGGGACAAAAGTTTAAGTCGCAATAAATATTAATTTTATCTTCGGCTCAATTTCCATATAAATATTTCTAATTACATTGCATTGCATCCTCGTCATGATGACGATGAAGAAAAGAATTAAACAGCAAAGGTAAAAAAAAAAACTTTACATTGTTCAGTGTTAAGAAAAATTGCATACATGAATAAATTTTAATTTAACTATAAAGCCAAGTTACGCACCTCAAAGTTTTAATTTTTTATACATGAATGTGAAAGCCGAGAACTTTTCGAGAGTCCCATGGGTAAAAAAAAACATCTTGATGAGAACGGGGGGAAAGAAATGTAAGATTATGCATAAAAAACTGCCGTTATGTGAATGAATTTTTCTTAGATTGAAAGATGTTGAAACGAAACAAAAGAAGTTGAAAGGGAAAAAAATTCTTAGGGGTATCAAATGTTCGTTGTGCATTAATAAAAAAAATAATCACGCACCCTATAAAAAATCATCATCATCATCGGTTTGTTTCTTATGAAATCAGGGTCCGTGGTGTAAGACAAGATGAATCTGTTTTTGTTTCTCATCCCGTCTTGATATTAAAAAGAAAAGTAGCATCACAAATAGTTAAAAAAATCAGCTAAAGGGATCATCACGATCAAACGGGATTTTTTTTCCCTCTACCTGCAAATAAATTTTCGTTGATCAGCATTTTTACCTGGACAGGGACTTTTTTTATTTCTTCTTTTCATCCTTCTCTGACTCTCTCATGATTTAGACTGAGGGTAGTGAAATAGTTTTATGTCACCCCTCAAAGTATTTTTTTTAACAAAATTTTTTCCCAAAAGATCTAAGCGAAGAGACGAAATGTTATTGGGAAAAATAAGCTCAGTGCAATTTAGCCGATCGAAGGATCAACATCGTTTTCGAAATTCAAGCTATTTGCGTGAAAAAAATAAAGAAAAAGAAAATCGAAAAGTTTTGTGGCTTTTGAGAATATTTTGTGGACAATTAAAAACTTTTAAATCAATGATTAAGAACAATTTCATTGATTTTTGGTGTGAAGAAGTTTAAATGCCACTTGTGTTGTGTGGTCTAATAGATTGAAAAGACAAACATTTAATTATGTTATCGACAAGCGACGATGCTGGATTCAGTTCATTGAATCGTAAGTGTCTCTATTTAATCAAAAAATAGCCTCGCATGTAACTTCACAATCGAAGATATTTTTTCTTACCGTTTGCGCACGTTGATCATAATTATCGATCTTAATTTTGAACGTGTTGTTTTTATCAGTTAATTTACCGAAAAAAAAAGAATGTCTCTGGAAAGATAAACACACGTTTTGTGCTCTTTGGAACAAGCATCTCCATGTGTTACTCTTTGTTTGCCTTGTCCCACATCGTCATACATTATAGAAACACTTTCAACACGCTCATCAAACAAATGAGACAATGATCGGTTATCTTCTCGATATTCAGATATCTTATTTTGAACGATGATTAAGCATATCGCGGTCGCTTTTCAATTGACTTGAATATTTCATATTTCAATGTTGACTTTAAGGCCCGAAAAAATAGGAAGGAAAATAAAAAAATATTTTTCTCATTTTCATTTCAATGTTTGCTCAGTAATTTGTGTGTCGCCCTCGAATGATAACAGCGGCTCGGATAATTTTGATATGACACATAATGACAGTGGAATTTCCTGTGTGATATCATAAGAAGGGATTGTGCAATGATAAAGTGTTTAAATTTCGTGTTGAAATCAGTGCATGGGCTTATGTAGAACTTTTACTGTAACAAACAACGAATGTCCGCTTACAAATGTCAGTGCGATAAGAGTAAAAAAAAAAGGTTGAAATCGTTTGTCGTAGTTTCATATGGAAAAAATCAAATATTTGCATTATGATTAAAGGCAAGAAAAAAAACTTTAGATCCAGCTATATATTATTATATAACAATAAAACTAAGTTAATTTTAATTTTTTTATTTGAAGTGAACGTTAGAAACAACGACGAGATTGCGACAATGTTTCAGTTCTCGTCTGATATCGAAGGGCGAATTTCTTACATTTCAAATGATACGTTGACAGATATAACATTCCAACATTGACTGATTCTTGGTTGCATCTGGTTAATTGTGTTAATGGAAGTTGATAAGAATATATTTTCAAGAAGGAAATTGAGTTTTTTTTCTGTGAAATATTGAAACATTTATTTTTCTAAGGAAATTAGTCACCTTGTTAATAAATGAAAAGTTTTCTCGTGAATGATTCCAACAACTTCCTTTAATGGTAAATTTGCGAAACTCTCCCAATCGTAACATTAAATCAATCGACAAACACTCTCACTTCATACGACGAGTCTTTTATCCGATTGTGAGCATAAATCAGCCCTATAATCCTAACATGTCAATTTCCAATAATTTTTATTCTCAACATTTCTCCCCGGAAGAAAACAACAAAAAAATATTCGCTAATAAAAAAATAACACAAATTGAAAATATCCGAGCATCGCTTCAAGCAACAAATAAAAAAAATTCTCTGAATTATGACGGGAAAACATAACGAGACGAAATATCTGATAAAAAATGTAAGAATGAGAGAAATTTTATCCAGTGTCGACCGACTCCTTCGTGTCTTTGTCCACAACAAGCAAGGACGATGTGTAAATAAATAAACAGTATCATTTACACATCCTAATCAAATTTATTTGTGGTCATGAATTTGATACACTTCGTTTCGCTTCTCTTCCCTTTTTCCATGCTCTAGTTTAGCATTTACAACATTCGAATAAATATAAAAGTTTGATAAATTTATTCCAATTTCATTGCATATGAGATTGGAGATAAACAGACGAAGACGAAGAAGACTTGTGGAGTTATTCTCAAGGAGACGAGAAATAGAATAAAACGGTCGATTTCGTTCACAACAAATCGAATCAGAATTCAATGACTTATCATTGTTTGCAGATGGATATGCTTTACTATTGCCATCCCCTTACACATGTCTTTATACTCTATCAACCTCAATTTACCGTTACATGTCAATCTGACGAGGGATATGAGAAAATGTCTAATAGTTAGTTTGATTTTGGTTGATATCACAAATTGTCTTCCCTTTTCGATAAATATTGATTGCGAAATTTTAGTTGATTTATGCAAATTGATTTCGTAATTAAATGGAAAATGTTACAACGTCAAACTAACATTGTAACGAATGACAAAGTTTGCCCCCACATATTTGCCAATAAAATATCGCGACATAATTTCCCAATTACAATATAAATTGGAAAATTCCGCAAATGGAAAAATATTAACGACAAATATCACACAAAAATTTATTCGTTTCAGTACTTAAAAATTTTTCTTTCCCATCTTTTATTTTTATATTTTTGTTTTGCTTTGTTCTTATTTTCATTTCTTGCCGTTAATTTTGCGAGCTGCCACACAGTTTGAGGTCGTCATAAAAGCCAAAGCTCTCTGAAATTGATGCTTTTTGGCTGATTACCATCAATTCCACTGGCTCCATTACGCGACTGATTTGATGCTTATCTGTCGTATAGTTACTTGCCACAACGCGAGGCAATGAAAGAAAGAAAAAAAAACATTACGACAGTAATTGTGCACGAGAGTTGGTGATATGGTTTCATCGTAAACAGATTGGAAATTGTTATTTCACTCTCGGTTATCGAAAAAAATTTCTGTGCTTTTATGTGGAAGCGTCAGAAGAATGCCAGTGACGCAGTGGAGTTTTAATCATAAATATTTGTTCTCGTATCTCTTTTTCCACATCACTGCAATGACATCAACATTTAAGAGAACCAATTTCTAGCCTCGTTCAATTTATGTGCAAATCGCTACTTTTTCTTTCTTTTTCTCATCTTTTTTTTTGTGTGTGCAAAAACAAAGTCATAAAAATTCAGCTTTGCTGATGTGAACATCAAATACTGTTCGAGTTCAACGAAGATGATCGAAATAATAAAACTGAGACAAATTAATATGTTAAGTGCTACTTGGGGATGTGCTGGCGACGACATATGTACGACCAAAGCCCTCGTCCATGAGTAGCAAAGCGACAGAGAAAACAAACGAAAAAAAATCAATACACGTATGAGAAGAGGTATTCGTTGCTAGTTATTGCCGACTTCTCTTTTTTCTTTCATCCTTGCCAGTGAAAAGCAGTGAAAGGAGAGAAAAAGGGCGTTTTCCGATTTTTTCTTTTCTTCTTCTTTTTCATCCACACATGGACGAATGTCCTTTCATGTGGCGCATGACTTGACCAATGGTCATCCTTTTTTCGATTTCATTCCATCCCCGATTATGGGAGGAGAGAATGAAACTGACCATTTACAATAATTTTCTATTGTTTCTTCTATCCCCTTCGAACTACTTGTAAGGCCAATCTATTTCACGTTGTAACATAAAACTCGCTTCCTTTTTTCACACGTTGCACTTCTTTTTGAAATTCATTTGATTGAAATCATAATTAGAAGAAATTTCATGTTAGATGATCCAGATGTTAATTTTCCATTCTCATTTTTATTTATTTCCAATTCAACAAATAATCGAGACTTCATTCACTTACAAAAAAGAAAGAAAAAAATTCTGTGACAGATGCTATGGACCCGAATGGCCGATTTTTAATGAAAGACCATTTCAACCCTTATTGACAGCGATTTCAATTCAATTTTCCATGGGTTGAGATCAAGCCTAGAATGGATGTCCTTTAAAGACCGCAATAAGTTCATAAATCTTTTGTGTCGACAAATGAAATATGTTTTCATCCCCGAGCCAAAAAACATTCAATTTCTCTAATCTTCTCCTTACAATCGATAATAATTTACAACAAAAAATTATTTCTCTTTCGATTGCTGTCCGCCCTTAGGATTTCTTCCTTTCTTTAGTGACATCACTAAATAACAGTGGCAATTAGATTGTCATAAATTTGTGCTGCCGTTAAAAGCTCTTAAAGTTATAAATAGCACACGAATCGATAATATTGAGTTGTTGCTTTATGAAATGTTTCGAATTCGTCTTGCTTTTGTGATATTTATGACAAAAGACATAAAGCTGCTTAAAGTCAAGCTTACAATCAGTAGAAACTTATTGATTTATCAGAAGACGCTGTTGAAATTGCATCATGCACTTTCAGCTTCTTCTGATGCTGACTTTGAGTGAATTTAATTACAATGTTGTGAAGTAGAAAGACGACGACAACCTTCTTATTTACGTAACAAACCGAGCTTGTAACTTAACAAATGACTCCGCGGATCAATCACAAAAATGTGAAATCTGAACAGATGTTCCCACTGAAAACATTAAAATAACAAATAAATTCCATGAAAACAGCGAAAAATAAAATTGAATTTGCTTCTTCTACATTTTAAGTGTTTTGACATTTTTTGTTTTCGTTATTTCCACTTTAAAATGCATTACGGGGTTGAATGAAATTTCTTTGAAGTCCCGCGAATATTTTTGCATTTTACTGAAATGTCTGACGATTACATTTAACGGTCAGGTCTGCCTTTTCCATGACGTCATTTGATTTCAGATTTTCATCACGATAAATTTGGGGTGGAAGGAAAATTAATCATGGGAAATATTTAGCAAAGGGCGAAGTTTCTTTTCGTTAATCCTTTCTTCACTTGCCAACGAGTATTTGGTCAATGGCACTTGGAATTTCTTGACTCTAAACCGACAGAATGGGAGGGAAAAAACGAAAACAAATAGACTCAAGGCGAGTGAGCAGCTTTTCGGATTAAAACGAACAATTTCTTTCTCCTTCTGATCTGAGACTAATTTATTAATTCAATAATAACGTTTGACGTAATATTTCTCTCTCTCTCTTGACTCGACCAATAAGCCCTTCGAAACAATAAAAATGAAAGGAATTGGGGTGAAAGGACACGAGAAAGCAAACAAAAAAAGAGAGAGACAAGATATGATTATTCACACAATGCTTTGTGGTTAAAAAGAAAAACTAACAGCATCGATAAACAATATTCGGAAGATTGTAAGCGCCCAGGAGAGATGAATGAGTTCTGTTGATGTTGAAATTGTTGGAAGAGCACGAACAATGGATATTCCCATTTGTTATTCATTTATCAAATTATATTCGATAGTTTCACTATCGATAAGAACAATACAACAATGTCATACATTGACGATGGGGCAAGCAAACAACTAGAGAGAGAGAAAAATCCTTGCAGGCATTCAATGAACAAAACGAGTGACATAATTCTTGATTACATGGAATTTTCATCTCCCACACCCTTCTCGCCATACCCAACAAACCAACCAAGCAAGCAAAGACCATTGAACGAAAATTCATCAATGTCCCGGAAGGCTGTCAAGATCGGAAAATCAAATTAACCGTGTTTATTATGTGATTGTGTTTCATCTGAAGATTTTTCCTTCTTTTTTCTTTCTTTTTTATTCAAAAGGTCACGTTTTGGGACAATGAAAGTTTTCTTTTTCATGACTTTCCATGTCCGCTTTTATCATTCTTTCGTTCCATTTTCACCGATACCATCGACTAAATATTTGAAGATTATCTTATTGATTTTTCTTTCCTTGTTTTCTCGTTCCATAATTTCGAGGGTAATTTACATAAATCAGTAATAACTTACATAAAATCCGATGCGAGCCATTTCATCTCGAACCGTCAATTAACTTCAAACAGATTTCCTAATAAACTCCAATGAGTCTTCTTATCCCAGTTATACTTACATAAATATGCATGAGAGTATGAGGGAGTTCGAGGAAGAAAGTTTCACGGAAAAATGCTTTTTATTGCCCACGCTATTCACCACCATTCACTTGTGTCGATTGTCTTTCCTTCTTTCTACTTACTTACGCTCGTTGAGAATTGTAATTTTTATTATCCACTCGAATTACAAGCAGACGATGAAGGAAGGAATCAGAAATTATGGACTTAATCTGCACCAGAACTCAAACCAATGTTCACCGAAGATATTGCACAAGTATTTTAATGGTCAATTGCGACACAATTTCGTATAATTAAAAGCAATTTGTCTCCTTTGTAGGAGGATGTAAGATGTTGAACACATTCGATGGTTGATGTAGAAAGAAGAGGCTAATAAAAGTGTCACAAAGTTTCATTCTCTCTCGTTATTATTTCCGTAAATTAATGTTCACAGAAAGTGATAGAAATTTATTATTATTGTATGTAATCCACTGAACTATTTCTTTATTTAAATAGTTGAGTGTGAAAAGAATATGAAAATACTTAAAATGATTAATCAAACATTTTACTCTCTCATTACAGCAGATTCCGATACGGGTGAAGGTGAATCGACAACACATGACATTCTAACGTGCGGTTCATGTCAGAAGACTTTCGCTCTTGCTGAAATCGTCAAGTTCATTCAACACAAAGTGTTACAATGCAATAAAGAAAACTATGGACAATGTTTTACGCAAGGTAAATTAAAGCAGATGATTCTGACGCTGATCGAGGCATATAATGGTGGAACACTTTCAGGCACATCAGGTGATAGAGATTCGGATGATGGGCGCCCACTAAGTTTAGCAAATTCACGTAGACCATCAATATCAGCGCCGATTTCACGTAAATCGAGCCTTTCACGCATGCACTCACCACCCTTAGCGAGTCCATCAAGTCACCTTCTTGAAGATGGTTCAACGAGCACACCAAAAAGACTATCCGAAGGTATGCTTCGCTTACTTTCGCGCAACATATTTGGAATTAATTTTAATTCAAATCTAGACAATGACAAGCGACCTGACAGCGCGACACTTTCTCTAGACAGTAAAGAGAATGATTTAGACAATAAGCATCGTGACAGTGTCGAAATCAAACAAGAGCGTCTAAATGATGCAAGCTTGTGTCCGGATGACGACTTCAATTCACTTTCCAACACTCAACCCCCACTTAAGAAGCTTCGTGCTGATGTTGCTGATGCTGAATCTAATACAACAAACAGTGGTAAGTTTGCAGCTTCATGAAACTGAATAAGGGTTGATATGTAACATATTTATGAAAAGAATGAATGGAAAATCGATAAATAGCAGGAATAATTGCACGAGATTCATGAATAGCACTTCACCTAAATGTCCACTCACATGAGATGAATTATTCAGTAAATTTCTTCTTTTAATTGCGCTACTTTGTTTACAATGTCATTTCAATCTATGCAATGAATACATCAAAGGGTTGAATGTCCAGATGAGAGATGAAAAGGAGAAAAGGTTAACGTTTGCACTTTTGTTTACAATTTTAAAGCTTTATCGTGATTCCTCTCTTTGTCATGGATGAGATAAGCTTTACGGTGGATGGACGTCACTTTGAGATTGTATCAATTAAAATTTTCTTCTTTTTATAAACATTTTTAATGTGCCGTCACATGAGATATTCAAAAAAAAATTGTTTACTTCAAATGGCAATTAAAAATATTTCAAATTCGAATATTCTTCATTTAAACTTTAATGCGAATGACCAAACAGCATCTCTTTTTCATAATATTTTCATTTGAAGGGTGTTTCTTAGTATCTCCATATTCTTGATTTTATAAAGGAGTAAAAAGAAATAAAAGTGATAATAAAGAAGATGGCAACAATGGGAGTAAAAGAAGAAAATATATAAGCTCAAGTAGCAAAGCGAAAGTGTACACAATCGCTGAAAGTCATGTAAATATATAATACAATAAAATGCAAATATGAAAATTTATAAATATGGAGCCACCATCTGCTGCCGTTTATTCTTTCCATTTAAATATTTTTTTCTTCGAAGCTTGCTTTTCATATTCATTTGTATTCTGAAACGTTCATCATCGCTTTTCCTTCGACAAGAATCAAGAAAGAAAAGTAGAAAGATACAAACTGATGTTTACACATGCAGTTGCCTTCTTTGCTGTTCCCCCCCTTCCCGAATCATTTCTCATCCGGTAGTGGAAGTTGAACAGACCATGTGCAGATTATTGGGCTATCAGTGTGTACCATTTATTGTCCTCCCTCGACGAGATTTTTATACAAAATCGTTTTGTATTTTTAGCGTTGATTTTGTTCGGTCGCGAAACTCTGTAAATTGCATGAACGGAAATCTGGAAATTCTCGTCATCATCTGGCAGCAAGTGACATGAAATATTGACAATATTTTCCTTCATGTTGCACTAAAAATTTCCACTTATTGCCTTTCCACATATTTACAATTTTTCATCTTATTTTTTAACAAAGCGAAAAGTTTTTGTTGTGGGTGGAGAAAGATTTGAAACATCTTCCTGACCATAATTGGCTTTAAAACTCTCTCTTTCAATTCTTCATGTCTGCTTATTGGGGTGCTAATCGTTTTAACAATATGTTTCTTGCTGTTCCCACACAATATTGAATTTAAAATCATTAAACCGCATCGACATTGACACAAAAATTGGCAGATTACATTTATGCTTCATGTTGAACATTGCCATGAAATATTTTTTTCTTTTTTTATTATTTCATTCCTTGCTAACCCAGCAATTTATTCGGATCATGGTCCACTCCCTTAACTGTTAAATTATTGGAATTTTTCAATATTAATTTTCATTTTTCAATTGCTAAGCGTCCGATGATATCCGAGGGATGAAAATGAGGAAAAAAAACGGTTTAGTTAGCAAACCCTCAGATTGTGGAAATAAAAAACGTTTTAATTGCAATTAAATTTTGCTACATGACTTTTCTGTTACCATTATGATGGTCGAGAATAAAATCCCTGGAAATAGAATATTCCCGGTTAAATTTATTAATTAAAACGCATACAAAAAGCAATTTTTTTTCTATTCTCATCCTTTCACTTCCACATTGTGTAAAATGTTGAAGAACCACCGGGGAAAGGGAAATTTTAAAATATTTCACTTCATTTATCACGCATGACCGGATGCACGGTGGAATGAGAAAACAAAAGTTCTCCTCTCGTGGCGCGTTAAACAACGAACTGAAAAAAAAAATCCGTTCAATGCTGCTGCAATGCACATGGGCTGGGAAAAAAACCAATTGAAAGATTGTGATGGTTTAGGAGAATAAAAAAAACTTCGTTTTTAGTGGCATATTGAAAAACCCTCATGTGTAGATATTCAGGACATGACAAAAGAGATTTTTTACTAGCGATGTCTCGCTTTTAGACGATGAGGTTCTCTATCAGATTAAAATAATAAAAAAAAGTTTTTTTTCTTTGTTGTTAGCCTTTGAGTTTCATTACATGAGAAAAAAAGTTTGGTGTACTTATTTAAGCTTGATGGAATGGAAAGTAAAAGGGTCAGATGGGATTTACATTATCATTTAGCTCGTGTTTATCGTACTTATGCTAATTAGAATGCATCCACGTCCCTTCATTCTTCATCAACCAGTCAACAAGCGAAGAAGGTAGAAAGAAACAAAAGGGAAAAGATTCGTTTAATTGAAACAGGATATAAATAAACTTCTTCCCTTTACTTTAATTTATGAAAGTTTAAAAATATATTCGTGGAAGCAATTGAATGTGCCAAGACGTGTGGATCGTCGAGAAATTACCGGATGGGACTTTATTAGTTAATAAGAAAAAGGGTTGATGTTGAGTCAAGAAAAGGAAGCTCTTTTCATTTGAATTGAATGTCACGCGTTGCGCATAATGAAGCAAGTCAAGAAGTGATCAACTTATGTCCATCATCTGCATATTTAAGATACTTGACTGGTGACTAGGTAGATGGAATCAGATGTAAATTCAGTAAATATGATCTTATAATGTGACTAGCCACCTTCAAACATCTTCCAGACATCGTCCTTATTATAAAAGGGTTAAAAAGTCGCATCAAAACTGTCCCTTTCACTTCGTCCTTTTTTTTACGATTATCATCTCTTTATGGTCGTCGTCTTGCCCACAAATAATCGAAAAAAAAGGCTTCCAGAGAAAAGTGATTTTGTGTGAGAAAAGAAAAGAAGTGAAAAAGGATAATAAAAAAGTTATTGTATCCGATGATAAGTGTCCATAAAAGTATGAAAAGAAATCGACCCTTTCCGGAATAAACAGAAAAATCTCCGTTCTTGGTCTCTCCCCTTTCGTTTTTTCATTCTCAGTTCATGACGGATGAAATGAATAAAAATCATCAACCTCTGTTCACACAATATTAACTGGCACTGTAAAGATGTTTACACCCACGCTTTTGAGTTCTCGCCTCAAATCATCGGGCACTTGAGGCTAGTTATGATCAATGTAAATATAAAGAGAGCAAAAAAATCTTTTTCCTTTCCAATTCAAAGGACAAACATAAAAACATTACGAATACTGTTGAATGGCATCGAAGCAAATCTTCATGTAAATAAAAATATGAACAACAATGGGAAGTCATGAAAATCTTTAATCTGGACATATTTTTATGATGTTTATGAGTGGCGTGGAACGGGAGTAATTGCATCATATATGCGACTTTATGCACAGTGGCACTCTCCCTTCAAAGATTAACTTCACTGATCTGTAAATGGAAAAAGAACGAAATGCAAATGAAAGAAACTCGAAAAATATTTTTTTGTGATTACAACGATTTTTTATCGACAATGGAAATCATAAAAAAATTATTCTACGGTCAATGTTAATGTAAGTAATCGTTGGTTGATGGCAACATTGTGACATTAAGATGGTTATCAGCACTCTACAGAAAATGTCGCAAATCATAAATTTCAATGTTGGACTCTCAGCTTCGCTGTTGTTCTCGAGGCTATAAAAAGTCATCAAGATTTTGTCCTACTGTGTCGCTTTCTTCCTTTCCTTTCACTTCTTCTTCCTCTTAACATTTACTTACGTTGATAGAAAGAAACAGCCAACAGTCTCGTTTATTGTTTTCGTCTTAACGACACCGCAACTTTTCATCGTCAATTCTCATAACTCATGAAAATATGTTTCAAATTATATTTTTAGTGGGTGGTGGGGTTTGTGAATAAAATATTAAATTTCTTTCAAGTCCATTTTTTTGACAGCAACTTTTACTTAGAATCAACATTAACATCCTGAAAATGATATCACGTTAACAACTGGAATGCGTTTGACGAAAATTGATTTTCTTTCTGTCCATTTACCTAAAAAGAAACAAAATAAAATGACGCAATCACAGTGGCTTATGAAAGAAAGGATTGTCATGACAATTGACATTCAAAGTCGAAAGATTTCATGACTGCAAGTGACACATAAACGTCAATCAACTTCCTATTAAATTGGGATTATTGCGAAAAGGCTTAAGCGACAACATTTGGCTTTGAATATCAACGCCCAACATGTATTTATGTATAAGAAAAAAAAGGATGAACACAACATCGCGCGATGTCATAAATTAGAAAATTTGTTTGTTGTGAAAAGAATTTTTTTATGATGGGAAATTTGACTTTTCCACAGCATATCAAAAAAAGAAAAAAACTGAAGAAGAACTTTAACGAGCGCAAAAATATTTATCTTATTTTTATGTGCTAACAATGGTCGACGATTTTGTGTATGAAAGGAGGGAGCAGTGCTGAGAAAACAACATGTAAAAATATTGTCGGGGAGCAGTCTCAATGGTAGTTTTTAGAATAAAAATTTGTGGAGTTTGAAGCTGAGGAAAAAGTTTGTTTTTTATCTACTGCGATTTTTGGTCGAGACAGGAAATGGAAAATCACTTCCTTGATATCTTATTTTCACGCCATGAAGATTTTTCACGCTGAGTTATCCAGGAAATTAATCCAATTTCATCCACAACCATCCGATGGTTTCAATCTCCATCAAGACGATGAATCTATAATGTTAATTACTCTTATTGATCCAACAACTCTTTAATGACTTTTCCGACTAATTAAACGGAAAGGATAAATATCGAAACGCTGCAACTTTAATTGTTGCAAATTTTCCAATCAATTTCATGCATTTCCACATCGATCTAAAGCTGAGCTTAATCGAAGTGAATTATGTTGGTCAATTAACAATTATTGACGCTATATTGTCACTTGCATCTCGTAAATTATCTTACAAATTGGCCATCGAAGGAAACTTTTTTGTCATTTGATTTTCGATCAAAGCTGTGGGTCAGGAAACAATTTTTTTTATTCATCGTTTCCCACCAAAAGTTTATGTCAGAGTGATGGCATAAAAAAGAGAAGAAGCATTGAATTGATCAGCGATGCCCTCATTGGATTCTTGTTACACTAGCAAACAAACAACCAGTCACCCTTATAATTGTTATGCGCTTTCAAATAATACAACAAAAAATGATAAAGAAAGACGAAGTTGATCTGAACAGAAGATTTATTTAAGTGAACTCGAAACTCATCACGGCATGTGCCCGCTATCTGCTTATGAATACAATTGGAAATGAATCTCTCATGTCTGTAATGAATGAATGGGTTGAGAAGAAGGAAAAAAAAGAAAAGTTGTGCAAATGTTTATGATGTCTTGCGATGGTTTTTTAAAAACATTTTATTTAAGGATGGGCAAATGTCGTAAGACAAACCTTTACAAAGAAAAAAAAGGCGAAAGGGAGAATGAGATATGTTGTGACGGGCACACGTGACATTTGAACCATTCACGAGTTGACGTAAAAGGGTTGAAAGCTGTTGCAAAACACAACACACCTGATAAGAAGCTATATAAGAACCAGCGGGTTTTTCTTCCAACGTAAATTATGACGCGAATGAAACAACTTCATCTGCAAAAGATTGCAAATTTGCAAATCAAATATGTTCGTTAACGATGAATATTTCATTGGTAATTTGTCAATGTCATTCGCAATTTATTTAGCATCGCCATAATTTTATTATAATTTATTGGCGAACTTTGATTGTCATCACGTAATTGAGCGTCTTTTCTCTTCATTTTTCGAGATCTCGAGGTGCTTTCGTCATTGTTTAAGGAATGTCCACAAAAAAAGAGAAAAGAGAAAAAAGATTTAAAATGGACGTTGACATATTCACCCACAATAAATGCAAATTCAATTGATTTGCATACAATCGGCAAGCCCTGTTGCCTTATTTTGTTAAATATATTTGAGAATATGAAAATATGAAACGGGACGGAATGTCTGTGGGAGCTTTTAACGTGAGATTTTTATGTTTGTATTACTAGCGGGTCGGTCATGTTGATTGCATGACAAATCAAAAAAATATTGTTTGAATAAATATTTTGATTGACGCATTTTACGACAACGCACGCTGCCCCTACCATCATCATCAGCCATCCGATTTTACACGCACTTTAAGTTATCAAATGATAACTTTAGCGATTTAATATCAAACAGCAATTATATTTAATCAAAATTAATTAATTTTTATATCGAGATGTATGTGCAACATAAACATTGATCGGCATTTGTTTATGATATGTTTGAGTGAGTGAAAGAAGTTTCAATGGAAATTAATTTAAGAAACCGACAATGGACAAATGGATGGAAGAAAACGTTTTTAAAAATTCAACATAAATGACATTTTATTTGCTGTCACATTTCATCTCAATGTAATTAGTGGAGTAAAGTTTAATTAAAAATCATATTTGACATTGTCAACTAACATTTTCAATAAAACTTCCGCATAAATCTGCCGCAGATATTGGACTTAACTTCATCATTTCAACAATGTTGAGCTCTCGAGAGAGAGTAATTGTGTGTTTATTATTTATAGCAATGTTTATTACTGTCATGTAACTGATATTCCCTCAAACTTTTTCCTTCGTCTCTTCATGCATATGCTCCGCATGTTTCATGCCGCTTCAAACACAGCACAACTTTTATGCTTTGTTTATGCTTCAAGATTCTTTTTTTCAATTTGATTTTTTATTATTTTTTATTAAAAACTCAAAATCCCTGGGACATTCGACAATGACTGGGAAATATGAAACATAAACCGTCATGAATGTCAATTTTTTTCTTTATTTGATTTTTTTTTTGTTGTTTTCATGACCAACGCAGTGCCGACAGATTTTTATTTTATTTCCACTGCAACTGCTGCATTGCTGTTGGTTGCGATGTTTATGCTGGAAAGCGTTGATGAGACGAATTGAATTGATGAATAATTTTTCTTTTCTTTCTTATTCTTACAGAGCCCAGCAACTATGTTTGTTCAACATGCAAAACCAAATATAATTCCGCATGGCGATTAGTGCAACACGTTCAACATTCACATGGCGTTAAAATCTATGTCGAATCATCAAATTCTAATCATCAACAACAGAATCAAACAAAGTCATCAAATTCAACGTCATCATCATCGAGTAATAATCTCAGTGGTAGCTCAACGTGTTCAACAAGTTCCTCAAATGGTTCCGGCCAATCAATGCAGCAACAACAACAACAGCAGCAACAACAAAATCTTCCACCAGGCTTACGTCATCATCCATTGTTGCCGCCACCTGATTTACATGGCAATCCATTTGGATTACTGCGAATGCCATTGCCACCATCGCTTTCCCAGAGTCAATTAGTTCCACATGCTCCGTTATTCTCTCGACCTCATCACGACTTCCGAATGGAACAATTCGAACAATTCCGTCATCATGGACTGAATTTAGCAGCTGCTGCTGTTGCTGCTGCTAATCAATTGAATCACAATCAGTCAACGTTCGGTCAAAATGTTAATCCAGAACGTCCACCATCATCTGGAAAGATGAACATTCCATCCATGCCACCAATGGAACCACATTTGGATTTCTATTCACAAAGATTGCGACAATTGGCTGGAACGACAAGTCCTGGTGCAAGTACGATTGGAGTTGCTGCAAATTCTCCAAGTCCACGTAAACAACATTCGCCAAACTTTGCAAGTCCATCACCATCACAATTACCGCCAACACCATTGACCAACAATTCACGACCTCAAAGTTTAACGCCACCTGATAAGCACAACGAAAGAACGTCAGAGAATGGACAAATCACAGCAACACCACGTTCAGCTTCAACACCACCAAAATCATCTCAATGTGCTGACACTTATCATGCATGTGAGTTCTGTGACAAAAGATTTAAATTCCAAAGCAATCTCATCGTTCATCGACGAACACATACCGGTGACGATCAGTATAAGTGCACCAACTGTGATTTCACATGTCTACAAGCATCGAAATTGCGTCGTCATATGCGACTTCATCGGACGCCGGAAGATCGTGCAAGTAATTCGGGATCTGTTGAGACAGAGAATGAAGATTCGCCTGATGATATGGATGAAGAAGAACAAGAAGCTGAAGAGATGATTGACAACTCAGATATGGATGAAGATGGCGAAGAAGAAGCTGAAGATCTCAGCTTGTCAAGTGTTGTTCAAAATAATAATAACAACAATAATAATAATAGAAATAAAGACATGATGGATCCGCGTCATGCCAATGCTGCTGCTGCTTCGTTAGTTGGTGAGTTGATGGATAAATTTGGCTTATCAAACATCGCTCAATATTCTGAAGCGTATAAGCAAGCACTTCAAGAATCTGGCAACGCTTTGAAACTTCATTTGACTAGTAAGGATCGTGATAACAACAACACATCACTTTCAATTCCTGGACTTGCTGAGAAGCTTAACGGCTTTCCATCAGCTTTGAGATTGAAGGAAGAATTGATGGCAAAGAATATGATGCAACATCATCAGAATGCGCAACTTCCTCAAGTTCCACTTTTTAATCCATTTGAGAATCCATTTGAAGCGTCAAAACGATTGAAGATGGATGGCAATGACAGTTGGTGGAATCTCACGAATTTCCATAGAAATGAAGCTTTGCTTGAGAATCTTAAAGCGAAACTTCCGCAAAGCATGGGAGGCAATCAGAATGTCCTTCAAGCACCACCAAAGAAAGAGTCACGACGAAACGACACATGCGAATTTTGCGGTAAAGTCTTTAAAAATTGTTCCAATCTGACGGTTCATCGTCGATCGCACACTGGCGAAAAGCCATACAAATGTGAGTTGTGTTCATATGCTTGTGCTCAAAGCTCAAAACTTACGCGACATATGAAGACACATGGAAGACTTGGTAAAGATGTTTATCGTTGTCGTTTCTGTGAGATGCCGTTTAGTGTTCCATCAACGCTTGAAAAGCATATGAGAAAATGTGTAGTGAATCAAGGGAAGAATGCGTCAGCACATCAACAAGCACAACAACACATGCTGATGCCTCCAAATATTCAACAACTTGGCCTGCAACTTGCTGGTCCACAGAGCAATCCCGCAAATTTATCGACATCTGCTTTGAACCTTAACTGCAATAGCAATGGAAGTTCAATCAGCAGCCTCAGCATGGGCGCACCAAATGGACTTAGTCGTAGTATTGATGAGAGTTCAAATCATTCTCAAAGCATTAAAGACGAACAGAATGCATGACTTTTTGCCCCGTGGGCTTACGAATTACCACAAAATCGACTCATGTCGAGAATTTTCTAATGAAGTCATGAGCTGAAGAAGCAAATTGGGATGATGCTTGCTAGTCCATATGACGAATTTAAAAGATGCGTCGCTACTAATTCTCTTACGAAATAATTCGATGACGTTGGTTGAGATGAAATTCTAAGAAAATAACTTTAAACAATGTGAAATTTCTCTTTCACTTTCATTTGAAATTAATTCAATGACGGGAAACTTCACGATGTTTACTTGTAGAATTTTCTTCTTCAAACTTCGTCATGATGATAAACTTGAACAGAAGAAAGAAAAAAGAAATGATTAATTAAAGGAATTTCTTTTTCCTTTTTCCTTTCAACAACAATAAATAAACTAAAAAAGTAATAATTTAGTAAAGTTCATAAAATTTTGAGGCACGCATTGTCGAGAATGAAACCAAAGGTGAAAAACTTAATTACTTATGTACATTAATGAAGAAACTCGAACTACTTGTAATTAGAAGTTTTTAAGCGCGATTTTCATGATGTTTTAATAACAATGAATAAAGGATGAAAGTTTTAAGTTGATGTTTAGACAGAGAAACTAAATAAGCGAGTTGATTTTTTATTTTAGCAAAATTCATTTTTAATTTTTTCTTTCGGTTGCCTTCTTAATTAATCTAAGTTAGTTAGATGACGATCATCGTCACATTTTGTTATGTTTTCTTCTTATATGTTTCTCGTTTTCAACTAAAATAGATAAACGTTGTATTCATTTAACACCACAAAAGACCCAGCAAATTATTTGAATTCATTTGAGACTGAATATATCTTTTAATTATTAAATGACGAATTGTTTGATTCAATTTTTTATTTTGCATAATTATGAAGAAGAAGAAGAAAAATAAATCCTTCAGTGGGTTGTAAATAAATGCGAAATTGAGTCTTTTTTCCCATTTTTTGATAGTAATCATGTTACTAAATAAAAGACAATGAAGAAATTCATAAAATTTTCACAATGATTTCTTATGATTTGATGATAAATTTAAGAAAAAATGTACAAAGACAAGAAAATTACAAAAAAAAATCGAAATTCCTACTTACTTAAATTAAGTTTTTATTTTGGCGAAAATCAGAATCATTTAATTATTTACAAATCTCACTAAACAGATGATGATGAAACTACTTACTCGTACACAGAATGAAAGACAGAATTAATAAACTTCAAGACAAACTAACAGGGTATTTTAAACATGAAGCATTTGCACACAAGATGGTCGTTCTAATTGTAGGATCGTCCAGTAATTCAAAAGCCAGTTTATGTAACTTAAACAATGTATAAGTATAATGGAAATAAGATGATGATGATGATGATGAAAACCAATTGCAATATTTAAAAAAATCAGTTTGTAAATGATAATGCATTGAATTTTCCACAGTAATTGTTGTAGTCACAGATGAAATTCTGTTTGCATTCGAATGATCGATGAAATTATATCCCTAAGACACAAACACCCACACAAGAAATTTAAACTAAGAAAACTAAAATGAAATAATTCCCATTCAAGGAAAATCTACTTAAAAGTTTAGATTAGAAATTCATATTTAGGCGATTTAATTTCTTTTTGTAGAATATTATAATTGTAAATGTGACATGAAAAAGAAGAAATCAATTAAATAATCTTAAGACATTCATCGTAATTATATTAGACAAAAAAATTTACATCTACTTAACTTTTAAGTTTATCTTTTTGTATATTAAATGTACATTTTTATTATAGACATGATTGATTTCCTCATTTTAAATCAATTGAACAAAATAAGAAGATCGCATTGGAATTTTTTTTACATCCTTCTCATATAAAGAAACGTACTTATAGTTTCCATTGGGAATCTTTGAAAATATTGACGATGTGAAATTATATTGAACTTCGAATTAATATTGCATATTTAATGGATAATGTAGATAAGATGATAGTGTACGTTTGAAACGATGATTATGGACAAAACACACAAAAAAATTCAATCAATAAAGAAGATTAATTGTTTAATTTCAAAAAATAATAAATTACTGTTTTAAAATGTTATAGTGGAGAATAGAAATGCAGAATATTTCTTTCAGTTATGATCTTATTAAATTGACTTGACTTTAGCGAGAACTTTCTGTACAGGTAAATTGAATGAATTCATTCGCCTACGGAGTATGCAACTGGTAAAACTCGTACAGGTAAAAAAGGTGTTGAAAGGTAAAAGAATTAAATTTAAACTACATTTAACTAATATGTTGTCTATTGATTAACGAAATTTTGTAGATAAGCTTTCAATATTTTAAGCAAGTCAAATAAAGAAAAAATACTTCATTGAGATTCCAGCACATCTAATAAGAATCTTATATGAACAACATATGTGAAATCTAGTACTACACTCATATATGAGACATCGGCATACTCCAGAAAACGAGAGAGAACGAAATCAGATCCATTTGAAAGAGAGTTGGTTGCCTAACCACTTTCTAGCACAGGGGAAATAAATGAAATTTTCTAGCAGAGAGTGCATATGAACCAATATGAACATAAGCAACCTCATCCCTCTTCCAAATGTTTAAATGTGTAGCATGTGTGGAATAAAAATATTTCTTGTATGCACGTACATAAAGTGAATAAAGAAAGAACGAAAGTCCAACTTTGTGTTTCAATCGTTGTGTCCATTTTCAAAATTTCTTCATAGTGGGTGAACAAAATGGCTATTTCAACATTATTGTTCGGGATTAATTTGTTTTTCTCATAAATATTTAATAAGCAATAAGCTTTGCTTTGATGTTTGCTACTTGATTTTTATGCGCTTACATTTCATCATTTTAATATGACCAATTTTAAGATTCATTCTCTTAAAATATCTTTTAAGAAATCAAAAGAATTGCAAAGGCGATGATTAAATAAAATTTATAAATAAACAAAAAAGCTGATTTTTATATCTTTACAGAAATTTCTCGACTTTATTAGAATATTAAGTTTACAAATAATTTTTTACGACTTAAATAACAACACAAAAAATAAAATTTTACATTCAATAAAGACAACTGTTAAACATATAATCTTTTAACATAGTGATTTTAAATCTTTTGAGTACTAAATACGAGGGTAGAACATTCATTCAAACTGAAGACATTAAAGAGCTACTGAACGTCATTTCAAGTTATTATTTCATTTTATAAATAAACTTAAAAGATATTTTAACATTAAAAATGATAAGACGATGAAATTTTCTTCCTTCCTTCACTCGAAATTTGTAATAGCAAAAATGTCTTCAGTTTCTATAGATTTCAATACTTTGAATAAACGGACCAAAAATCGAAAGAATGCTCAAAGTGAGTGCACATTATTCTTTATTCGCATGGTTATGTAAGATTCATATTACATTTCATAATGCTTTATACAACATAACGACAATGTCGACGCAGACATAGTTCGCTTTCAACTTCAAATAAAGTTTTCATCAATTCATCATCGTGGAAAAAAAATTGGAAAATATTTTCCATTTTCATGTCGTCTATTAAATACAGCCAGCAGTGGAAAATCTATTCAATTATTTTCTCTTATTCTTCTCATTCTTATTCATTAAAATACTGCATAGATGTGAAATGTTCCAAGCACAAAAGGGAAGAAAATATAAAAAATGCTAAACTATTTACCGTCTAATGGTGAAGCGTATTGAATTTCCGTCTCTATTGTCTTTTTCCTTCAGAACAAGCAAGACTCGATATTTCATAAATCCAACGAGATGGTTTTTGGAAGAGAGTCTTCACTTCAAAATTGCTCAGCGGTTTACTTGGTGTTGATTTACAGAATATAAGACGACAAATTGAGTATAACGACAATGTCGGTTGAATTGTACTTTATAAAAAGAAATCTACAAAGAATCCCAGCTACAGTCAAACTCTACGTTTAAAGCCCAAAATCGTTGATTCGCCAAGAGAAGCTTTTACTTTTATAAGATGATCAACGTCTCTTATTCAGATGAATTTCAGATGAGATTAAAATTTATTTTTCACTATCCAAAACCTTAATAATTTAATTTTCTTTTCTTTGATGAAAAATTTTGTAACATTTAAAATAGTCCAACAAACTTAAATTGTTTGCAACTTACTTGAAGCTCATTCATATAACATGAAAGAAGAAATTAAATGCATGAATAAAGATTGTCAAAGAAATTTTGTCATTTTATTTCTTCTTTTTATTATTAAACTTTAACAATTTTATTGAACGACAAATTCCTTTCTCAAATGCATTTTCCGCCTTTGAGTTGAGTCAGAATGTGGCAAGGAAGGTAGTAAATAAAAGTTTGTCAAAGGATGCTTATCAGCAGTTCGATTTGCCACAAAAAAACATCTCTTGGTGTAATCACATCCCTTAGTAGTTCATCGGGAAAATTTGTCTTGTCATTGCACTCAAAATGAGGGTTTCACATCTGAATAAGATTCTGAAATGAGATTGATGAAAAATGAATTAAAATGGTGATTTTAATAAACATGGAAATGCTTGAATGAAAAAACTGATTGATTAAAAGATTTAACAAGAAAATTCATTCTCAACAACACATGTGCATGAGGAAGAAAAGATTTGAAAACTCATTTCAGAGCACACGCGTCCAACTCATACGACATGGCCATAATCGTTAAAAAGGGTTGTAAACGGACATAAATTTCTTATTTTTTACTCGATCTGATGACCGTTTGGGAACAATAATTAAACCCTTCGACCCTTTTCGTCTTCTTTGGATTTCATTGTTGTCGACGACTGCAGCTTTATGCAAAACATACATAAAATATTGTTTGACCCTTTTACTCATCGCCATATCAGGGTTCGTTTAATTCTTTTCTACACGACAAAATAGTTTAGTTGTACATAAATTTCAAAGCTTTTACAAAATGACGAAAATGGGATTGAGAAACGTAGAAATTCAACATTCATCTCGGCTACCTGAACCAAATGGAAAGAAGGAACTGTCATGAAAACTGTATCAACGTTGGAAAGGTGTCTGTCCATATGCTTCCGTTACACGACGTAAAACGAACAATTTTCTGACAGCTTCAGGTAGACAGAATTTTCATTAAAAAAGAATTCCAACGGAACCGTCCATGCGTTTCCAATTTCATATTCATTCTGTTTAGTGTCATGACAAGACCATCTGAGAATGGAATTCCATTAGAATGGGCTGTATGTTGGGACGAACATTAGATGGCAATAGCAAGAAAAACATTATTGTTGGCTTTTTCAATTTCCAACCAAAATTGAAAATGTTGGGATGTTCAAAGTAAATTTTCTGGAAACTCATTGCGATATCATTAATTTTAAAAGTGCTGCCACCCGCAACTATTGAAGTTTCTTAAAAGGAATTTGAACGATTCCCGTTAATACTTAACACAAAAATTGTTTTTGACTTTTTCAACTATTTAGAAGAGTTTTTTGAGTTTAAAGGAAGGAAAAACTTTAACATCCATTTTGAAATTGACCATTAAATGTCAACATATTAATTGATTATTTCATCTAACTATGAAGTCTTGTTCAAAGTTTATTCAACAACCAAACCTTCTATTAAAACGTGAAAGTATTTCGAAACGGAACGGAAGTGAAAGAAAAAACGGAAGTTTGCTTCTTATTTGCATAGTCACGAGTAAAAATAAATATTTTATTATGCCATTCGCCTATTAGATGATATAAATTTTCTTGGATTATTAATCCTTTCCTGGCATATATGAGCACAATAAGTGAATGGAACTTTGCTCATAAATATACAAACAGAAGCAGCAGGTGGAATGGGCATTGAACGCCCAATTTTTCCTACTTTTCCAACTGAAAATGCACCATGATTTTTCACAAAGCCTTTTTATGTAGATTTCTGTTTTGTGTCTCCTTTATTATATGCTCTCGATATGAAATGGAAATATAATTTTCCTCCCTGTTATAAATGATCGTCATTCCGATGTTCGCCATTAGAATTTGCTTTCTACGGTTTTTTCCTGGAGAAAGCAGTAATGGGAAAAAACTTTTCTGTTCGCGAAATAAATGGTAGAACTTATATATCAGAGCAAACAAATGATAGCACCAAACCGAAGCATATTTCATACAAACAACAATGTCCTCATCGGGGCAGGGTTACGAGGGGTTTATTTTGACACTACGTCACTCATTATTAACTTAACGAAAACTTTTCTATTTTCATTTTTCGTCAAAATTTTTAAAAAAAGCGTTAATTGCTTTTACCATTTTGATTCTATTAAAATTTTGTAAGATTTTAAAATAATCTTCTTGCTTTTATGAGTTAAGCTACTTAACTTTTATATTGCTCCCTTTAAAAATACCATATTCACCAAGGCTCACATTCTTTAAGCGTGCATAAATGTTAAATGTTCAGTAATCAGTTAAAAAAAAGAAGAATATGAAATTTCCTTTCCACTGGAGAGCTTTATTTACATGTGGAGCGAGACTCAAAGCAACAAACCAAAAGGAAATGAGATTGGAGATGATGGTGCCTCTTAAATATATACACAACATTGTTGTCGTATATGGATGGTGTGTCTACATACAATAAAAAGCGAAGGCGAAAATTATGAAATATCACTTTAACTCCTTTTGTCTTGCTATTAAAATAGCGATGGTTCTCGCTTCGTCCCCTTCCATCCGACATTCACATCCTCAGCCCAAGCCATTAAGAACTTTTCTCTTTTCCGAAAATGAATTGAAATAAGCTGAGATTTGTGTGTGCGAAAGGGAGAACGAGTGGGGGGAACAGGCAAGTGAGTATGTGAATGGTAAATGACTTTTTCCCTCCTTTCCTTTCGTTGTTACCCTCTCGAGTTGAGTCTTGAGAAAATGAAAATAATAATGAAATGAGATAGGAAAAATTTCCCGTCTATTTTCCGTCTTTTACAAAACCCAGTAGCAGTAAAAGGAAAGGAAAAGAACTTTTCATATTTTCCACTTTTTTATATTTTATTTTTGAAAGAAAAACTAACATTAAGCCGCTTTTCTTCTTGTGGAAGTAAAACCAGCATGGAATCGGTTTTCAAAGGGCGAAATGTGAGTTCGAGTCATTTTCAACGAGTCATGGTTTGATAACGCAGTTTGTTAAAGAAACTTCCCTCACCATACTTTGCCACGACAGCCGCCCATCGACTTTGAATGGCTCGGAAAAGAACTTGACTATTAATTAACATTAACTTTCTACACGATGGTGATGGTCTTTAATGCTTTTAAATTTAAACACATAGCAGTATAATGCTGTGTAGTCATTGAAAGCAAATAGAAGGAAGCTGGTGTTGAAGATGTAGTCGGAGGGAAGCGAAGTCATTTAACGAGAAAAAGGGATTTCTTTAGTATCCGAAAATAAATGTTCTTTGGTTTTTCTGGTCGCTGTTTTCCATCGTCTCATCCGTGTAAGTTTTCTTTGGTGTTTAAATATTATGGCAGAAGTTGTGAAATCTTTGTGATGTGGATGTGGAATTAAAATATCACGTAAGCATGTTTAAAGAAAACTTTAGAAGATTTTGATGTTTAAAATTTGTAGATTTTGGTTTCATGATTTTGTTATGTCATCTTAAACGTAGGATTCAAATTATCTTGAGCTCAAGACGCTTTTGAGACCGCGAAACAGACAAATAAGCGCACTTCAATCATTCTCTTTCCTAACCCTCCACAATTCTTCTTGAGAAAAAGATTTTCAACAAAAGAATAAGAAAATCAACGCCAGAAACAAAGTAAAATTATCTAAATTATGTAATAAAGCAAAAAGGAAAACTTTTTCGCTTCATTCCTCAATGTCGCTTATGAAGGTGTGAAATATTTAAGCTTTTGTTTCGTCCCTCACATGGGACGTTCGTTCAGGCTTTTCAGTCAACATGCAATCAATCATAACGAATGAAAACTATTTCCATTGGCTGTGAATGTCGTTAAAGTTGAATTAAAGCGTGAAACAAAAGACGAGTGAGTTGTATTTACGACTTAAATCTCAAACAAATGTTAAAACACATAAAAGCGAGATGAAAAATTGTTGTGACGATTCAACAACAACACATAAGACCGAATCATCTTTATTCTTTCGTGAAAGGAGAACGAGGACACGACGTTCATGATTTATCATTGAGAAGGTTGAATAGATTCGTCTTAATGGCAATTTGAAATTCCACCATTTCATTCACAGACAATTTACGATCTCCACGTCTATTCATGTGTTAGGGGTGGGTGGGGGTGGTGGAGAAAGCCTACATTGCTTCTCATAAATCAAAATAATTTTCCAATCGATACTCCATCAGCTCTCACGAAATGAGTTGACGATTTCTTTCATATCTTTTTTTAGATGGAATTTGCTTCTTCTTTCTTTCACGTTTTGTAAGATTCATGCTTTCCACTACCAGGTGACCTCAAAGTTAGTTTAACCTTTTCCTTAACCACTGTGAAAACATCACCGCATATTTTTACTTGGCTCATAGCGCGAGCGAACTCGAAATGCGAATGTCATTTTTTAAAAGTTTCATGAAAGAAAAAGCGAGTCAGTCAATTTGTTGTGAAACTAGACCATGGAGAACATGTTTTGGGACGAACGGAACAAGCATTAGTTGTGGCGTGATGACATGAAAGTATACAGGAAAGACTTCGATATTCAAAGTAAATTAAATCAAATGTAGAAGGAAAAGTAAAATGATTCGAGTTGAACGACATCAACTTCCAGTTCTTTCAAAAAAATATAAAAAGGGTGCGACAAAGAGTTGTTAATTTATTGTTATTTCATCAACAACAAATGTATCTCTCCCGTGCAAAATACTTTTATAACATGATTACCTTTGATCAAATGTAATACGCGGTAAAATCCGTAAATATTTGTACACATTTTCATATGAAACTTGTCATCGTTCATTGTCGTTGCAAATGTTCACGGAAACCGGTTGACGAACAATGACGTGCAGATATTTACTTAAAGTTGATATTCTGTTTATCAATATTGTGAGTGAAATGAGTAATAAAAAGATGTTTTTGATAGTTTCATGAAAATTGACAGATTGACGTTAAATGCGGCAAGTATAAGAAGATAATTAACAATCAAAGCAGCAACTATGCTGATGCCTTTTACTATTGATGAATGGAAAAGTAATTTCCACGTTTCCCATATGCAACAATGAAAATGAAATAATTTTGAAAGCTAAATTCCTTTTGTTTACACCAATTTACTTCCGATTAAAACATTCTCTGATCCTTTGTCATTACAAATCTTTCGTTGCGTTCTTCTCACAGGAAATGTTAGAATTTCAATTATTTCCAACAGTAAAGAAAATTGAAAACTCTTTCGAATAAGCTTCGAGTCTGTAACAAACGAACTTTCCTTTAATCGCAAAATCTTCATGAATGCATACTGAAATTTTAAAATGATGTGGAAAGAAATTAAAAATTTATGAAGAGAATTTTCCGAAAAAAAATAAAGAAAAACAGTTTTCCACTCGAAAGTCGAAACGATGAAGATGAAAGCAAGCGAGACTCACCATTTCCATGTTGTTGCCGTTCATACAATGAATGTAATGTAAAGTTTAAGACGATGGCTGATGATAATGGTTGAGTTACGAATTGTGTATTTATTCAACGAAGAAATGGGTGAAAAATAAATGCCCAAAGCATTCTCGAACATCTCTCTTCCTTAACAACTTTATACATTTTTGGAGTTGTACCAAGTGAAAAGTAAGCAGAAACTTGCCTGATGATGATATGTAATGAAGTCAACATTAAATAACTATAAGACGAATCTGACAACTCCAAAAATAACTCCCAAGAAATGGTTGGTAGAAAAGAATCCAAATCGGAAAACCAACCGAGGAAACTTATATTTAGACGAGTATTTCTCGCGAAAAAAAGGAACGAAGAAGAAAATTCTTATCTCTGGTGTTGAAATTGAAAATGGAATGTTTATATACATTTTTCACTCGCTCTCTATCCACTAGATATTTATAGTTTAATTAAAATTTTATTCTTCCCGAGTCGAGTTGAGTCGACAACGGCGGACAGAGATGTACGAAGTGGGTGGTAAATATTTATGCGTTTGCCATGGCGCGAACAAGAAAATTGAAAATAAATATCAACAGGATGAAAGTGATTTAAAAGATGTGTTGCTTTGTATTTAAAATACTTGCGATGAGAAAGCGGAAGTTCTTATCGTTGTTATGTTTTGATGATTGAATTAAACTTTTTTTTATTATTAAAGAATCGAAAATAATTTCTCTGCTTATGCTTGGAAATCATCATGTGAATGTAATTAATTGTTGTGTTATTCAACATATTTCCTCGAGGCTATTAAATTCATGTTAAATCCATTCAAAGGCAGCAGATGACGTCGTGATGTGCCGTCACATACAAGTCATAAATCAAAAATATAAAAAAATCCATCACCACACTCAACCCTTCTCATTATAACTTTTCATTCTTGTGACTTTCTTACGATGATGATGTAACAGCTAATTATTAATTATGTAACACGTTAGCACTTCAAGGTTTCGTATTTCATAGAAAATTTCTTACATTAACACCACAACATCATCATCGTCATATTTTCATTCGTTAATTTCCATAGAAGTCATGAAATAAAATTATTTACGAAACGATCATAATAATAATTATTGCAACTTGCAAGTTTTAAATTGAGATTACGTGACAAATGTTCAGTTAACAAAATTTCAAAATTTCCATTTAATTTTTGAAACAAAATTTTCATCTTCATTACGTGAAATATTCAACACTTGACGTTAGTTTAGTTAAATGAAAATTATCTAACTTGAGTCGTTTATGAATTGCATCATGAAGCGAATAAAGTGAAAATTAGAAAATTAATGATTTTCATTGTCAGTTAGTTTTTGTGTTACTTAACTTAACAGTGAAGGCGATTGTGACATTCCAAAGTGATTTTCCTCATTTTCCTAACTTAAAATATTAAAATTCGCCGCTTGATTTAATTAACTAAAGAAAAGTTTTCTGTTGGGGAAAACTGAGAATTGGAATGATTACGAAACGATTGTAATTAAATGAATTCTTGCTCGCCTTCCGAAATCTTCCATTTTGTCAAATCATGGACGGCTTGTCGCTTGGTGTGGGCGATGGCGAAAAACTACCAAAAGAAATTTTCTCGAGAAAATGAAATAAATTAAAAATATTTATGTTCAAACTTTACCCCTTTTTTGTCTTCACTCAAGTCGTCGTAAGTATTTGAGATTGAATAAGGTGAAGGGTGTGAGTGAACATAACACTTCGAAAGGAGATTTTTTGATGAAGAAGTGGACGGAGGGAAGGAGGGAAGGAAAGAAACGAGAAACGATGTGGGATGTTGAGGGAGAATTTCGATGTGGAATGAAGGATACTTTTCCTGCCATCATCCTTCTTACAACTACCGAACGAATGAACAAGCGAACAAACGAACATGCCCGGGCAATAACAATGGACAAAATGGATAAGGAAAAGTGGCCTAAAGCTTTGTGTGTGTATGTGAAAAAGGGATTCGGGGTGTTAACACTGCTTAGGTATGGAATTTCAGTAACTAACCCTTTACTTTCTACATTTCAGAAGCAGTTACAACCATTGACCAGGGATTAATAAATATAAATTTTCTTTCACGCCTCATAAACTCGATATGATGATGAAAACCCTGCGCTGGTGCTTCACATTCTCATTTCTATCAACCAACATCACAATATGAAACCAGAGACTTTTTCATGTTGTTCCTTCGCTTTTGTTGAGATATTTATAAAATTTTCCAAAAATTTTCAAATTTCTTTTCAAAACGATTTTGTTGTATTGTGGGTGGTGGGGAGAGTAAGTGGGAGGGAAACATTCAAAAGGACAAATCATTTCGTTCATATTTTAATGAAAGTTATGGTTCGTTTTGTGTGCTTTTTCTTTTGAAATTTACTTCCACTTTTCTTGTTTGCTAGTGTTCTGTGGCGGTTGAGTTTCTTTCCTTTTTTTCCATTTTCAATGAGAGTTCCAACTTGGAGTTTAAACATTCACCCATTTCGTAGTCTTGTTTAAGTAAAAGCAAACAATTTCCTGTTTTATCTCAAATAAAAATAGTTTCCCCTTTCTCTTCTTCTTAAATTGAAAATAATTTCGCTTTGTGTAAAATGTAAATGGGGCCAGTGACAAGTTTCTGTTTGCTATGGCGACTCACACCCACATACTTCAAAATCAACGCGGTGAGAAGTTTTTAATGTCAAAGAGAAAGAAAAAAAGGAAGGATTAAAATTGAAAATTCTCTCCCGACAGCAATATTGTCATGTCCTTGAAGTGGAAATAACAAGAAAAGTCTTTTGATTACAACTCTAAGAACGGGACGATGAATGAAGCGGAGACGATTTGATTTCTATTCGAGTGGAAACAAATAAAACCGTAGTTGTATTCGCCTCTCACTGTTGTCAAAATGTTAACGAGTTCAGGTTCCCAATTAGAAAAGTAAATCGATTGATGAGTCAACGAGAAAAATTTTATCTCAGATATATTTAGTTGGATTGACACGGTTGTTGTGGGTGGAAAGTAAGAGTGAGAGAGAAAGTGAACATAAATATCTATTATCAAACAGGTTTTTATCTCATTCCCCACCTGAAACTTACATAACTAAATCTCCGCTATCGATTTTCGAAGCAGTAAAAGTTTTAATTCTAAAAATTAACTGACGAACTTTTATAGATAAATAGCGAGGTATCCAAACACCCACTTTTATCCACCCACGATGAAACATAAATAATTGAAAGTTTATAAATTTAAAATCTCTTTTCTGCTCAACACAACTCATCTCATCTCAACATTTTCTTTCTGTTCCACTCCATAATAAATCGTCAGGTTTATGAAGGGACTTTTCTAAATATAAACAACAACAAGAACAAATCGTAGATTATATTCGGCCCGCTGCTGTCTCCTTCTCGTTCTTCATTTAACAACATAGCTCAAAAATAAATAATTCAAATACTTTTATGATGAATATAGAAAAAACAAAAATATTCATTCAATGTGTTATTAGAAGACTCTTCGAGAAGTGACGAGAAAGTTTAAAGATGTTAAGATCTCTCAAGTACTATTTTTGAAGGTAATTAACGCTTGAGTAATTAGAGAACAGCTTAATAAGAAGCTCAATGAAGTTCGATTTACTACCCCATCCAATTACAAGTTGCCAACATCTTTTAAAGAATACCCAATAGTTGTTCTCATTTCCATTTCTAACCACACCACCGAAAGTTTCCCTTGAAGAAATTATTTTCTAAAATGTCGAATGAAATAGACAAAAGGCAAAGAAAGGAATGAAAAAAAGTTTTTTCGAAGCAAAACCTCAAACTCTCTTGATAAATTGGCAGAATGACAAAAAGATGGAACTGAGGGCCAATTTTTAAGGCAGGCGGGCGGTTTTCGAAATGAACATTAAGCGGGACGAGGGACGAGAGAGGGCGAAAGACCAGAAAAGGGATATTTTAATGAAAAGTGGTTTTAGTGAAGGAAGTTAGTTTTCTTCTCCACTACCCGTTTCAACTACACAGAAACTTGCCAACGATGGTTAAAATTTACTCTTCGCTTAGTTTTTGCATAGCAAAGAAAGCCTTGGAGAAAGGCGCTTCATTTGAGGGACTTGCCATACCATGAAAAACTTTTACTTTTTGTTACCATCTTCGTTTCTCAGCAGTTGCTTGGTTAAGACTGGGGATAATTGCATGTTCATTTTCGAAAATTGAAAGAATTTCAGAAATATCTTTTTCAGCTTTAGATGGGCTTCATAATTAAGATGGGCTGCAGGAAAGGTTTCACAGCTTTTTTAATGTTATTTTTCAATTATTGAATAAGATTTAAGGAATTAATTTTTTTATTGCTGCAAAATGAATGGACCAAAGTTTTAGACCCCCTGAGAAATGTAAATTTAGTAACGGTTTTAATTTAAATTTATACCATTTCGAGTGTTCAACATTTTCCGTTCTTCTCCCCTAAGTTCTCCCATCAAAACTTCAATAAATATTTAGTTTGCTTGCGATCATTCGTGAAAGTTTCATTCACCAATAGATTTAACTTCCACCCACTAACTAACAAAAATAATCTTCAACTATCCATCAACCCTTCTTAAGTCGTTTTCTTGGATCCATCACATAGCAGATCTTGCGGCTACGAATGATACAATTAATCTTACTAATGAGATGCCAACATATGAAGAGTTGTTTACTATCAAGGGGCGAAGATATTCACCAGAGGGAGAAGATAGAAATTGATGGTGTCAAATTTGTCATGATTTCATGAGCATCAACAAAGAGAATGTTCAAAGTTCAAATTGTCACGACTTCTCTGCCACTTTATGGTTCATTCAAACAAACAATCGCAGCATCAAAATGAATGTAAATAAATATTCACTTTGTTCACCCATCCACTGGACCAACCAGTTCTGAAAATGATGTCAAAGGGTGATATCACATGAAGGAAAAGGATGGAAAATCCAGTTTGAGTCTCGAGTAAATTACACACATCAGAGATCATCGTGGCAAATGTCAATTTGAATCATCCAGGATTGAGATAAGTACCAGGGTTCAGATTTAAACCGAAAGCGGAAAGAAAAAAAAATCTCCCGACGTGTTTGTCGAAGAAAAAGAACAAAAGAAAAAAAATATTCAACAAGTTTTTCTTTTCCTTTTTTTAACTTACAAATTGTTTTCTTCATCATTCTTTTCTTGCTCCTTCTTTTATCGGCTATTGTACGATGGCTGGTAGTGGGAGAAACTTTTACTTTCATTTTCACACCGTCAATGAGAACGATAAGAAAAGTCTTCGTGGATCTTCTTTTTCTTTTTAAATTAAACCTGCAAATTAAAAAGAAGATAAATTAATTATCCAATCAATTCAATCTTGTAGTTTTCATTCTTAAATTTTTTAAATTATCTGAGACGATAATGAGACAACGCAACTACATGGATAAAGAAAAACTAATGGTGGAAGAGTTAAAAATTCTTTTCATCCATTTTCAGCGTTTCAAATCTTTTGTTTTAGAAGCACTTAACAAACATTGGTGTTGTTTATAATGTCAACCCCTTTTCATCGTGAAAGAAATTCAACATTTTATCGTCCCATGTCGTGGCTCTTTCATACTCAAACTGAAAGCGGATACTTGAGATTCTTTTTCAAAACTTTATACTTCGAATGTGAGCTTGTCATGGCCTTTGAAAGCATTCATCAACATCAAACAATTTCATCTTGAAAATAAAGGGTTGAGTTTTCACAACACTTGACATTCTGCAGAAGTTTTTCAATTTAAATGATGTTTTCTTTATTTTTTATGTTTTATGCAATGGCGAATGCTAATTACGATTTACATATTTTTATTTGAGAATTTTATCATGCAATTTGTTAACGCGGTAATTATGAGATGAATTAATTGTAATAAAAGTTTTTAAAGACAAATAAAAATCAAAGCTGAGTGCTTTGTTAAAACCTAAACAGACAATGTCGCCTTCAAATTTATTTTTACTTATTCATAACAAGTTCCAAATAACAATTTTCAAATGTGTAAGTAGATAGATGAAGAAAAGAAAGAGTGAAAGGGAAACAACGGACATTATCTGAGAAAGCGAATAAGAAAAGCAAATTAATGTTCGGTTCAAGTAATGTAATTGGTACTTTGCAGGATTTTCACATTCATAAAATCTCTTAAGAATGGATTCGACAAAAGTCCTTTTTTTCCTATCTCCACTTCTCCACTATCTTTCGTCGTTTCTTGTTGGAAAAGCATTTTTCTCTGCCTTAAAAAGACATAAAATTTAATGACTAAAGTACACAGAAAGGCAAAATGGCAACATGAAAAGGACCGAGCGAGAGATGTGAATGAGAAACTAAAAGCCATCCCAACAGTCGATCCCTAAGAAGGAATCCCTTGACGCCTCCGCCATATTGTTCATATCAAATTCCATAAATGAGAAGCTTTTGTTGGACACGAACACTCTTCTTGATTTCTCAGCTGTATAAGCCTGTCATGTCATATCTCGGGTGTGAGTTGGATTTCATCAACTGATAATAAAACAATTTGTTCGTCACAACATTCAATGTGTGCTGATAATGAAATTTAAAACGTCTTTTGTCTTGTTGGGGACGAGTTTGTAAGTAAACTGCTTGAATGGGTTATGTGACAGAAAAAGGGATAACTTGAAGATATTTCCCTCATACACGAAAGAATTTTTTATGACAACTAATTATTAAAAGTTGTGATTGTGTGTTAGGGTTTGTTGAGCAAGAGATAAAAACTTTTCTTTTAATTCTTCTTTTTTTTATTCATTTTTCACTTTTGAACGAACAACTAGTTTGGGATTACTGAGGAATATTTATATCTTTGAAAATATTTTGAGAAAATTATCTTTTATAACTTCTATGCCCACTTCCGCTGACAAAGAACAACCCAAAGAATCTCTGGGAAATTTAGAAACTTTTTTTCGAAGAAATCATCTCAACTGTGAAAAGGATTTTCTTTAAGTTCAAGGATTCAACTTTTAAGCATATTCTTCGTGACATGCAGAGTTACGAGACGAAATGAAATCCCTGACATCACAAGAACAACGTCGGAGTATCCTTTTTCACTGCCAATTAATTTTCGATCAGAAAAAGGATAATTTAAGCTTCGCATATCTTTTATGAGAGATGTGTTCTCGTCCTTCTTCAAAACATATTGTAACACCCGATAATATTTGTTAAAATTATTTTTATGGTTTCTTCTTCATGTTTTCTATTTAGAATAAACGGAAATTGAAATACCGCACTTTTTGGATTGGGATACACAACCAGCACAATTTAGAAGCGAAGAGATGTGATTAGAATGAGTTTAAAACTTTGTGAAGATGAAATTTATGTTTTCAATTTAAATTTATGAAATTAATACACGCCCTCAGGACATAATCAAATGTCTTTCATTTCCCTTTTCACAAGCAATCACACATTGCAAGTCAAAACATGTTCTTCGTACAAAGTTGCATTTGCCGGAAAGAATTTATTTTTGACTTTTCTTACTCAATTTAAAACTAATTTTTCTTTTAAACAATTGAACTTTTGATTACCAGCATCACACATGCATCAGATTTTACTTTCGACAATTTCTCTCTTGAACTTTAAACATGCTTTATGACTAATTTTCATGAATTCATGAAAGTCCATTATCATCAAAAGAAAAATAATATGAAAGCATAAAAAGCATACATGAATATAATATAAGATGGCACATAAAATCCGCTTCTCATTTATAAATTGCTTTTACACATAAACATGTAGATGATGTTTCAAACAATAGAGACGAACGAGAGCTCTTAAAACCGGACGCCATCATCTCGTCTGCATATATAGCAAAGAATTTCTTTTTATGATGTGTTTTGACTCACATAGGGATATGCGATATGAAAGAAAGTTTCGCTTCTTCTTTCATCTTCATGTTGTTTATTATGAAAATGTAGAAATGTAGTTAAAATAAGAACAAAAGTTCTACTTGTGTATTAATTGTCTAGCGACTTTATAAAGCGACCTGTAAACTACCAACAAAAAAGTTAAGATTGAAAACAATGAAATTTGAATAAAACTTTTAATTCTTTTCGTTTTATGTACAAATAAAAATTAATAAAAAGACTTTTCCAGCAGTTACATCTAACGACACCTGGTGTTGAAAAGCAGTGGAAGAGAGTCAACGACCTCAAAAGGGGAAAATAAAAGTCACTCTCTCGGAGGAAAACATCCTTATTGGTGTTAGTAAGGGTTGATAGCAAGGGGAAAACTGAGAGAGTTTTTTTTATTAGTGTTGGTGAGGAGCGAAAAGTTGCATAAATATTTTTTCATTCAACCATCAACACCATTTTTGCCAAGTGTTCTTTAAATATTTAAATTATGTTTTAAAGCTCAACGTCTTTGTTTTTATTTTTTTTCTCCTCGCGAAACATTTTTATCGATTTTTCTTTTTCGCGGTTGTATTTTTTTCGTGGAAGAGCTTTAAATCTTTAAAGAAATTTTCTTTCACAGAAGGGAAATCTTTTCATGTTGAGAATTTTCGTACAGTTTTTCGCATCGACAAAGTGTAGGTGAACGACTGTGTAGAACAAAATGGTCAAATGGGATGGTCAAATAAGGTCGAGAAAATGGTGCCGCCGGCTATTTGTGAATTTTCTTATGTTTTATGAATAATGTCAAAGAAAACATACTTTCATGGTAAATTTTACATATTTTGTAAAAATAAATGACATACAATGTTAATGTTCTCATTATAGCCTATCGTCTTTAATTATTTATCCATATTTAAATAATTTTTTTAACATGTTTTGAAAGAAATTTTTTCATTCAATAATGAGAAATTGATAATTACAAGAATTAAAAACTTTTCTAAGTCATAAATAAAAATGACCGGAGTTTCTTCCTATGACTTAAAGAATTGAATAAATTTTAAGTTTCAAATTTATTCAATCAACAAGAACAAGACCGACAATATTTTCTCTTGAGTTAGTTCTTTATTGATAATATTAATAAACTATTTTTAGAGCTTTTGATCAAAAAATATTTTTTGTTATTCACAAAATTAAGCTTTTCATAGCAATATTTAGTTAGTGATTTTCCTAGAAGGAAAGTTCATCAAAAATATTGACACTAGAATTCTTTGTCAAAGGCAGGTCGTAATTATAATTATCGAACGATAAATTTAATCGATTACATTCTTCGAAGCAGAACAAGACAAAAAAACAAGAAACAAATGTTTGATTTCAAAGACGAACAGAGACAAAAATAAAAGACGAGGTAGCTTGGAAGATGAAGAGCTTGAGTGATAGGAAAGGGAGACTTTTAGAACAAGGGAAAATTTCATAAGGAAATCAGGAAAGCGTAAAGTTAACTGAAGTGAATCGAGAGGACTAAACATACACACGTTCTGCAGAAATTGGTTTTTCTCAGTTTACTTCTTTTACTTAAGATTCTTCTTTATATTTGCTTTCGCAATGTAAAACTATAGTTCAGTGATTTTTTACCATTCAATGAATTGATGAAAATTTTATTCGCAAAACTTTCAAAATATTTTTCTTGTAGTAAATAACTGAAAACATGGAGTAACAATTGTTAAGAGTCAATAAAACATGTCAAAAAGAAACACTTTGCTGAATGGTCTCGACAATTAATTCAACAAGAAATGTTTCTTTCCACTCCGATTTTAATTATTTTAAAATCTTTCATTACTTACACAAGGAAACATCTTTTCTATGAAGAACAAACACATATGTCACTGAGTAATATATTTAATGTATTACCTTCCCTGTGAAAGCAAAAAAAGATTTTACGTAAATGCCCAGGCTGGCAAAGACATTGAAAATTAAAAGGGATAAAAAAAGGCAATCGTGGTAGGGGACGAAACTATTTTCTATGCCATAAACAAACATACAACATTATACATAGATACATAAAAGAAGAGGGATGGGAAAGAGCGAACATTAAGCACATAATGCTTGTACATAAAATCTTTTAAGTGAAGGTACGGAATGAAGTTACGGAGGGTGAAGAATATGGGATTGGTCAGAGTCTCACAGAGTGTGATTCTTATAAGAAAAACGTCTCAAGAACTTTTTGGGATTCAAATCGTTTCACAATTTCAATCGAATGAGATTTAAAAATTCATAAAACAAGTTTTTAATAATTGACTTGCGTCGTTCAAGTTTCCACAGCTGACGCGGGACGACGACATTAACTTATTCGAGTTTGAATGAAATCAAAATTAAATGCGGTATGACCATTTGAAAACCGGACCAAAACAAGAATGTAAAATATTTTAATAATTTTATTGTCAAAATTGTGTGCTTGGGTCAACAGAAGCATACACGAACGAGCAACGATAATGATCCAACGGATTTTACACGTGAATAAACTTTTCATAAAACAAAACTTCCTGCTCTTCTACTTTCATGATCACATCAGGAAACATCTTGTCGATTGAAGTCAATTAATTTTCAATTTTCACCGAAGATTCGTTTAATTAAGCAATAAATTTTCAAATCAGAACACCAGCCACAGTTTAATCAGATTGCGGTTTATGAAGAAGAAAGCTTCTCAATTCGGTTATCAATTAAAAAGTTTTTAATCAATTTCGACAAGATTTTAGGTAGCGCATTAGTCAAATATTCACATCAGACAATCCCAGTAAAAGCATCTTTAAATCTCGCCCTCGTGATTTGAAATTTCTTCATTCTTACCACGATGCTGATGTCGTCAATAGAAAGAAACAGAGAGAGAGAGAGAAGAAGGAAAAGGACATTGAATGAATAAAATTTATCTTGAATAGAAAATCGAATAATTGATTGAATGCACATTGGGGATAAAAAAATGAAAAAGAGAATTGGAAGTGAATATTTTAACGATACTATGGACATTAGCTTTGATTAGGGATGTCGATTGGCTGCTTACTAAAATAGTTGATCGCAAACTTTTATGATAATTCAAATTAAATTAACTTTTTAAACAACTTTCTAAACAAATTTGACAATCTTCAACCCTGCTTTGTCTTTCATGACATGGAAGGAAAGTCTGAGAAAAAGTTTTTGCCTATTTGCAAATAGTCAACAACTCTTGGACTTTGTGAATGTTGAAATCACCAAAGAAGTAAATTTGAATTTTCGAAAATGATTTGAGACGAGATTGGAGAAGAAAAAACTTGTCCAGAACTTTAAATTTGATGCAATGCAAGTAAAAGATGGAAGATGTGTGTGTGTGAGATCAAACAAGATAAAAATCGATAACATGAAAGTTTTCTTAATCAAATTGCAATCATTTCGAATGAAGGCCACCGCTTGTAATGATGTTAAGCTTTGAAAGCATCGCATTTGATGATTTTAACTTTGAGTTTGTTTTCCCATCATCCATCAAAGTTAATGTCGTCATCTCAAAAATAAATCGATTCCTTTGCTAGAACTCAATTAATCTTCATTCCATTTTTCGTTGGTGCACTCGTGGATGATATCAGAACGACAGAAAATATCGAGCAGTAATTTTTTTACAGCTTCTCGAATGTGTGTAGATGGATACGGTGACGGTCATAAATATTCAATTTCTTAAAAGCGTTATCCAAACGAAACGAGCCAGAGGAGATGTGAGAGGGCGGACGACGACGGAACATCTCGGAACCCATAAAAACCCAAGAAGCAAATCCATTTGCTAATACAATTTTGCCCGATTAAATTTGCCTTCCTTGGCATGTTCGCTTTTCATTTCTTTTTTTCTCTCATACTGTCTTCATGAAGGGCGATTCGAAGCAGAGGAAAGGACGAAGCTGTCGCTTTTTTTGTTGGAAAATTCTCTTTGGGGTTTGGACGGTTCGTTGGTTAGTTTATTTTATTATCCTTACGGGCAGATAAAGCAAAAAGGCTTTTGGAAAAAGCAAACCCAACTCACACATATGCACGAGTCAGGTCGTTCGTTTGGCTCTCTCGCAGACCACTTTAACGAGCTATTTTATATTCTCGAATTCTTATGTTGTCTTACTTATGCTTTCCTCTTTCTTTTTTTGTTTCAAGAAACATTTTCATACACCCAAACATGCAGCGAGTAACCGTCATAAAAGGATCCCTTCTCATTCCACGTCAATCTCCAAATGGTTTTTTATGTTGTTTTTTTTATGTATGATTATAGTCTCGTTTCGGGCATAAAACGGAAAAAAGGACAACCATTTCATTTTGTGATGTGTTGAGGAGGTTTTTTTGCCTTCATTTCGCTTCGTTATCGGAGATCCCAAATCGCCCAACAACTGAAATGAACCTGTATTTGTTCGACCAGTTTGTGATGTTTTTCTGTCGGGAAATGAAGAAAATTTTCTTATGTTTGACAGAGATTTCCAACTGGGCGTTGAACTCATCGACTAACCGAATGGAAAAACGACCGAGCTAAGCAGAAATGTCCAGAATATATGGCATCGCTTTGCATAATAGAGGGGAAGAATGCGAACATTACTCTTTATTACTTTCTCCTTACGTTTTCTCAATGCAAAGTCCGCTTACAAAGTTTGCTCGTCGCTGTCCCTTGGAAACTTTCTCTTAATATTTAAAAAGGGAAGAAAAATTGTATCGACCCGCATTTTAACTCTCCTTAAATGACCATCTTTACTTACTTTAAGTATTTTCTTCGTTCCCTTCAACACGAGAAACTTTAAACGACACATGATGAAGTTGCAAGAAGAAGACGCGCAAAGTAGTCTCTTGGGTGGCATTGGCAACCCCATTTGCAAATGATATTTAAGAAATTGATGAAATAATCCGAAAGAAAGCGAATAATCATGTAAAATATTCATCGGACCTTCGATGTTATTCGATACTTTTTTTTTCTATCATCTCTAAACATAATCTGCGCATTAAAGGGTCAGGCATTAGAATTGAGACAAATTGGACATAAAGTTCAATGAATAAAAGATGAAGAAACATCTTTGATGTTCTCAAATGATCACCCTTTACGATTTGTGATTGTCAGTTGATAAATGCCAACATTTTCCATTTCATTCTCCAACTGAAAATTGTCTCACTAATGAGCTGCAATTTTTCACATTTTAAAATGTTCTCATTCAAAACCCTTTTCACATGTTTGAAATTGTAAATTATTTACTGAAATTGATGTTGCACAAAAAGTAAGTCAAGCGAATAAATAGAAAATTTAATTTATTAAAAGTCTGGTGAGATTTTAAACTTTTTTTTCTGTTGCTTTCTTAAAAAACTATCTTCGAGTATGATTGCGCAAAAATATTTCGCTCATCTCGTACATCAACAAATAATAAATAAAACACCCTTTTTTATGCTACTGTGTTCCTGGGGATGTTTTCAGCAGAAATCTCATGTCATGAGAACAGGGACGAGCGTCTTTGTTGCTGGTATCCTTTTTTATGACACTGACATTAATCAATAAATGTATATTGAACCCTTTCGATGTTTTATATTTTATTACTTTTAAATTTATTTATTTTTTTACTCTTCACTACGCTTTCGATAAACTTTTTTTTTATCTTTTGGACTTTGCTATTATAGTCAACAGCATATAAGTCTGATGAACATGCACTTGGGGAGAGAGAGAAGGAAAAAAGTAAATCGAACTTTAAAATGAAATGACTTGTCATGGTTTATTTTGTTGTAATGGCAATTTTTTGAAATTATTTATTGTCACGAAAACTGAAACCGAATCCGTTCGTAAGCCTTTATCGAAGGTCGCACATTTTAAAACTTTAAATTTCACAGGCATTACACGGATATTTTTTAAAAAAAGAAGTTTTCATTGTTCTATTGAAAAAAGGGACAAAAAGAAGTTAATTTTGCATTGTTGTCTGATGAGAGAGTTGAAGGATTGATTTCTGATGGGTTGAAAAGGTTTTAAAGTTCATCGATTGAGGATTACTCGGATCACATTAGCTGATTAAGGTTTTTTAATGATGAAATAATTTTCCATCGTTCAAACGACTTCAACTCAGTTTGATTACTTTTCTTGTGTCAAAATGACCTCCAACCATTCAATTTCTTTTCTTCCTTTTGATGTTCAATAAATCAATTTTCAAAGAAACTCAATTCACATCCCCCACATGCTGTTTTTTTAAATTGAACAAGAAATCATGCACATTTGTTTGTTTGTTTGTTTGATCAGAAAGTGATGTTGAATGTGTTTGCATTGTGGTGGATTTGAGTCGATTTCCATCCTGTAGGGAACGAGTAAAGAACGAAAATAAATTTAACACCTTTCAGGGCATTAAAGAATATTTTTTATATCGAGTGGTGTTGTGTGTGCCGAGTCAATAGATGAACAGGATTAAAAGTATTTTACAATTGTCAAAGTTTTAAAAAATGATGTCAATAAACCGATATCCAGGCCAACAGTCCATGGGTCGCTTTACTTCCGCTTTTTATCTTCACTTTCACTCTCATCTGTAATTTATTGCCTTCAATCAAGAAGATAAATCAGACTTTTATGTTCCGTCGACGGTTTTTACTTTAGTTTAGGGCTTGTCGCAACACGCTCAACATTGAATCAGATGAAAAGCATTTCAGTTAACGTTGCCAACCTTAAACAGTTTCTGAACGTGATCAGAAATTGCTGACGTAAATTACTTTTCATCTCTAAATTACAATCCATTATCAAACTCCTTCCTACAGTTTTGTAGTCATTGAATGACAGACACTAAAGTATCTTTGACATAACACAAAAAGAGTAAAATAAAAAAGTAAAAATAAAACATTCGCAGGCATCCGCAAACTATCAAAGATTGATTTATTACCATGAATTAAAATGTCGAAACGAAAACAGAGCGTCGCTCACATATTTCAGATTGATTGGCGACAAAGCATTTTGATTTGTTTGTGCAGACCCATTGGAGAAGTCGCGAACGAGTGACGGTTGATGGAGACGCATGGCTGAAGGGAAATTAATCATGAAAATGGAAGTTTTCCATTTCAATTCACCAACAAACAGACGTGGTCGCCATTTAGGATGATATCATGAGTTTTTCAGTTATATTTAGTTTGTTGTTAGCGTAAGTAAGAAGAATTATGCAATCATATTATTTTGGAAAAAGGAAAGCGAGACAGAAGCAGACCTAGAGCTGGAGATGATGGATGGTTAGTTGATTTCTGTCTCCAACTCGTTGAGTTTTCATTTTATTTTATTTCCATGGAATCTGAAACTGACAAACATAATGTGAATATCATATTTTCATTTCCTTCTTTTATGCAGAGAACGCAATGCCAATGAACAATGCGACCATAAATGTTTGTACAAACCGACAACAAATGGATCCCATTACTCCCGAAATATTATTATTTTTTTTCTTTTCCTTTCTTTTGTTATCATGTAACAATTCCTACTTCGTCTTTACATCTACATATCTATCATTCACGAGAAGAAGAAGCAGCGAATGAAAATCTTTTTCCAACAACGTCGCTGGGCTGTTTGTTTATTTTGCAATATGTTGTGATATTCACAATTTTATTCATGTAAATTTACTTTTCATATTCTCCTTCTTTACTGAATTTAAGATGTTTATGAAATGTTGCTAGCCGATGTTATATATTCGAATCAGAGTTTTATTTTTCATAAAGGTTTTTCATCACAATGAGAATGAAAATCTTGGCTCGTGAGTAAGCAAAATAATAACAAATTTCCTTTCATTCTTCCTTTTTTTATCTTCTATTATTGATCGAAAAGATGGAAATTTTAATGGCAAATAAAGAATGAAGGAAAATAAATAAATCTTATGACCGAACCCCATTAGATTGATTACCATGGTGAATTGGCCTTATTGAAGAAAGATGGAAATTTATCTTGCTAGAATATTTATCATTAAATTTATGCATCGTTTAGTAATGAGAAGAAGCTTTGCTTGCTCGAATAAATTCACAAATGACCTCAACATCAGACATGAAGGGACTTTCATCTCCTTCAAATGCACTCGACAATGAAAGGAATGACTTGAAAAGAAGTTTTCCATTTCAGTTATTAAAGTAAAAATAATTGTAGCACTTTTTAAGAATTTTCTTCACTCCACCTACTCGACATTAACACAATGGTCGTCATCACCCCTCACCCGTCATATCTCGCATTCTAAAAGGACCAAATATCGACCGAGGGTTATCGAGAAGCATATAAAATGAGAGTATGAGGGTGAACGTTACGAAATGGTGAAGCAAACACATGAAAACCTTCAGCGCAGCGTACAACACGAAAGTACATTACAAATAAATTCATTTATTATGATATGAAATAAAAAAGCATTACGAGGAAAAAAAAAACATTTCTGGTCGGTTTAAGATATGGAAATGGATGGCAGATACACATGTTGCCATCTCGAGAATGTACACTGAATTGGAATGAGTATTGATCAGAATTCACAACGAAACGAAAACCTTTTTCGTGAACAATGTCGTGGGATGGAAGATTTTCATGTTTTTCTCGACATGTGGGTGGAACATACAAACATCTTATTATGAAAATTAAATTGAAGAAACGACAAAAAGTGGACAAGGGTATGTTGGAACATGTATTTGATGTTTAAAGACATGAGAAAAGTTCTTGAAAGGTTCAAAATGTTGTTAAACTTATCAGTTGCCATTCAAGGAAATAAATTCTAATTATTTATTGAAGACAATATTTAAAGCTAGAAATAACCAATCTCACTATGAATGTTTGTCCAATCATCTGAATAAAAGATTGGAATTGAAATTCATCAGTAAATGCAGAAGCAATGACATTAACTGCATTTTCTATTAATTCACTTCGTCGTTCTCGTCTGCTTCGAGTATTTTTTTTCTATTCAGCTATCGAAATATTGATGAATAAAACATCTTTTCAATGAATATCATTTCAAGGCCCGACGATGTTTCAATAGACGAAAATAACAAAGATTGCGAGGGTGGAAACTGAAATAGAAAGTTGTTGACATATTTGAATTTATTTTTTATCTCAACTTCCACTCTTTTCAACGAAAGTAGTTTAAGAAACTTTAAAGTAACGCAAGTCAATGAAAATCTTTTATTGTCAATTTTCACAAGATTTTCATTTCAATAATCATAAGCTAATTGAGCATATAAATATTAATTATTCTTCCTTATGCATCTTCAAAATTTACTACCGAAAGACATAAAATGTAAATGGCAAAAGGGTTTTCCGAACGAGAACAAGAATAATGCTCAGTAACGGCTAAAGTCGTAATTATATCTTGCTTTATGCTTTTGCACAAAAGTCTCGTCGTCTACATTTCCTCACCCGCCACGAGCGACAAACTATAATTCCATAAGACGGTTGTGAAAAGGAGTGAAAACGGCTTTAATTGATATTTAAACGATGTGAATTTACGTCGAGTGTTGAATGGAGGCTTGTCTACGACAACACTCAACGCTCAACAGCGGGGTAGAAATTTGATTATAAACAAGAGATTTTGTAGGTTACGCGAAGCACATTATGTGTACTTTCTCTGTCTCTCTTCTGCTCTACATTTTGCTAATGTTCTCGCAGACACATTTTTGACTGTCTGCATGATATTAAAATGTAACGCATTTCGGCGGTGCGATGTGGTGTAGGTTAGTTACGCGAAGAAGAGAAATTATGCCAAACTTATTTCTTTTGATGCTTCATTCTCTCTCTTCGCTGCTTTTTTTTTTCCTTTCATTTCAGGAAGTCTTGAAACACATAAATTTATGTTGCAGGGAAAAGAAAAGTTTTCCGATATATGCGAAGTTTTCCACATGAATGAATTTTATCATGACGAAATTTCTTCAGCAAAAGTCAGAGAAAATTTCCCCAACTTAAATGGACTGAACATCCTGTGATGTATCCGAGGCTAGTCAAAACTTCAACTTAGCCAATAAAGCTTTATTGTTATGGAGAATAATGTATGAAATGGAAATTATTTTTTACGATCATCGGCATGACATGAAAAACTTCCGCCCGAAGACGACAACCCAACATTACATGTGTGTCTAATTTTCCATATCATTTCTCGAATATGTTTTCTTAGGTTTTCATTTCTCTTGTCGTCCCTTGGAAAATTTGAAAATTATAAAAATGGAAACATATTCTCAGTGCTCAATTTTCGTTGAATTTTCCTTTTTTTCATATTATAAATATTTATTCATGAAGCCGCCCAAGCAACAATAACCCCATTTGTGTAGAAGGCAAATACACACGCACATCAAAAATGTATAGCGGGTGGAAGTGAATGCGAAGAATGGAAAAAAGAAGAAAATAAAATTCATGTTTATTTATTTGCGGACGTTTGCGGCCATTGTAGTCGGGTTTGTTATTTTGTTGGCAAAGCAGTTGAATCGTTTCATGGAAATTTAAACATTTCTTCGACATTTTTATGTGCAACCATTTAAAATTTATGATACGAATTAAAATTAGCATATTTGTTAGAATTTTGTCTTATTTTCTATTATCTCTTTTGGGAGTTTGAAAACTTTTTTTTCACTTGTTTAACTCGAGTTGTTTATTTGTGAAACTTTTTTATTGAATTTAAGAAATATTTAAGAACTTCCTTCACCTTCATTTTGATGAACTAAAATATATCCAATAATGAATCTTATCACAAATTCATCATCTGATTGCTGAACACTAAAAGCGCAATCGTGATGAGTTTAACAGCACTGAATCCACTTCTAACTGATTATCAAAGCTGATTTTTTCATGACTCAAAACTAACTTCCACTCAATGCCGAGTCATCAGATTGAATAATTCCGATACCGAGAAGTGTTCACTCTGTTCATTTGAACCATCAACATTACAGAAATTAATTTTCAATTGTACTTCAAAGCTACCTGAAAAAAAATCTCTCGAGGTTCACAAGAAGGGGCAAAAAGGTCGAAATATTCCGCGTTCTCATCTCTCATATGTACCTTTTCCCCTTCATGCTTTAAAAACATCATCATTGTGCACAATAATGAATTTTTCCATTAATAATTCTAGAGCATATAAATAAAAGAAGTAGAGAAAGGAAGAAATTAACCCTTTCATGCTTTCAAACGACATTACCGAAAACAACATCGTCATCAGACACTCACTGACTAACTCGATGAGGTAATTTAATACTTTTAGTGTAAACAAAGAAAAGTTGATGGAATTTGTAATGTAAAACTTGGATAATCGGAATGATTATTCAAGATTTTAAATTTTTTTCTTCTTTACTAATTTTTGTTCAACAAAATTTCATGGAAAATCACACAGAAAAATTTCTTTAATTTAAAAATATTTATTCTTAGAAATCTCATGACGAAATCAATAAAATTTAAGAGAAACATTAAATAGACAAATTTTCATTCTCTTATTAAAGTTTTAAAGGCCTTTTGAAAGTTGAATTAAATTTTTTATTTCATTAAAGTTTCTAAGGACAAAGAAAAGATTTCATTGAAAAAATTATTCAGACGATCATTGGAAAAAATTATTCAGACGACATTGAAGATTTCACTTAAATTTAGTTAAGATGAATGCTTTCTAGATTACTTTTACTAAAAATTATGGAAAAGACGAGGGAAATTTATTTATTTGTGCTTGCTGTAAATATCAAATCAATTGGTTTTCACTCGACTACATGCACGACATTTATTCACTTTCATCCCTTCTCTTCTGTGTATTTTAGACATGATATGGATATATTTTAAAGAAGAGAAAAAGTCATATCAATGGCTCTTGAAGGCCTTGGCTACAAGTCATTCGATGCGCAATAATGTCATAAATTTCCTAAAAGCTAAATGTAATTTATTTTCGTTCCCCAAACATACTCGCGAGTATCACTACGCATTGGCGAGTGACTCGACATTCAGGCAGAACAAATTCGAGAGCTTTCTTTTGCACATTAAGCACTTGATTGATGTTCTTGTTTCGTCTGGTTACGTCCAGATAACAGCATCGGTTGCAAGTGAACCCTCCAAGAAAAGATTTATTTTATTATTTCAGAAGATTTACTGGCGTTGCTACGTTGCAGATCATGATGAACAATTTTTAAGAAACATTTTCGAAAAGAAACTTTACGAATTAAGTTTCAAACTGAAGACGAAAATCTCAAGGGTTGCTTTAAGACGAAACAAAATCTCAGTTCGTGGGAAAATGTTTGCGAAACTGTCAAAGGGTTACGCAATTTATTGATTTATATTTAGTCGTCTATTAATGCAACAATAAGAATTGCAATTGAATTAGAAGTTTTCCTTTTAACCCATTGCCATTGTTGTCAAATCTTAATGTTGTGCTGTTTATTCTCCCATACGAAACTTTCAACCTCAGAAAAGTAAATTTCTACCTGAACAAAGATGTTCCTTTGCGCAACTGTTTCTGCTTTGTTCTCTAACGGATTTAGTCATTGTCTTCCTTCAACATTCACATTTTTATGCGAAGAAGCAGATCCAAGGGATGAAACACCAGTTTGAGGCTTTTTATTTCTAAAATAGGGTTGGCTGGATGAAATTATTCTCATGATCCGAAACGAAATGGATTAATTTCTATCAGTCTTAAAGAAATAGCAGGACCTGAATGTGTCACTTTCTCGACGCCTTAATTAGCTAGTTGGATGCGAAGTCTTCTTATCGCAGGAAATCTTGGATGATACTCAAATCAGAAACTCAAAATGTCAACTTTATATTCAAGAAGCTTAAACCCTTTCATTGCGTAATGCGATTTAAGTTTATCGCCAGGTTGGGATTTTCAATTTTCTTCCTGATAGAGATTTAGTGTTTTTTGCTTGCAGGAGATGAAAATCTGCTCGTAAAATTTCAAATCTCTAAATATGTACGTGACGAGTGTAAATGTAAAAGCAGAGAATTTTTTTTTCGGTAGTTTTGTTGAAGTTTCTATCAGGATTATCCAAATTGATCCATCATTATGTGGTTTCAAAATCCTTTTGGATTCGTGTTGATGAAAGAGTTAAGTAGAGAACTGATTATGGCTACTCTTGAGAAGTCCCGTGGATATCTTTTAATCTTTCAGATTACCTTTCCCTAAAAAATCATTAACTTAACTTCCTTTCATACAACATAAAACATACAAAACATTAATCTGTTGCTTCTTGAACTTTCGCAACAATAAATCGTTAAGTGCGTGTATCATTCATCCAATTCAAACTTGTTTTTTGGGATAAATTTCATCCCCTGAAATTATTTTCTCATCTCTAGTTTCCAAAAAAACTATAAAAAACAAAAAATTTTGTGACTTTATTGAATGCAATTCTTTTTATGTGAGAAAAATCAGTTTTAGGGTGAAATATTTATGTTATTTTAGCGCCGGAAATGAGTGATAAATTTATTACATGATTCGTAAAATTGATGGTTAGTTAATAAATAGCTTCTGATGAGATTGTTGTGAATGATGTAATGTTGTGATTGGTTAAATGTCAAAGCAGTTAAATTAATTGGGAATAATGTTGCTGAATGGAAGTTTGCTTTCTCCTTATTAGAATTTGTTTAAAATAAAGAAATATTTCACACTTTCACTCTTCAAAATGAACGCCAGCTGAAAACATTCACTCATCCAATCTCACCAACAGCTGTTGACTAATAAAATTAATTCAATTCAAAAAGCACGAGACTGAAATTTGAATTTGATAAAAATTGATTTTTTTAAACATGAATGTGTTGGTGAAATGCAAATAAAACGACCTCGGAATGCAAAACTCTTTGTATGATGAGATGTCACAGAAGCCCGAAGGATGAACTCGAAGCAGTGCCGGCAATTGCAACCCCTTCATTGAAATTCAATTTTTTATTAAATTTTCTATATACCTGGAATAGTTTTTGAAAAAAGTTTTATTCTCGTGTATTGTAAAACTATTGAGACAGCTAGAAAGGCTTAGAAGGATAACTGAATGACGGGTAAAGCCGATGAGCTTCAGATACAAAATTTGTGACGCAATCTGCATAATATTTTTCACTGTTTAATGAAATGGGATACAGAAAGGGTTACGGGTACGAAAATTATGTTAATGCTTGCAGGTAGAAAGAATATTCTAATAGTTTCGGATACCGACAGTTGCAAAAAAGAAGCAAATATCGAAAAGGGTTGAAAGATGAAAAATCGTGAAGTTTTAAACTTCAATTGCTTCAAACCCTCAAAATATTCTTTAATATCGTTCCAAACTGTTTTGCTTTCTTTTAAATCCCCGGAAAAATTGAAAAATGAAAATTCATCATAAAACTTCTCGTTTTTCTATCACAACTTAATGTAATGGATGGATTTATGAAAAATATCTTGCTTAATGCTTCACATTCATTCTTATGGATTTGTTACGTTTTATATTTTCTTCTCCTATTCTTATTATGTCCACCATTATTATGAGTAGTTGCCAACGTAGCAAATCTCATAGAAATCTTTCATCCACCCACAACACCCAAAAGTGACGTAGGGATTGGGCATTGAAAATGCTTTGAATCAGATAGCAGACACAATTTTTCTTCCCTGGTTTTGTTGTCACTCACAATGGGACAGAAATTTGAATAAAAAAAAGAGGACAATAAGAAAAACTTTTTTTTATTCTCTCGTTCTGCCATTCATGCAATTTTTAATGCTACTTTAAATTTATTTTTGTTTGTGTGCTTCGAATTGAGAATTGTTTATGGAATATTCAGACGAAAGGAATTTGTAAATTCAATTGAAATTATTTTCAGAATTTAATTAGAAATCCTTTACTAGCCTTTGACTATTAAGAAGATTTGTGAACTAACTAATATAAATAAATAAGAAATTAACGAAATTATTAAAAATTTCCAAGACTTCTAAGTTCTTCCGGTTAAACACCAGAATTAGAAAACATTCAAAGTTCAATTCATTTTGCTATTTTTCTTTAATTTAATTTTCAAGTGAAAGCCAATTCGCATATTTTCCTTCGCACAGACACAAACCAATCCACACACAAACATAACTCGAATGGACGAAAGGAAAACCTTTGTGTAGATATTCGAGGATATAAAAAAAGAGAAAAAATATCACCCCCATGTTGTCTCGAAAATTGTCATTTTGTACACATAAACATTTCTCATCCCAACATATATTTCTATGTATTGGATTAAATCGGAACGATATTATAAATTTCGTTTTCGTTCGATGCCACAATCTCGTAAAACGACAATAATATAAATTTTGGATTTTCGACGGTGAAGGCAAAGCTTTAAGATTGTGAAAATATGAGCAGGTGGTGTGGGTGGCAGGAATTGGCTATTGCCAAAGATATCTCCAGGTGAGAGGGCTGATTTTTCATGTCAATCAATACAATTAATCATAGAAATTTATCTTCAATGAGATCCATTTCTATACTTAATGCTGCTTTTGAAAAATGATCCTTGCGGACTTGTAAACTTGTTGGAAGTAACTCAACCGTTGTAAGAAAATTTTCCAATTTCCCTTCTTTATTCCCCATGATACTTCTTTGTCAGTTACTATTTCAAAGGTTCTTTCATGCTCTATCAGTCACCGTACAGCGAGCCATTCAGATTGTATTATTGGCTTTTCTTTCGTTCTCTGCCTCTTGTAAGAGTATGGAAAATGAATTGAATCGGGATAGTGAATGTATCCAATATCAAGAGGTGAAATATCGATATCGAATTCTTTCTTCGTTCAATGTGGGGGGTTTGCGAAAGGGATCAAATAGGGATTTGAGAAAAGAAATCCGCTGCTGCTTGTCGATGACTTCTTCAAAAGACTCCATCAACCCGAAATCTTGATAGAAGATGCATAATAAAAAGTTATTCACGATATGTGATCTCTTAGCGTGGCTACATCGTCATGTTTATTCTCTTATGGTGAACATTTGAATTTGATTATTATGTTGAACATTTCTTTAGTTTCTTCAATCAATTTCATCCACACACACAAAACCGAATTTGATTTTTATCTTCTTGGATATTTAATTTGCATCGCACAATTTCCTTCAATGATATTGCAAATTGAATTGGAATCCAATCTGCAGAATTTTTCATCATGCATTCGATACTGATTCGTTCCGATGTCTTTATCCACACCGATGGACCATGAAAAATCCATTTTTATTTCGTTTGCGCTGTGAAATATGTTTTATAATATTTTCATAAGACGAAATAAAATATCCAATCTCGCTTTCCACTTGCTGCTTTCTGTCCTCGAGGGGGCGAGTGAACGACTTATGTAGATGGAAAACATGAGAAAGAAAAAGAACAGAACGGAATTGTGTGGAAGGAAGACAGAGAAATTCAATAATAACGTCAGCGATATCTGAAAGCATATAAGTGAAGAGGACAAGGTAGCGCGAAAGAAGGTTATGGTGATGGTATCCTTAAAGGATATCTAATAAAATAACATTCTCGATGCTTCCACATTCACAAGGAAATGGAAGAAAGTCAAGTTTATTTAGATTGACAAGAAGTCCATCGTCATAGAAACGATGAGAATGCTTTGGAGATTTTTTTCGCTCGCCGAAAAAATATGGCAACATTTATTAAATTCTTTTTGAAAAGTGAACGAGGAAAAACCTTCTTGTCGAAAAATAGTTTGAGCGTGAATTATTGAATTTTCATTTAATATGAATAGAAGCTTCATATGCCATCAAATGCTTCCACTTGAGTTGAGAAATAAATTCCACTCATTGCTGTTGCTCGTAGGAGCCTTTCAAATATTCATATGCGACAAGTAATTTCATTTTATGTCATATCGAATGTCGTTTCGTCAGTTGATGTCCAATCGAAAAAGCGAATGCTCAAAATTTGACATCGAAGAGAAGGAAAAAAATATTAATACGATTCCATGATTTGGAAAGAAATTCAGAAATTTCTTCAATTTCGATTCACAAAAACTCATACCAGAAGTTTCGATTTTTTTATGATTATTTTTGAATAAAAATTTTTATTCGTAAGTGTCGAAATATGTTTAGCGAGGGAGATGAGATATCTTGGATATAAATATATAAATCGAATTTATTTCGAAGAAAATATCACCAACTTTTACGTGACATGAGTCCGAAATTTTAATATTTCACGCTACGTTGAATTTTAGCGAAAGTGACAGAAATTTGATTTCTTTTGCTGTGATTTTTAAAGCTTAATATTTAAATAAGTAAACAAATAGTTCAAGAAGTGTGAAATTATGGAATGCTTAATAATCTTTAAATTTCAAAGTTAATTCATTTTATAATTAAATGTAAATTGAATTCGTTATTATCTGTACAGTGAACGCACACAAAACTTTATCTGAACTCACATAACGCATAAAAAATAATAAAACAGCCAAGATAAATTTCTTTTTATTTATCCAGTGATGGGATATTTATTATATTATTTTATACATTTATTGCATATGTTTTTATTACATTGCCGTCCGTTATTTGCTGCCGCCATACCCATTCAAGTTGCGGAAAAGCACAGCGCGATATATTCGTAATAAAATTAGTCACATTACTGTCATGTTCGAGCTGTATCGGCTGTTGGCTGTTGGCTAATGGAAGACACCATAATGGCCCCAATTTTGAATTTTTATGGCATCTTCTTTCCGGCGATGTCATGAGGATAAGAACAGGAAAGGAATGGATAAAAATGAAACTGAGATATGGAGGAGAAAACTAGCAGACTAAATTATTACAATGAAAAATGTTCACAGCAATACATTCCGTTTTGCGGACATAAATATTTATTATGGAGTGGCTTTTTTTTTGGATTGGCGAGAAGCAAAGAACGAGTGAAAAAATTTCCATTTTGAGATTCTGTTCAAGAGATTTCACAATTATGAAAAGTTTTTCATAAAAAAATGTCTGCATTTTATTGTTTTTTTATTATTTATATTTTTCTGCTGCTCGTCGTTGGAATCATACATATGTGCGTATAAATAAATAGGCGAGAAGTAAAAAGGGGTTATCAAGCATTCATGCACACACAGACGTTAGCTGCAAAATATCCGGAGGGTGATTGCCTGCTTAATGTGGAATAAAAAATGTGTGCAAAATCTCCGATAAAAAAATAGAAAAACGAAATGTTCTCGGACAACGAAGCAATTTTAAGAAAATTGAGTGAAAAGTTGGTGTTTTGCAGTGTCATCGAGGGAAATTTCAAGTTTTTTGTGTTTGCGTGGGAGGAAATGAAGAAGTTTATGGAATTTCCACCCCTTGAGGTTTAGAATTACTTTCACTTTCTTCCATGATAAAACATCGAAAACAAACAATGTTGAAAAATGTGAAAATCCATCAAATTGTAAGTGGTTGCTGAAGCAGCTTCGCAAATGGCCGGCATTGCCACACTACATTAATTCTAAATCATGCTCTTTGGTTAGGACTATTTGAGTTTCTGATTATTTTTTTTCCATTCATTCTCTCGAAATGTATTCAAGATAAGAAAGGTAAACGCAATCTCACAACCTCTCGCTTAAATTTATGTTTGAAGCCCGAAGTTTCAACATACAAACTTTTCATCTTTCCTCTGCCTTTATATGAAAAATGTCAAAATAACTATGCAGAATAGGAAACAGAACAGAAGCTTGATTCACCACAATTTACCTAAAATATTTTGTGGGGGAGGGTCTCGGGTTTGAGAACCCTTTAAATACATAGAGATACATACATTTTTGCCTGCCCACAGCTTTCCCTTTTCCACTTTTTACATTAAAAATGGCACAAAAAGGTCGCCTTGAAGAGAAAATATTTTGTTCAAACATGCTTTTAAAATAGCCAATTTTAATATTTGTGCTCTTTTATCCAGATCCAATAAAGAAAGGAACTCATCGGGCTAAAGTCTCAGATCATTTCACCCAGCAAGAAATCCACAAAATACTTTTTTGGTGAAGCAAATTTTCTATAACGTTTTGACAAATTTTTCATAAATCACAAAGTGGGGGTGGAAAACATTCGCACATAGAGAAACAAAAACTTTTCCTTAAAATTTGCATAAATTCTTTCGAAAGTAGAGAAACCTTTTTCCTTCGTTATTAAATCCCTTTCGGTTTTGGTTTGTCTGATATGACACATTTTAGTGGTAATCTATCGTCTTCGGAAAAGCTTCTTTTTTTCTTCTTTGTCGTTCATCCCCATCACATTTATTACTGTTAATTGTGCGAGAAGAAATTTCCTTTAGAATTTAATTAAGGATTATGTAAGTGAGAAGTTTGATTTTCTTCTTTTCTCTTTCTCCAGTCATCCAATGAAATTAAATTATTCCATTTCAAATAATTAACTTAAACTAAAAAATATGATCTCTAACATTCATAAATTTCATGTCCAAACGTAAAAAGAAGATTTGGAATTAGACAAAGAAAACCTCTGATCCCTTCTTGGAACATTTGGAATTCAGTAAAAGGTTGAAAAGTTTTCCGCAATCTATGAAAATAAAAAAAAAAATGAAGTTGCTCGACCAACTTTTACACGAGCATATGGCCCGGGCCCATTTCATAGAACCTGAATAAAAACCCAAAATTTTCGAAACCTAACAGGCAAAACATTTATTATTCATCTAAATGGAATATCCTTTAATAATATTCTGGTTTTCCGGGTTTACCCTCAGCAGATAGTTTATTAAATTACACTGACAGCAGACCCAACCTAAGAAGCATATAGCAAGCTCCATAGATGTACGCTTTATAGAGAAAAATTTATCAATTTGGGATAACCAAAGGCTACATGTTGGGTGGAGGAAGAAGAGATTCTGTCAGAAAAAGGATCTGAAAAATGTTTTCATTTCATTTCCCTGAAATGTTGGAAAATAAGGTAACGTAACTTTGAGAAAACTTTCTTCTTCTCCACACATGAGAAAATATTAAATGAGAAAAAAGGGTCATGGCAACATGTGCGCAAAACGGATACCGGAGAGTGGAGAAAGACGGGAACCAAAATCAATAACATGTTTGACCGTTATCTCTGATTGGTCAGAGATGGCAAAATGGGTTTCAGTTTAAGTGAAACTTTTCGGTTCGACTATTGCGTAATTTTCTTCTCTTCACATAAATTTGATTTCGCCTTTTTCATTTTACCAAAACTGCAAACTTTTCCCATTTATTGTTGTTTTGATAAGGGATCGACTTTGGGCTAATGGAATTTTCCGAACTGAATCGGAAAAATATGTGGCAGCATGAAAGGAGGGAACAGAATATGAAAGGCAACCATGTTAAAGAAGAGTTTATTGTGTTGGCTGTAAAATGGACAAAGTATGTGGGTGGAATATCGATATATCAAATAAATTTTTAATCTATTTTTTTTTCTTTCTTTCTCCATTCTTATTCCCAACTTTCCCTTCTGGTTTGAACAACAAACCACTTGAGAGAACGAATAACACAACATTATTATTTCTTCAATTTAAATGTGAAAGAGTTCAAGACGAATTTCTTAAAGGGTTGGAATCAGATGAAAGAAACAAATGAACTCACATAAAATATGAAACGATGGAACATGTTATTATAAATCAGGTTTAACTTAGTGAAAACAAATAAATATTTCCTTACTTCAAATCTTTATTCAATTAATTAACGAAAGATCATAAAACACTTGAAATTGAAGTCTTTTCAATTCAGAAAATTTATTCATTCACTTTGAAAGATTGTTATCACTTGTTTGTTCACCTCAGGAACATTTTACAATGAATTATATCAATTTACTATGAATTGCCTCTTAAACCATTTCAAGTCACTATCTCTGATCTTAAAAACGTAATTTTCCTATATTCCTAACTGAATCTTGGTTAATCACAAACTGAATTCATTCGAAAGGGTTATGCAACGATTTTAACATTTCGACGTGAACATCGAGCATGTGGCATCCAACTCAACTCTTTTTTTAACATCGACACAGATATATTTCATTACCATATGCACAAGAAGGAATCGGCGGGAATAATAAAAAAATTCCATCAATATTCTAATCCTTTCTTTTGTTTGCGTAACGAATGCGGTGAAAGTTGTCGATATGAAAACGAATTTTCAATAATATGATCGTATTAGAAACCCCGAAGGGGATTATGAGAGATAGAAAATGATGAATTTAATATCATGAATATGCATGAGCATCAAGGGCACGGGAAGTATTTAAATGCAGCGTGAATTTTATGGTGATGAACGCAATAAGTAACCAGATGTGCGAGTGTAAAATATATTGATAAACAATTAAATTCATCGACTGCTTGTCTCACAAAATCTGCTACGAAGAGCATTGAAAAAGGGTTAGGCAACTATATAAGTAAGCTATTCATTCCGCTATTCATCAATTCATATTGTAATTTACAAAGGTCACAGTCAGTCTCTCGTGTTACGGTCTCTTCTTGTTTCTTTTGCAACTGTCGTCGTAAATATGGAAAGCAAATATGAAAACGAGATGAAAAGGTTTTTGTTTACTTTAACAAAACGTCAGGCTTATTACTACATCTTCTGTTTTAGTTCCGTTTACCTTTTATGTGAGAAGTAAGTTAAACAAAAATCAATTGTTGGTAATTCTAAGGAAATGTCTTCGTTAAATTTCAAGTACAATTTCAATAAGAATTAAAAATATTTTTCTCTCACATTTATTTTCATAAAAATATGTCAACTTGAAAATTGAATTAAATGTCGTTTGAATTCATAATTAGAAAAACTATTACCGTCGTTTTGTACACAATTTATCTAGAAACGTGATCTTGAAATGAAGCAGTGAATTTTTAAAGTAAAGTTTAATTTTCTTTCTCACTACCCAAATTTATTGTTTGCTTGGTAATTGTAATTGACGAGACTTTGAAGAAAAAAATCACGACATAGGTAAGTGACATAAGAAAACAGCACATTTTGGCACCATTGACTTTTTCGCAAGCAACGATTACCTTCATGTATTTAATGTTTAAATTTAGATCTTTATGAAAATATTGATAAATGATCAATAATCAAATAAGTTCATTGCATTACACAATAAAGTTCATTTCTTCTATAATTTTTTCCTCAAACATCAATTCAACAACCAGTTTCATTGTGAACCGAGAAAGCGTACATACGCAAGAAAAAAAGGTTAATTTCATTGAATGTGAAATGAGAAAAACCTTTATCACTCTTTGCCTGTTCGGGCACATAAAAACTTGACATTTTGGGCGTTTTAATATCGCACACAGGAGACCTTAGTGTATGAAAGCCAAGCAAGCAAAAGTCTTTTCATTGAATAAGAAATTGATGGGTGAAACTGAAAACTAGTTTCTTATTCATAGAGCATACCCAATCTATTTCTATTGGGTTCAAGACATATTCACTCACACGCATGAAAATTCTTTTCTTAGCATATCGGGGGTTAGCATAAAATGTTATTTAAAATGTCCAGTTGATGTGAACCCTCAATAAATCAAGATCTAAACTACATTGTGAAAAAGGGAGAAATGTTTCTTTAGGAGCAAGAAATAAATGTGAGTTTCTCGAATTTACTTAAATATCGAGAAACCATAGCCATTAGTTTAAGCATTGATATGTAAATGAGGGTTACTTGTGAGCATTTCCCTTTCCTTTTTATTCGCTTTCAGGATATTTAGATTTGGGTTAAGGAATGCTACACGATGTACAGAATTTTCTTAAATAAACAAGCGTCATGATAAAATACTTGAACAAAAATTATATAGCATTGGACGCACGTACAACATTCTCAACTCTGACCCCAGCATCGTAATCTGACGAACCAGAATCACAAGTTATCGTTAATCACGCAAAATTGAATTTTTGAGGAATGCACAATAAAGAAGATATTACAACATTCCAATCGAATAGAGTTGGTTATTTGATGGAATGAGAGCATATGTACTTATAACAACCTGACATATTGAAAGATTAAAAGTTTTAATCAAAGAAATCTGAAAATAGAAAATTTATTCTTATTTGTTGAATAAAATAGCGTCGTTAAGGAATGAAAAAGTGCTGTTACAGCAAGTGACGATCGTAGACCCTTGAGAAACGTCCACAATGCTCATGTTTTGAGCTTAAATCATTTTACATTGACAAAAATTAAGATATTTATGGTGGTCAATAAAATCAATTAAATTTAAATTATCCAATATTGATTCAACGAAATACTGGAGTTTTCTTGATCCACTGACTTTCAATAACTATTTGTAAGTTACACAATGCGTAATTTATTGTTTTTACTCACGTTTTTTTCCTGGATCACGAAGAAGTTGAACTTTATTTACATATGGCTGTAAAAGTCAACACTTGACCAATTCTTAGCGACTTTTTTTTTCTTCCTGAAGCCGTGGCAGTTCTTCACACAGGTGTTGGCTGTCGTAAACAATTTTAAGCAGCTTTGCGAACAAATATTTGAGCGAATGAAAGTTTTAACTTTTTTCATTCATAAAACCCTGTTTCAAGCGATCATAACGAACGTGAAAACATTTCAGCTGACGGCCAAATATTTATGCTTGAATTGTTCATTTCCTTATTCGATGAAGAATACGTTTTGTTTTCAACAATTTTCTTAAAATTTTAACCTTTAGAATTTGGTTAATTTTTCAAGAACTTAGATTGCCATGAATATTGAGCGGGGGCTGAAACTAAATCGTCGAAAAATTGTGCAGCTTTAACCCTCATTCGACCTTTGAATGAAATTTCTGTCATTTCATTTTTGTCTGCTATCAAGTAAGGTTTAATTAGTAAAATGGGAAGTTCTTCAAAAAGAGAAATTTCATCTCAAAGAGATGATTATCGTAGACGTCGTTATTCCTGGTCTTCAAGTTCATCTTCATCAACAAGTTCATCGAATTCAAATCATTCTCGATATGCATCCAAAATTCGCCATTCAAAACGTAGATCTTGTTACGTAAAATCGTGCTGTAAGCATACAAGCAGATCTCGGTCGCCTTCTTATAGTCCATCACATTATCGTCGTACTCGATATTATGGAACACGAGAAAATCCACACAAATCTCGTGTTATTGGAGTTTTTGGTTTGAGCAACGACACAAATGAAGCAAAATTGATGGAAGTTTTCTCAGCTTTTGGAGCCATAGAGCATGTTTCTATTATTTACGATGCTAAAACTGGCAACTCTCGAGGTTTTGGATTTGTCTACTATCTTGAAGTTGAACACGCAACTGCAGCACGCACTTGCTCTAATGGATCCGTTTTGGATGGAAGAAAAATTCGCGTTGATTACTCGATCACAAAACGAGCTCATACACCAACCCCAGGTGACAAACATGTATGATTATTTAAGATAAGTTTTATAAATTTCTTATTCATTCAGGGGTTTACATGGGTCGTTCAAGAGAACGATATAATCACAGACACCATGGCCACAGTCATCGACGATCCCGTTCACGTTCATCTCGTCATCGCAGCCGCTAACATATTCAAACCAAAGCTTATTCATCGCTATTTTTAAGTCGATCGCATCTCATTAATTTAATAGTCTACGAACATTTGCATGATAATCAGTCTTAGAATTAATTTATTCTTTTTCCTCTTTTTTCTCTATATTTATCAAGAATGTTAACAAAATTATTGTGAGAAAAATATTATAATAATCAAGATTTGTTGAAATATGAAGCTTTAAACATATCCACATGTACCTGAATGAAAACAAATACAAATGAATTTGATCAAGCCTAAGAATTTAAATTGAAAAATAGAAGAAACGAGTTGGTTTATTTTTACTAGGTAGTCAGGAAGTCAGAACAAATCTGTTAGACACGCAAAAAAGGATTATCATAAAAAAATATGAATATTTCAATAACAAGACACAAAACAAAGAATCGCAAGAACAAACGTAAGAAAAGTGCAAAGAATTTAACAATGAAACGTTAGATGGGGAAAAACTATTCGACCATGCAAGTGTGAATTACTGAACACTTACAAATTCTTAAATGTCATGAATTGACGTAACAAGTTACAACGAATATTTATTTATAATTTTTAGAAGAAAAAAAGCATCATCGATAAGTTATTTTGATTGTGTCATGACATACAAATTTCCCCATAAATTTCACTTTCATTTTCTACTCGAGAAACTGTTTTTCGTAAATTACGAAAGCACAACTGCTAATGTGCCATTGACGAATCCGCTATGCTATGTCTTTATTAAGAAATATAAAAGAGCCAATTACCGATCATAAGTTTTCAACCTAATATATGATTAGAGCATATTGACTTATGCTTGAACATCAAATATTTGTCTATTTACTCTTTTTTTCTGTAAAGACATCTTCTTCATCAGAAACTATGAGCTCAAGCAATCTTCGTTGGGTCATGCGAGAATCGAAAAATTTTTGGATTTTTTTTTTCAAAAAAAGAAGATGATGGTCCAAAGAATGTATGCAAAGTTTATTTAAATTAATAATATTCAAATGTTTGTCAAGTTTTTTTTTGAAGGCCAACCACAATCGGTTATGATGAGAAACGGAATGTAATGAAAATTATCAAATATTCGACACGAGATTCTCTTCGTTTAAGCAAACATTCTGATGATATGATAATATCGTAGGTTCTTGCATAAGTGCTAATCTCTTCTTCTCATTCTCTGCAAACACAAGTTCACGTCTCAATTCCAACCTAATGCGGATGTTGCTTGGCAACTGGTTCTTAATGTTTTATCATCAATTTTTGTGTTTTATTTTTCTTTTTCGTTTATTTTTATTAAACAAGTTAAAAAGGCGTCTTAAGGGATCTTCATAAAGATCTTGTACATACATTTCTATAAGTTTTTCATGTCGATTTTGTTCAATTAAAAGTAACTGGCAGATTACAAGAGTATATTGTTTTGACTGGCTCGTAAAACATCTTTCGATGGAATAAAGATGGCGAGAAAATCATTTTTTCAAAATTTAATTAACTGTTCGAAATACTATTTAGTGGAAATGTGAAGCGTCATTGCAGTTTTCTCCATGAGGTGGCAAGTAGGAGTTATCTGGAATTGGAGGTGGTCCATAAGATTGTTGTGGTCTTGCTACAAAGGATTGTTGTTGGGGTGCAAATGATTGTTGAGATGCGAAAGACTGTTGTGGAGGTCCATAAGATTGACGTGGTGGTGGTGGTTGATAGATAGGTTGTTGTGGTTGGTAAACAGGTTGTGGTGGAGGTCCATAAGATTGACGTGGTGGTGGTGGTGCTGGTCTATAAACTTGTGGAGGTGGTGGTGGTGGGCTGTAGACAGGTTGAGGTGCTGGTCTATATTCTTGTTGTGGTGGCGCATAATTTTGTTGTGGAATTGGGGCTGGTGCTGAATATGATTGTTGTGGGGCTGCTTGAAATGATTGTTGTGGTTGTGCACGTGGAACTTCGATTTGGTAAACATGTACGACGACTGGTTGTGCTGGCGCTGGGGCAGAGTATGACTGTTGTGGAGCTGCGTATTGTTGTGGAGCTGGTTGATAAGATTGCCCTCCTGAGTATGATGAACCACCACCGTTTGAGTATCCGCCACCACCAGAGTAGCCACCGCTACCTGATGATGCACCTGAAGATGAGCCTGAACTAGAACCACCTCCATGACCACCACCGAGCGATCCGAAGAGTGAACTTATGGCTTGTGTCTTAAATTGAATAAGTTTTTGTGGCAAGCTGTTGTAAAGAAAAATATTTTAAGGTAAAATCCTAAAATTTTTATAGAAAACTTACGCAATAAGGTTTCCAAGTCCACCACTGCCGCCACCACCGCCGCTAGATGATCCACCATGAGCAGATCCCGAAGATCCAGATGCTGGATAAGGACCTCCTGAAGATGAACCGGAGCTTGAACCAGACGAGCTTCCACTTTTTCCACCACCGCCAAAATGGCCAAACGTTGCTTCACTATAATAGACGCTTAGCGCCAGCACACTGAACACAATTAAAAATTTCATTTTTTAAAGTCTTTAAAATGTCTTTGGGATCTTCTATAATATTTCTGATTTTATTTTAATTTAATTTTTTCACCACTCGATGTGTCTTGTTCAAGAACCGACGATCAACTAAATTCTGCAAAAACCGTGCGCTCCGTGATAAATGTCGAATGGTTCTGTTTGCTGCTTATTTCGAGTTTTCCCCAAACCCTAGCAGAATATTAATACAATTAACACATGATGGTAGTTAAAAAAAACCAGCTCCAATGTGATATGGTAAATGCGAACGGAGATGAACGAACAATTTCGGGGATCGATGTGGTGTGCGACATTGTTTGTTTTCATCATATATTTACTATTTTAATATAACATACGAAGAATTTACATTTTACCATTTTACTTGATCATTTGAGGTCTGTTGGTGATGATAACTTCATAAAAACACGTGTTAGTAGCTTTTCATTTGCTTATAGAGAATAAAAATATGTCATGTTGACATGATGCAATTTCGAAAAAATTAAAGCGTCCAACATTATCATCAACGATCCAAGGCCGTGATGTGTAAGATAATTTTTTTTCTCAGGTTATTCAATGGTACATTGATTAGCGATGTGATGCCAGTGACATTCGTAATATTTACGAAGTTTGACGAAAAATTTGTAAAAACTTTTTCTTTTCTCTTATCTTCTATAAGTGAAGTTTGTCTTGAAATAATTCTTTCTTTATGGGAAAAAAGAATAAATGCTACAATAAATAAAGTCTCAATGTTTTTCTTTTGTGGTCTTTGAACTTAAATTTTTTTTTGCCGGCCAAACATCGCAAAACACGAGAGACGAAACACGTTTCTTGAATTTATTTCCATATTAAGTTCCTTTTTATTGTTCATTCTGAATTATTTCGACTGCGACTGGAAAAAATAGAAGACGATTCAACTTTATCAAGAACTTTTTTGGACAAAACCAGCTTCCACATGTAGGATGAACCGGATTTAAAATGTGAAGTTTTAAATGTGAAGAATTCTGAAGTCTCTTAAAGTATTCTTTAATGTTTTCGGAAGGGGAACCTGTTTGTAATCAATTCTTTCAAGGAGAATTTCTAAGCAGGTGTCTTCTCGTTCAATCATCAGTAAGAACGTGATGTTAGTAATTTCATACGTTACGTAATTTCATTTTCACTTCTCATTTAGTACCGAGTGACCAAAAATATTGAAAGCTTTGAAAGCTCTTTTTGTGAGCTTTTATTTATTTCCTTATTTCATTGTCAATCAATAATAAATAATTAATAACTATTTCGTTTTGATGGTGGTAAATAAGAATATCCAGAAGGCATTTCATCCTTAGAGAAGCTATCATCAAAAGCGGAGACTTTGTCATCAGAAAATGTAGCAAATGAAGGCTCGTCAGAGTCATCAAGAGCGGAGACTTTGTCATCAGAAATTACAGAAAATGAAGGCTCGTCAGAACCAAGGGATGACGTACCATCTTCGCCAGCATCAAAGAATGAAGACGTTGAATCGTCGCCATTCGAAACACTTACTCCTGGCCCATCAACCTTGTCAAGGTCATCAAAATCCAAATCAATTGAATTCGAAGAAGACGATAATGGTTTTGATGATGAACCGCCAGCAAAAGCTCCAGAAAGTAAAGGTGAAACAATTCCAGAGATTAATTTTGATACTCCTGGATGACTCAGTAAAGATGCAAGACCACTTCCTGAACTTTGTGACATTGTTTTGTTCCGACTTATCGAGTCTCGTAAAACACTCAAGAGTTGAATTTTTGTATTGAGCACGTGTCTGGAAATGATTTTTATTTTAAATAATTTTTATTTTAATTTTAATTATTTACCCAAGCATATCATGAACACCTCTTCGCGAATTTGAATTACCAGCTGAACTAGCTGAACTAGCTGCACCAGCTGTACTAGAAGCTGTCAACGAGTATGTTCTGCTTTGTCCATGTGAAAAAAACAGCGCTTGGCTGCATCCAACAAGTGCAATTGCACAGAGAAATGTTCTCAAGAAAAGTTTCATTCCGATTAGATATCAATTCAACCACACAACTCAATATTCAACTGGGAACTAACTCAAAAAATAAATTGAATTTTAAACAAATCATTAAAGCTGTTTATCCTGTTAGATGATACTACTAGGTAGAATATAGAAGCGCTTGCGGTGCGTTTTGTTGTACAGGTTTCTTGATATGGCATATGAAAAAGCAAATATTGAAATGATTATAGCGTTCAAGAACGAAACTTTGACAAACAAGACAGTAAATATCTACTGTAAAGTCACGTTGTCACCCTGATTTTTTTAATATAAATTAATTTATTGTCTATTTATGACTAACATTTTTTTATTAATTATAGTAAGGATCAGAAGTAGAATTAAGAAAATGCAGATTCAACATACGTGGTCTTGCTGTTGATTTGTCACTTATGAGAAACGAAAGAGATAAAAAATGAGAAAATCCCAAAAAAAACTTGAAATGTTAATGATGAATAAGCTAAAATCATTTGCTTTTCCAATTAAAGATTTTCGTTAAAAAGCTCTCGAAACAAAGAAAGCTTGCATCCAGAAGCTCTCGTTAAAGCTTTTGTAGTTTGGAAAGATTCAAATTGAATTGATAGAAGAAATTTAAGAAAAAATTTACTAAAACTTATTCATTTTAACGGAATGAAGAAAAATATTTCAAAGGAATTTTAGTTAAAAATATTCACCTTTGATTAAATTTCTGTAAATTTTCAAGTGCCCATCACGAAATTTTTATTCCTAATTAACTTACGAAAAATTCTGACGTTTTTATAGATTTAATGAAACAGATTACGGTTTTCAGACTATTGATGATCTTTTCTCAACTTTTATTCCGTCGACGGTTTTAAATCTTCTTTTGCTATAATTTATTTTAAAGCTTCTGACACCAAAGCACAATAAAGCCATTTAAACACAAACAAGACGTAGATAAATTTTGTCGATTCCCATCATAGTCATTCCAAATGAGTTGAATCCAAAGTGTTAACAAACTCTTATAGTCAACCTCGTAAATATATTTTAAAATAACTGAGTTTGTAGTAAAGAAAATTCTTCTGAGAAATTTATTTAGACTATTTGTTGGTTGGAATGATTGGTTGAAATTATTATAAATTAAAAGATCAAGTTATCCAAGAAGTGTTTTGATAGCATTTGGAGATAAAGCTGGCATTATTCCAAATACTTGAGTTGTTGGTTTTTCTGAAAAATTAACACTTTGACTCAGTTTTATGTTATTTGCTTAACAAAGTCAAGTGACAATTTCGCTAGTTTACCTCGAATAGAAGCTTTGTATCCACCTTCATCGGCTATGTAATTCACAATAAAAGTTTTCCCTTCAGGTGTGGTGAACGAATACGAACCCGACACTCTATAAAATTCAGCATTGTTGGTCTTCGTTAAAATTCCTTTTTCAGTTCGTGACTGACCGTCGCTTAACAAATAACTTCAAGGTATTCAAAATCAAATTAAATCTTCAAACGTCTAGGGACTTAATCTCAATGTTTACTCACGAGAACTCATAAGAATTATCAGATATTTCACTTTTATAATCTTTTAACTCCACCGAATCATAAACCGAAAAACAATCAACAATTTTAAAGACAAATACTAAAATCAAAGCTTCTTTCATATTCATATTGATCACTTAATGATTTAACCGTCGAAACGTTAATGAGACGAAGCCACGATATGACAAATAATTTAATTAACATTCTCAATGATTCATGTACACACGTTCTCTTTCAACGAATTCAAAATCTTCTTTTTTTCTCTTTATTTCAATTTTTTTTATTTTGGTTTATTTGAATATCTCACAAATTAATTATTGAAAGCTTCTCTCATCAGTTGTTTGCTATTTTTTTCTGTTTCCACTCTAATTACCGTTGCTACCCTTTCTTAAACCCACCAAAAAGCGACATCAACATTTTCCCTTTGTTACTGAAATGATTCGTCATTGATCGTTGCATTGATTTCATGAAATTCGCCTTCATTTGGAAAATATTCCTGCAAGATGCATTTTTTTATTTAAATAACTTTTCTTTTAATTTCCTTTCTTAATGTTTCATTACGTAAAAGGATTTCCAATTGAATTGCTTCTATGCCTTTGCTGGTTCATGTGACCACCTTTCCCTTTCATATTATTACTCAGAAAGAATGCTTCACTTTGATGGAACTGCACAAGCAGAGATATGATCACAACACCTATCAGAATTACTTTTTTAATGTCACCCATAATTCCTTGTTGTTTATTTGTCAAAGATCTTAAAACAACTGAATGTCTTTTGGTAAAGTGACAGAGTTTATAAGGTTAGAAGTGTGTTATAGCATATTTATTTCTTTTGTTTGCAAAATGCTATTTACGAGCTTGAAAGAGCCAAATGCGTAAGCTTTAAAAGCTATGAATGAAATTAAGTTTGGATTTCGCATTGGTTTGTTTGTTGTTTGTTTCCGCGACAAATTCTTTTTATCTAGTTGTAAACTTCGTCTATCGTAGCTTCGATGATTTATAGATTTTCCGCATTTTATCGACATTTTCAACTTCAACCTTTCATAGATTACAAAACTTGTAATAAGCTTTAGCATTGAACTGAATGACGGATGACCCCAAGGTTCGTCTGGTCGTTTCTTTTACAACTGAAGGTTAATAAAATTAAATGACTTTTTCCTTATTATCGTTTGATAAATAAAGTGTCAAGAAATGTTATGGGAAAGAATCTCGTACAAGATTGATATCGAAACATGATAAATACGTAAGGTGTGGGTTATTCGTTTAGCCACAGTGCGGTGCTTTGGCACTTCGCCATTTACGTAAGTCAAAGTCAGTCAAACTACTTCAAGTGGCAAGAATCTCAACGCTGATCCACACCCTAATAAAATCACTGATATGTGACAATTTTTAATCTTTATCAATTTATTATTCAAAATTGTAATAAATGCGAGAATATTTTTAATGACATAATAAAAAAATTTATTAATTTTTCCTGATATTGCACATTTTAAATAAATATGTATTTCTAATTTGATTACGTGTGAAAATCTTTGTGGTTCTCTTAAATTATTCTTAATAAAAGTTTCTTTATGCGTAGCCTCCAAAACTACTTCCAGATGAGCTTGAGCCAGCTGAACCTGAGTTTGAATATGAGTCTGTATTTCCCTCACTGCTGCTGCCACCTCCGCCGAATCCGGACAGGAAGGTTTCTAGTGTACTAAGTGCATTTGTTTTTCCTTCAAAATGTGAATTGACACCACCAACGATGCCACTTTGGGCACTTGAAAGAAGACCAGACTTAAATCTGTAATGAAGAAGGAAACAAATAATTAAGAAAAATTTAAATTAAAATTAAAGTGAATAAACTTTTACCTAAATACGCCTCCAAGATCGAATCCACTTCCACCTGATTCTGTTTCAGCTGATTCAGATCCACCTGACTCTGCACTGGAACCATGTCCAGATATTCCTCCAGTGAATCCACTGTTAGGTGCACCATAAGTATTTGAAGGAGCTGGTGCGCTGTATTGACCATGTGCATAATTTGCTGGTCCGTAATGTGGTTGTGGGTTTACTGGTGGAGCTGGTATTCCACTGTATTGGCCATGTGAATGATGTGGTGCACCATATTGTTGTTGTGGAGGTGCTGGGGCGCTGTATTGTGCATGTACCCGATGTGGTGCACCATATTGTGGCTGGGGAGGGGCTGGGGCGCTGTATTGTGCATGAGCTTGAGGTGGTGCACCGTAATGTGGTTGTGGGGGTGCAGGGTTGTAATTGTATGCACCGCCTGATCCACTCGATGATGTCGAAAATGATGAGCCTGATGATGCTGAATTATCATATCCTGGAATACCCGTACCTGTTCCATCTATGACTTCTCCATCAGTGGAGCCACCGAAGTTGTCTTGTCCAAGCCGTAGTAGTGATTGAATTGATTGGCCAATTGAACTAAATATTTCAGTCCCAATTGGACCGCCTTCACCGCCTGAAAAACCGGGGATCATCGGCAACATCGGCAACGTTGCTTGTGCAACGCCAAAAATTAAACAACACGTGATGATTACTTTCATCTTAAATTCCGTATAACTTCTCTCGCAAGATTGAAACTCAAGAATGACAAACGGTAAGCAAAAATCTCATATTTATATAAACAATCATAGACGAAGAAAATCACGCGTTATCGGCTTTCGAAGATAAAAAGCCTTCATCGGATCGTCCATCAGGTTTAAAATGAAATTTCATTATCAAATTTTTCGATTGTGTGAAAGGAACAAGGTAAAAAGTGGAAGAAAAATTATAATCAATGAGTTAATCAAGACAAAAAAATGAATGAAAAGATCGTAAAGTGTTTATGTGTTGCAGATTCAAAGAAAGATTCGACGAGTTTAACAAAGCTAAATAAATGGTGAATGACAAATATCTAACCGAAAATATTATTGTCAAAGTGAATATTGCATGACGTCCCTGGAAACAAGAAAAATCTTCTTTTGATCTTTAAAATAAATAATTAATGTGTGAAAAATTCTTGTGAATTTGAATGTAAATTTCTTGATCATGACCTTGCACCATAAATAAAACAACTGAAGCGTCTTCTCCTCTCTTTTTTAAGGTGTCTACGTTAATTCTTCAGACATTAACAATTTTCGTTTTACGTGATGTGATAATATGACAAATTCACACATTTCAAACTTTTCGCTTTCAATATTTAGTGAATGGTCAAACTGGTTTTTCTCTGTCTCTCTCTTGTTTTATGATTTTTTTTCTTTGTCGTACTTTTATTTCATTTTCCCACAGAAATACTTTGTAAACAGACCACAAGCCATAGTCTAAAATTAAGTGTCATGATGTTTCCATAATGTCTGAGACGCGTAGTTTGTCTTGAACATTTGTTTATCCATGAGAATTGTGTAATCCTCCTGATACTAAACCTGAGAGATTTTCGAGAACTTTGATCTTCGAATTGACCACACCGCTCACTGCATTTAACTTCGCATTAATCGCTTTGCTTGGAATTTGTCTGTTATCAATTTAAATACAAATTAAATTATTGTGAAACATGAGTTTATAAAATTTATCTTACGCAATAGATCCGAAGATATTTTTGAGGCCGGCGTGACCTCCCGAACTGCTTAATGATGAGTCAGAAAATTTGTCAAATGAATCAGACAACCCTGAGCTTGACCAAGAGTTTGAAATGGGTTGGGTTTCGTAAGAGTATCCATTATTGACTGGAACTGATTGAATTTGTGGTTGGGAGTAAACAACAGGAGCTGACGAATAGACGACTGGTGCTTGTGCCGTTGAATATTCGACAATTGGTCTTGGTGTTGTATAAGTGACTGTCGCTGGTGTCGTGTAGACCACTGGAGCAGGAGATTGAGTTGAATATTCAACTATTGGTGGTTGTGTATAAACCGATGGAGCTTGTGGAAGATACTCAACAGAAGGCGTCACATATTCAATGCTGCTTATTCCTGAAGATGGATAAAAAGGTCGTTGTGGTGGTTGATAATTGTAGCCAGACGAATACGAGACTTGAGAGGTGGAAGGATAATTATAACCACTTGAACTGCCATAAGATGCTCCACTAGATGAATAATAAGGCTGAATAGGTTGAACTGGTGCTTGGTAATTGTAACCACTTGAGGTGTATGATGGCGCATATTGATATGAATACGATGGCTGCGAAGGTGGTGAATAATTGTAGTCATTATAGCCTCTCGAATGAACACACCCAACACCAGAATTTCCATAACTTGGTGCTAAATATCCATTTGATCGAACACCGCTATTGTAGTTTCCAGCATATGAATTGTAGTTGTTATTGAAGAGATTTCGTGAACCACCGAGAAAGTCTGTCTTCCCACCAAACAACGAACTCGTCACGCCATTGAAATCCAATGGAATCGAATTGCTTTTCTGGTTGTGGAAAAACAAGGCTTTAACACTTATTGCACTGCTAAATATAACAACAATTGAAATGAAAATTTTCATTTTCATTTAGAGAAGCTTCTTTATTTAAATGTGACAATTGATATTCAATTGACTGGGCTTGACAACGAGTGTGTCATATTTATAGTACTTAGAGCTTGATAAGGTTAATCAATCAGTGATTTCAATTACCGAGAAGTGCTTCATGAAAATGATAAATCACTTGAAGTAATGATGAAGAACGTTATCTGTAAATTGTTCATAGCTGTGACAACAAACGATTCTGTAAGTAAACCAATAATTCCAACACGAAGAATATCTTCGTGTATCCTTGAAAACATTCAATATGTTTCATTTAACACACGATACAGTCTAACACAGATCCAATCTCTCATGAAATTCATCACACAAACTGACACGTGATTCAACATTGCAGCTCAGGTTAAAAGAAAAAAAAAATGCTTCATATTAACTTGTTAAATAAATTTCTTATTGATTTTTCTCTTCATTAGTCTCACACAACTCGACGAATGTTGTCACAAATGATTGAAGAAGCTTTTAAAAATTTGAAGTAACAAATGTAAAGTCAAATAAAAATAAATCTCAAGTGTGCAGTTGTTTAATGATTTACTAAAAGAAACCACAATCGTAACATAATTTTTATAAAACAAATTGTGACAAATTTGGCTGCTTTTAGTTTTCTCACAGAATTTTCTTTCAATTTTCCACATAAGTAAAGCTTCGATGATTTTATTTTTTAACTTCTTTCAATCACTTCTAGTTTTATTTTCCAAGTAATTAACACAGAAGGAAAAAAATTAATGAAAATTATTACAGAAAATATTTACTGAGATTGATGTCGGAACTGAGAGGAAATATTTTTGTTTGTTTAATTACGACACGATTTGATCAAATATTACACCACAAAAGTTTCCATCGATCCATTCCCGTTGAGAATAGACGTGCTTCTAACATCACAATTCACCAAATCTCGAGTCCAACGTTTTAACGGTTTTTATTCCATAACAACCCAGAGCTTTTCAACAAGCTTAAAAGAATTGAGAGAATCACCGGAAATAAAAGTTGTTTATTTATCAACATTTATTTGTTAGAGCGAGAAAGATTGATTCTTGTAAAGTGCCAAACGAGTCGCGTCATCGTCATCAGCTGACCTAAATCCGTCCATTCTAAACCTTCACTACTGCTGCGACTCATCGTTAATGGCAAGGTTTACAACGTCATTTGATTTGTTGGTTGTTCATAAAAGAAACAAATGCGAGACGACACCAATTATGCAAATTATCATTCAAAACCATTTTAAAAGCTGATTCAATGTCTAACAGCGAAAGACAAAAAAAAAAACGCAAGACAAAGCAACAAATGTTAATTTTCTTTGACTGTTTTTATTCGATAAAGATTTTGAATTATTTCCTGAATACAAAGCTTCCTTAAATAACTCAGAAGAAACTGGAAATTCAATTCGAGAAACTCAATGGACAAATGTTCATGAGAAGAGCTTGAATGAACCAAATGGTTTTCGACTTTTCAAAGTTGTCTTCGCTGTTTATTGTTTCATTGCCTTCGTCTTTTAGGAAGTCAAGCAGATCAGGATGAAACTGAAGGATAAAAAGATAAAATTATGTAACTAATCAAGATTGACGACTTCACCCAACCTCTTGCTGAATCGGATCCATCTCATATTCCAACTCAACGACATCTAACTCTGTACATTTTTCATGGACATTCACGCTCGCAACTCTCAAAGGTGTTGCCATTAAAACTTTGAAACTGTCTTCATCTTTCATTCGTGCTTCAAAGATTGCAACGCGACGATGTGCCCAACGATTCCAAACATTCGATTTGAAATGATAAGAGAAACAACAAACAGCCATTGATTTGTAAGTGTGAATTTCCATTGCTTGATGTTTTTCGCAAATATTTTCAATGTAAAAACTTGCATCAATTTCAGGAAAGAAGTTCAAGTTTAACGACTTTAAAAGTTTCTTCAACTCGAAGACTTTAATTGGTGTTTTGATTCCTTTAAATGGTGGTTTTCGTGGATGGATAACATCGAAAGTGTAGCCATCGCTTGTGATCTTAAATTCAATGCTTGCATGTCTTGACTCAACTTTCATAACAATGTGATCGTCTTCTGGATAAAGTTCCCAATTCTTCAAAGGAAAATGACAATATTTTCTTGTTGCCAAGCCAAAATTTCCCAATCGACCAGAATAAAACGCTACAGATTTTAATTCATGGTCGAAAGATGACTCGTAGATGTATTTGGTGCTCCATTTACCAACATTATGTGGAACTAAAACTTTCTTTGATGATTCTTGTTGGTTTTTAGATGAAGAACTTCTTTCAGGTTTATCTTCCGGTAATTCCACCTCATCACGTTTTGATGTTCGGGTTCGAACCTTACTCGACTGTCTTTGTCTCGAACTTCTTCTTTGCGATCTTCTTTTGGGACTTTCAGATTGTTGTCGCTTAGAATCTCGTGCAATTGATCGACGAAGCATTGAAGCTCGATTTGATCTGTAACGCGGGCGTTTAGATTTATCTGACACACGGAACGAGACTGAATCTTCTTCTCTTTTAATTTCCCGGAAAATTGGACGCAAACTTTCTTTCAATTTATTGACTTGTTCGTGAAGTTCCGTCACTAACAAAGGTTCATCTTTTAGTGGTCGTTGAAGTCCAATATCGACATCATCGTCATCTCTTTCCTTTTGCTTTCTTATCAGTTCTTCCAAACTTTCTTTTTCTTTCACTTCTGAAAGATTTTCCAATTCAGAATTTGGAATGATTTCAATTAATTCTGGATAATTAATCGGAAATAATTCACGAGGTTGATAATTCTTCGCATCGAAAAGTTTATTGAACTCATCGACAGTAATGTTTCGAATGTCAATTTTTGATAGATTTTCAGTAAAAATTTCCTTCAAATTCAGATTTTCCACATCATTTTCCGAAATTTTCTTTTTCGCTTGCAAAATTTGTTTCCATTCTCGTTGCTTCTTTTCAAATATTTCCAACTGTTCATTGAAATAATGAAACTCATATGGCATCATTGGAACGATATAATGTTTAATTAAATTCGATAATTTGATGTTTTCTGGTGCCGTTTTCAGATCAAAATCTGAAAGTTTCATTCTCAGACAATGTTTTTGTTCGGAAGCCGAGAAAAGCTTTTCACTTTCTTCCATCATAATTTTATCATAATTCAGATTAAAGTCTTTCGTTTCTGTGTCTAAAGCTTCAAACTCTTCACTTTCTTCCCACAACTCCCAACGACAAACAACCGGAACTTCGGGCCAAAATATATTTTCATCGAGTTTAATTTCAACTCTTATAAGATCAGCAAGTGCAACAGCACGAGGATCGACAGGGTTTTTATCAATAATCGATTTTCTTTGTGGTTTTATTTCTGGTTCGCTATATTCGTGTTCAAATGTTTGATATTGAAGAAGATTGTAATCATCATCTAAAAATTAAATTTAATTTAAAAACACTTCAATTTTATATTGGATATAAACTCACTGACTCTTGTAAACATTTGCTGATTAACGTCAGTCCATTGACATGGTCGATCAAAACATTCAATCTTGAAAACTCCTTTAACAATTTGATATTCCCTCATGTTCATCTCGTGTTCTTTTAGATTAAAATTCCTTGGTGATAAGCAATTCATTTGTTTTTCCATTTGTTGATCTTCATAATTGACATACTCAGCTTCAACATCAACATACGTTGATTCATCCACAATTGGCGGTTCAACTTCAATTTTCTTTGCTTTTCCAACTTTAACATTTTCTTGGACTTTTTTCGACTTTTTTTGACTTTCTTCTTCTTTGCGAATTTCCTCCATTTTCATTTCATAAGTTTCACGAACTTCTCGCATTTCATTTAAATGAACATTAATCATTGATTGTCTAGTTTGGAATTCAAACATTAATGATGTCTTAAGATCAACGAATTCCATTTCTCTTAAAGCATTAAATGATGGACATAAGTCTGTGAAGAAATCATGCTTGAACCACAAGCCGCGAACAACTGTTCCGTCTAAATCAATAAGATTTGAAACCTTCACAGTTATGTTCAGTGGATCCATTTTGATTGTCTTCCAGTAATTACTGTCAAAAATTTCATGAAAAATAAATGAAGAAAATTCAAAACTTAACTCACTAAGTTTCTGGCAATGGAACATCTTGAAATGTCCAAACGAAACATGTGAAGTCGGATGATTTATGAAAGTAATTTGCCATTTGTGGGCTTATGGAAAGCATTTCACGATCGATATGTTTAACAACTTCAAATGTCAACACGTCTAATAAGTTAAATGACGTTGCACGAATCTCATCACGAATCTAAAGGGAATGAAAATTTTAAGAAAGCTCAAAAGTTTTAGTTATGTAACATGAATGACTTTTAATAGATCTTCAAAGCATTTCAATGAAAGCTTATTTCGACGAATTGTTTCACTTAATCTCCCATAAACTTTCAGCATTATTTGAAGCTTTTCATCATAAAAGTTTCCGATTGGCCCTCGTTGTTTCATCATAGTTTCTTTAGTAGTGTCTGGAACTCTGATGTCTTGAGTTAAAATACTTCGTTCATCACATTTAAGCCACAAATTTATTTGCCACTGCCAATGACCATTTAAATTTATTTTCAATTTCGTCAAAAAATCCCGAAGACTTGCTGGAACTTTTGTGTCGGGCCATTCGCATTTTGTGTGCTTTTCCCATTCAGATTGAGTTTTGGTTTCATTTTTGATTTGAAGAATCTTTTGTCGTAAATCTGAAAAATATTTTATAAATTTTCATTTATGAAAATTTGAAGAATTAAAAACCTTCAAATTTTTCGATAGATTCTTTCAAAACTTTTTCTCGTAATGAATTTTCCAGATTTTCTCTGTAAATTCTTTCCAAATTTCTTTGTATTTCTTCTTCCAATTGTTTTTGTCGTTCCAATGCAATTCTGCAATTTGAAATTTTAATATTTATAAGTTCTTATCGAGAAGATCAAAAGCGATTATGAAAAACATTCACCGTTCAGCTTCCAAAGCTTCTTCCAAAGATTTCCGTCTCTGAAATGAAAAAGTTTTTTAAAATTTGATTTAGATAAGAAATCGTTTTACTCGTGGCATCTTGAAAATATATTTTATTTAATTATTAAATGACGATAGACATAATTCAATGATATCTTAAATGAAAAATTTTATCAAAATTCTGATGGCAAACTTTAAAATTTTTGGCAAAAACTTTTTGCTACAAATTCAACTGTTATAAAACTCCCCAACTAAAGCACATTTCAACGAAAGTCACTCAAAAACTTTTGAAGCTTTTTGCTATAAAAATAAATTACAAAAATTATTTCAAAATATTTCTATCAATTTTCTGAGCTTTTCAAAGCTTCTCTGAAGCAGGTTTGAGTTTAATCCAAGCTTAGTTTTAATCCAAAATCTCTTCAAACTTCACAACTTTTTTTGTTTGTCATAATGAGTTGAGTGGATTTAATTAACAAATGCCACTGATCGACATGTGATGAAATGAATTCAATGAACTCTGGGTATATGAAAGCAATTTATTGAGATATTGTCATTTATAAAGATAACTGAAATACTTTTAAAATATTTCCATGAAGTGTTAACTGACAATTTTTAATCAAAATTGTTTTCCTGAATTAAATTTAATTCATGATCTTTCTGAAATGTTACTTCTATTGTTAAAAGCTGTGAATTCATATTTTGATTTGAAGTAATGAATACTAATTGCAATCTACCTTGAAGAAACATTAAATATTTGGTAGCAAAAAAGGGGATGAAACTGAAAAACTTGTTCTTGATTGTTCATCCTTCTTTTTTGAATTGTTATTTAACAATGATTTAAATAAATGACAAGTTGATGGTATTTTATGACCACACAAAATTATATTCTCATGGAAGATAAAAACTAGATCAACAGCATCAGTGTTAGATAATTGTTTAACAAACAGAGGTCAAGAGCTATCAAGATTTATCATGCGTCAAGAGCGCTCTTGTTTCCCACCTGAAAGTCATCATTACGAAAATCAAACCAGTTTTAATTCGTGTTTCGTTTTCCAATTTCCTACGGAACGAAAAAAGAAAAATTGCCGTTCATCAGAGTGGCGAACATCTTTTAATCAGGGCTAATATAGCCTCATAAGGTATTAAATGTTTAATATCTTCACACGACACGGCATTTTTTGATAAGATAAGAAGTTTTGCTGAACAATCATTTAATGCGTGAACGTCAATCGGACTTACATTTGGTTTTGAATTTTTTCTCTTTCGTCTAACATAAATTACATTCACAGATTATAATTGTCTTCTTCCATTTAATGAGACTAATCGTTGGTAAGGTCAGTAAGTTTTAAACGCTTTAACGAGTTGTATTTAATACTTTTTTTTCATTACTATTGTTTATTTGGCTGAGTCTTTTCGAATGACAATATAAAAAATGTTTTTAAAGGTGAATTAAATCTATAATGCACTAATGATGAGACGAATTTATGGCGCTTATCCAACAAGTGACTTAAGTAAGTTTGGATCAATACCAGCATCTTCACCAGGCTTGATTCCACCTACACCTTTGCCGGTTTTTGGTCGGTAACCGTTTTCATCTGATTGGTAGTTCACCCAGTATGTTTCACCATCTTCAGACAGATTAAAATTTTGGTTAAACAGTGTCAAGGAAAAATAAAATTCAGTCAAGTTTACCTGGGGCTACATGACTATAAGCTCCTTGAACGACGAGAATCTTCACAGGGTTCCCGTCAACATCGGTACCGTCTTTGTATGCACCTTCTTCCGATCTGATTTGTCCATCAGACAACTCGTATCTGCAGTTATAAAAGCATTTCTTTTACTATTACCATTCACAACACAAAGTTGGTAATAAAATTAAAAGTTCATCAATATATCAACGCCTTCAAACCACGTGTCTGTTTAGCTTTCTTTCTTTCGTTTTTTGTTTTTTTTTGTTATTGTATCTTTGACACATTTATTGGGTAATCATAAAAGTGTTGAATCATCTCGATTATTTCGTCTCGACTTATTTTAATTTCATTCAAACAACGACAAAAACACTTCATTCATGTTACGTAACTTTTTTCGTTTGTATCAAATTTCATTTAATCAAAATCACTGATTAAGTTTCTTTTTTGTTGTTGTTTACAATGATGAACTTGAATAATTAAAAATACTAACGTGAATTTATATCCTTCTAATCCTCGATTCTCGTAGAAATATCTCACGATTTGCACATTTTGATTATCTTGGAATCCTTGTTGTGCAAGGACAACAGATATAAGAACACAAATTACAATTAAAAGTTTCATTTTTCTAAAGTAAACAAAATAAAAATTAAATCTTTTTCCGCGACTTTGCACTGCGAAGACACAACGAGCAACTGGCGACTCGAATCCATTAAACTGTCGCTTATATGCATTTTGGTAAAGCCAATAGCGAAAGAAGCAAATCCCCAGACCCAGACAACTATGAAAGATGATGCTGCGAGTCACAAAAACTATGTTGAATTATATCACGTTTTAAGGCATCAGCAATGTAGGTACGCAGAGCTTAAAATAAAACACAAGCAAGTACTAAAAGCACAGGAGAAAGGGAGAGAGAAAGAAATGGATCTTGGACAAAGGTAAAAGTGTAATTGATTTCAATTAAATCATTTGAAATTAGGCAAGCTTGCGTGTGATCTTGTTTAAAATTATGTTTGATTTGCTTTTCGTAATTTCTTTTTAAATAGACAATTATGCTTGGACAAATAAAATCAAAAATCAATCTTCCTCACGATAAGTGATGCAAACTTTGGAGATTAATCTGATTTGTTAGTCATTTATGCAAATATAAATCAGCTTCAATGAAATTTATTGACGCTTGTGTCATAACTTTTGCATGCATAATTTAAGGAGACGTGAAGTTTTCATGAAAATTGTTTGGACTTTTTCTTTTATCGCTTAAAGGTCTCTTAAATGATTAATGACTGTTTAACCTTCAACCATTAACGGTAGCTCGTGTTTTGATCTGACGTAACATTCCTACGATTCCCAGCGCATAACTTTAACAAGTTTTGAGTGCACCACCATCAACTTCTATTGAAAAAGAAAATAAGAAATGAAGGCGTGTGGAATCGTACGCACAATTTATAATTATCTGAAGAAAATTTCAATTGAACGTGTCACCATCAGCATGTTGCAATCAAACTCTTCATCTTGCCATTCATTACCAAAAAGTAAAAGAAGAAACAACAAAAATCTCCAAATTCCAAGAGTCATTACACTGAAAATAAATACAAGAAATTTCGTCATGTGGATAATTTGGTGAATGAAGCTTTTTTCGAAAAAAAAAAAAATATCTAAAATGTTTTCATCGAGCCCAACGTGAATTAACGACACATCAAGTCCACCCGTTGCAAAAGGTAAATGTGACATAATTTAACCGCGTTTTTCTTATTTCACTTTCCACCTCGACCACAAAGTGAATTGCAAGCTGTTACTTTAATTAGCTACGAACCGATTGATCTTCAAGTGACCGAAATTATATTTTTGCTAATTGTAAAATTAAGTGGTTAATGAAATTTGAAATTTCCCACCGCGCTCATCCACTTGACGAAAGCACCAAATACTTCGAATTAAGCATAAATCACACCTGACTTCGTTTACGGACCATCAACGAGCTGTTTTAGTTTTTTTTTCTTTTTAATAGACATTAATCTTCTTTTGCTTTAAGTAAACCAAACGATTTTCATATGAAGATCCACAACTTTTGCTTTCAATTTGTTTTCTTGTATTGATTTAAAATGACACGATCAGTTTTAATTACCTTCAGTGGGTCAGTGGTGCGTTAATGAAGATTCCAATCAGAAACATAAACAATTAAAATGTTGACTTTAAAAACTTGTTCTTGTCCGATGTTTTCATTGCGACCCTTTTTAAAACTTATGGAGATAAATGTCAGGAAAGATGATCGCGTGATGAATTTTTTATTGGGTCAACAAGGGTCATTCATATTTAGAAGGGATGCTGACCATTAAATTGTGTTGAAAAGATCAAAACTAGATCACAGTTTAGGGGAATTATCATGAAGAGATTCTGTAAAGTTGCAGAGGGTCAAAAACCTGATTTAATTCATTCATGATTTTTTTTTCAAATGTTTCCAAACTCTCAGATGTTTTAAATCATCTTCATTACCCGATTCAAAGAACTCATAAAAACTTTATTGAGAGTTAATTATACTGACGAAAGAAATGATACAAAAGGCATCTTCAAGTGCAAAATATTGGGTCATAATTGACCGAATTAGTTGATCGTCTTACATAAGAACACTGGATAAGGTCAATGTTGTGAATGACCATGAAAGCCCTTTTTTCTCAGCATCAAACTTGCTTATTGTCTTTGATTGTATAATTTAAAAAATTTCCCTACGTCGTCTTGCAAATTTAATGAAATAAAACTTAAGAAATGTAAATTTCACTTCAAAAAAATGAAACGCACCACCTGTAGATGGTTAAACAAGCTTGATGTTGTTTACTTCGATGCTGAACATTGCCCTCGTCAATGGAGACGATGCAAACTTTAAAAAGTAAGAGAATCATAATGTCGTAGCGATAAATCTGTTTTTTTACAACACGTTGAAGATCGTGTTTTGACGACAACTTACATAATCCCATTTGGAAGATACTCCAAAGGATTACTTTTGACTTTCAGCTGAACCTTGCAAGTGATTTTTTTCTCCTATCAATTAAAGTAACAAAGACTGTAATTTAAGCAAATATCAAGTGAGTTATGCGATCGCTTTCCTTTTCTATAGAAAGGAATTGTTAAAAATGTATGTCGGTAGAAAAAATAACAAAAAAGAAGCTTTTGATGTTGATCTGTAAAAGGCAAAATGAAAATGTGAACTTTATGAGGTTCAATAACCCATTAACTGACATAATCTTCTTCTTTCTTTCACACCTCTTTCTCCTTTCTTCATTAATTATCATTTCCTCAACAATCAAAAGCCATCATAACCTTCTGATCTTATGCATAAATATCACACCGCAGACACTATGAAAAATCGGTTTTAAATATCGCTGATGCTGCCATCGTAACAAACGAGAGCGAAAGTTAATAAATCGTATTGAAACTGAAAAGAAAAAAAAATCAAGTCATTTGAAGATTATGAAAATGCGGGATGATTTAATTATGGAAATTTCCGGTGAAGTGAAGTTGTAGTCGAGAGCAGTTGATTGTGTTAATAATCTCTACAGTGGGTCAGTGGGCTTATTCACAAGATTGTGTTCAAACTTTAGACATGCTATGAAACAAACTATCACCGCTTCGCATCGCTCACACGTCATCTGGTAGAGCGAATAATAACAAAAGAAAAACAAAAAAGAAAAAGTGAATTTCGTGAATGGACAAAGATTTGGAATATGCGGTTTGATGAGAAAATAATTGAGCTACGATCTTGTAAAATGAGATGATTTGCTTAGAAACAAACAAGTTCGCTTAGCATGAGCTCGTGCTTTTGTGAAATCACTCAAATTGATGACAAGTGAATAAAGTAGCAGATCTGGTTTGGTTTTATCACAGAATTGTTATAAGCGATGACCACCCTAAGGAGGTCTTGCCTCAATTCAATTAACTTGAATGACTTCTTGAACGTTTATGACCTGAGGCGGTTTTCTTGGTAAATGGTAAAGGTTGAGACTTTTTTTTCTTTATAAGATTAAGTAGTCGTTTTCCATAATTACACACAGTCAAGTCTCTATTAACACAAAAGCATTAGAAGGAAAATATTATCGAGAAAAAAAGTAATAAATTAACAGAAGCTTATTTATTGTTGCACAAAAGATGGCATTTAACGCTTTTACGCATGAAAATTGAACTTCAAAATAATTTTCAAGATATTAAAATTCAGATAATCAACTTCATCATCGTAAAAAAATCATAAATTGATCTGCAAGTTGAATATTTTAAAAAACGAGAAGACAACAAATCAGATGTTAAAACATTGCTTGGACACATAACATGGGCGACGGAAAACTTATGAAATAAGTGATTGATGATCCAATAATCTCTTCAAGCCTTTTAAATAGGCGAAGATGCAATTGAATTGAGAGAATTTTTAATCAGTTTGAATCAAGTTCTGATGACGAAAGCATTGCTATCGAAATAATTACAAACAAGTAAAAATTATAAGATTAATTTTGATCTTCAAGCTCTTTAATGTTTTCAGTGATCTTCAAGTCATCGTTCAAATGTTTAAATCCAAGAAGCATAAATAAATAAATAAATAATTTTTTTTTCTCTTGAAAAACATCCATACACAGTCAGACGAAAGAGTTGAATGACGGGAGGTGGTGGGAACAAAGGAAGACCCATGCATAATTCGAACATAAACATAATTTTTGCGTGTCTGTGTCCGATTATATAATCGCTTACAAAACTGTTTACGAAGAAACATTTCTAAAGTTTATCAAACACGAGCAAAGGCATCGGTGATCAATCAAAAAATTGAAAAAAAGGCTTTTAAGTTTCTGATTTAAATGTTGATGAATCTTCATTACTCAAAGTCATCGTGTCATGGATTTGCATCTTTTTAATGAATTGCATGAAAAGTCAATCGAGATGTAGGCAACTAGGTGATACTTTCACTGATCACGATGGATGTTAATGTTGATTTTTAAGGAGTTTCGAGAGATTGCTTTACAACTAATTTACTTGCTTTTTCAACTCATAGATTATTGAAATATTTCAAGAGACCTTCTTAAACTAATAATGTCAATGCTCTGCTTATCTATGTACATACATTTCGTGGTTCATTTGAGTGATGAGCTTAAGGATCGTCAATATTGAGAAATTCCAAATCGTCATTAATAAAATATTAAGAAACTTTTGAACTTCAAAATACGAAAACAAAGATTTATTGGCTGTTAGTATCGATGGCAGGTGAATTAATTTATTTGTAATGTCAATGCCATTTTGAAAATATTTAAAGAATTTTAAACTTTCACAAGATTTGAACGATTCAGGAAATTCGATGAATTACCTTGCAATGATTTCGATGCACATCACAATTTTAGCAGATGAGTTAAATTTTTTTAATAATAAAAGAATTTTCCACGCACCTCAACTTCACTCTTAAAACCCGTCTTCAATTACAAATATAATCATCAAACTAAAGGCTAGCCAAACGTTGGTTTATCTTCACTTGTTTATATTAATAATAAATCGCTTCCTTATCTACTCAATGAGATATCCAAACATGGGAGAAATAATTAGGAAGTTTTTGCACTACGAAGACTAAAATTATTTCACTCGAATAATATTTTCTTAAGCTCTATTGAATGTTCCACATGATATTAATTAACTTCATTACTCAGCGGATGGTCAAGGTTTCATTAAGTAATTTATCATGCATTCGAGGCGGTAATTTCAATAAATAAAACGTAATTTAAATAACACGAACAAATGAAGACGTGAAGACAAAAAAGCGGAAAGCAGTTCAATTATTTATTATCATCTCATCAAAATCTTTTCGAATAAATCTTCAAACGTCTAGCCGTCGGTCGCCTTCAAGTCTTCAAAAAGAATTGCAATAAGTTATTTAGTGAAATGTTCGCCATGCCACAATAAATTAATATTCATGTACACTTCAGTCAAAAACAACGGAATTCCATTCGGCATCCTGTCAATTATGATGACATTTTATAAAAGCTATTCACTCGTTATTGAGCTGCACAGAAGTAAATAAATAACTGAAACAAAAATTGTTACTTAACTCTGAAATAACGATTAACTTCTTCATCACAACAGTTGCCGAATCAAGAGAACATACTCAACACAAGAGTTTTATTTTTGTAGCGAAAACTTCATATTTTATTATTAAATTGACGTTTTTAATAAGTTGTTGACATTAAAGTTAAACTTAAAGAAAACAAAAAAGAATAAACAAGTTGAAGGAAGGATGGAATTGATGGAGTTGGAAAGGAATGAAAATTATCGCCGATAATCTCTAGAACGGGAACGAGATCTTGAATAACGACGTGCGTAATTCCTACCTGTGCTGCGACTTCTAGATCTTCGATGGTACTTTACCGGTGATCGATTAATGCTTAACGGTGCCTTATTATACCGCTTATGTCGATTACGAGAACTCGAATGAACTGAAGATGAACTTGAGCTGCTAGACGATGATGAACTCGATCTTCTCTTCTTTCGACTTGCTGGCGGCGCTCCATTTTCATCAGAATCAATTTCAGACTTTGAGTCTCGATTGTCCCCGTAGCGATGACGCAATTCTCTTTGCTTTCTACGTAGCTTCAATGCAAGTTCTCTCATTTCTTCTTCTCGTTCCTGTTGCTGTTGAATTTGTCTTTCAATTCTTTCTGTTTCTGCTTTTTTATCAGCTTTGTCTGTTTGAGAGAAAAGAATTTCTCTGGTAATTAAAAATATTTGGGAATTGATACTTGATTAACACTTACACTGCTTGTTCAATAATAATTGCATTTTCTTCTTCAGTTTCTCTCTGGGATTGCTCACTGTCGGACCTCCAACTGTTGTCTTTGATATTCCAATCTGTTAAAAATAAAATCAAAACATTTATCTACTTTCATTTTCAATGACTAACTAATTAAAAATGAATTAAAAGAACTTTCTAAGATGACAACAATTTTCAAAGGAATTTCGTCCCAAGTTTTTCTCTCCGAAATAAACAAAAATTAAATTTTCATCGCAACCCATTGAAACTTAGATTAACTGCCGACCCATAAATCCAAAGCATGATCATAAATATCTAACTGACTTTTTTTTCACGTTCTTATGAATTATTCTTACTGACTTTGAACTCTGAAGGTCTAGTGAAAGAAGTTTTTATTTTTGTGTCATCATTTATGGAACTGTTGGGAAGAAAATAAAGAAAAGTTAATTAAAAAAACAATTAAAAAGAATTTTCGTCTCACCTTTGAGTCGTGCCAGTCTTTGTATTGTCATTGTCACTGTCACTGTCAACACTCAACGATGAACTGCTTTCTTCTTCTTTCCTTCGTCCATAATAGCGCTTAATTGGCGCAACTTCTGACAATGAATCAACTGGCGTTCGACTTCTTGATTTTCTTTCTTTCGACAATGATTTTGATTTCTTTCTTGGGCTTTTCTCACGCGACGATGACTTTTTTCTTTGTCTTTTTTCTGGTGATGATGTGCTGTAATGACTTGATGATGATGTTGATGACGATGAACTTGAACGTGACGACGACGATGATCGCTTTCGACTCAAAGATTTCTTTGCTGATGTGTATGATTGTCGTCTTGATGACGATTTGTTGTTTCTTGAGTAAGAGCGTTTTCGACTGTATGATTTTCTTCGCCGACGAACTGAACTTCTCGATCGTCTTCTTCTGTAACTTGAATAAGATGAAACACTGTACGATCGTGATGAACGTCTTCGCCTTCTCATGGAACTGCTACGCGAACGAGAACTTCGTCTGTGTCTTGAGCCACTTGTTGATCTCGAACTATAGCGACGTTTATATGAAGCACTTGTTGATCTCGATGATTCACGTCGTCGTCTACTCCACGATCTCGAATCTCTTCTACTTCGACTTCGTCGTCTTTCTTCCGGTCTGTTGCTTTCTACTTCATTCATTTTCTTAAACTTTTCCAAATTCTGTTTCACTTTATCAGCATAAGTTGCGATTCCAAATACTTCACTATTTCCAGGTGTTTTCAGCAGTGTGGGTTTATTCAATTTTATTGTGATTTTCGAGTGCGGTTGTAATTCTTCTTCTCCACCAAAACTTGTAATGTAAGTGATTTTTTCTGGTGATGGTGACCTCGAATTTTCCGGACTACTTTTTTCTTCGTCTTCATCGATTGCTGATTTCATTTTCTCTTCTTTTGCAGCATAACTTGGTGGACTCAAAGGCTTTCCTACAATTCTCTTTTCTCGTTGTGATCGTCGTTCTCGTCGACTTTTCCTACCAGTGCCAACAACTTTATCAGCTTCTTGTTCTTTTAAAGCTTTGATTGATTGCTTTTCATCTTCATCTTTTGTTAAGAATGAGAAAAAATCATTCGTCACCATTCCATAACGTTTTCCACAATTATTAAGCTCGTGAGCTTCTTGAGTTCCAATTTTGTTAATGTCAATTGAAACATCCATGTCAACATCGGAATCATCAGAATAATCTTTGGCAAACTCTTCAAAGCGATTCGTCGATGCTGATGTTTCAATATTTATGATTGTCTGCGAGAATGGAACTGTTGCTGTTGTTGTTGATGACGTCGTGTCTTCATAAGTATATCCAATAGCAGCATTAGCGTTGCTGTTCTTTTTCTTTCCTTTTTCATTCTCCACTTGATGTGCATTGACACCAAATTGCTCTTCAAGTTGAAGTTGTTTGAGAAAACTTTCTTCCGTCACTCCAAGAAATTCATTTTGTGCTAGAACACGGAAACGTTCGTAGTTGATTTGTCGCTCTTCTGATGAAATGTCGGGTTCTGATTCATCTTTTGATGGTTTCATTGGTGGGATGTAATCTAAATGTGCTCTAACATCGAATCGATCTATTAAATTGTCACTCTGTCCTTGCCATTTCATCCTAAAATAAAAACAACAGAAAATGGAGTGTTAATTTAGTTATTTAACCAAATGTTTATTAAATTTCGATTCCACTTGCTCACATGAATTGAGACTCCTCAGTCAAATCTGATACATCGAAGTGTAGTTTACATTTCCTGCCATGCAATTGAATGAATTGTGTTGGATCGGCTCGCTATATTTAATAGAGAAAATGACAAATATTATAAAGCAAACACATTTGTGTAAATAAGTTTTAAATTGAATGAACCACGTCTACTTACAATTCTTTCATAAAACTCTTTTCGTCTATCGGCTCGCTTTCTATAATCAACAATCATTCCTCTGATTTTTTTCTCTTGTTTTCTTGCCTCTTGCCACATTTTTGTCGGTTTGGTTTATTAATTAGATATTAATATTCAAGTTTATGGTTAATATGTTTTATGAGTAACACACGATTAAGTCATGAAAACTCATTAATTCATTTTATTCTTCAGGTTTTATTAAAAGTTGGTACTTTATAAAATTTGAATTCAATAACTATTTAGATGCATTGCAGTTAAAAGATTGTCAATTTTATTAAATTATGATCAATTGCAAAGTTTTGTTTCTTTTGCACTCTCAAATTTTGTCTTCTTGGTAATTTGAATATTAAACGACCGTTATTTTATTTATTTATTTAACATTTTTTAACATAAGAGTTCCATATATGGAAGTTCGCTATATAATCTGTATTAATTCTCTGAATGCTAATAGCAAAAGGCTCATTTGGATGAAAACAAAAAGCAACAAGTCTTCTTCCCGAAGTTGACAAGCTGTTCGTTTTCTGAACCCCCGCATGTATTCTAAATCGAAGAAGACCTGAATCCCTTGCAAAAAATCGGATAGGAAATTCACTAGCTGCTTTCGGCCTTTCCATCTGCGATACCCATTTGTCATCGAACGAAAATAATGAAAGATCTAAATAAGGCGATGTGCTATAACTTTGGGCTGAAATTGGAAGTTGAGCGAGAAGACGTTTGCGAGCTTCGACAATTCCTCCTCCCTTCGCTGATATTATTGTTTGTTTAAATCTTTGATGAAGAAGATTAGCAAATATATTATTGCTTGGTGAACATGTCCATTGAGATCGAAAAGCAAGTCTTGCATTTCGAAAGGAATCACAAAAGTTTTCAAATAAATAAAGCAATTCTTCACTCGTGTTGTTGTAAACTGCGAGTATTTTCTTCTCCCATATGTTAAATATCACAAAAAACGATTCTTGACTGTTTGGTTCAGGCGCTTTCAGAGTCACAACATCTTCACTTGCATATTTTATAAGTAAATTGTCCTCATCAAGTAATTGAATTTTCCACATTCGTAGATCACGGAATTGTTCGAAATTTTGGTAAAACTTTCTCAAAGCTACTCTATCGCCTTGTTCCACTTTCATCTTTGCTTGATAAAATAAAAATACCAAAATTCGATGTTTCAAACTGTTGATTGTGACTTCACGAAATGCACGATTGTTACTACTTGTTGATAATGTTGAATTAAACAAAAACGCTTCTTCGTCACAACAGAATCGTCCAATTGATCGCAAGAATTGAAAAGTTCCTTCAACAATTTGATAAATATGAATAGTTTGATGTTGAATTGAAAGCACTGCTAGTGTGTCATTGTACAAATAAAGCCCTTGATTATGTGACAACATAATTTTGTCAGTTCGAAACTCTAATGAATGACTGATTTTTCCATTAATCAAGTCAATAATGTATAAAGTGTAGTCTTCAAGAGGGCAACTAGCAGTCTGTTAAAAATAAACATTTTAATAAATAAACTCAATTTAAATGAATTCCCATTTACCGTTGTGATTGATTCATTGCTCGTGTAAAGCTCATAAAAATGAGGTCGATGATCATCAGCAATAAAAATTGCAGCACCAACAATGACATGCTTTCTGTCATTACAAAATAAACTGCACTCTCGATTCAGCTGCTTTTCACTTCCATCCATATTCACGACATGTTTAAGCTGAAAGAGAATCCAATAATTTAATATCCATCAAACTCTTTTTATGACTTACTTTAAAGAATTTCTCAAATATTTTACTTCGAATGTCATAACATTTGTCTTTGTTTATGTTTGGGACAACTTCTTCTGTATAATCTTCACCTATGAGATTTGAAGCTGCAGCGCAACCTTTAAATTCGTAGATTTCTAATGATGCTTGGTCTGAACTAAACGCAATCTGAAAATAAAAATTTCTTTTATATTTTTACTTTCAATAATTTTTTTGTGGCACAAACCAAATATTTTCCACATGGACTAAATTTCCTTAAATAACATGCCGGTTTCTCTATATTCACAACCTGAAACCAATTTCCATTATGTACAAAACACAGATAATTACAAAACCTCTACTATTACCGTCAAATTAGGACAAATGCATTGATAAAAATCATGATGTGAAATTGAAGTGAGATTTCCAAAATGTTCTCGGTTTCTCAATCGATGAACAATATTCTGTGATTTCATCTTTCTTGGTCGAATACGTTCTCTACATATCACATCATCATCATCAATTGATAATGTATCAAATGTCATTTTGAAAATTTATATATTCTATAAAAATGACTTTAAAACTCCTGTTTTATTTGTTTACATGAAATTGTGTCATCTCGTACATCTGGGAAATATAAAATTCTGTCATCTCAGATTTAAGAAAAACAAGAAAAATCCTTAAAAAATCATTAAATTCGTTTTCTCAATTTTAAGACACACAACAAAAGGAAAAATCCTGAAAAAAATCATGAAATTCATTCACACATTTGTAGCAGTTACCATTATTTTAGCTCTTGATCTCGTAGATTGTAATGAAAAAGTGGAAAATAAGCTTAAAATAGGAATTAAAAAACGAGTAAGGAAAACATTTTGCAAATAAAAAATCAAGACTTGATATATTTTTCTTCCTCAGGCTGAAGACTGCGATCAAAAGAGTCGAAAAGGAGATTTGTTGCATATTAATTACACTGGAACGCTTCTAGATGGAACCGTTTTTGATTCTTCCGAAGGCAAAAAACCCTTGACTTTTACATTAGGAGCTGGTCAGGTTATTAAAGGCTGGGACAGAGGGATCCTTGGAATGTGCATTGGTGAAGTGCGAAAACTTCAGATTCCACCTGAATTAGGATATGGAAGCTCAGCAATGGGGAAAATTCCAAAAAATTCTGTCCTAATATTCGAAGTGGAATTGATGAAAATAGAAAGAAATCAAGAGTTGTAAACATGCCATAGATCAATGTCATTAAAGATAACTGAAATAATAGATCAACACTATTTCTGTTTCATTGATTCTCTGAGTCACAACGAATCTAAAAAAACCGTACGTCACAGCGTTAACTTTCTGTCACAGCGTTAACTCATGCAACAACCTTTTAAAAAAAATTTACTCGGTAGTCCAATTTCCAATACATTGACACAACCTATCACTAGAATTCTAGAGAAATATAAATTTAAATAAAAAGGAATTACTCCTGTTTAAGAACCTTTACAATATAAATTACTTATTCAAAACTTGACAAACCCCATACCTTGCAGATAATGGCTTATCAGGTTTGTGAAACTTCTGTAAAACTATTATTTTCAAAGAAATTTATTAATTTCAATTAATTTGAAGAATGTTTGTGTGAATCACGTAAACATTTCAGTTTAAGCCAATTGAATGTTTTAATAAGTTACTTTCTTCAACATAACAGTTGTTTAAATAAGTTGATGTATTGCTATTGTATATTACTTTTTCCGAATCTTTAAGGGATATCTTCCAGGCTATGGCCCACAAGGCGGACAGCAAGTTGCTCCGGATGTACAAAACTTCTTTAGTCAGGTAGACAAGGACAGAAGTGGTAAAATTAATGCTCAAGAACTTCAAGCCGCTCTTGTTAATGGCAAAGGACAAAATTTTTCTGATCAATCATGCTCATTGATGATTTCAATGTTCGACACGGATCGTTCTGGAACTATTGACATTTATGAATTTGGAAAACTCTTTGAATATGTCAATCAATGGCTAAACTGTTTTAAAGCTTATGATCGAGACCAAAGTGGAGCCATTGAAGAAGCTGAACTTTTGCAAGCACTCTCCCAAATGGGATTCCGTTTTTCTCAACAATTTGTTCACTTTTTAATCCAAGTTCATGATCCAGTGAAAAAAAGTGAAATTTCTGTTGATCAATTCATTGTTCTATGTGTGAAAGTTCAACGATTCACGGATGCTTTCCGTCAACGTGACACTCAACAACAAGGTGTCATCACAATTGGCTTCGAAGATTTCTTGGGGATCGCTTTAAATTGCACCAACTAAGAAAAAAAACTGTTGAAGATATTCCAGAATGCCTATGAAAGAGAAATTTGCAGGATCTTTTCATTAATTACTTTAAAAATTTTTCTATATGTTACAACTTTTCTTTAATTTTTGATATAATTTTGCATTTCAATGTTTTTTGTCGAATCCAACATTCTTTTTTAAAAATCAAATATTTTTAATAATTTTCTGCTTCATTT